CTTACCGACCCGGTGCTCGTCCCTTCTGCTGCCGATCTCGCAACGCGCCTTGCACGCATCCACACCGAACTGCGCGCTGAGCTCGCGCTCGCTCAAGATCGTCAAGCGCGCTACTACAACCAACGTGTCGCGGCCGCGCCCAAGTTCCAGCGCGACCAGCTTGTCTGGCTGCTGCGACGCAACGTCAAGACCACGCGTCCCTCTGGCAAGCTCGACCACCGACGCCTCGGCCCCTTCCCGGTCGAACGCGCGCTCTCGGACCTCACGTACCAACTCCGCCTCCCCTCGTACCTCTCTCGTCTCCACCCCGTCTTCCATGTATCCCTTCTCGAACCCTATGCCGACCCTTCCGAGTTCCATGCCCATGCCACGCCCTCTCCCTTCGGTCTTGATGACGAAACCCATGCTTCCCTTACTATACAATCCATTCTCGACGCTCGAAAGACTGGACAACGCTACGAATACTTAGTTCGATGGCACGGACTCTCTGACGACGACGATTCGTGGATTCCCCTTTCCGATATTCCTACGACTTCCAATGAACTCTTAGATAGATTCCATCGTCGCAATCCCCGCGCTCCTCGTCCCCCCGACTCCGTACTTAATGCGACCGCCCGTACCACGTTCGACGAGCCGCCCGTTGATGCTGACGCCCCCGCTTTGCCTTCTGCTCCACAGGTCCCGCCGCCCTCCGCTCCGCTCGCGTCCTCCGTTCCGCCCGTCCCTGCCCCTCCGCACCTCGCCCCCGCTGTCCCCACTGCCCGCGCTCGCCCTCCTTCGCCCGCTCCCATTCACGCGAACCCTCGCGTTGAATACGCGCCTCCGGCGCAGACCACGCTCCGTTCAGGACGTGTCTCCCGGCCGCCCCCTCGTCGCGACGCGTAGTAGCGATGTCCGGATGGCTGTTGGCCGGAATTGCGAACCGCTCGGACGCAGGACGCACGTTGCGGCGTGACTGCCTATACGCTAGGAGTCGCGCTCGACAACGTCGCGCTACTCCCTTGAGGAGGAGGTAGTGTAACGGCCCGCAGGCGTTACATTGCCTCACGGACTCTGTCTCATGATTAGATTAGATATGTTCTGTTTGATGTACTTTGTTCCCTGATCTGGTATGTCTACTGCACGCCTCGTTTAGGTACTTTCTCGTTCGCATCACACCCGGCCTCGTGCTCTGATAGATCGTAGATAAGATACACTTGTACTCTGTCACTTATACCGGCGTCCGCGCAGTCTGGCTCCCCGCCGAATCAACTCCTCTTCTTCTGCTCCCCACGCTCCGCTTCGTCCCTCGGTCCCGACTGTCAACCCCGTCGTCCGGCCATTACAGTCGGCTCCCGCCTTGCGGTAGGCAATTGCCCTGGGGCGTGATGGGTTGTTCGGTATGGGAGCAGCCAGCGGCGGTAAACGTGCGGATGGTGTGGCGTGTGCGGGTCGGGGCAGATGGCGGCGTGCGGCCGTCCTTGCTCGGTGGTGGTGCATTTTCCCGTGCCTCGTCGGAGTTCGCGGCCGCGCAGCTGTGACGTCCAGGGGGAGACAGTGCGAGGCAAGGCAGAGCCGCACGCTCGGTGGGGAGGGCAAGTCTGGCGCGGTGGTGGGGTTGGACGAAGTCCCGGGCGCAACGTGGCCAGCCTCGAGATGGAGGCAAATCAGAGGGTGAGCGCTGCCGCAAACGGCCGTGCCGTCCCGACGGGCTGCGCGGGAACGGCGCCAGTCGGGCCTCCCTGATTCTGGACGGAGATTGTGGACGTAGAAGGGCGGCCTGGGAGCGCGTTGGCAGGATGCGTCGACGCGATGGGGCGGTCGCTGCCACCCTCGCGCGCGGGGCCTGAGCTGGCCCGAGCGACGTGGATATGTTGGTGTGGGCGGCGGCCCTGGGCCTGGTCATTTGCGCCTGATGCATGACATTCCTGTCCTTGGCAAGAAGCTGCACCAAGGAGGCTGCAAAGGGGTGTGCTGTTAGTCAGCGTCGTCATCGGAAGACTAACGCACGAGGCGACGTCTGCAGGCCCAGTGACGTTACCCACCGCCCATTCTGATTGCTTAGCTTCTTGTCTCATGTGGGCGAGTCGGGAGGCAAGGTGTCGCTTCACTCGCCAATCCCAGGAGGGGGCTGAAGATGGATTGAGGCCGATGGTTACGTTAAGCGCTTGTGGAGGAGGAGTAATAGAGCTTGGGGCTCGGAACGTGGTGGCTCTGGTGCTGCTGCTGCTGGCCACAACGTCGGCGAGCGCATGGGAGAAGTCGGCGCTTTCCATCAAAGGGGGAGCCATGTGGTCTTTGATGTCTATCAGCGTGCGCAAGGCTGGAGGAGGCACACGATGGGGATAATGAATATCAGAAGAATGGAACATGGGAGGCTAGAACCATACCGCTTGTGCAGTCAGCTGCGTCTGACTCCGCCTTCTAGAGCGGGGAGAGAGGCGGCGAGAGGGAGGCGAGAAAGGCGGCGCCTCCGTGCATTAATTCTCTGTCCGACGGCGCAGCCTGGTGCTGCAGGTGCGCGGTGCGGATATGGAGTTCCTGTTCGGCAGAGCACACACCGCAGCCATGCCACTTTGGCTGCCGTCGTCGGAGAGACGGCGGTGACGGGAGATGTGAGAGCAAATCTGACTGCAATCTAACGTGAGAAATATTCCGTTAATTCCGACCGCGCCTGGACGGGACGGGGCGGGGCGGGGCGGGGCGGCGAGAGAAATTCCGGGAGGGAAATTGATGGAAATACGGCCGGATGGGTATGTCGCAATGGGTGATGCCGCCTGAAGGGGCCGTGTCGTGCGCTGTCGACGGGCGGAGGACGATGGTCGTGATGATGCGCCACCGTCGGCTCGGGAGGGGCGGGTTCGTGGGAGGAGCCGCGGGGGGTGGGCGTCGTGGGCGGTGGGAAGGACGGAGGGGGCAATGACGGCAGGGCCGGGGGTGGGGAACAGGCGTTATCCGGAGATCTGTGCGAGAGGGGGGGATGATCGCGATAGGTAGCGCGGAAGGTTAGCGGAATAAGCTACGCGACGCTGCAACGGGCGCAGCGGACCCCTGGCGTGCAACGGCAGGCACCACGGTCGCGGGAAGATGACGGGAGGCGTGCCGAGGATGCAGCCGCCGCACGACGTATCGGGCGAGTCAGCCTGGGAGGGTGCGGGCAGGCTGAGCACGAGCAGCACCCCGTGGACGGCTGGGCAGGCGCGGCGGAGGAGCGGGACGGGCAGAGCCCTGCTGAGCGCTGAGCCAGGCGGCGATTTGCTTCGAGTATCGGCGCCTGACACGGGCGCCTGTGGTGTGGCAGTCGCGGAGGAAGCCGCGCTTCGAATCGATCCCGGCACGGAGCAGCGGACGAGCATCTGCTCGGGGAAGCTTCTGTGCTGCAGCTTCTCTCTCGCCGATGCCGCCTGCGCTGAGCGGAGGTGCGCGGACTCTCTCCTCTGCACCCGGACGCGCGGGCAGGCCGGATCATGGGGGCCAGCGTTCATCGTTCACGCGGCTGCCGATGTGAGTGCGACGGAGCGTGGACGGAGCGCGTGCGGCAGGGACGGCGAAACGGGCTCTGTGCCCACGCGCGACTGCCCTCCACGGACGGTGGATCGCACAGAGGACGTGCAGACCGGACCGGGGTCGTTCGACAGCTGCCGTGGCCGTGGTGCGTGGAGAGCTGGCGCGGGTGGCGGAGATGATCGATGGGGACATACCAGGTGGCCTGCGCGCGCGAAGAGGTGTGCGCGGTGGCGGGGGACGTGCGGGAAACACATGCGCGGCCCTGGCGTGACGGAAGCGGAGGCTGATCGTCCACGACGGAGATATGGGCGGTGGCGCGACGCAGCGTGCGCGCGGGGCTGTAGGTCCGAGTGCGACGTCGCGGCATCGCGCGACCGGCCCTGAAGGCGTGCCCGGCGTTGGCGTTGGCGAGCGGCGAGGACGAGGAGCGGTGGACAGCCGAATCGATAGTCTGCAGCATCGACCGCGATCTATATCGTCCTCCATCGGCTGCTTCCCGCCTGCCCATCGACGGGCCCTGTCGTCCTCCCAGGGCTAGTGGCCCGCGTGGCGCCTACCGCGACTGCCTCCGCGGCCAGGACAGGCACGGACGTCGAGGATATCCCGTGACGCCCGCCAGCGCACGGAGTTCTCGGTCCCAGTCGGAGGCTGCTTGCGCGCCGGGAGCGCGGCGCAACGCGCGGCCGCGGGGTTCTGCTGGCTGCGCGCGCCCGGTGCCGTGCGCCGGCCGCGGACAGGTGGGAGGCCCCGGTGGCCGTATCCGGGCGACTCGCGATGGCGGGCGTGGGCGTGCTGGACGGAGATAGGGCGGATGAAGGCTCAGGTGGCCCGCCGTCGCGACTCGCGCGGGCCCTCGGTGGGCAGAGGATGCGGGCGGGCTTCGCGCGCGTGCAGCCGGCACGGGCCGAGGACTCAAAAGTTTAATTAATATCCAGGAATTCGAGCGCAGCCGGACACCGCCATCCCGATTCCCCACGTCCGCGAAGGAGAGGCCGGCGCGCGCTCCGCCGGTGGGCTGCCCGGGCGGGTCGTCAAGAGGCGCGAGAGGGGTTACGGAGTGCGCTCAGAGTGCGCGCAGTCGATAAGATGTTATCGACCTTCATTTCGGCCTGACACACTTGAGCTCCTCCCGCGCGTCCCCGCCCCTTCCGTCGCTCTCTCTGCACGAGGCCCGTCTACATGGGCGGTGCGAATACAAATATCCTTCTCCCGCCCCACCCCCGCCTTGACTCCTTGTACTCGACGTCTCTATGACCACCCTCCGCCGCCCGCTCCCCCCCGCTATTTGAGCGTGCTGCCCACACCACCTCTTCCTTTCGCCCGCCCAGAATGGACCAGGGCAGCTCCCCGCCCCGCCCCCCGGCCCGTCCTCCCCGCCGGCGCTCCCCCTCCCCGCCCCCGCCCCGCACGCAGCTGCAGACGACACTCCCTCCCATCCACCACCTCCACCCCGCCCTCGCCCATCCCTCTCATCCCCCCACCACCACCTCCCGCCTTCGCTCCCCCCGCCGTACATGCACGGCGCAACATACCCGCTCCCCTCCGCGAGCACCCTCGGTGCGCCCCCCTTCACACTCTCACCCACCCCGCCCGCTTATCCCCCTCCCTGCCCAGGCGTACGCTCCGCGCCCGATGATTCCGACCAGGAGACTGCCCAGGGCCGCCAGAAGCAGAAGCGCCGTCGCCAGGCCCTCAGCTGCACAGGTGCGCGTCCGCTCTCCGCCCTCCCGTTCCAGACGACCTCTGCTCACGCATACACCCATCTCGGCTCTGTCCGCGTCATCGTACGTACCATCCTCCGCGCTCGCCTCTTCCACACCCCCGACCACGCACGCGCTCCCGTCTCGTACGACCTCACGCTCGCCCCCCACCGCCGGCGCCAGAGTGCAAGCGGCGGAAGATCAAGTGCGACAGGTGAGACTCCCCCGTCCGCCCCCTCGCGTCCGCTCCCCCCTCATTTTGCGCCCCCTTGATCGCAGAGCAAACCCGTGCGGGCCCTGCGTCCGCCGCGGCGAGCAGTCCAAGTGCAAGTGGCACATCATCGAGCCCATGTAAGTCCGAGCCCGCGCCCCCCGGGGCGTGCCTCCCCCATCACCCGTACGCTGATCGAACGCGCGCTGTTGCCGCTGCGTTGCCAGGGAGAAGTATGTCACCAGGGCCGAGTTCGACGAGCTCATGGCCCGATTCCTCGGGCTCGAGGCGCTCGTCCTCCGCGGCGCTCACTCGGGTCACCCGCCCCCGCATCTCGCGTCCGGCTCGGGCTCTGCGTCAGCGAGCTCGCCCCCCAATCACGTCCGACATGCCAGTCCGCGCCCCTCCACCAGTGCGAGCATGTCCGCTCTCATGCCGCTCACCTCCGCAGGGCCGCCCCCGGAGCCTGTCCAGGGCACAGCGATCACACCGTACCACCAAGCGTACGGCGGGACGGGCGCAGGCCCGTCGTCGTACATGCGGCCCCCCTCCCCGCGCTCGCCCGTGCGCGAGCGCGAGCGCGAGCAGTTCCACCGCACCTCCATGTCCGGCCCCGCGTCCGCGTCAGGCACCACGCGGAGCCCGACCATCGCGTACCGGACACTGCCTCCCGCTGGTCCCAGCGGCAGCGGCAGCAGTCGTCCCGGTCCCAGCGCTTCACCACGCTCCCCACACCACCTCCCGCACGTGCACGCGCTCCCGCCCCCGCACGCACACCACCACCCGCACCCGCACCCGCACCCGCACTCACACTCGCACTCGCTCTCGAGCGCGTCACCCCGCTCCCCGCCGACGCAAGCTCTGTCGCCGCGCCTGAGCACCCTCCGCGGTAGCGCGGGCTCGTCCGGGCCCTCCGTCCGCAGACAGTCGATCTCCCTCGCGGACCTCACGACCCCGTACAACACCGAGCCGAAGGCCCCGCCCTCCGCTGCCCCTCTTCCTCCTCCGCCCAGATGCAGACCCCGACGCTGGCACAGCCACCACCCGTCCCCCCCGGCCCGCCAAAAAATTGCAGCGCGCAGACGGCAGCGACGCCGGGCCCTCGTCTGCGCCTCTCCCCCCCGCCGCGAGGCCCGGCCCCCGTCGAGGCGTCCCCTCGCCCCCCTATCCCGCTCGTCGCCCGCCAGGAGGTGCCGGTCTAGAGCCCCCGCCCCCGCCGTCCGCGTTCTCGATGCAGGCGCACCACGCGCGCCGGCTGTCCGATTCGGACGCCGCGTACGCGTCGTCCCTCGCGCACTCGCCCCCGCCCTCGTCCGACGGCTCGTCGCCCGGGCGGGGGGACGGGGACGGCGCTCGTCCCGGCCCCGGGGCTGGGGCATGACGCAGGTCGTTGCTACCGCTGCTGCTGCTGTGCACCATCAGCCTGCGTGCGCGCATCCCCATCTCATCCACCCGCTCGCCGGCCGAGTCTGCTGCTCGGTTTCCGGCTTCTGGTCTTCTCCCATCCCAGCTCCCCTGTGCGCCCATCTCGGCCCACCCGTCTACGCACCGCCCCGGCTGGACGACCCGCTGGCTTCGGCCTGTGCGCGTTCGGGGCCCCGCGTCGACCGCATCGCATCGCCCCGCATCCGATCTGACACCCCCTCGAGCACGCACGGACACGCACCGCACGCCGCCGCGCAGGCGTCTGGCGCTCCTGGGGCGCGGCCGCGGCCACTGAGGCCGTGCGGGGGGCCGTTCCCGAGGAACGCCAGGACGCGCTGGGACGCCACCGCTCGAACCCCGAACGCGCGCCCCTTTCTCTGTCTTTCCGCCGCAAGCGCACCGCGAGACACGACCGCTCCTGGTCCTGGGTTTCCTGTGCGCTCGATCCCGTCCCCACGCCCGATCCCGTCCCAGCTGCGCTGCCGCCTTTGTCGCCGTCCGTGCGGTTTCCTTTTTAGTGTACGATCCCGGTGGGTCCGTCCTTATTTATTCGAATGGAACGAGAGCGCGTCCGTGCACGAACCGAGAGGCAGCGAGCCGCCCTTTCGCGACCGGCCGCGCGTGTGATGTGAGCCCCCCGTACCGTACAACCCTAACGTATAACCCAGCCCCGCTCTCCGAGGACCCCGCCGCCCGCATACCGTACGAATCCCCGCGCCTATAACCAGTGTATTGATCACGCCCTCCCCCGCCCGTACTGTACGCCCACCCGCCCCGCCCGCACCTGTATCATATCTCCCCAAGGCCCCGGCCATGTACGTCATTAGGCACCCCCTGCACACGCACGCTAGTGCTACAGTACCCCGTCACGCCCTGTACATATACACACCGAACACCCATACGACCCGCATCTGCCCCCGGCGCGCCCGCCCAAGCCCCTCGCGGCAAGCCCCGGCCCCGCCGAGCCATTGACAATTAGCGACTAGTTGGCCGTCCGACGAGGAAGGAGGCCGCCCTGGTCGTTCAAGCCGACAACGGCCCACTGCGCCCTAACGTCCAAGGCCCCGATCTCGCGTGTCGCGGCTCGCGGCTCGGACCCGCGCGCGGCGGAGCTCAAAGCGCTGATCTCCCGCCATAATTGCGCTGGATCGGGTGCGCGCCCGGGCCCCCCCATCACGCGCGCGACGCGCGTGCCTGGCCTACCGACTCCTGGCCACTCGCACTAGCACCGTTGCACCGTTGTCGAGGAGGAGCGAACCTGCCAGACGCAGACAGTCGGTGGCGGGCGTGGGAAGACGCGGGCGCGGTTCCCGTTCGCGTGCGTTCGTCTCGACCGCGACCCCGCCGCGCGCACGGAGCGCGGCGGCGAAGGTGGACACTAGGATACGGGGGTGCGACGTGCGAGCTGCTGTGTGACTGCTTGGCTGGCGGACAGGTGGGTGACAAAGGCATGATGCATGATGATTCGTGATGGACACATATACGCATGAATACGTAGGGACTACGGAGCGGAAGGAAAAAGGCGAGAGAAAAAAGATGGAGTGGGTGATCGAGCTCTCGGGCGGCGGGGTGCGGTCGGTGCTCGGTGCATACGTCAGCCCCTGCTGCATCAATCACCGCGTCGGCCTACGTCGTGACACGAGGCGCGGACGCGGACGGACGAGGTGGCAGGTGGATACAAGGCGGGGGCACGAGGCGGGGCGGGGAACACAGCGGACAGAAGCACTTTTCCACCGCCTGCCGCTGGACAGGCTCTAGGCTCCGGCGGTGGGACGAAAGGCTTGGGATGGGCACAAGAGCACAGGAAGCGTGGCTGCACTTCCCGCCAGCTCGCAAGGCGCACGGGTGGCAAGTGACCACGCAGCACCGCGCCCTCGCGGACCGGGGTGGCGAGCGAGCTGCGCCATCGGCGCCACAACCGCAGCAGCCAATCGGCGCCGAGGCACGCGCGTGTCGACTGCACGGGGCAGATCCAATGGCGAGATGCATGGGAGGAGGGGTGAAGAGGCGGGCGGCACAGGCGCGGGGAGACGGACCCCGCGTCCGGAGGCTGTCAACCCGCGCCACCGTGGGGATTCGGGACTCGGAGCAGGTACAGCAGGCCATCAACTAGCGGAAGGCAGCCTGACGACGCGTCCCAGGATATGAGCCTAGAAAACGGTGACGCCGCTTTGAGTGCCCGTGTACTGCGACTTCATGTCGTCCAGGTCGGTGCCATCGTCCTGAGACTTGTAGTCGTATTGAGAGAGGCTGCCCATGTCCGACGTTCCAGCGGTGGACGAGAACGAGGAGCGGCGCTGCAATCTATCAGACTGCGAATATGCCATTCCGCCAGGGCGATCCGATGCGCTGACAGCACTGCCCACAACGCTGGCAGCGTCGGTCCCTGCGGGCCCAGCGTCCTGCGAGATGATTGAGCTCGCGTAGGAGCCGTACGTGCTCCGTTTCGCGCCATTCTGGCGGGGGGCACCCGGGCCGAATGGACCGGCGGCAGCGAACATGGGGAGACCGGAGGAGTAGGTGGCTTGGGAGCGCAGGGACTGGACGTCGGAGGGGATGTAGCCCAGGGCGTCGTGGGTGCGGTAGAAACTCGCGTCGAAGCGGCTGGGAGTTCCGGATCTCCGGCCTGGAATAAGGTTGCCATCAGTTGACGTCAACAGACACGGCCCACGCGCATTCAACCCACCGTCGCTCATCACGCTCCCGTTCCCGAGATAATCCCTCGCGCTCGTCTCGTGCCGGCGGAACTGGTCCATTGCCTTCACCAACGTGCGCCTCGGCTTGCTGAACTGGATCATGCTCGGCTGGAGATTATTGAGCGGACCTTCGACGAGGCAGTTTTTCTCCTTGTAGTGCGTCAGCAGGTAGTGCCACAGCGGATGCTATAGCGCGGTATCAGTACTGACAGCGCGGATTTAACGCATGCGAGCCACATGCCTTGCTGAGAACCTTCGGGTTCCCGAGGATAACGACTCCGTACTTGGCTCGCGTGAGTGCGACGTTCAGACGCCGCGGGTCGTTGAGGAATCCGATGCCCTGGTGCTCGTTGCTACGCACACAACTGAGGATGATGTAGTCCTTCTCGCGTCCCTGGAAGGCGTCCACGCTCGCGACCTCGATCTCCTTGTAGAGGTCCTTCTTGAGCGAGCCGTTGAACTGCATATAGTTGACGATGTACGACCGTTGTCCTTCATACGGTGTGATGACGCCGATCTGGCTGGGAACCACGCCGGACTTGAAGAACTTGGTCACGATCTTCTCGACATTAGACGCCTCGGTCCTGATGGCGACGTCAGCGCGCTGGCACACGTACGTAAGCACAAAATGAAAACGCACCTGTTTAGGAAAGATGTTCCACTCGATGAGATCTCCTCTTGGCCCAAGTTCTGATAGAAGAACATGGGCGTGTCCGGAACGGGCCACGGGAAATCGACGTTCTTCCTGAGCCGCTCGGGAGCAGTAACGCCGTTCTGGAGCGTGCCTTCGTAGAACATGTTCGACGGAAACTCCGACAGGCACGGATGCATCCGATACTGCACTTGCAGCCGGATCGGGCGGTTGTTGAGCACGACGAGACGCTCGAAGAGGGACTGCGTCAGGCCCGCCCGCGCTGCCTTCTTGTTCATGATGACAGGCCCGAGTTGCTATGTCACCACGGGTCAGCGCTCCGCCCGCCGCATGACGCCAGAACGGGAAGCGCACGCACCTGGTGATCACCGACGAGAACCACCTGCTTACAGCCGAGCACGAGCGGGATCATACACTCTGTGTCGCTTATTAGCCGAGGCGGCGTGACAAAAGCTTTAATCCCACGCACCTGGCTCCGCCGCTTGGGTTGCCTCGTCGATGAGCACCGTACGGAACTTGAGCTTGTTGAGGCGGGGGTCCCCAGCACCGACACATGTGCAGCAGATGACATCGGCCGCACCCAGGATCTCCTTCTCGCACTGACGGATGAGTGCCTTGTACTTGCGTTCGTCGTTAGAGCTCAGCTCGCCCTGCTCGTTCTTGAGCTGGATGAGCTTCTGGAGCTCCACGTGGGTGGTGTTGTTGGCGACTTGTTGATGGAGCGTGAGGAAGGAGACCGACGAGTCGAGCGCCTCGCGCGACTTGGCGCTCAGTCGCACGACCTTGAGACCTGTCGAATGGATCTTCTCCGTCAACTGGTCGACGGCGACGTTGGAAGGTGCGCAAACAAGGACCTGTCCCGGGTTCATCTTTGCGAGGTGATAGACGATGGAGGCGGAGGTAACCGTCTTCCCCGTGCCCGGAGGGCCCTGAATCAAGCTGAGGGGCTTCTGGAGGACGCTCTTAACGGCATACATCTGGGAATGGTTGAGCTCCGGCAGGCCAGGTGCCGAGAAGCGTTTGGGCATCTGTGTTCGCAGCACCTGCGGCTCCAGATCATGGCCAAGCAATTTGTGGTACTGCAAGATTGTCAGCTCGTCAACTCTACACCCCGTGGGGTAAAGATGTTGCTCACGATGTATCCGCTGACACTCTTCTCGTCAACAGCGAACGTCTTCATAGCGAGCTGCATGCGGTCAAAGCTCGTCGACTTCCAGACAAAGTCCGCAGTGAAGCCGTGCGTTATCTCCGTCGGCACTCCGTCGGACCGTCGTAACTCCAGGCCAATCTCATCCGAGACGTCTGCGCACGCATATAGTCGGCATGCGGCCGGTACGGATACAAGGTGGGGACTTACTGTTCGGAATCTTGATGACATGTCCATCTCCTTCCCATGTCTTGTGAAGAGTGCCGTTGTACTTTAGGCGTAGCTCGTCGCCAACTGCGAGCCGGACTTCCCCGCTCTCGAGCTTCGGCAGTCCAAACCACGCCACGCGCTTCTGGTTCAGCCCAAGATCCCACCGCACGTTGATGTCCGTCTGGGTCTGAGACTCCTTCAGACGCTTATCGTAGTCAGCCTCGATCTTGACAAGGGGGCCGAAGATGTTCTGGTACTGGTAAGCATCTTCATAGTGGGTGATTACGTGTTGCGGTTCGTCATCAATTCCGGGCTTCTCCAGGTCGTCCAGCGTCGCGTTCGCGTTCTCGCGCCACAGGTCCTCAAGCCGGTTGATTTGTTGGAACGAGATCTGGCGCGAGCGGAGCTGCTCCTGCTCGCTCGGAGGCTTGACGAGCCACGAGAGGAACGACCGGTCGTCGATGAGCGGGGCCCAGAGCGTGGGGTTCCACGAGATGTCTTTCGATACCGCAGCACAGGGCTGTCTGTGGGCCGGGCTCGAACTCTAACCCTCGCAGGAAGGGGCAAAAGAGGCGCGCGCGCCACTCACCGGCAAAGGAGAACGACGACGGTGTCGCTCTTGGCGGGGATGAAGCCGAGCATGAACACGTTCTTGCTCCCGCAGTTGTAGCACTCCGGGATCGTCTCCCCAAGCGGGCTCTCGGAGTGGAGGATGACCTCCTTGTGCTTCGCGCGCACGAGGTGGTTCACGATGTGCGACGCGGACGTGTTCCCGCGCGAGTTGCAGAACCACTTGGAGCATATCAGGCACTTGACCACCGACGCGGGCGAGTGGATGCCGCAGTAGCTGCCGTAGCGAGGGGCCCCGATGAGCCGCGCGGGGGCGCACGAAGGGGGGCCGAAGCTGACTCACCTGCAGGCGTGCGGCGGGAGGTCGACCTGGCCTTCGTCCTTGAGGTCGTCGAGCACGGCGTCGAAGTCCTCATCTAGCGCGCCGCGGCTGGAGGTGTGTGTGTGGCCCGCGCGCGAGCGGTTTGTAGGCGAGGAGGTGAAGGAGCGATCGTCTGTTATTGCCAGGCCGCCTAGGTCGACGGCTACGCGTTCCTGATTTGAGGTTGTAGCGGTGTAGACGGAAGAGTTGTCGTCGACGACACCCATGCCGCCGTATGACGAGGCGGAGTCGTACTGGAAGTTCTCAAAGGTGTCCATGGTGGAGGGGGAAAGGGATAGCGAGTAGATGAGAGAAGGACAAGGACAAGCCAGCTCCAAATCTCACAAAAGCGTTCCTCGTGAGAGAATATGTCACGTGTTGGACTGGATGGATATATCGCAGCGCCTCCGAGAGGGCTTTGCGCAACTTAGCGACAGCCACAGCTCAGTATGGCCGGATTGCGAAGCAACGGCAGGTTGACAGAGCCGAAGTTATTGTCAACGTTAGTCATCGTCAGACTCGGCTTGACGAAAGACTGACAGCTTATTTGTGCACAGTTCATCGACGGACAGTCGTACTCGAAGGGAAAGCTTGATGAAGCTTGCCGTGTACTCCGTCTCGATAAGCCTTACCCTAAACCTCCAAGGCAGTCCCAAGTACTCACAAGCAGAAGACTTGGATCTTATCGTGGGGGATCCTCCATCATCACGAAATTCACGCCATTAACGTGGTTGAACCTTCCAGGTCCAGGAATTTGAGGTCACTCGCGCACAGGCAGAGAAGATCCTCACGGACGCAAACGGCAGCGTGGCAGATGCACTCCAAAAGCTCCTCGCAGCATAGAATTACTAAATGGATGTATACTGAGTAGCGGTGAAAGCCATTTGTAGACTACATGTGCGCAAGACTGTTCAAGGTGTCCAGCAACATCCTCCCGTCGCGAGTCGGAGTCGGGTTGACTGGCTGCCTCACCCGGCTCCGCGTCATCGAGTTGACGGGTGCTGCAGACACGGGCCGGAGCCCGACATACGCCCTCGAGCCCGGCTTCATCCCCGCGAAGTTGCGACCCCGCTCGTTCATGTCGAACTCGAACGCCGAGATGTCCATCTCCGCCGCATCCAATCCTTCCTTCTCCTTTCCAACGACCTCCGGGGCGGCGATCAGAGCTGACTTTGCGAGACGGTAGGTCAAGGCGGATGCGTCTGTTGACGAACGGCGGTCGCCCTTGGCAAGCCTCGCAATCGTACCGGCAACGGAGACCAGGTGGCCCGAACGGCTGTCGGGGCCGTTGACGCGGCCGGGTATAGCCTTGGAGGTCGCCATGTTTTGGAGACCGGGGGTGTGCGCGTACGACAGCCCGGCGAACCGGTGCGGCTGGGGCTGGAGGGCGAAGGAGTGCAGCTTCTGGCGAGCGCGCTCCTGGAGGAAGGCGCGGAACTCGTCGCCGATCCTGAAGGACTGGCGGAAGAGGGGGGCGTCGTCGGTGCCACGGGCCTGGTGCCGCTTGGCGAGGAAGGCGCGGAACTGGGGGCGGAGGCGGCGCATGCTGGCGAGGTACTTTTCGAATTGCTCGTGGGTCATCGCTTCGAGGTTCTCCATGAGGCGCCGTCGCGCATAGACTGGTCGACGTCGTCCCTTCGCTCCGTGGAGACGAACTCGGAGTCGATGAGCCACGGGATATCCTTGCCCGACGTCCTTAGGCCTGCCTTCTCCCTCCACTGCCCGTCCCTGTCCTTTTTTGAGTAGGCTGGTGTTGAGTCCATCTCGTCCCACATCCTGATCCAGCGACTCTCCTTCTCCGCGCGATTCCAGTCGGTGTGACAGTCACGGTCGACCGCGTTGACGGTGATGCTGGCGTGCCGTGTTCGGAGGGCGAGAGGCGCTTCAGTCCAAATTGCCGCGTGCTGCATGGCCGTCGAAGGAGTATAGACTTGGCCGATGAGGGGATCAAAGGATGCGAATTTAGAGCGCCGGAGGAGGGCAGCGAACTGAGAGGGCGGAGGGGTGGCCATGGAGGCCTGCTCTGACGAGTGGATGGCGGCCGTGGCGCCCAGTCGCGTCGACGCGTGGCGGACTGTGAAGATTTCAGTCGGCGCTCCGGGTAACGCCGTGGGGGTATATAAGGGCCGGGGCTGGGCAAAAAAGAGCCCAACACCTCGCCGTCCAATTGCTGTCCTATCCCTGCTTGCCCTCACCGGCGCTGCTTTCCCGTGGGTTGGACGGTCCAGACAAACGGCGTAGAGAGAGGCAGGTGTCTCAAAAACAATCTTTGCTGAATGCCTCTCCCTCTGGTCGAGAGGTGAGGACGCTGGATTACCTGGAGCCACCCACATTCTTGTATCTAGGACGGACACGCGATCGGTTGGGTGGGCCTATCGCTTGGGTAGCAGAATATTTTTTTGTGAGTCTCCCTTTCGTTCGTTTGTGTCCGCTGGCCGCGGGGAGAGCCTATGAAGAAAAACCTGGTAACATCACGCACCCACGTGTGCGCACCGTGTCGCAGCACCCGACGTCCGCGTTCTGGGCCGCTGTGGCACGGATGGCACATCACTGGCTTGTCCAGAAATAAACCTTGTGCTGTTGGGTGCGAGTGCAGAGGTAAAGGCGAGACTGAGGCTCTCGTCAGCGCACCACGCGGACACGGGCTTGTCATCGGTTCCTGTTCTATTGAGCTGAATCTGATGTGTTGACAGGTACCACCGATCTGCCTGGACGGGACCGGGGCGCGAGGGACCGATGCGGGACGGAGGAGGAGGTGCAACGGCGATGGAGCCTCCGAGGAGTGCATCGAGTAGCAGTAGACACCATGGCAATGCATAGAACGTGCCAGCAATTTGAGCGACGAACACGCGATGACGAAAGGGGTGGCCGGATGAGGCAGAAAATTGATTGGCGGCGGGCGTCTGGAGTGCGGTTGGCTGCGGAGAGGCTGAAAGTGGCGGAGACGTTCGCGCGTCGCCCGACGGCTCGTTGGTTCGCTCCTGCCCACGCCCACCTCCTCGACGTCGCCCCAGCAGCCGTCGCCGACGCTCCCAGTGCCCCCCGGCCCCGTCGTCTCGCTGCCCGCGTCCCCGTCCACGCTCGGTCTCGGCCACCATGTCCGCTCCGCCCATCCAACGCAGACCCTCGCCTCTCGGCATCACGGCCCCGAATACACCAGAGATGTACCACAGGCTTTCCCGACCACTCGCACGAGCTCTACCGTCTCTGTAATCTCGCTCAACGATGACGACTTCCCCTCCCGGCCCTCGTCGCGGTCCGCCCCCGTCTCCCTCCCTCCTCCCCCCGCTGGCCACCGCCGTCCCACCATCCTCCAGCCCCCAGTCCCCGGACCTTGCCGGAGAGAGCGTGTCCCAGCCCACCATTTGTGGCCTTCCTCTCAAATACGTCTCGTGAGTCTGCGCTTTCGCACCGCTGTCATCTCCGTCACCCTGACCGCGTTCCCCTTCCCGCGCCAGCCTTGTCACCCTCGCTGTCCAGAATGCGGCCCTGTCGATCGTCATGCACTATTCCCGCGTGTCCATCCCCGCGGCGCAGTCATACTCTCCCGCAACTGCCGTTCTTCTCAACGAGCTCCTCAAGGGCTCGATATCCTTTGTCATCGCTTTTTTCCGCATTGCCCATGCCTCCGACGCCCCCGGCCTAGGTCTTGCAGGCTGGGCATTCGCCATGAAACGCGTCTGCAAGGAGGTCTTCAGTCTCGATTGCTGGAAACTTTCCATCCCCGCCATCCTCTATGTCATCCAGAACTCCCTTCAGTTCGTGGCCATCAGCAACCTCCCCGTCGCGACTTTCCAGGTGACATACCAGATGAAAATCCTTACCACCGCTGCTTTCTCCGTCGCCCTCCTCCGCAAGAAGCTCTCCTCCTCCAAGTGGATATCCCTCCTCTTCCTCGCCATTGGTGTCGGCATTGTTCAGCTCCAGACCATTGCCACGCGACATGTTCCTGCCAACACCCCTGTTGGGAGTGCACACGACTCCGCCCCCCTTCACATCCACATGATGAGCCCTCTCAAAGGCTTCGGTGCGGTGGCGGCGGCCTGCTTCACCTCTGGTCTGGCCGGGGTGTACTTCGAGATGGTCCTCAAAAATTCCAAGGCCGACCTCTGGGTCCGGAACGTGCAACTTTCATTGTTCTCTTTGGTCCCTGCTGTTCTTCCCCTCTTCTTTGAGACCCACCACCCTGCACACGGCGGCATTTGGGCCAACCTTCTCAGGAACTTCGGTGGTTGGGCGTGGGCGACGGTGGCCATCCAGGTGCTCGGCGGGCTGATCACGGCCGTGGTCATCAAGTACTCGGACAACATCCTCAAGGGTTTTGCCACCAGTCTTTCCATCGTCCTCTCCTTCCTCGCATCCGTCGCGCTCTTCGGTTTCCGCATCACACCGAGCTTCATCATCGGCTCCTCTGTCGTCCTCATTGCAACCTGGATGTACAATCAGCCACCGGGCAGGGAGCTCGTCGCGATCACGTCCGTCATTCCTGCAAAGCTCACCACCCCAGTGCCATCATTCCCCGGCACCCCCGTCGAGTCCGACGCGCCCATCCTCGGCCAGTTCCCGTCCGAGAAGCAGAAGGGCTCACCCTTCGCGAGCCCACGCGCTTTCGCGAGCGCACTTGGGATGATCGAGCGTCAGCAACAGGAGCTCACGCCCGGGTTCGGGGAGACGCTCGACACGGCGCGTTACCTCAACGCGCCATACGGCTCCCCGTTCCCCTCGCGTACGCCGTCTCCCATTCCTGCGCAGGCCCCGTTCCCCGGCGCGCGCCCGCAGACCACGCCGCCGAGCAGCGCACGATGGCAGTAGTCTGCCCGCCAGCTCTGGACGCTGGCCAGTTTGTCTGTAGTTCATAACCTACGATCGCCCCCGCATAGTACACGACAGTCTAGCTCTCCACTAGCTCACGACCCCCATATACCCCCTCACCCCGCGCCCCCATTCCTCCCTGCGGACCCGCGCAAAGACTCTGTTACAGATATAGCTGCAAGTTACTGACGCCTAGACATCCCCCGCCCCGCCCCCCGCCTGCAGGCGTAGCTGCTACATAGCCCCCTCCGCCCCTGGAGCGCGCCGCCGCGCCGCCGTCCGGGCGGCGCGCACACCTAGACTATTTACGATAGTGGTACTTCCTGTATAATCCTCTTTCGCACCGCACGTCGCCCCTTCGCATAGCTGCCGCCCACCCGCCCGTCGGTCGTCGTCGCGCGCGGCGTTGACGGGCATCGTACGCAAAAACCCCCCTCGGCGATCCCACGCACGCACGAATGTCGAGCTCAGGGAGGCCCTCGCGCGCGCGGGTCCCCCGTGATATACCCCCAGCGTCGTCCGAAAAAAAGAAACCCACCGGCTGTGCACGTGGTGCTTGCCGTGTCGATCATAACATATGTGCGGGGTGCGCGCACACGCCGCGTTGTGAGGCCCGGTAAGCGTAAGCAAACAATGGCACAATGCTGTCCTGTTGGTCCTGGACGAACGTTCGAGAATTCGTCGACACTCTGATGGACGGCGGCGTGTCGTTCTAGTGCTCCATCCGCGCTCGTGCGCGTGCTTCGCCCGACGGGAGCTGATTATTGGCCACTGGAGCACGCCAACGCACCTGGTGGGCGCAAGTGGGGCCAGGTGCGAGTCTCGCGATCGGGCGTGCTCCAGATAGAAGCAACGGGAGCTCCATCGCCATATAATCGCGCCGCTGTGCGCGATCGGGCCGTGCCATCCATAGTACAGTGCAGTGTGTACATACAAAAGTCGACGCAAGGTGTCTCCACAAGTACCGAGAGCGATCGCCGTCCGCTAACCACCCCTCCATCCGCCCCGCCCGGTCCTCCACTCGCCGCCGGTCACGCCTCGGGCTCGCCGAGGACGAAGGTCTGGAAGTTGGGGAACACGAGCTCCTCCTCGACCGTCTTCCGGATCACGTCCTGGATGAAGCGCTCCACGCGCCCGACGTTCTTCAGCACATGCTTGTCCGCCTGCCCGATCTCGCTCTCGATGTCGATCCGCGGGAGGAGCCGCTGGCCTATCGGCAGCGGCTTCCCGCCCCGCCCGGACGGCGTCGCGGGCGTCGGCGGCGGGTCGTCCCCGCCCGCTGCCGCTGCCGCGCCCGCGCCCCCGACCGCGGTCCCCGCGCCGGCGCTGACGTCGCCGGTGGACGAGCCCGCGGACGAGCTCGCGCCGGAGCCGCCGCGCGGGGAGGGCGTGCCGCGCGCGCGGCGGTCGCCCGCGCCGCCGAGGGGCCCGTACGGGTCGAGGTCGTCGACGACGCACAGGTGCACGCGGCGGCGGGCGCCCTCGTAGGCGACGACGAGCTCGCCGGCGAAGAGCAGGCCGGTGACGGAGAGCCGGATCGGGAGAGCCATGAACATCGGCGAGGGGTAGTTGATGAGCAGCGCGGTGGTGAGCGTGAGCCGGAGGTTGGACGCCCAGGTGATGTGCAGGTGCAGCTGGAGGTTCGGGTGCGGGGCCGGGCCGGGCCGGGGCGGCGAGGGGGCGGCGTCGGGGTCGGGCGCGGGGGACGCGCGGGAGTGCGGGGGGAGGGCCTCGTTCGAGGCTCCGGGGGAGATGCGCTCGGGCGTGCGCGCGGCGCCGATGCTGGACGGCGGCGCGGAGTTCACGGCGGAGAGCGCGGAGAGGTAGAGCGACGGCGACGGGCGGAGGTCGGGAGGCTCGCGAACGAGGGCGACCAGATGTCGCGCGGCGCGCGGAGGAAGGGCGTCGAGTGCAGCATGTCCATGCCCATCCCGCCCATGCCCAGGCTTGCCCCTGCTGCGGCGCCGTAGCGGACGTGTGGGGGAAGCAGGTGGTATGCGGGCCCTGCGTCGTCGCCGACGAGGCCCTTACCCCGTACGGCCTTGCGGGAGACCCACTCAAAGTCGTCGTCTTCGTCCTCGCCTTCTTCGCCGGGGAAGAGCCCGGCTCTCGAAGATGATGGCTCCGTACCGTGTTCAAGGGCCCCGTCATCCTCCTCCTCATCCTCGTCGTCCTCCAAGAAGTCCCGATAGATGTCGCGAAGGTCGACTAGCTCGACATCCGGAGCGTTAGCACCGAGGTCGAAGGAGGTAACCTCGATGGGCCCGATGAAAGATGGTCGCGTGGTCGATGCAAGCTGGCGGTTGATGAGGTCAACGAGGGTGGAGGCGAGAGACGAGTCGAGTCGATTCCATTCGAGGTCTATCGACATGGTCGCCGTCACAGTAGACCGCAGGCGCCGTTGTCCCCTCGCGACGCGACCTCACGTGATAATTGATATGTGCAAGACCGAGATTCTCGGAACACGATGTCGATTTGATTCCGCCTTTCACCTCAAGACTCCCCAAATAAATTACCGCAAACCATTAGCTTTGTTGTTTAAACCGTGTGCACTCACTGAAGGGCGACGATCTTAGGCGTATCGTGACCATCCCAATAACCTCGTGATCGTGGTGAACCAAGGTGAGCCCGCAGTCGAATATCTCGGCAAGCTGTCTCGTCCCAGCATTCAAAGGCAACGTAAAGATAGTCGATTACTGATACACATGTAAAACTAACGGCTACACAACAACACGTGTGACGGCGGGCTACAGGAGGGACTTGCTCATGTACGGCCCGTCGAGCTCGTACCCCAGTCGGCGGTAGTAATCTCTAGTCCCGACACCTGCAAGAAGCGGCGCGTTAGGTTCGAGTCTAAATCAGCGTGTTTCAGCCCATCTTGTCCGCACGCACCAGAGATGACGGCCAGTTTCACGCTTCCGTGCTCCTCGCGGGCAATGCGCTCCGCCTCCTCCATCAACAAGGTTCCGAATCCCTATCACCGCAGCAGCGGAAGGTCGGTTAGCATTCGAGCGGCCATAGCGTTGCAGTCCAGGGTCGGCGAGCGCAAGCGAACAAGAAAACGCACCTGATGCTGAAACTTGGTCGGGTCGCGTCCGTGGACGGGCACAGCCGTGCCGTACACATGCAGCTCGCGGACAATGCTGCAGCCACCCTCATCGCGACGGACCAGTTCCGGCCGGAACGTGCCCTCGTCGGAGCACTTGCGGAGACGCAGGAGCCCGATGAGGATATCCCGTTCCGGGTCTTCGTATGACAGGAACGTCTCCCAGCCTCCGTTGGCGGTGTAGTCCCTCCGCAGGAGCTCGACAGACTGCGGTCGGACCTTGTGGTGAATCTCATGAATCTATCAAGGGAAGGAGTGGGCGGGGCGGCCCCATGAGGTGCAAGAAGATGGCGCATGATGGCGTGAGCAACGTCGGCAACGCGGTGCGTGGCCGAGGGAACCGAAGTTTGAGTTTGAAGAACGGGCGACGTCGCGGGTGAAGAGAGCGCGTTGCCATTGCGGAGGCACGATTCCCAGCGGTCAGGAGATTCCGCGAGCAAGGCCCGAGAAGTTTGATCATTATCGGAACGTGTCGGTGGTCAGCACGGAGGATCAGGCGGCACGGAAACAGGAGACTGCGTACGCCTACTTCGCGGAAGCGCACATCACGGCACTCCGCCCCGAAGTCTTTCATCCGGTTCAGGGCCAGCTCACGGAGGTTCCCGGAGTTTTCGCAGCCGCTGGTAACGAGCGGAAGTGGGATGTCTCTGCCACCAGATTAATTTACGCCGAATCAGTCAAACAGACGGGCTTCTTACGCACCTTTGTACCCGATACACGCGTGTCCAGGGCGGAACCAATGCCAAGATGCGCGCGACCACGTCAACGAGCACATTGGGGGTATAGTTCTTGTAGCGCCCCGTGCGCCAAAGTTCGTACAGGCCCGTTCCTCGGATGACCAAAGTTGGGTAAATCTTCAGTCCGTCGCTCCGGAATGCAGGGTTCTCGAAGTACTCCTTGAATTGTTCGAGATCGCGCTCGACGCCCACGTTCGGGAGGTCAGGCATCATGTGGGCAACTACCTTGAAGCCTGCATCCTTCGCCAGGTGAAACGATTCCGACACCGCGCGCACGGTGTGGCCACGATTCGTGTCACGCGCCACGTCTTCGTAAACAGACTGCACGCCTATCTCGAGGCGGGTACAGCCATAGCGTAGCATCTGACTTTAGCGGCATTCAGCGGCATGCCATCGATAGGGTGAAACAGACACACCTCAGGTGGGGCCTCAAGCAATAGTCGGGGCGTGTTTCTATTGTGAATCCGATCGCCTTGGACTTGCTCAATTCCGAGTAGCTTGTGACAGAGCGCGGGTGAGGCGGAACATCAAATCCGGACAACGTGTGGCACGCACCGGACCGCTTCGTCTACGTCCAATCCGGTAAAGCCGGAAAGAGCATTGTGCAGCTGCGCGATAAACGCATTCCTGTACTCTTCGGGCATGCTCATGAACGTGCCCCCCATGATGATGAATTCGACCTGATATGCGGTTGAGTAAAGGATGATCCTGTGAAGACCACTGAATTGCCAACACCTTATCGACGCTATGTCCGAGGCTTTTGAGTTGTTCTACGCGTGCTCGCGTCTGTTCGTACGGATCGTATCGTGCACGGATCGCTCGCATGCTCGTCGGCTCGTAACCAGTGTAGCTTTGTGTGCTGTAATCGAAGTCGGAATCCGGACCTCCTGGGCAATATCTGAATGTCCGATTAGCTGGGACCAGACTGGGATGGCTCGGCTTACACGCAAATGTTTCCCGTCATGGCAATGTGAGGACAGCGATGGGGCTTGCACATTACGGCTACAACGGCGATCTTCCGCAGATGTCAGCTTGCTGATTTTCATCGGAAATGTCGTCCTTACCCCGCTAGCCGTTCGGATAGGCCGTGCGCGCAGTTTTGGCAGCAGTTCCTTCTTGTACTCGTCCGGAATCGCACTGATGATATCGACTAAGCGGGGGACCCCACCGAACCCGTACTTCTTGCTCATTTGCGTCCGAAGCTGGTTCAGGGAGACCGTCTTACTCGCGTCATGGGCCTTGATGAGCTCTGCGGCAATCCCTGAGGTGACGCGCAGCAAGATCTCTGCCTGCGAGGGGCCTGTACGAGGGAATATGAGTCGTCGAAGACCGCATACATTGATCCCAAGACGTACCCTCCACCCGGGTTTTTTGTACCATCGCAAATGAGCGCAGAGTCCAACTTATACTCTTTGGACTCCTGCAGACCACAGAACACGTAGCAGCAGCAGCAGCAGCAGCAGCAGCAGCAGCAGCAGCAAAGAATTGGTTCAGTGAGTGGGCAGATGAACGTTGGGAGCAATGAACCGGTGTCCTGTCCTGGTCCAGCCACAACGGAGACCGCGCCGGGGCTCGCCCGCCAGAGGCGCATCCTCGTCTCTGGTGAGTCCGTCCTCACGATACCCCACCACCACCACCACAACCGGTGCACGCACGTCCACCTTCGTCTTCCCTCCCCACCGGTTGCATGCACTTCTAGGCCTACTCCGAATTCTGCTCATGCTTGTCAATGCCCCCGCCTACGTCCGTCGATGCCTGGCTTGCTTCACGTCGCTTCGGAGTCGTCATAGACGCAGGCTCGTCTGGTTCGCGCCTCCAGATCTATAGCTGGAAGGATGCGCGCACCGTGCGCATGGAGCAGGGCGCAGATGCTCTTCGCAATCTCCCCCAGGTCCGGAAAGGGACGGAGAAAGGGGAGGAATGGTCCGTCAAGGTTGAACCGGGTGAGTGCTCTGTCCCGTGATGCTTCAATGCACTTGCTCAGCCAACGCTTCTGCGCAGGACTGTCCACGTTCGCGGATAACACGGAAGGCGTCCCCACATATCTCGCGCCTTTGCTCGAGCACGCGAGGTCTCACATTCCCCCCTCGATGCAACCCGAGACGCCCCTCTTCCTCCTGGCTACTGCCGGCATGCGTCTTCTGTCTTCAGAGAAGCAGGCAGAAGTTCTCCAGTCAACATGCGACTTTTTGAGGCTTCACTCGCACTTCAAGATCGAGAGTCCCTCAAGCGTTGGTCCCTGTGGCTCCAGCGTTCGTATCATCACCGGCGAAGAGGAGGGCTTGTTTGGGTGGATAGCAGTAAACTACCTCATGGACGGTTTCGGCGGGCCGAACGACAATCCCCTCACGTATGGTTTTCTGGACATGGGCGGTGCGTCTACGCAAATTGCGTTCGAGCCGAGCAAGGAGGAGCAGACGCGGGCACAAAACCTCATGGACGTCCGGTTACGACTGCTAAATGGCAACGACATTCAGCACAAAGTCTTTGTTACGACATGGCTGGGATATGGGACGAACCAGGCCCGAGAGCGCTATGTGGCCAAGCTCATCAACGACTACGAAGCGAACCGCGACGCGTCCAACGCACCAGAATATATCGAAGACCCATGTCTTCCGAAGGACCTCACTCTCACAAACACTCCCCTCCAGCCAGACGGTGCCTCCACCCATTCAAAAAGACCACACAAGTTCATTGGTACTGGGAACTGGGAACAATGTCTATCGAAGTCGCATCCACTTCTGAACAAGGATGCGCCTTGCCCTGACTCACATTGTCTCTTCAACGGTGTATACGTCCCGCCCATCGACTTCAGCGCGTCCCACTTCATCGGTGTATCAGAATATTGGTACTCAACGGAGCAGAGCTTTCGATTAGGCGGAGCGTACGATGTCGTGCAATACGAGCGTGCCGCGTCGGACTTCTGCGCACAAGACTGGACACACATACTAGAGGAACACACCAACGCGCGAAATAAGGGTCACTTAGGCGGCGACGGTGAGGTAGAGCAAGACGGCGTCATTGTCGAGACAGGAAAATGGGGCCCGGACGTCGAGATTCCACGGCTACAGCTACAGTGTTTCAAGGCGGCTTGGATCGTCAACGTACTCCACGAAGGCATCGGCATGCCGCGTATCGTCGACGCTGGCGGAAACGGCACCACGTCCGGTGACAAAGTCGCAGCCCAGGCACAGAACAAGGGTCTCGGGCGGCCGTCCTTCCAATCGATGGACACTGTTGGAGACATTGCTATTTCCTGGACGCTCGGGAAGATGGTCCTCGAGGCTAGTCGAGAAGTGGCTCCAGCGTCCGCCCTGGCGCGCCCGATAGTTGACCCTATCGACGACATCCCGGACCTGGCTTCGTCTCCCGTCAAGCCGATCCGCCCGTTCCTGGACTTCGACGCCGTCGAAGACAAGATCATTCACCACCTACCCCACTCCTTCACCCGACACTCGCTCGGCTTCTCCCCGGTCGGCTTCGTCTTCTACCTCTCCGTCTGCGCCTTCTGCGTCGCGACATTCTGGCGCATGCGCCACCGCATCCGGAGCACCGTCCGGCGGTTCGTCTCCAAGCGTGACCGCCCGTCCATCGCCGAGGGTTACATGCTGGAGGAGGGCCTCGCCCTCGCCAGCTCCCGCCCCGCCTCCCCGCGCCATTCCGCAATCTTTCCCCCGTCCATCCAGCGAATCGCCTCCTCGCTCAGCGCTCGCACCGGCCGGCCGTCGCCGCTCTCCGTCGGGCGCGACGCCCCTCGCCGCCCGGGGCAGCACTCCCCCGGGCTCGTCACCCGCTCGTACTCGTACCCCACCATGAAGAGCAGCGGCAGCGGCGGGAACGGGAACGCTGCGCTCGCCGCGCCCGACGAGCCGAACGGGACTGCGACGGCGTACGTGCCGAGCTCGCCGCGGCTGCCGGACGGGACGATGATGTCGAACGGGAGCTTGTCCTCGCTCCAGTCGCGCTCCCGCAACTCATCCCACATCAGTCTGTCCTCGCTCGCGCCGCGGCAGGCCGTCGGACGGACCGGGCTCGGTGCCGCGTACCACGCGCCTGCGGCGTCGTATTACGACGAGTGATTCAGACTCGGACGGATTGTTTAGTGGGGTGGCGGTAGCACTGTACGGGGGCAAGCAGCAGGCAAACATGTGACTGGGTTGCGTACTTTATTAGTTCACGGACCGCTCAGCTCCACTTATAGGAATATGTCAGGATGTAGAGTACGCCCGCGTGTTTAAAATGTCCCGTAATCGAACCGCTTCTCGTCTCCCGAAACCCTCCCTCTCGCATTTCCACCGCGGCCCGCCCCGGACGAACGCTGTGTGGTTTGGACGCGCGCAGGACGTGCGAGCACACGCCCAGCTGGCGGATTAAGTTCAGCCCTACTCCACTAGTATTCATCGGGCTCGCAGATAACGGCGAACGTACGACCGCACGGACGCACCACCCTGAACGCACCCCGCGGCCCCATGTGTCCTAGCAACGGCCATGGCGGTGGCGTGAGCCTGTTGGTTCTTGAAGGTGCATGTCGTAGACGTAGGCGACGGCGCGCGATAAGCCCACGGATGGCAGGGGCGCGGCTGGGCGCGGTGCACAGGACGGAAGGGGCGCAGGCACACCCTGGGGAGCATATGGTGCACGAAGCCGAACGGGCCCTGAGCGTGGCGGACGTGAGAGCGTGGCGGACGGGTGCGCTTGCGGATCTGGCGTGCACCGCGTGCGCGAACGGGGGCGGGGCGGGGGGTGGGCGGTCCCGGGATGTGGGACGCAGCTGGGGAGCTGGCGGGGGTAAGGGGCCGGAGACCATGGCGCAAATCGCGCGCACGGCTGTTGGCAGTGCAGGTCTCGACGAGCTTCAGCGACAGGATGCAGGGCTGTGGGAGGAGGGTGACCATAAAAGGGTTTCGGGCGCACGGGGCGGGACACTGGTTGGAGCTATACTCGTCTTGGAGGAGTGGGATGCGGGGTTGGTCGACTGTACGGACCGCGTCGAGGTCCGCACGGGCGTCCGTGCGGTGTGCATCCGAGGGCGGATCTGAGTGCAAGTGTTGCTGATGACGCAACGCCGAGGGATGCATCTCGAGCAAACCGGGATGCCCGAGGCAGGGTGCGCGGACCGACGGCGCACACACGACGTGTCGTAACGCGAAGCCGATATCCGCGCAGCGTGGGCAGATCTCAGCCCCGAGTCGCGTAGCCGCCAAAGTTCGGGGACAGGCTCCGGATAGCCTCTGACTGCGCAGGGATCCCTTGCTTGGAGATATCAAGACAATCGCGCAAATAGCGGGCGAGTGACGCTGCGAGGGCTGCGAACGACCGCCATATATCAGCGCAACAACATTCGTAACAAGCATAGAGCATGGGTGAATAGCAATGTGCATCCAATACGTTCGAAAACTTCGGGATCCAAGTCTGGGCATGCCGTCACATGCCTCTTCTGCGTCCACGCTTCCCCCGCACAAACAGGTGCCTCGCTAGCAACGATCTGGAGGTAAGTTACCGACCCCTGCGTTGAAATGGTTCAGAGCTTACCGTCCATCGTTCCCTCAGACCCGCCGCCGCGTGCGTCCCCGCGTGCCGGCATCACCTCCCTTCGCCCTCGCCTTCCCCTTTGCAGTTGACTTTCCGGACGGGAGCATTGTCTTCTCCTTCGCCTGACGCAGACGAATGACATCGTGCACCCAGTTCGACTTCAGGCTCTCTTCCATCGCCACGGCATGGAGCCGCTGTTCCTCTTCAGGGGAGAGCAGTCCCATGACAGTGCGTTGCCCCGTGCGCCAAAGAAGTATCTGCAAGATTGCTTCTTGCAACAGAATGTTGTTGCAATACTGCACAGGCTTTCAGGTAAGAAAGAGAGCACTCCAAACCGGATTGGATATTTTTCTAACCGTTATCTTTTCGACCGGGTCGAGGTCGCTGAAAGTCATCTTCGGTGGCGCCCGTTCGGGAATCCCTTCTGTGGCTTGACCGTTGGTACCGGTCTCGGCCGTCAGCTTCTCAGGTTGTATGGCAGCCTGGGAGATAAGTCAAATCACAGCCGCACATCACGCTGAGCCCAGTGAACCCACCTCCGACGGTTCTCCCTCCGCCGCCGTGAGATTTCCATTCGCAGTGTTCTGCGAAGCCATTCTCTGCGCCACGCAATTCAGACACCGGTCAGAAAGATGAATGGGTGTCCTCACCTGGTGCGAGGTGTCCAACTTTGGCGATGGATGCTGCTCTTCCTGGAGTGCGACCATCGGCAACTCGAACTCTGTCCGGTGCGAGAGGAAAAAACTTACATCGCTCTCAATCTCTGTGAGAATCGTAGACGGCGGCGGTGCGTCAACGTCAGACATTGCCTGTATTGAGAAACACCGGTCAGTCACGTCACAGGCCGCTGACAGCCAAGGTCGCCGTACCTCGCCGTCCCCTGCTGAGAGCTCTGATGTTTGGCTGAGTACGCTCGTGTCCGAGTCCTGCGCCTGTCTGGGCCGTCAACGGTTTCCTCGAACCTTATGTGGACTGTGACACTCACGCGCGGTATCCTCTTCTTTCCGCGTCCAGAACCGCGTCCAGTGGTCGGCTTGTTCGGCAGGTACAACAGCGACTGGGGATAGTCCACCGGCAGTCCGAATGCCTGACGCCACTCTCGTCTTCGTGCCCACGAACGTATGTGATAAGCGAGCTCTTCTTTGTCCCGCGCCCCCAGACTTCCACGGAGAGGAACCTGATCGAGCACCCGTTGCCGGGCCCCACTCCCTCTCATGAAGTCGTCAGAGCGTCGTAGGGCGGGTCCGTACTTGCGGTCCATGATGCCGGCTAGAATTGGCTTGACGTATTCGAACTCCTCGTGAATCTCGAGCTCATACTGGAACTCTTCTGGTCGAGGCGCGGGGAGCAGAGGTACAGGACTAGATGCACGCAAGCTCCGTTCATCGTCCGGCCTGAAAGGGGCGCTGAAGTTCTCCATGCCTTCCAGTTCCTCCAACTCGTCTTTATCCGGGTCCAAGCCGTAGTTTCCCGTCGTGTCGCCAATCTGCGGGCGTATGAGGTCAGACTCAGAGGACGATGCAGGGCACGTTTACGTACAAATACGGTCGAAAATTCATCGTCAGTAGTCGTATAGAACCAGTCCGCTTCGATCGTCTTGATGCTCCCATCGAAAAACAACACTTTGTACTTTGGCCTCTGGTTCGGTTTCTTGGGTTTCATGTACTCAAGGAGCTTAGCCGGCCAGTACTGCGTTCGCTTCTTGCCCTCCTTCGCCAGTACAAGCTCCCCAGGTAGTTCCAGCAACGGGTCTGCGGATGGTGCTCGCCAGCGGCGCTCGGGGATAGATCCAAAGTCAAACAAGGCTTGTTCAACCTCTTCCAGCTCCGTAGACTCCTTCCCCTTGCTACCGGATGAGGACGATTCGGCGTAATAAGAGTGAGGATCTCCGCCATTCTCCTGACGTTCGTACTCTTGAACCATTCGGTCACGGGCTTCTCGCCACGACTCTTCCATGTCCAGTTTACGCTTCTTTCGTGGAGACGCTTGGGAGGGATCGCTACGCACGGTCCTGTAATTGTTCGTGTTGAAGCGGATGCGACCGTCAAGTGCCATAGGGCGTACGTTGGACACAGAAGGGCTGGGGACGTTCAACCGTCGCTCCCCTGATGCACCCATATGTCCCGGCGGATTTCCAAACAGCACGACGCGCATGGCTGGTTGCGGCAAGTCTATCTACGGGGAGAGCAACGAGGTTAGTGAGGGCAAGAAGACGCACGTCGGGTCTCAAAAACCTTGGCCGGCCACCACACGAGGTCCTCGTTGCTTCCCTTCCCTTCATCCGCCAGACGGCTCTCCATGTCAAGGCACACCCAGACCAGCTTCCCGATGCCTCTATCATCCTCGCTTTCCTCGTCCGTAGAGTCCAGCGGCGCGAAGTAGCTGTCGATGGATTCCGTGAGGCTCACGTTCTTGGGTTTGGAAGGCGCGGGGTCGGGGGTGTGCGCTTTTGCTTGGACGCGCATGAACTGTCGCGCAAGGCGCGGGGCGATGTTGGATGGAGCAGGAAAGATAGGTTTAGGGCGTACTTCGGCGGGCGACGTGAGCGGAGTGAGGCTGCTCTCTTTTCCGGAGAGCGACGACGACGGAGAGCGCGGCCGCTTGTTGCCCTTGTTGCCTGGTTGTTGTTGATACCCGTCCTTTTCCTCCTCCGCGCGGGCGCCGAGCGTGGGGGTTGACGAGCCGCCTTCCGCGTTGGACGATGAGGAAGGCGATCTCGCGCGCCCCACCCGCTTGCCTTGTCCTATAATTCTTCCCCCACGCCCGCGACGTCTTCCTCCGCGGGGCTTGGTCGGAGTGGTCTCCGCACGCGCCCTCACATGGGACTTCGTGCGTGATGAACTTGCGTCTGAGCCCGGAGAGGGTCAGAAAAGGTGCCACAGAGGCCCGCAGTCAACGCTGCGTGTGCGACAGATAACGCGCAGGAGTCAAAATGGTGGGACGCTTACCATTTGTGCGTCGCCTCCTAGCGCCTTCGGCCTCCACCGACGGCGCAACTTGAGGCTCCTGAGGGGGCTCAACGGTAGGCTGAGAGTCGGACTTTGACGGCGCGCGTAGGGACATGGGTACAGCGAGAGCGCGAGGGGTGCAGGAGGTGGGTATATGCGCGGAGGAAAGATGATGGCGGATGGAAAGAGAGGAGCGGGCGCACCGGAACGGGTGCGTGTCAGACGCGACGCGAATGGTCACGCTGTGACCACTGACGTCTTCGAATTCTTCTCCCCGACTGGCTTGTCCTTGCTCTGCCACCACCACTGCCACCAAGACCGTCTCTCTTATGCCACCATGTTCATGCGCCCCGAGGTCCGCGCATATCTCCTCCGTTGCTTGTGCAAGTGAGCGGCATTCATAAACAGTCTGCATAGGAACGGTAGCTTTGTGGCGTTGGCGTTATTGGTGACGGACCCCAGTGAGTACGACTCTACGGTCACAAGGAGATCAAATACCATGCTCGGCATCATTTTTCTCTCGCAATCCCTTGGTGAGCACCCAGACCTCGCATGTTGTATTGCGAAAGCCTTTGTGACCGAGCAATGAATTTTTGCCATGGTTTGTACTCTGAATCGATGGCAATCTCTTGACGTTTGCATCGCATTTTCCAAAGGATTTTGCATGCTTTTACATCGCACAATACAAACCTCCATGGCGCTCACGCTATCAGGCTTGAAAGCGCTCCAGTCTCCACGGCAATCGATTTCATGACGTTTACCAGTATATATCTTCCAGGCCGAATTGACTAACAACTCCTCCGTTTACATCAGACCGATAATGAACAATACTACAAACGCCATTAACACAATGTCTCGGGACCGGCATGGATGGAGACCACCGGATAGTCTCGTGGTCTCAACATAGTCGGCAGGCACCGTACGCGTGGATATGAACTCTCAGGTACTGTTCTTGTAATAGCCCACGCACGTCCGTGGGAGAGAGGCACAGGAAGGGCGAAGCTGCGGGACACAGTTCTGTTCCTCTCGACCACATTAATATCCGCGCGGACGTTGGCCCGGGCACTATCGAAACAAACATAGATGGGAGCTACGACCCCCGACGAGGTCCACCTTCAAGGATCTAAGCTCAAGATGTAAGACTGTAGACGTAAGACGTGCCGTGCCGTGTGGGGGTGCTCACGGCAGAGCAAGTACCTTTCAACACGCCAAACATGGTGACTCTAGAAGAGCCTCGTACCGGGGCCATTCGAACTCAAGTGCACTGCCGAACCACTGCCGCTGTGAACACGCACGACACAATTGGAGTGGTGACGATAAAAGAAGATGGAACGACGTCATTAACATGTGCACAAGGTGAGTTTTGACAAAAGCAAATCATCCCAAAGAACTACCTTCCAAAAACAAACCAAATCCCTGAGCCTTCCGATTTACTACAACACCACTATGCGCGACTCGACCAGTCCAGGGAGGGAGTTGGAGTCGAAGTGGGGTTTGCGCGGGGCTGCTCGTGGGGAGGGTCAGAAACGCTGTCGTGTTCCCCTGAACCTCGAACCGAACCGCGACCTCAGTGAAGACCGTGCTCTGCGGCATGTTCCGACGGCGCAGGAAGCCGTGGTGTTGTTGTATATGAGGTGTGTTTTAGATGGGTTTTTGTTGAGTGTTGTTGTAATTTTTGAGTGAGTGGAGAAGTAGGAGAGGGGCCTGGGGACTCACTTATGGACTCGTGGAGGAGAGTGTTGGACTTGACGACGCCACTGGTGGCGGCGCCGGGCGGTGAGTCGTCAGTATTCGCGCCCACAACGGCGAATGGCACGAAGGTGTCGACCACTCCCAGAATATAGTGAGATTGACACGACGGCGGGTGCAGCGGCGGCTACATAGAGCGACGTGTAGTATAGCGTTGAATGTCCCGCTCAGCTCCAATTGTTGCCCACCAGCAAGTGCACGGCAAGCGCGGCGGCGGCGAAGGACTTCATTTTTGAGAACGTAAAAAGATTTGTTCAAGGAAAAGGGACCGTCGTCTCGACACCCCCATGATTTCACACCACTGTCTGCGATAGTTGTACGCGGTCCTGCAACTCTTTCGCTCGGCCGCCTCCCCGAGCGCACGCGTCGCCTCGGCAATCATTCTCAACCTCATAGCTGTCAGTTGTGAGTCAATCAACTGCATGATCATCGACAACGTTGTCCTCCGAACGCGCCTCGCGCCTCGAAGCATGATCGGTCGGAAGTCAGTCAACACCAAAGGCTCAAAGAGACAGCGGCGATCTTCCTATTCGACCTCGCGATGTCCAGTCCAACACAGCACGTCTGCGAAACCCACGTATGAACCTCAGCTGAACCCCCGACATATCGCTAGACCAACAAAACGCCTTCAAAGAGACAGGAACGACACCAAGCCGGCTCCCACAAGCGCAAGCGCAACCGAAGCCTCGCGCCCACCCACCCCGTTGTCCTTCCCGGTCGGCTTCGCAGTGGACCCGGTGCTCGTGGTGCCGGTGCTCGACGCACCGGAGGACGCATGCGAGCCAGCGGTCGCCGACGCCGGACTGCCCGTGGTCGACGCCCCGGTCGTGGCGGCGGCGGCGGTCGGGTTGCCCTGGACGATGAACTCGGACGCGGTCTCGGTGACAATGACGCCGGTCTGGACGTCGCCACCCTCGACGGAGGCGTTAACGGTGCAGACGGCGACGCCGTTCGCGATAGCGCAGTCCTCGGAGAGCGAGATCCCGATGGTGGGGTTGTTGTAGACGAGGTGCGCGTCGGTGGCGTCCGCGACGAGCGTCGCTGTGCATGCATGTCAGCGGAGGCGCGAGGGTGTATGCGATCGAGCAGAGCGAACCGTCGCTTACCAGAGCCAATGATGCCGGGCTCGTCCTCAAAGGAGCCGCTAGTCACGCCGGGACCGATGCGCCAGGTGGTGTGGCCGTCGGCGGCGATGCCCTCAATGTCGGCGGTGATCTGCTGGGGGTCGAAGCCCGGGATGTAGAGAGAGGTAGACTGAGCAGCGGCAACTGAAAGTGGGAGGGTTGGCGCTTCGTCTTTCGACTCTAAATCAAGGAAACGCAGAGCACTGACCGGAAAAGCAGAGCGCAAGCGCGCTAGCAGCAACAGTTGCTTTCATTTTGTGAAAGCGGAATCTTAAATGAGAAAGAGAGGGTCTGAGGGAGACGTCGTGGGGGATTGGAGGGGGGCGGAGAGGGTCTTAAGACCAAACGGATGCAATCAGGGTCATGTTTGATGACCGAACGGAGAAATGATCGGACGTGCCTCCGCACGCGAATTTTATGGATCGTGAATGCGAATACACGAAAGCATTAGGCTTGTCGTTCAGGATGCGGTCTGGACGCCGAAGAAATTTACGCCTGCAATACCCAACATGTCCAGGCGGAAACGCAGCGCACCTTTCCGATATTTTCTGTCCGCCGTGTACCTATACAATGCGTGGCATAGGTCAGAGCGAGGGAGCCAGATCTAACGGGGAAAGGCCAGGCTGCAGAGGCTGGTGCTCGGAAATCGACACTCACACCTAACCCGAGACACGCCGGGCTTTGTCACAGGGACTCACCCGACAAGGCCCCACGTGGCTGTCCGCCAGGCACCTCGATCGGCGGCCCCGCCACTGCCGGGCAGTGCGCCCCGTGCACTGGCTTCAACATGTTTAATCCGGGGTCACCAACTGGTGACATGAACACCTCTACTCTGTGCTAAAGACGCACATCCTATCACATACGCATCCACCCCCGCATCTCATTGGGAAGCCAAACGACGCTTAAGGGACGATAGCCCCAACATCACGCGCCGAGTTTAATGTTCCGAACACTTGCCTCGACGCTCGGAGTCGACGGCCCACCACGTTGGGATTGATGTCTTCTCCCCTCAAAATAAATGTCTACACGACCCCACATAGGCTCGAGACCACCAGCATAAATAGTTCATGCTACATCCTCATACCGGATCAACGACGGAGGTCAACGCGGGCCGCTAGCGCGGTGACGGGCCCCGATGTAAAGCGCCTACGACTTATAAGTCGCTAGAAGAGACCCGGCGTCATCAACCCAGGAGGTCCACACAGCCCAGAAGTGATTCGAGAACCAGGGGAGGCGGCCCTCGAGGCCACTTGGGGCTCCCGGTCGCCACCGTGACGCGGCAAAAGCTTAAACGGCTATCGGCGTTCGCGGTCGCGATCTCCTTCCAAGCGCAACCACTTGGCACGCACGCTTTCGTAAAGGACTTCTGAAGCCTATGAGACTCCAGGGTGTTCCGCGCGTTATCGCTCTGCACTATTCGTTTTGTTGACCCGAAGTGAGTCACATGGAGATTCGCACGGCTTCCCACCGCCGTACTCCGTACTCACCTTCGAGAAGACACACGGTAATATACACAGGAAAAGGGTCCACAGTGCACACAGCCGCACGGCCTATCAGAGAAGGCACATAACTACACTGTGCAGTGCGCTGTGGCTGTATAGGACAAGACCAGGTCGCGCGGGACCGTGGACGCGCCAAGCCCTGCGTGCCCCGGGTCCGCGGCCTGGAATAGACGGGCCCAAATGGGACATATGTGGTTCGAGGTTTTGGTGGAACGAAGGGGATGTGGCCAGACGCGTGGCCAGGGACGCAGCTGTGGGCCGGTCCAGAGGGTAACGGTCGTAGGGCTACATGTGTGCCACTCCCAAATCATTTCGCATTATGCACGGATATCACCTTGGGTACCGGGCCTCACATATGTTTGCACGATGCAATAATCGAGAGATGGGAAGAGAGAGAGATATCTAGTCAGGGCAAGAAAAACGATCGGAAGGCAAAAGACACCGCTAGCAAGGACCGGGCGAGAGCTGGGGAGGGAGTAGCGAGGAACGACATGAGACAACAGATCCAGCCGTACATACGACACTAACATACAAGTCCATATTTATGTAGATGCAACTTCAACGTAAGATCGACCCCGGAGCGTATCATACCACACCTATACAGCATATACAACACTACCCACGGCATGGCGCGGGAGGCATGTCACAGACCCATCCACGAGGAGAAGAAGCGAGGTTACGCAGGGCGCGGGGCGCGGGGAGCGGGGGAGCGTGGAGGATGGTGGAGAGGATTCCAAGAGTCTGTCGCATGCGATATGCACGCACCCGCGCGGATGCGACGGGCGCGTGCTCCCAGGGTCCAGCGCCGCGCACCACATGATGGATGGGATGTGCGACGCGGGCACATTTCGGGCTGTCTACGAGGAAGCGCGTCGAACGGAAGCGCGACGTGCGCCGAATGCGGAATCGGTCTCACGCGCCGACGCCGACGCCGATGGGCGACGTGAGCTGTTGACCCTCCATCTGCACGTCACCGCCGTCGTGGTGCGCGTTCGCGTTGCGGACGGGCGACGTCGCGCCGGATGGGAGCGGCGACATCCACATGCCAGGGGTGATGAATCCGCTGCCACCGGCGCCGTAAACGAAGCCGCCGCTGAGGCTCTCCATCGTGTTCGATGAGCCTGAGGTGACACGTCAACGTCATGCGCAGTGTACACGGGAGTGAAAGGACATACCCGGTACGAGCACGCTGTCCCAGAAGTCAGCGCTGAGGATGCTGTCCATAGAGAGCATGTTCATCTCCGCGTTTTGTGGGTGCGGCGCCATCGTCGGTGGGAAGGTAGACATGTCCGCGACGGGACCCATTTCGCTGGTGTACGAGAAGGCTTCGAGCAGGTCCGCACCGAGGGAGTTGACCTGCCGCGGTGCCTGTGCGAAGGATGGAGCTAACGGGTCGGCGGAGGAACTTGCGGTAGTGCCGTCGGCCGTGTGCTCTGTGCTGTTGACTGAAGCGGTGTCCGTCCGGGCGCTGACGAGGGCGCGAAGGAAGCAGCTGTACAGCGCAGGCGTGTGCATAGGGCTGACGGCGATCTGATCGAAGGTGTTGGCAACCTGGGTGACAATGGCAATCGTCTTTTGCTCGTGGTTCAAAAACGCCTGGAACTCCGGGCGGATGAGCTGTAAAAGGGGTGCATCAGAACTGCAGGCTGAAGAGACGACATGTTACGAACTTTCAATAGACTGAGCACAGCGTATGAGCCCATAACGAAGTGCGAATCAGGCGCATATCTGAACCATCCCGACGGGCCCAGCTCCTCTGCCATGACGGTGGCACAGCTGACTGCCGACGAGTGGCAGCGCGCAAAGAAGTGGCCGATGTCGACGGCAGAGCGCTCGAGCGCGTTTTGAAGTCCGAACGCGTTGATAGTGAGCATCGCGTAATGGAAGTAGAACCCGGCCATCGCCTTCCGGAAGCGGGCCACGTTCTCGCTTAGGCCTGGCGGAGCAAGCGGGGCGATATCCATGGTTAGACCGGCTGGAGATGAGGCGCTCGAGCCGGGCGGCATACTAGAAGTAATCCGCGTGTGGAGCCACTCATGCTGCCAGGCGAGCAGCTGCGTCTCCATGGTCTTGATCACCAGTAGGAAGTCGCAGTCAATCTGAAGGCCTGACGAGTTGGTGGTGCCGAGTAGAGCAAGTCGAGGCTGCGGGTTAAGATACGTTGCAAGTCCTGTGTTCCGTGGAATGCGCACAACGTCCGCCGTTAAAAGTCAGCGTCGGCGTCTAGGGGCGTGGGTCCACCGTCGCTTGTAGGGCGGGCCCGAAGTTAAGCCACGTACCGCGTAAGCCGCAAGCGCGCCATCGCAGGGAATAGATCCCGGCAAGCGAGCCCATTGCGAGGCGTTCCGGATCATGTAACTATGTTCAAGCAATCAAGGACGAAATCTCGGTAAGTGTGTTGGGGATCAAGTAGCCGTGTCACGTACTCTTCCTTGATCGAGTATGGCTTGCCCATCTGCGCACTAAATGAGCGGTCGAGGCAGAAGCAGATGATCCATGTTCGTCCCGGTTCCGCACTTCACGGTCGCGGGCGCGGCCCGCGTCCGTGTCGGGACTGGGCCCTGTTGACCGTCGATGAAGGTTGAGGTCGGTTGCCATCCTGCACAAGTACGATATTGTCAATGTGGCGTGAACAGGGAAAGGGAATCCAGGTAGACGCGTGACCCCGACCGCATGCTCACAATGATCGATGGATCATGCGAACCGCCGCATAAAAACCAAGGCCCGAGAAGAGTGAAGGACAGAAATGGCCACACACCTTATCGCCATCCCGAGGAGCAACCATGTCTGGTCCTGCTCATAGCGCTGCACGGGGCCGCTTCCCCACAGCACGTTGATGAGGTAAGCCTGGACGATTTCGACAGACTTGTACCCGCGCGCGGGTACCTGGAATGCCAAGGTCCTCGCGAGTTCCGACAGCTTGGGGTGAAGGTCCTCCCGAGCTTCGTAGAATCGCGAAGCCACCGCGCATACTATCGGGCACACACGCATCAGCGGAGAGTCTAGAGAGATACCGCCGATCGACCACTCACTGGAGGTCAGGAGGAAGGGCGACCGTGAGCAGACTAGAGACGGCGTATGAAATTCAGGGTCGAGGAACGGTGCTTGTACCTACGTCCGTGGGTAAGCAGGGGAATATTCGGGGACACTCATGAAAGCTTACATTCATGTGGTCGAAGTAACTACAATAGCAAGGACCCAATTGAGTTGTCAGCATACAGTCACATTGGGACACGTGTATTGGCGGTAAACCCATGAGAACGAGTACGCACATTTTGAACAGTGCAACAACCTCTTCCGTGGATACGAAGCTCAGCATTTCAGGCTGTATTTGCCGCTCGATGTAGAGCCTCCGCAAAGGCAAAATCGTCATAGGGCCTGCCAATACGTCACCTTAGCTGAGTCCCAGTTGTATGGACAATTCACTCACCAGGTTTGAAGTAAACATCACTGGCGACGCCCACTCTGGCAGAATCATCCGCACCCTCAGCCAAGGCGTTGGACTTGGCTTGTGCACGGCGGTTGGCCAAGCTCGCTTCAGCCAGCAGACCCAGCGGATTGAGCGCGTTGTCGGGTAGGGAGTGCATCTTCGGCGAGGGTGGGGCATGCGACGTCGACGCATGTTGAGGGGCATGGTGTTGAACCTGCTGCTCCAGAGACGGTGAAGGAGAAGGCGAGTTCAGCAGAGCGTGCATGGTTTGGGATTGCACACTCGGCGAGGGCGATCGGGACATGATGCCCGCAGCCAGCGACGGGTTACCGAGCGATCGAAGGACGGTGTCCAAAGTCCGCTCCATCTTCCTTAATGAGCGTGTCAAAATCTCGTGTTTCCTACGGAAACTGTCAGTATCTGACCGCGGCGGGGAATAGGATGCGCACTGACTTGGTGGAGCGCTTGCCGCGGTTGGACTCCTCGAAGATGCACTCGTGATTGCCTTGCTGACAGCGCTTGCAGGGTGGGCCGTTCTCTGCATTGACGCACTTCATCTTCAGGCGGCGGCAGACGGTGCAAGCTCTGCCGACGCGTCGGGGTGACGCGTTAGCGGGCCGGAGGGGAGCAAGACGCGCAAAATGAATGCGTACCGAGAGCCACGGGTAGGCTTCGCCTTGGGCTCATCGCCCTTCTCCGTGCTCGGACTTTGGGCTTCGTCATCATCTTGACGGGGGCGTTTGTTGCGACCGTCGTTAGTCATGCTGGCTGAAGAAGCCGGCCTCTTGCCGTTGGCGTTTGAGCTGAAGGAGATGGTGTCATTCGGCGGGGTGCCGATAGTCTCGGAGCCGTGGGACGAGGGGGAGGAGAGGGAGGCGGAGAGAGTGAGATGAGGTGGAGGCATGTGTTGGTGTTGCTGGTAGGAGCCGTAGTACTGGGGCTGGTAGAGCGCCAGGGCGGGATCTATGGGGACGGGAGGGGAAGGCGGAGGCTGCATTTGGTGTGCCAAAGAGAGCTCGTGTGGGTGGTGAAGGGTGATGGACTGGGCGGGGTAGATGGGCTGCTGGTGGTGGGGGTGGAAGGCGTGCTGCTGTTGGTGGTGGTGAGGATTGTGGTGAGCATGAGGATAGAAGAAGTCAGGGTATTGGGAAGACATGGAGAGAAGAGAGGAGGGGAGAGGAAGGGGGGCGGGAACTGACATTGGGGCACAAGGACTGAAAGCAGCGGGCGGGCGAGCTTAATAGTGGCGGATCGTCCTTGCTTGCGTAGTTCACGTGGAGAGGACGCCGAGGGAGCGGTACGACGGACGATTGGAGATGGGAACGAGGAGAGTCGGGAGAGTGAGAGAGTTGGGAAGAGGACCGGTTGAGGACAGACAGAAAAATTGGTTCGCAAGCGGAGGAGGAGGCTGGCTGTCACGGCCCTGGATGCGGATCGGGCGTGCGCAGGCGGGTGGGGGTGGGAACCCGCGACGAATTCGCGAGCTCGTCCGGACGGTGACGGTGACCGGGCAGCAGTGACGAGACGGGCAGCGGTGACTGGGGAGGATGTGGGGTCGCGCAAGTCGCACAGACGCCCACCCCGGACTGGGACCTGGGGTAGGCGCACGCGTCGCACGGCCGATCCCGCCGTCCGATCTCCCTCCCCCGCCCTTATCGCCTCCGGCCCGCTGCCCCAGCCTGCGCCCGCATCCTCGACAATGACAAGCGTCCGCGATGAGCGCGCACCCGGTCACGACGGCGGCGGGGCCGAGCGCGGCGGCGACCTGCGTTGGGCACTGCCCTCAAGTCTGTCCCCGCCTGGGGTCACGCCGCATTGAATTTGAGACCCGCCCGCATATGGCGTCGTCGTTCGCACCACCAGCGCGCCCTCTCAGGAACACCCATCCCCACCTCCCCCAACAGGCTCCTCGCGCATTCCAGCGTAGTCTCGGTCTCGGTCACATCGCCCTCGTTTCTCAAGCTAGTCGCACGCGCGCTCGTCATGCCATCATCCTCTCACAAGCCGTCCACTCCCTTCGAGAAAGGCAATCAACCGCCGTCCGCCCTTCGCTCTCCAACTCTTCTCCGCCGCGTCAACATGCCCCAATCCCGCCCCCGCTTGCTCCTTGTTATCATTCGCGTCGCCATCGCCTCTCGCTTTCTTCACCTCTGCTCCGGTCCGAGTGCTCTCCATCCTCTTCGTTCCCATGTCTGTCGCTTCAGCCCATGCTTATCTGATGCGAATTCCGTTCCTACCCTCTTTCCTGCAGTTGCGCAATCGACTTGCATGAATCGCGCGTCTTCCTTGCGTAATACGCTTGTCTTCCAATGAAAATACTCGCATCTTTTGGTGCAGCTCTCCATTGTCTGTGGCAGCAGCACCGCGGTGTTTGTCCCAGTTCATCTCGGCGCTGATCTCATCTCAGGTGGAGTCCTCCTCGTGACTCCTCAGCTCAGACTGCAATAAGCCCATGTCCAGGCTTTCTACAGCCTCCGCACATCCACCGCAATCATAGCAACAAACCGACCCCGTGTGCAGTCGCGTCCAGCTCGAACGGACGCACTTGGTCCCCGGCGCGGCCCTGCTGTCCCACGCCGCGTCCCGTCCGCCCGTGATGGTCCGACGACCCGCGCCCTTGGGCAGCCCGAACCAAATCGACATCCATTCGGGGCTCTGTCCACGCTTCCGCCCTCCCGTTCCGCCCGCTTCTCGCACCGAATCTCGACTGACCGCCGCCGCACGCTCGCGCACACTCCCTTCGCCCTCGCCTCCTCCGCGCTCGGCCACGCGCTACCCATCGCCCGTGTACCCGCGCGCGATCGCCCCTCCGCCCGGGCCATTCAGCCACACACTCCCACTCGCCCGGCGCCGTCCCGGGCGATGGGCACCCTCCTCGTCCCGGTGTCTAAACTTGTCCTGCCCAGGCGGCGCCGAGCCTCGCGCGCGCGCGCGCACCCTCCCTCCCTCCCGCAAGGCCCCCGTCGCGATCAGAACACAGCCCACCGCCGCGTCTCTTCTCTGCCACGGCGACGGCGAACGCGGACGCTGCAGCTGCAGCTGCACGCCCCAGTGAGCGAGCGAGCCTGGCGCGCAACGTGCGCGGGGACCACACCCACCCACGGCTCCAAACCGCTCTGGACGCCGCGCGCGCCGCCGCCGCTCCAACCGTCCGCCCGAGGCATGCTCTCACGTCGTCGCACGTCTTCCGAACGGGGCTCCGCGCGCAGGTGCGGGCGAGCGGTGGGGGGCCTGCGGAGCAGCGCTACGCGCGTGCGCGGGCCCAAGCGCACTGGGGTTAACCCCCTTCCTTCCTTCCCTAGTACTCGCCCATCGTGTCATCTCCGGCGGCACCCCCACGCGCCGCCACCGAGCATCCGCCGTGCTGGGGCACCCGCTCGCCTGGGCGGACGTCCCAGCGGGACGGGCGTGCACCCGCAGATGCACTCGATGGCGAGAAGTGCGAAGTGCGAAGTGTGAGGGGGGGCACAGAGAAGGGCCCCGCTGGGGAGCCCGGCGGCATCGAGACCAGCCCGCATCGCCGGGGCGTCCCCCTCCCTCGTCCCCTCGTCCTCCCCTCCCTCTCCCTCTCCCCCTCCCCTTCGCCCATCGCCCATCGCCCATCACCATCTCAATGGCTGAGAGCGCACGCAAATTGCGCCGCTCCGCTCGCTGGGGGCCGTCCCGCACAGCGGGAACCGTTACGTGAACGCGGGGCCCACGGGGGGCTCTGCGGGCGCGGTCCGCATATAGCCCGCGCTGGGCATACCCAGGTTGGGGAAGCGTTAAGCACGGCGTGTGGTTTACCGGGCGCGACCGGCGCTCCAGCCGGGCGAGCGGGCGGCGGAGGGGGCCCGTTCGCGAGGGCCCGGTGCGGCGGGTGCGTCTTCGACGAGACCCACGGGGGCCCCAGGCGGCGTCACACAGGCTTTCCCAGTCCATGGCGAAGACGAGAAGGGGGCCCAGATCATGAGGAGAAGCGAGAGGGTGATCGGTCCACCCGACCGGGGGAACGGGAGGAGCACGAAGGAGAAGAAGGCGGCGGGGACCAAGCCGTTTGCGACGCTCCGAGTGCGAATGCGTCGCACACGCCGGGCCCACCCTGCGCTCGAGGACGTCATGCACCCGCCGAGCACGCGCGGCGAGCCCACCGCTGTCACGCCCGAGATTCTCGCCCGACGCTGCCCGCAAACGACCGCTGTGGGAGCCCGCGATCCGTCGAGGCCGCTGGGCCCCGGCGACGGCGCGATCGTACCCGTGCCTCCGCGGGCTCTCAGCCGGCCACCCAGCTCGCTCGCGGCGCTGGACGCTCGCCGGCATTCATCTCACACAAATTTCGCGACGAGTCCGGCGGCGCGCCTTCGCGTTCTACTTCGAACGCGCCAGCCGTCCTGCCTCGAATCGCTCCTTCCGGCCTAGCACCCCGCCCGCTGCGCCCTCCCGCCCCTCCCCAGCCGTCCCGCGACCCACACACCGCATCCAAGGCCGCCCCCCAGGCCCCACCGGCGGCCGCGACCGCGCGGGCTTACCGCGGCCGGAGCGGACGCGCTGCATTCCGCTACATTGCACCGGCCCCAGCCTACTAGCCGCGCGCCCCACGGCCGCGACGTCTGGTAGCACGCGGCCCGACCGGCGCCTCCCGCGAAGCCGCGAAGGCGAATCTGGATTCTGGTGATCCAGTCAGCTCACCACTAGCGCCGTGCCTGCCGGCCCCCTTGGGCTTGGCGCAGGGCCCGTTCCTCCGTTGCCGTGGCCAGGTTTCCCGCCGGGAGGGGTCCCGCGTCGACCGCAGACTCCAGAGGGCGGGTCGGGTTCCTCGCGCGCGCGCCCACGCCCGCCTCGGGCTCGCGAGGTCCTTCGCACTCGACACCCCTCGCGCGCACGTGTGGGAGCGCCAGCGTCGGGCAGCGACCGACTGCGCTCTATCACGTCCCGCGGCGGCCCCCCCTTCTCGCGAGTGCCCCGTCGCCCTCAGAGTCAGAAGGCCGAACGTAGACGGCGAACGTGGAACGCGGAACGTCGCGCGCGCGGGGTCGGCGGGGCATCCTGCGCCTCTCCGCCTTCGTCGGTCGGTCACGCGCGCGGGGGACTCTCGTAACGCAGAAGGTGCGCTCCACCGTCCCGACGACCGTCGGGAGGGCGGCTGGCACATCCTGCCAAGCCGGCTGAATGGGCGGCGCCCTCCCCCGCCCGCGCATCCCACGCACTCTGACGTGCGGGAGTGCGCGCGCGCGCGCGAGGGCGGCGGGGCGTCCGGGGACGGCTAAATGAAATGCGACTGCGGGCGACGCGCGAAGGCAAAGGCGAAGGGGGCTCGCAGAAGCCCATCCAGGTCGTCGTCAACGTACACGGTCGCCAGTGCGCGCTCGGCGTTCATCGACGGACGATTGAAAGAAGAGACCGGACTCCCGAGCGCGGCGCGCGGCCCGGACGCCCTCCCGCCCTCCCGCGCCGATCTCGCCCGGCGTTTGCGAGGGGCGTGGGCGTCGTCCGGGACGGGACGCGCGAGCTCGCCGCGGGTCGGGACAAGTGCGCGGTCGAGTTGCCGTGGCGCGGCGTGTGCGCGTCCGGTGGGTGCGTTCCCCGCTGCAGCCCGGCACCGCCACCACAAGAGGAGGGAGCGCGCGGGCCGGGACGGTGGCCCGTGGGGCCTTCTCGGCATCATCAGCTCAGAGATTCTGATCTCCACGGGTTGAGTGCGACTGTGTGGGCGGAGGGCGAAGGGCGTTCGCGAGATGGGGATCATGGAATCAAAGGAGATGTCGCCGCCGATGCGCACATGCGAAGGGCCCGGCGGGGGCGGGCCAGGTGTGGGTTTGGAGATGGGCAAGGTTCCGGCGGGGCGGAGGGGGTGCGCCCGCTCGTGCCGGTTACGTGGGCTCCAGCGACGCGAGAATGGAATAGGGATATTGCATGGTTCCGTCACTGCGGGAAGAAGGTGGAGAAGCGCAGCTCGGCCGCGTCGATCGAACGTCATCAGTCACCTCAGCGACGTTGGAAGGTGTTCTGACGTTTTGGCTTGTGCGTACGATGGAATCCATGACTCGGAGAAAGATCGGTCGTGTTCCTGACCCGGCGTTAGGATGATCAAGAGAGCTCACAAAGGACCTGCCTGGGTAGGCAAGGCGTCGGTGGCATAGGTCGCTGGGACTGCGCATAGCGACAGGTGGTGTCTGCTCATGGACGAGAAAGAATTAATTAAAAGTCAGGTGTCCAGAGAAAGGAATTCATTGCAATGATCCGGTGTTTATTCACTGGCGTTCCTGGCACCCACGCAGGAGTGCAGTCCGAGGACGACCGCGGGCTACTAGTGCAGCTGTGGTGCGTGATGCTAGGACATATGAGATTTGCAGGCAGCACTTGCACGCCACCGGAGGCTTTGTGTGGGAGGAACTCATGTGCGGACGGAGGAAGGGAGAGATTCGTTCTTGGAGACCTACCAAAACCGGACGAGACCCTTGACGGGCGATAGGGACGGTGCACAGCCGTGCGATCACTTTCCCCTTGCTTTCCCCGGCCATTTGTGGGCGTTTCTTTGGCCGGGCGCCTGTGCTCGCGTGGCAGGCTGCGCCGGACGTCTGTCGCCACCTCTGGCGAGTACGCTACGTACGTCGTACGCAACTAGTGTGTACCCGTGGCGTTGCCACGATATGTGCGGGCCTTCGGCCCTTGAGACGCTTCAATCAAATCAAGTGTTCATTTGTATACTCACTACAATAAGTTAATCAAGAGGGCTCAGCCAGATTGAAGTCTATTTGAGCCTGCCCTAAAGTCAGGCAAATAAAATATAATACAGTATCAGTGATACATAAATAAAAGAAGTGAAACTGGAACAGAGTTGTAGACATAGTGATTATAATACATGACTTGCATAGCAATGGAAAGACAGTACAGCACAACACAGTAGCATTGTTACTCTGGTGGAATAACCTCTCGATAGACAATATTGACTGTTGTCATGTCCTCTTTGCCATCTTCAAGCAACACTTTGATTCGTGAAGGTGAAGTGCAGCGAGAAAGAGCGACATAGAGTTGTCCATGGGTGAACACTCCGGTACGCAAATCTAAGCCAACATGTGTCACTGATTGCCCCTGAGCTTTGTTGATTGTCATTGCAAATGCCAATCGCACAGGGAATTGGCGGCGGCGTAGCTTCAAAGGGAGATCTTCCGTGTTAGGCTCAAGAGTAAGCCTCGGAATACATACTTCCCTTCCAGCATGCTCACCACCAAGGATTCTACATAAGAGGACTCGTGGCTGAATCACTATTAACACCAATCGTGTGCCATTGCAAAGCCCATTTCGTGGATCAATATTTCTGAGCAACATTAATGGACAGCCTGGTTTCAATGCAAGATGAGCGAGAGGGAGTCCTGGGACATTTATAGACTGTAAGAACTCAGTTGTATATTGTGCACTCTCATCGTTCTCTACACTGTCTGCAGAGTGTAGAATGCATTGTTCACCTGGGAACTGTCCTAGAATGATGTGGTTTAGGTCATCCACTGAATCATTCTTTGCCGACAATATGGTGCGGTCCAAGAAGTATTGATCAGGCTTGTTAGGGGCATTGACATTAGGATATGTGGAAGAAATAAGGCATTCAACAGTTTGCTGAGGTAAACGCATAGACTCAGGAAGTGTTACGATACTATCAGCAGTGGCATTGGCCCCTTGTCCAACTTGTAGCAGCCATTGTGCAAATTGAGTGCTTTCGGGCGACTGCTCTAAGCGCATGTTTTGAGACAAATGCATCACTTGAACGTGCTCCCATAAATATGATCGGCATAGTGTAGCTCCCACAATCTGAGGTCTTCCCCCTCGTGGAACGACAGGCAGAGTTTGACGAAAGTCGCCTCCAAACAGAACAGTAATCCCTCCAAATGGGCACTGATTGTGAAGCGCACGTTGAAGGGACCGGCTCACAGCTTCAACAGCAAATCGATGCTGCATAGGAACTTCATCCCAAATAATGAGCTTGGTATGACGAAGCATTTCTTGATAGCCATCCTGAAACAATCTATTACAGACAGAGTCATCAAAGCAAGGAATAGGAATGCCAAAACGTGAGTGTGCTGTACGTCCTCCCTCCAAAAGTAAAGCTGCAATACCTGAGGAGGCCACAGTTAGTACAACCGTATTTAAAGCACGCACTGCTGCTGCAATTGTGTTACACAGAAATGTTTTACCACAGCCGCCAGCACTGTGAACAAATATGATCTTTCCCTGATTATTTGTCACAGAGCTCATTACAGTATTGAACACTGTTGTTTGTGCGGCATTGAAGCGCTCACAGTTTGTGGTAACACGTTCTTGTAAAACATTGTGATCATAGTTCAACTCCTCTGCTACTAAGCTATTATTCTGAATGCCAAACCGAGCATCTGGAACAGGCTCAGGTAGCTTGAACAGGTCATATCTCTTTCCACGTTGAATCAGTAATTCTTTGAGCAGAAATAGTCCATAATTGAAGACTTGCTCTGGTGAAGGCTCTGAGAAACCTAGAGTAGTAAGCCTGTGACCCAAATCATCACAAAGGTGTGCCTTAAACCTCTCCCAAAGAGATAAGGGATCAGATGGATGATTCTCAGCCAGAATAACAGTGAACAGCTGGCGCATTGCAGCTCCAGTTCGCATATGTGAGGCTTCCTCTAAGCAATCTTCCCATTCACCATCTGCTTCAAGAAGACCACGTGCCAGGCAAGCAGCCTGAAATGATTCAAAAGATTGACCGTTCACAGTTCTTAGATCTAAATAGCTTGTTGCACCTCGTACAACTGTTAGGAGTAAGCGAAGATAGAACCGATCTCCAGCAGATGGGTGCACTGAGTGTAGCCGTCCAATAGCAAACCCTTCTTTCCTTTTCGTCCATCTATGTGTGTTTTTATTCCACACATAAGCCTCAGGGAAATCTTGATAGAGATAAGTATGAGCTGTAGGGTCGTTCTGATTGGTTGCAAACCACTCTGTAAGCATAGTTCGCTCCACATTTGCACGGTTCAAAACTTGTCCAGCAGTGTCCACTTCAGGGTTGAAATATAACATGTGCTCATTCTCAATATGCACAGGAAGTCTGTACACATGAGGCAGTTCTGCATGCATCGGCCATTCCTGCAAATGCCACATTGCTTCTGGTGGACCAATATATCGAGCATCTAGAAACCGTTTAATCTCGTCCTTTTCATTGCTGACCTCCACTGTGGCACGGTCTGGGCCTTTGTACACGTACTTATGAATGTACTTGATGGATTGAATTGAAGTACATATTTCCACATTGATGTGGCAGTCAAACTCTGCAGAGAGCTCAGGATTGTACGGTACAACATGCTGATTAGTGAACACTTCGCCTGTATGTGAAGTATAGGTACGACCATTGTTTGGCCGGGCATACACTGGATAGCCATTCTCTCCAAACACTGTCTCCTCACAGAAGTCGCGAGGAAACCGTTTAGAGCATGATCCATTGTCTGCCTTGCACCTGTCCCCACAACTATGAAGCATGCACGTAGTAATGGTATGATATAGCATAGGATGAGTTTGAGGATCTGGAATCTGTGCTGATACAATAGAATCCACCATACTTGCATCTCTGATCTTGTCTTGGTTTTGAAGAAAGATCAAGAGATGCATATGTGGTAGGCCTCTTTTTGGAACTCGATCGTGTAAACATGTGCAACTGCACTTCCAAAAAAAGCCGTCTTTGATCTTCTTGAGTAATGCCTGTTTTTTCAAGTGAAAAACTCTTGCTACAATGTCCGGACGATCTGCAGGTGATTGCATACGTGTTCTATCACCGCCAGCTAATTCCAGCAAAGCTGCTTCAACCTCTGGCCACCGTGGATTTGCCGTCATGGTAAGAAATATATCTGGCTTTCGGAACCGTCTACAAATAGCCATTGAATCCATAAATAGTTGATGCATATGACGGGGACTTCCAAGGTGAGTAGAGGGAAGAATAACAGGATGCCCTTGCTGGCCCATATCAACAGTATCAGCATGATTGTCAGCTTCTACCATTGCATCACGCACACTGCGGTAAAGGTCAGCACGGATCTCTTTTTGATGGTGGCGATACCAATTAAGTGCACTGGCTTCAACTGAGGCCCATGCATCCACCATATATTGCTGGAATAAGCGACCACCACGAAATAGATAATCAACTTCAGTACCGTTGATATATCTAGGGTACAGAACATAGGCATAGTAGCACCTTTGGCTGATTATTTCTGCACGTGCTTTTTGTCCTGGCTCAAGACGTATTGGAATGCGAGTATGCCATCCAGATGGTGCTGTAGGAAACAATAGCACATAATGCAAGGACGTGTACATTGCATGGCAATTAGACACTCGCTCCAAAGGACCATCTTTCAAGCGCAGAATGATTTCTCGATGTTTATCGATCACCTCGCCAGCTCCAGATCCAGGGATAATTGCTGCAACTTCATCTGCAGTAGGTAGATTATACCTACGTAGATCTGTAGTTGCTTGCAACACAATGCGAGCACGCACATCAACCTGTTGCTCTGGGGGCTTCTCTTGAAGTATCGTATATGCACGTTTATATAATAGCACCAAAGGATTGCACAGGTCCAGCATTCCCCCAATGTCCCGTAGCACTGAATGATTTAATCTGCTCTGATTATTTTGATGGCGAACCGTAGCAGCATCAAAATCAGGATCAAAAATGTACAGTTGAGCATAGCGCTGGGGATTGTTTTCAGAGGGAAGCAGTGAGCCCATTTTATGATGAAGCTCTCCACTCATTCGGAAGGAATAAGGACCTGGAGTTTCTAACACTGCAGTATCAAGATTTACTGAGACAGATGTGAATGCAAATGCAGCGTTATATGAGCGAATGTTTCGAAGGAATTCACCTGAGCGTGGATCAGAACCGTTCATTAGACTTTTGAGTGGTTCGGGGGGAAGTACAGGTAAAGGGAGTATAATCTGCCCATTGAGACAGCAAGTGCTGAATCGAGGATCACGTAGTGATGACTTAGTCAAACGTTCATCTATAAAGTGCAGTGCCATGCATTTTGAGCACACAATATTCATTTGGCCTAATGAGTGGCGAGCAAGTGGCTCAACATATGTACGACGGCCAGGAGGTAATGTGCGTTGCTGCTGATTTATAGTCTGCTGTACAGCATTTCGTTGTGCATTACGCTCCCGTCGGCTACGAACAGAAAGATTATTATATACACGATTTGTACCATCCTGGCGAGCATTTTGCCTCTGGATCTCTCTATGCTCATGTTCATAAGCCGATTGCTGCCGTTGTATATCTTGGCGATTATTTAATTGCTCTTGTGCATCCGCCTCACGTTGCCGTTGAGTCAGGAGTTGATGCTGACTATACTGCCACTCATTCATATCAAGTTGCCTTTGAGACACTTGTTGAAACTCTCTTTGTCGCTGCTGATTTGATTCCTGCCTCCGTCGAGACTGTCGTTCAAATTGTCTGTTTGCACGCTCTTCAGCCTCTTGTTGCCGCCGTGCAGCAACAGCTTCAGCAACTGTAGATCCACGGTTTCTTCCACGATTGGCACGACGATTTTGTTGTCGTTGCACAAAATTAGCCTCAAGTCCACCTACATAGTTCCCCTGCTGTGCATTTGGATTAGGATTCCAATCTAAACTGCCAGGGAACCGAGAGCCAGAAGGCTGGTTCATTTGTGGCCTATTGTGTTCCCCACCAAACATGTTCAATGGCTGAATATTACTTCCACCAAGATATTGTTCACCAAATTGTCCATATGCACCGTATGGCCCTGCAAGCCCCCCATTGCCAGCATCAAAAGTGGGACCAAGATTAGATCCCTCAGGAATATCCAAATTTTGGTTAGGCTGCCCAAAATTAGGCTGCCGAGGAATCTGATAAGATTCCTGTCTCCGTTCTCGCCGCACTGATGGGGAAGTCATTTGACGACCCTCTCTTTCCCTCTCTCTCTCCTCCTCTCGATCACGTTCAGGTGTTGTCCTAAGGCAGAGGTTAATTTGACAGTCAAACAATCAATTATGCGGGCACTTACGGATTGTTTGTGTAGGAAGGATCCATTGTCTTTTGTAAGGATGTATTGTGGGTAATGGAGTTGGGACTATTATCATTCAATTAGCAGTGCACTTCAGCCTCATCACTACTGAGCACACACTTATACCGTAGTATAATGAGGGAGGGTGTGCACAGGGTTGAATAGTAGGCTGGTAGAGCTCAACACCTCTGGAGGGTGTGGGGGAGCTTGAAAGTGGCAATATTAGGCCTTATTAGATGGTTTTATGGCTCTATCAACTCACTTTGATGGGGTGTAGAGCGTGTTGTTATGTGGCTGTGCTATGAGGCGCTAATGCAGAGCTGAAAGCTACCATTAGAGTGTCATTCACACCATTATCAGAGCTTGTAAACTCACTTTGATGGGGTGTAAAGCGCGTCGTTATGTGGCTGTGCTATGAAGCGCTAAAGCCGGCAATAGTATGAGCTGAAAGCCACCATTAGAGTGCCATTCACACCACTATCCAACCTTTGAAACTCACTTTGATGGAGTGTAGAGCGGATTGTTGTGTGGCTGTGCTATGAGGCGCTAAGGCGCGATAGTATGAGCTGAAAGGAACTGTAGATAAGCCATCAATGCGGGATAGAAGCAAAAGGTAACTTACTTGAGAGCGAGATAAGCAGAGGGGAGATAAGCACTTGATATGTGGAGTAGGTGGTGTGCTTAGTGGAGGCTGTAAGGACCCTGTGAGCATGCTTATCAGGGATTTGAAATGGGGGATAAGCTCACCTGATAGATGCTTGCCCCTCCACATAGTAGGTGAGACAGGACGGGAGGCGCCTATCGGACCCTGGATGCGTGAGGCGTGAAAAGTACTGTCCACAATATCGCGTTCGGATAGGCGCCCATCGCGCAAAATCATTTGTTTTAGGAGCATGAACCATGCAAGAAGTACACGATTTTGAAGACATGTGCTAATTGTACTTATACAGCTTGCTGCCAAAACTCTAAGGAAACGGGCAAGAGGGCGGGGCAGGGCGAGACATCCACGGAATAGGCGCTGGCGCGCGGACTGGGGACGTTTGGACTTGGAACGGGGCAGCCCCTCGCAGGCCCGGCCAGATGCGGGACCGGCCTCGCAGGCTCGGCCAGATGCGGGCGGCCTCGCAGGCTCGGCCGAAACAGGGGGCAGGCCTCGCAAGCTCGGCCTACCGGCGCACATGGCAGCCACATGGCAAAAGCTCGGTTAGCTTCGCTTATTTCGCCAACTTCGCTAACTTCGCGTATCGCTGCAAGCGACGTACGCGGCTTACTAACACCACCGCTCCCTTCTTTATAGAATAGATATAGAATAGATCGGCGTGGGCGGCACGAGGAGGTTGAGAAAAGCGCCGGAGCGCCCAGACGGGCCGCGACTCTGTACATGTTGCCGAACAGTGGGTCTTGGTCCTCTTGGACCGGTACGCCAAGGACTTCTAGCCACATTGGGGATACATGTCTCCTCTATGGGAATTTCAGTGATTGCAGTGGTCGTTGACGACTTGATGTCGAGGCCACAATCCCCGTACAGCGACTGCTAGTGCGTTGGTTTCGACAAGATGGAGTTGTTGCATGGTTCCAGCCGCTGCTGGAGTGCCCATCGCATCGTTAGTGACGTCGCCAGGGAATGCGCAGCGCGGTCGGAGAAAGTGCACCGCGGAAATGAATGCTCGCGACTGCCGGCGATCATGGACGCGCCCAGAAAGCTATACTTGCTCTTGACGAATGCGAGAAGTTTTGTCGAAGGCGAGATGAAGCTGCGCAGCGCTCGGCCAGTGTGTTGTAATCTAACCATCTGGTCAGTGCGATATCTTCGAGAATCGCGAGGGAAGTGTTGTCGAAGACGACGAGAATAACCTGCTGCCACATTGTCATCATGATCAACATAATGCATGGAGTAGAACATACGTGTGGGCGGTGAGCGTCCCAGGGATACCGAATGGTGCAGGTGGTGTGATGCCAGCACAGGCGGAGCGCGAACCAGGATCGCTAGCGGACTGGTGCGGCGACAGAGGCCGATTGGACCGAGCTTGGCGCGGGGCGATGCATGCGACGCGACGCGGGGGCGCTCGAAGCTTCCCTTCTTCTGCACAGAGGCTCGGCGGGCGGCGGAGGCTGCTTACGAGGCGGACGTTGGCGGACGTTGACAGTGGTGTCGTGCGAGGCCACAGCGGGCGCGCCGCAGAGCGTTTGGCAGCGGGCTCGATGGACGATAAATGCGCGCGGGCCTGCCACGGGGCCCCGAAACACCCCGCCCGCCCGCGATCACTGACGGCTTCCTGCAAGCGTAGTTGTGGTTCCCGACCAAGCAGCAGCAGGCCCAAGCAGAGCAATCGAAAGCCCGACACTTCCAGAGGGGACTAGGCACAAGTTCGACCACGTGCACCGGACCTCGCCTGCGCACCCGAAATGGCAAGACGCCTCGTTTCTCTCTTCCTCCGCCGCGTCCAGCGATCACCGCTGGGCCTCATCTCCCTCTCCATGGTCAACCTCCTCCTCCTCCTCGTGCTCTCCGCCCTCCTCAACCAGTCCCGCTGCCACCCCGTCGACTGGCTCCGCCGCTTCTCCCCCACCCCCCGCGACGACGGCAGCGGTTGGCTCTGGGGCTGGGTCTGGGCCGCAGACGGCACCGTCTCCGTCGTCGACCGTTCTCCCCCTGTCACCTTCCCCGCCCGCCCTGCTTCATTCGGCGCAGAGCTCACCGACCCGCTCTTGGGCTATGTCATTCCTCTCTCCTCCTTCTCCGCCCCGTGCCCCCGTGATCCCCACAACCAGACCGAGCCCGGCCGCCCGTTCGACCCGGACCCCGTCCTCGGTTGCCCGGACCTCTGCATAACTGGACCCCATGAGCCAGAGGATGCGGATACGTGGATTGCCCTTGTGCAGCGCGGGGGATGCCCTTTTGTGGAAAAGGCACGCCAGGCCCAGAAGCTCGGAGCGAAGGCTATCGTGGTAGGAGGAGATCGAGACAGCCCGGACGCGCTGCTCAATATGTTCAGCGAGAGTGAGTGTCCAGTACCCGGTTCATATGCTCTGTTTCCTCATGTCTCTCGATGTTCAGCCGACGCGTCCGACGTGACGATCGCGGCGACGTACATCAAGTACTGGGACTACCTCCAGCTTTCGTCCATGATCGCCACCTCGAATACCACCCACAATGGGCTGAAGACCTTGTCGCTACTCATTAACACGGAGTACTCGGCTTGGGAGTGGTATTCGTGCGTACTGTGATCCTATATCGCCTCTTACCAGACGGCTAAAGTGTCTTCCACCCACCAGGCCCATCATCACCTTTATTATCATCCTACTCCTACCGTCATGCCTCACGTTTCTCACTCTCCTCATCCATCGGATTCGCGCTGCACGCGCGGCCCAGCGCGACCGAGCACCCGAGAGCGTGGTCTTCAATCTTCCCTCCCGCGTCTGGACCGGTCACGGCTGGGAGAAGCCGCCCCCGACGACCTTCGTTCCTGCCGACACCGTCACCACAGAAGGCGAACCTATCGTTGAACAAAGCTCCGAAGAGCCCACAGCATCGACTTCGCATGGAGAGAATGTGCCCGCATGGGTAGACGAGCAGACGGAATGTGCGATCTGCCTGGAGATGTTCGTCAAGGGCGATCGCGTCCGCGTTCTGCCCTGCTATCACTTCTTCCACATCGACGAGATTGACCAGTGGCTCATTCACAAGAAGAAGCTGGTGCGCCTATCCTGTGCGGAGCTCTGAGTTGTTTGACTGATTGATGGTGCGCAGTGCCCGATCTGCAAGGCCGACGTAACGCAGTCGCACGCTGCTCCGGAGGTTCCAGACGCTGTGGAGGTCCACCCTCACGACGAGGTGGCATCACCTGCGGTCGCATCACCTGCAGACGCATCGTCTTCACGGACGCCCTCTGCTTCTGCAAATCCTACGGAACGTACACCACTTCTACAGGCTCCAGACGCGTCGGTGGCCTCCTAGTCCCCAGACAGTGCGGTCAGAGGCTTGGAGCGTGCTGGTCCGCGCTTGGGACTTGTTCACGACCCGTATGACGAATACCAGGGCTCGGACTAGGCGCTGTCGGGACGCCTCTACGCTACTCCCGATCAGCCATCGGGTACTGTACGACACTGACGATGTACGCTGTAGGTTAAATATTGCGCAATGAGGGGGGCAGTCTGTTTGTAATCGATACGTGTATAATCGCTGAATCGCATCGCAAGGTCATTTTATTTCCGCTCAGTGCACGTCGTGTCTGACAATTGTCGTCTGCCAGCTTTTGTCTCATGACCGCTGCGGGGACGCATGCTGTACGGTGCGCGCGTGCTCCGTAGACGCGGTATTAGATGGTGTCCAGCAAGCGTTGCATCTCCGCGCCGCGAGGCAGCGCGTCATCCCCCACCCAAAACGCGGGCGGCAGCATCGGGGACCCGGGCCGGGGGATACCAGGCGAACAAGGAACCGTCTTACCTGATGTGGGCGACCGGTCTTGTCTGCAGGCGATCAGCGGAGGCCGAGAAGGGCGGCGATGGCGGGAGAGACAAGACGTCGCACCCGCCGCCCCGCCCAATATCTCAGCCTGCAGACCCCGCGCACGGCCCGCAATCCACCCCAATTGTTGTCTGCAACGCGTGCCCTGCCCCTTCGCGCGCTCGCTATTGTCTCCCCCATCTTCGATCGCAGGCCGCCCTCCCCCGCGCCTCCTCCCTGCACTCGCCCCCGCCCCCAGGACAAAAGGCCCCCGCGCCTCGCTACAAACTCGTCGATGACTAAGCCCCTCCTGGCCCGCCGAAGGACATTGTTCGACAGTCTAGCAGCGCGCACGACAAGACCCCGCGCTGCCGCCTGGGAGGCGAGGAGGCGCAGATGGGAGACGGATCCAGGAGTGAAGCGCATAAGACGCCATCAGTGGTAGACGGCGAGGCTACGCCCTGGCCTTGTTGCGGATGCGGGCCCGAGCGCCAGACGGAAACTAACCCGCTTTTCTCAACGTCTTCTATAGGAGCGCGAGGCTGGTGCTCAGACAGGCGTTCTCGGACCTCAACGTACACTTGCAGGGTCAAGCGGCCTTGATCGGATCTCATCGCAAGGCGTGTCTGCCACTCGTGCAACATTCGAGTCTCCGTCCCCTCGGTGGCAGTGGCACAAACAATAAATCTTTCCGGATGCGCCAGTGTCCAGGTGAGCGACCCCGTCCCGAGTCTTGTTCATCACCTCGCGTACTTATACCCCTCCCCGGAAGCAGTTTTGGCGGTTTGTTGCATTCGCTCCCGCCTGCCTTTCCCCCTCCCTTGCCTCTGCCTGGCCTTTGTCGCGCATACACATCCCTCGACCGTACTTCAGCACTGCTGCAACTTGTCGTTGACAACCCGCCCCAAGCGTTTTCCCCATCCCCATCCCCATCAGATCGACGGCATGCACGACTACGGCTACGCCGGCATGGTGGCTCCCGCCGAGGACTACCAGCCTACCTCTCCACCAAAGTATCGCAGTACGTCCATACCTTCGCACCCCCATCTCGGTCCGATGTGTACTCATGCTCACTCCGCATGTTGCAGCGAAACTGTGCCGCAACTTCCCGCTCGGCGCCTGCCGCTACGGCGACCAGTGCTCCTTCCTGCATGTCCCACCGAGCGCGTCCCCCACCGCGCACTTCTCCTACGCCTCCGCTCCTCCCATCCTCCATCCTTCGACACCCTCATCCTCCCGCCCTTCGCCCACGATTGACCATGCATCCGGCTCATCGCACGCTCCGCGGCGCGAGCAACGCCCTTCTCGGAATAGCATGGACCTCTGGCGGGCGCGCATGGAGGGCGCGTGCCCGCCCCCACCCCCCGGCACGCCGATGACCGTGACGGGCACGTTCATGCCTCTGCCCGGGTCTCCCAGCACGCGCTCCGACTGGGCCCTGGCTCCGCAGGAGTGCGGGTACGGCGACACTGAGGCGATGCCGATGCGCGCGAAGGGCGCCGCGCGCCAGGGGTCGTCGCCGCGCGATACGGGGGACCGGAACGCTCGCCACAGGAACACCTTTTTTAAGAGTGCGTACTGAACGTTGAGGTTATGCGCGGGGGGTTCTGATCCTGGATATGGAATGCAGCGAAGCCGTGTAGGTTCTACAGGGAGCCGGCGGGGTGCATCAAGGGCAACCGCTGCAACTTGTGAGTCCATATTTTCGAGCGCGAAGAGACACAATTTTGACGGAGCGTACGCTGCAGCATCCACGAGAGCCCAGATGAAGATCGGCAGCACCACCGTCCTCGCGGTCTAGCCGCCCCCACGCCACTGGAGCTCATCGACGACAACGAGCACGAGCTCGAGGAGGACTCGAGTACCCCGAGCGAGCCGTCCCCGTGCTCCGCGACGACCGTATCCTCATCCGACAGCGAGCAGGACCACAACCACGACCTCGAACAAGAACAAGAATACAGCGGCTCCAGCTCCGGCTCGCACGAGTCCACCCCACGCAAGCGCGGTCAGAACTTCTTCCCCGTCACCTGGCGCGTCGTCGGCGGTGGAGTGATGATGAGCGGCTCGCGCGAGATCTGCGAGAGCTTCATGGCCGGCCATTGCACCGACGGTGTGGACTGCCGGTTCGCGCATCCGTACGACACGTGTGAGTGCTCGAGCTTATTGTCTTTCGCCCCTCCCCGCCTTCTGCTCTCCCATCGCCGGCTTCTCTTCGTTGATTCCCGATGCTGACTTCCGCCTCGTTGCACGCTTCTCGCGCGTCGGCCCCGCACGCCACGCAGACGACGAGCAGTCGTACGCGGTTCCGCACGTCGAGCCCCCGCCGATGTACAGCCCGCTCTCGCCCGTGTCCCCGATGTCCCCCGTCGTGTTCGCGTATCCGGTCATGTACGGCCCCGCCGCGCTCTCGCCGCCGCTGCCCTTCGCGCTCCCCGCGGCCCCCACGGAGTGCTTCGCCAAGGGCGTCCCCGCGAGCGCACCCGCCCCCTTGCCGTACGGGACCTACGCGCCCCACCGCGTGGTCGACGGGAGCACGCTCGCCGACCGCAACGCGTACTACATGCAGGTGGGCCCGTGCGCCCACGCGGGCATGTACGCGGACTACGCCGCCGGCGCGGGAGCGGAGTACGGGATCGGCGTCGGCGTCGGCGTCGTGATGGAGGAGGGCGCGGGCGCGGTCGCCGCGCGTGGGGTGGTGCGACCGGTGTCGACGCCGCCGACGCCGCTGCAGGGCGAGGCTCCGAGCAGCGTGCACAGAGTGCGTGGTTTCCTCTGCGTATGGGGATGTGGACGTTGGCGCTGACGCTCGTTTCGCCTGTAGCTCTTTGCCGCGGAGATGCCCTGAGGCACCTCAGGGCAACGATTCTCCACCCCTCCAAGGCTCTAAGGACCATGTAGACGTTCATCCACACGCACCCACACGCGCGCGGCATTTGCGACATTCGCGCTGTCTCTCATCATCTCACATTTCGTGCCTCAATTCTTCCCTTCGATAGTTCCGTCCCTCCGTCTCTTTACCTCAGGTTACACCACGTTTTGAACCCTCTCCCACTGGTTCCTTGCACGGATTTGGTGCACTCCACCGCACTTACCACCTCCTGTTTATTCCACGCGGCCGCCTCGTGACCGCAGTGTGACCTTCGAGGCCTCCTACGTTATAGCTCTGTGTTTCCGCAACGGTTATACCTAAAGATCAACATGTTCTTCGATCCATTGTACTACATGATATGACCGGTGCCAGTGGGCACGTGTATAGTATGTGTGTATACATCTGTCCATGGGCCTGGAAATTTCGGTAGCACGTGCGAATGGTAAGAGCGTAGTGTCCCCGCGATCTGTCATTGATCGGGCATATTTTGAACCATGAACCCGACATGTAGCGGAGCTTGAGCAGAGCACAATTCCGATGGACGATCACAACCCACGTGACTTCAGCCGCACAGTTCGCGCGTCACATCGATATCTGGGACTCGACTGAGTTGATAATAGAGCCGTTTGGAAACTTGTTACGATAGTGAACCGTAGTAATCGTGAGTTGGAGCGTTGGAGTCCCTGCTCCACGCTCGGACTGCCCGGCGGGTGTTTGGCCAGCGGGCCGATCTGCCGTGGAGCAGTGGAGGCACCGAAGTGGCGTCAGGTTCGTGCACTATAGTGCATTTCCAAACAGCTCTAATGATGTTCTCTTTGCTGCATCCACGCTTGACTGAGCTCGTCTCTTCTCACTGACGCTGTTTGTTCCAACTCATACACTCCGACATGCCTGAAGCCTCTGTACCTCCCGTCCCCGGCTACTATAATGCTTCCGTAGCAAGCAACTTCAAAATCCCTTCAGCGCATCCTTCCGACCCTCGCCTTTATATCGACTCGGGGCTCCGAAGACACATGCAGGATAGTACCAAGTATACCGTGGGGCCTGCACCCTTCATGAAATTCATCACATCGTTCTTACAACCCTGGGAGGTACACCACGAAGAGCAAGGGGAGGGACTGCGTGATATTTGCATGAGATCACTCCCACTTGACATCACGAAACGCCTCTCCCCCCGCAACGCATGGAGAGCCGTTCCTGAAGTAGCGGATAATCTCGAGGAAATATTGGACCTCTGGTGAGCACACTACATCCCAATCTGGGGCTCCACTTCATGCGTCTTCAGTTAGGAGCCCTGAACAAGGGGTCCAACAAGTCTCGCTGCGAGGGTCTCACATTCCGGTCGTCCCAAAGCCTGGAGTCCTACATCCGCTGCTATACCCTAGAGAATCTGCAAGTCGTAGAGCGTCTTCCTCCAACTTCCCGCATGGACCTGGCACATACGAGATCCTCATTCAAGTGAACACTGACCCTTTCACGACCTTTCTCCGATCCTCCCGAAGAGCCCGAGAGAGCTCGCGAGGTTCCTGAAGACTGGAAATTCATGAACACCCGCGGCAACGACGACCTCTACACCTTGCGGCGCAAGCTGCACGGTCACCATGTCGCCGCCGTTACCGAGATCTTCGCCGCCAGCATCGCACCTGTCTCTTCACAGCCGTTGTGTCGGGTTCCCGTGTTAGGCTGTACCGCTGGGATCGAGAGGGGTGTATCGTTTCGCGGCCATCAGACATCCGACAGGATCCTGAACCGTTCTGCGACTTCCTTTGGATGTTCTCCCAGCTAACACAGTCAAGGCGCGGCTTCGATGTGACTGTCGAGCGGGCGTCGCTCGATGACGAGAAAATTTCCGCGAGATGATAAAGCATCACATCCAGACGCAACTCCCCGAGCTCACAGGCAAAGACCTCGATCAAGCGATCACAGATCATTATCAGCCGGCAACGTTTTTTTTTTTTTTTTTTCTTTACGTCGAGGCAGATATGTAGCGTACGTACAAAGCAATCTACGCGATCAGCTGAGTCTCGACCGGGGGAGCGCGTCAACACAAGTGAGGGCAACGTCAAAATCCTCCCCATCCTCGGGCGTGGACTGCCAGCTGTCCCGGAAAATGTTCGACGCTACATCGTGTCTCGGCCCGTCATCGGTCCGGCTTACTTGCAAGGTCGAGGCACAAGAGGCTATTGGGCGGTCGACATGTCTACACATAACATCGTATTTCTCAAGGACACGTGGTGGTCTCTGGAACGATGCAGTCCGGAGGGCACAATCCTAGAAGAGCTCCTTGCCGATGGTGTCGAACATGTGCCTGGATTAGTCTGGCATGGTGTTATCCCTAGCACACTTCCAGATCAAGACCCCTGCGTTCTGACGGGTAAGCGATGCGAGTACAAGTTCCGAAAGTTATCTCATCACTGCAACCAGACGACGACTTCGAAATCCAAGTCACTATGTACTGCGACTATGTCCAAGAACCATGGGCATATTCAATGAGAGGGAACAGTCTTTTGACGGGCCGCAGGTCTCATTATCGGCTTGTGGTCGATACAGTCGGCTACCCTTTGGAGTCCTTCTCGGGAACCGCGGAGTTACTCCACGCGACATACAATGTTTTTCACGGTACGCGACACATCCTTGTCACCGACGGTCTGGCTGATAGTGTTTGTCTCAGCTCTGCGGCAAGCTTTCACCAAATCGTCGCGTCTGCATCGCGATGTCAGTCTCGCGAACATTATCCTTGTCCGTGAAGGCGATGCCGCGGTGCGTCGGGGGGTCCTCATCGATTGGGACGCGTCAGCACCGGTCAATGAGACAGGTCGGTCAGTAGTGCTCGGTGTCGCGGTAAGTGACTCCATGCCTGCATTCGCCTACCCGCTGACGTAGTTCAACATAGGGGACCTACCCATTCATATCTCTAGCTATGATTCAATCTTCCAACGATCGAGCGCAAACGCTGCTCGACGATATCGAATCTCTTATCTACGTGGTGATATACTGCGCCTATCTCTGGCTCCCCCACGATCGCAACAAAGAGGATCTGGAATACTGCGTATACCAAATGTTTGATGCCAGGTTTCCCCCCTCTGAGTACAGGCTGATCCACGGCCGGGGCAAGGCAATCAATCTCGAAGATCAGCGTTACACCAGTGACTTCCACTGGCCTCAGCTCTTCCGCGACTGGTTGAGCACAGTTCTCAACTACCGTGCTCCTCCTTTCCCCCTTATCGCAGAGTTCGAGGGAAAATGGGAAGACCCAGAGCATCTGGACGTCTTCTGGCGCGACTTTTTGGATACACATTGCGATTCTCTGCCCACAGGAGATCGCACTGAGAACGACCATCCTCGTGCTCGCTCAAAGAAACCTATACCGAAGCCATATAAAAGCCCCTCTTCTCCCGGCGATCGCTCTGGTCTACACCCCTCGCCCGCCGCAGAGCCCGGGGCAGCTATTGGATTAATCCCACGTGACAGTCAAAACAACATCAAGACTTGCATGTCCTTGTTCCCGAGCACTGGGCTATGAAATCTTTACGACGCAGCGAGCGACTCCGACGAAAAGCGGTATCTGCGCTGCCCGTCAACTAACCGAATACGTCGAGGATATTTGCGCCGCAGCCGTTGCGGTGCTTCTCGTTGCCAACGTGCACGCAGGAAGATAGCCCGTACGTAGAATGACATGTAATTACCACAGTGTATTATACAGTTCCATCGCTTTCATTTACGATATTCCTCTGGCTCGTTCGTCGCGCTCGCTCCACGGTCACCGAAACATCCGAGAATGGGCCGATCACGTTGCTTCCCATCCTGCGATTAACGAAATGGGCGTTGAGAACTTGCTGGACTACTGGTATGAGTTTCTGGACAAGCATGAGGACGAGTTCCTACGTTGTACAAGACCACCTGGCGGCCGCCACTGGCAGATCCGAGTTCGACGATGACGAACTGTTTCAAGCGCTCCGGGCGTGGGATGTCTTTGGGGATATTTAATTCAGTAGATCCGCGGTGGCTTGTTGTGAACATGTTGCGAGCCGGTGGAGAGGCTAGGGCGGGATCGAACGCCAAGACTGGGGTTATCAGATAAGATGTCGGCAGTCCGGCCGGGTCATCACGACCGCCTCCCAGATCGCGAGAACACTCCCCCGCTGGCGACGCTTACCCCCTTGCCACCTTCCCTCTGTCGTCCTTGGTTTCCTCTTACGGCTCATCGCCTCCTGCGGAGGCTTTTATATCCTCATTTATACCATATATATATACTTTCCGCTTGCTCCCTCCGAGCTTTCTCCCTTCTGTCCCCCGTCCCTGCCCAGCAAGCAACCTTCGCCAACCGCCACTGCCTCGCGTCCGCTTTCGCTCGCCCCTCGAATTCTTTCCCCCGACCCTTCGACCCTCAATGTCCGTCGATTACTCACAACCTGTCACCGACCTCCTCAGGGAGGGCACGCGGGAGGCCCATGAACGTGCAGAGAAGAGTACGGGAGCGCAGTACTTGGTCACTGGCGGGCTCAGCAAGCAGGAGTATATCCGCTTTCTCATGATGTTATGGCATGTCTACGAGTAAGTCGCCGTCTTTTTGTCCCCACCCAAGTCCTGTGCTTTCCAGGGGTGCCCGGAAGTTTCACGGGACCCTTTGTCGTACTCGGACGTCCTCAAAGCGTTTGCTGCTCCCTCATGTAATCTGACTTCCCGAAAGCCACTTCCGTGTGTAGAGCCAATATTGACTCTTTTCTCCTAGTGCCTTCGAGAACGCGCTCGAGCAGCACGCCACCCATCCCGTACTTGCTCCGACTCACAATCCTGGACTCTTCGCGCGTTCTGAGAACCTCGCGGCGGACATCAGTACCCTCCTCGAAGTCCCGGAGACATCCTGGAAGGCGCACCCAGTCCATCTTGCTCTCGAGAAGAAGACCCCTGCCGCGCTCAAGCGCTATGTCGGCCGCCTCCGCGAGCTCGCCGCAAGCTCCGATCCCTCGCGTCTCCTTTCGCATGCCTACGTCCGCTACCTGGGCGACCTTTCGGGCGGACAGTTCATCAAGCGGCGCATCGGCAAAGCATACGGACTCGAAGACGGTGCCGGGCTCTCTTTCTACGCCTTCCGCCCGCTCGAGGGCGGCCTTGTCACGGGGGGTGCGGGCCTCGGAGAGATGAAGCGGATCAAGGAGTGGTTCCGGGACGGGATGAATGCTGGGGTCGGCGATGATGCCAAACTCAAAGGTGCGTCGCAACTGCTCGATTGTCGTTGCGCGATGATGGCGCTGACATGTGTGGCGTCCTCTCTGGCAGCGGCGGTCCTGGACGAGGCGGTACGCGCGTTCGAGTTCAACACTGCGTTATTCGACGTGCTGCGGGTGCCCGAACAGCTGTTCGTGAGCTCGACGACCGTGCAGGTGCCGTCGCCGCTGTCGTCACCGACGAACGCACCGTTGTCGCCGGCGCAGCCGGTGTACGAGGACATGGGGAACTCGCCGCTGCTGGAAGCAATCAAGAAGAGCGGGGAGTCGAAGACGGTGTTCGAGGCGGAGGAGCCGCCGAAGCAAGAGTGGGTGGTCCAGGTGACGTCGGTGATAGCTATAATCGCGGCGTTCGGGATCGCGCACTTCGTGCTCGTTGTCGGTGGGTTCACTGGCTCGCGCGGCTACGATAAGCTATACACTCTCCAGCAGTGGCTCGACGGCGTTCTGGGCACGACCGTCTAGACGTAGTTGGTCCCAGCCGCCAGAGACCACTTGCTGTCTGTGTTCAGAGAAACCTATCGTCCGGGTTTCGACGCACAGATGTACCGAAGATGTACCCTTCTGCCGCATACCAGACAGTCACCAGCTTCTACTTGCTCTCAATATTCCCAGCCGTGCGCATTTGTGCTATCATCCTCCCATTCGTTTCCCCTAATTGGCATATACCGAACTTCGAAGAACAAGATCCGAGATCTGAGCATTTGGGCAGTGTTTACACCGGTCGTCTGGAGACTCTGTCGTTGGGCTGCATGCTCTAGAAATGAGACAAGGCGATGGCAATTGTTCACTGCGAACCGTCGCAGCGCCCACAGTGACAATAATAGGCAGGCAAGAAATGTTGCTATTGGTGCATGAGTGTGGCGGAAGCTGACGTCTAATACAAAAGAGACAGTGTCTGCAGTGGCGAACGACTTCTCCTCTCCTCTTGTCACACAACTCCACTCTTCAACAACTGCCACCCGCCTCAGCTCTCATCCCATGACTCAGACTGGATACTACAACACACCCGTGGCCCTTGATCACCGTCTCGACCTCGCCGATCCTGACCTTCAACATTATGCCCAAGGGAGTTCGAAGTACACTATAGGATCTCTGCCATTCGGACGTTTCTACCAAGAATTCATGACTCCGATAGAGGAGCAAGAGGCAGAGGTAGACGGGAGAATAGTTCATCGCTACGTCCAAGCTGAAGCCCTGGAGATAGAAGGTCAGCTTTCGACTCGGAATGCGTTCAAAGCCGTTCCCAAGGCCGCTACTTCGTCTGAAGAGATCTACAGACCTCTCGTAAGTGTTGAAAATTTCCCTCGGGTATGCGGATTAATGAGCCCTCGCTGTAGCTAATGGCGTTAAACGAGGCGACCAAGCATAAATCCCGCTGTCCAGGCTTCGTTTTCCAGCTCACTCTGGATGATTCAACCGACGCGAAATCCTATATTCATTGTTTCGCCAGAGACAACGCGCATCTCTTCAAAAAGTCCCCCATATCTTTCCATGACGAGCTCGCATACACTGAAATGTTCATCCAAGTCAACAGCGACTCCTCTCACGACCTCTTCGTTGATCCGCCCGGATTGAACGACGAATCGATCGCGTCACCTCCGGGATGGAATTTCATGGCATCCACAGACGACAAAGAGCTTGACACCCTTCGGCGTAGGTTACATGGCCAGCACGTCGCCTTCGCCATCGAAACCCTTGCCCGTCAACATCGTATCTGCTTATTCACGGCCGTGCTTTGCGGCGCAAACCTTCGGCTCTTCCGCTGGGAACGTGAGGGATGCATCGTCTCCGGATCGATCAACATCATCGAGGCATCCCGCAACGGTCTGCGACTTTCTCTGGCACTTCGCTCATCTCGCCCCCGAGAGACGAGGTTCGATACCACGGTCTCACTAGCTACGCACGATCATGAAGTTTTATTCAAATCTGTCATCACCGCACACGTTCGGCCCAGCTGGACGTCGCTGGTGATGCCCTCGACAAGGCCGTAGCGCAACATTATGAACCCGGCAATGTCAAAGTGCTTGGCGTCCTCGGATACAAGCTCCCAACGGTCCCGGAGAACGTCCGTCAATTCATCGTTTCTCGACCGGTGGTCTCTCCCACAAGCATGCGCGGAAGGGGTACACGAGGATACTGGGCTGTCGATGTTTCACATATGTCTCGTCTTCGTGAAGGATACATGGACATGCCTCAGAGGAGACGGCGTCGAAGGGACTGTCATCGAAGACCTCACGACGCAAGGCGTCGATCATGTGCCATCGTTGTATGGCACGGCGTGATACCGTCCCGTCTTCCAAAGGATGCTTGCATTCTGGAGGTAAGCCCTCTATTACATCGCTGACCGCTCTGCTGACGTGGCTTGCTTAGATGCAAGCCTTGAAGTGCATACTACGTGGATGTCGGAGATGATTAATGACCCGTGGGTCACCACGATGAAAGGCCGGGAGATCTCCACGCTCAGGCAAGCACACTATCGCCTCGTACTTGGGACTGTGGGGTACGGATTGCAACACTTCAACGGAACCGATGAGCTGCTTCACGCTATGTACGACGTATTGCATGGTGTGTGAATTCGTCATCATCCTGAATATCGGTTACTCAAGTCGACACAGCGATGAAGCAAGCACACTCTAAGGTTCGCGCTTGCATCGGGATATTAGTCTGGGAAATATCGTCCTCGTCCGGGAACCAGGTAGTCAATCACCAAGGGGGTACCTCATTGACTGGGATGCGTCTTCACCAGTAATCGACGGGAAAGCCACGCACCCTGGTCTTGCGGTGAGTTATATTGTGTATTACCATCAGTCAGAGTTCTGAAAGATCGCTCCTCAGGGAACAACTTTGTTTGCTTCTCGCGAGTTGCATTCCGGGCCCAACGACAAGAAAGCTACGCTGTTAGACGACATAGAGTCCCTACTTTATGTTGGTTTGTACTGCGCCTTTCTATGGCTTCCCCATACTGCATCTCCGACGGAGCTGGACAATTCCTTGTACAATTTGTTCGAGCGGACCGACTTCTCGCCAACGCACAAGAAGTATATGCGTGGCGAAGGCAAGAGATTCAACGCCATAGATCGCCGTTTCACAAACTTCGACTGGTCACACGGTTTTCGTATGTGGCTAAACATCACGATGGATGTCATCACGCCGCTTCGCCACCGTATGGTGCGAACGGAGAACAGCACGCCTCGATGTCTTGGACGAAGCCTGGGAGGAACACCTGAACATCAGTAAAGACACTCTACTCGTACCGTACATATGCGCCAACGCGTCGCCAGGCCGCCTCGCCGTCGAACTGAATCCATGATTCAGACGTATGATTCGCCACTCAGCATTCCACCACCTCCGCTTCCTTCACCCAGTCCCCCACCACCCAAGCATCCGATCGGTATCGAACCTTCGTCGTCACGAGTTCATCGCCCTCGCCCTTTCTCACCTGCGGTCAAGCAGTCTCCGGTCGCTGATCTCGCGCGTAAGCGTGCTCGGCGCCACGAACGCTCTCCTTCTGCTGCTCCGCCTCGACGCAGCGCGAGGCTCCATAACAAGCTCCGCCCTTCCACCGCGCCTGCAGATAGGTGCGATGCTGGCAGGCGAAATTTTCGGTGACTGCAGCGATATGGGGACCGTGCAGCTTGCGCCGTAAGTTTTCAAGGTCGTCATCGCCACTAGTGTCCATAAGTTTCCAGTCCCTGGACATCTCGCGAGCTTTCCCGGGTACATGGGGTGGATCAATGAAGAGGTCGTACGAAGGAGAGGTGTTGACTTGAATGAGCATCTCGGTATACGCCAAGTCTGCGCGGGAAGTTGGGGGAAGGCTCTCGACGACTTGAAGGTTCTCTGGGGTATAGCAGCAAATGTAGGAGTCCAGGCTTCGGGAGGACCAGACGTAAATCCCTGACAGCGAGACTCGTGTTTCGTCGCCTTATTCAAGGCTTTTAACTGAAGAGACATGAAGCGGATCTAGCTATTTTGAAGCGCAACGTGCTCACCAGAGGTTCCAAAAATTCGCCGAGAGTGCTCGCTGGTCAGGAACGGTTTCCAAGCGTTCCGGGGGACATACGTTTCCTCTCATCCACTGGGGCCAATCTGACGCCAATGTCATGGAGCCCGTCTCCATGGTCTGCATGGTACACATCCCAAGGACCGAAAACTGTTTGGAAAGGGAAGAAACGGCGCGGGCCTCACAGTGTACTTGGTGCTTTCCTTGACGTTTCTGAGAAGCGAGGCGTCGATGTAATGGTGCAGTTTTGAAGGGAAATGGGTGGGCTCCCGAAGTTACGTGCTATACAAGCGTCATAATAGGCGTTCGGAGATATATCATACATATCCCAGGCTTGGCGGATGGAGAGGACTGAGTGAGAGTAGGCAGGGAGTGGCGCGTCGAGGGTACTGAGCAGAAGAATAAGTCGGGCTTGTGTTGTTGTCTCAAAATCCCAGTACTTCTTGTGTGTCCCTGGGTGACGTATGGTGGCATGTTAAAGGCATGTGAAGATTCGGAGCAATAGGGATTAGGAAAGATTGTGGATCTGAAGTCTGAGTCTGAGTCGTCGTGACGCGCCGAAGCCGACCGTCCTCGACCGAGGCACGCGAACGGCCCGGTCCTCCGCGGTGGACTGAATGCATGGCAAGCCCAGCGCAGCAAAGCCTGCCATCCACCCTTGTGTCCCCCTCCCTCCGTTTCCTCCTGACTCTCACGGCTGCCCAGACTGCGCAACTCACCGAAGGATGGTTACTCAAGATTCGCTACTACCGCCCTCGGTTTGAGTCAAACACTCACGGCTCTCGAGCTTATGGCTACTCTTGGCAAACACCCTTCGGCTTCCGCGGTATATCGGGGTTGGGAACTCTAGAGAATCTAGAATAGCTACGCCGCGCAGATCAAGGCGATATTTTTTGGACCTTATGGTGCAAACCGGGCTGCCGTACTCCAAGTGAGTCAAAATTCTCGATTCCCATAGTACAACTGCCTGATGTACGTATATGCAGGAAGTTGTCAGCACATACTTCGTGCGTGAACTCGTTGGCATTCTCGAAGGAAGGGAGGTGGCTTGCGAGTGCAGGAGACGGTGAGTATTTTGTTCTTGAGGGAGTGACCCCAGCGACTGATCCCATCTCCCGCTCTCCAACGATTCTCCAGATCCATACATCCACTTGTGGGACTTCAACCAAAAAGCGTGGATATTCCTACATGGAGCTTCACTGGCCCACGTGTGAGTCTCTTGCCCTCAGGCCAAAGTTATCGTAGAATGTTGAGACCTCGACCGACAGTCTAACGTCTTTACCGTGGCATTTTCGGCATCCGGGCAGTATCTCTATTCGCAAGTGCACTTCTTTTCTTGACTGCGCCCCATGCCCACCTCCAAACAGAGGTGACACGCAAGACATAATCTATCAATACGATCTCTTGCACATGTCCTCGCCTGTTGCCCATGGCCCTCGCACTCCAAGCTGGCGTGATACTCGGCATGAAGTGAGCACTGTCTCTTTTTCTTTCCTCATACTACTTCCATTTGATTTCGTTTAGGATAGCATTCGTGCTATCTCTTGTCATCCCGAGACTGATAATCTGTTCTTGAGCGGAGCGTGAGAGCGGTCTAACACCCGCTCATTTCACTCACTAATCTCCCTCTTGCATACCCCAGAGAGGACGGAAAGGTCATCTTGCATGACATGCGTACCCAGCTAAAATACAGCCACGCGCAGAGTCTTCTCCAGCATACAGCTGAGATCACATGCGTACAGTACCATCCTACGATGACGCACATCTTTGCAACGAGCGACAATCGGGGACAAGTTTGTTTGCGCGATGTGCGGATGGCATTCGGGCCCCTGTCACAGCGCTCCAATGCGGGAATTGTGCACGAAGTGAGTAGGCTCGACATGTCTGCTCGAGACGACTGACTGTTGACTTTCAGTATGTTACCACAATAGCAAAACAAGGGACGGCGAGAATGGCGCGGCCGGAGGCAAGTAGCTTGACCTTCGATCGCGATGGTACTTTTTTGCTCTTCGCCTGTATCCGGTACCTGACGAGTGATCCAGGACGTAGACTCGGCGTTACGATGTTGGTGAGCTCATTTTGTATTTAGCTGAAGCTTCTGTATATTTTGACACGCCCATTAGCACCACATCCCAACATTGTACTCTCTTAACGACCCGTATCCCATCGCGACTTTCAGCGATCGTTTTAATGCCAACAGAATACCCGGATCGTCTTGGAAGGATATGTACTCTAATAGCTGCACAATGAAGGTGGTCCTGCGTCTCATATTGCGTTCGTAGAGGAGTTTGCTGATGAAATTTACATTAGCATGGTACCTTCGGCGGATTGGGATCAGACAGAGACATGTTCTACGCACAAGGATCGGATGATTTTCGGACGTACATCTGGAAGATACCTGACGATGCGGAACTTCTTGCGCAACGAGCGATCCTCGACGACTCCGAATGGCACAACTGCCCCAGACCTGGAGAGATTGGTGAGCCACAAGCTATGTTGATAGACGAAAAGAGTTGTCGTACTTAATGCGCCTCTGATTGACGCAGGATACGCCTCTTCACTCGCAGGCTCTCGATATGTTCCATTCGAGGTCTCTCGGCCTTTTACCCGACTCGGAGGCACGTCCCGTTCCCCGGCGTTCTCTCCTCCGCTGTCTAATATGTTTTAATAGGGCACGGCTCGATTGTAAACACCGCCCTCTTCCACCCCCATCGCCCCCTGCTCCTCACCGCCGGGATCGAACGCTTCACTCGACTGCACAGTCCCACCCCGACCACCCCATGTACCGAACGCTTGGAAGCCACTCCCCTCGAAGTGCGCTTGGCTGCCTCCTCAAACCCTGGTTCGCGCGAGGTGTTACTGCGCGCGATGGGCATGGTCGATGACTCCGACACGGAGGAAGCGGAGGACGACAGTCAGGCTATTGCCATGTTCGATCAGTGAGTCCAACGCGTCTTCGCGCTACTCCTGGCTTACGCGTCTTTGTAGCATATTGCGACAGGAAGGCAACGGAGACGTGTTCTCTATAAATCCTTGGACGCCTGGAAGCGACGACGAAACGGACTCGGATTCGATCGATGATCACGAGGGTGTCTCGTTGCAGTGACTGACAAATGCGGACCGTGTTCTTTCTTCCCTGTATGTACGGCCTTGTGCGAAGAATTGAGTCGCGGACAAACCCTTTCACCGCTTGGAGCTCCAAGGTTGTATGAGGTCCGGAAAGAACGGCCTTTCGTGACAGTTGTTTTAACTAGCCCTATCACCGATATCAAAGGTACATTGTGATAGCACAATACATGTCTACATAGTACACAAGACGGTCATAGCATGATATATGCCCATCCGACCAGACCTCTCCGCACCAATTCCGTTTACAGTGATGCTCACATACCAATCGCCACACGGAACGCATCGGTTTCCTGCCCCTCTGCCATTCTGACGATATGCGTCGCCAGCGCGGCGCGCCCGCTCTGCGCCCGGTGCGCGTACAAGAATCTCTGGCCGTACTGCAACGCGAGGCGGCGCTCGGTGAGCGACGCCCCTGCGCCGACCCAGACGTACACCGCGGGCGCGGCGGCGTCCGCGCTCGCGTCGAGTACAAATGCGTCGTCGGAAGTGAGCGAGGACGCCGTAGCTGGCGCGACCTCGTCAAAGACGACCTCGCCCGAGGCGTCGGAGAGGCGGAAGAGGGCGTGCGGGGAGGTGACGGTCGCCGCGGCGGAGGGCCCGAGGGCACGTCGCTGAGATCGAGCTCGGAGAGGAAGGTGCCGGCGCCCTGCCCGTGCTCATCTGCGAGACGGTCGGGCATGAGAACGCGGCGAATGACAACGCAGGACGAAGGGCCGGAAAGGGCACGCACCGTACACGGTTGCGTCGCACTGGCTCTGCCTCTCGCTCACGAGCGACTGGACGAACTCCGCGGCCTTGAACTTGCCTTCCCGACGGCGTGCTCCGTGTTGAACTGCCAGACGCGTGGGCCCATGTCCAGCACGAACACGCTGCCCTGGACGACGCTCGCGCCCGCGGCGGGCACCTCGCGCACCTGGACGTGCGCGATGCCCGCGTGCGGCGCGCTGATGCGGTACAGGCGGCGGGTGTTGTCCGGGGGCGGCTCCGAGACGTGGTGGAAGCCAGAGGCGACGCCGCCGTGGAGGGAGGTGAACTTGGGGAAGTAGGAGAGGAACCGCGGGGACTCGTAGCCTTGTACCTCGCGGTACTGCACTGGCTTCCCGCCTAGATCTAGACGGGGATTTGCATAAGCATCGTGGAACCGGTGCGGGACAGATGCGACGTACGATCGTCGAGCTCGACGGTCTTGTATGCTGCGGTCCCAGCCTCGTCCTGACTGGTCTCTTCGCCGAGCCAGAAGTGGAGGTCGTAGGAGATATCTTCGTTGTCGGGGTCCTTCTTGTACGTCTGCACAAACAACCGTCTGCCTTGGTATATGCCGACATATGAGAGATAGGCTTACGTGCAAGACAATGTACGAGTCACCGTCGTAGAAGCGGCCGTAGTTGGTCTTGGGCCACTCCTTGACGGTGAACTTCTCAATCCTCCATATTTGCGTGCCGGGCACCTTCCCGGCTTCATCCCAAGCCACCTCCCTATCACCGGCATGGGCCCGCACGTTCTTCTCGAGCTGCGCAAGTACGGCGGCAGATGGAAGGGGGCTTGGGGGCTGTCGAGAGCTAAATACTCACATCGGACCCCAGCAGCGCGATATTCGAGTCCTCGATGTTGTACTGAGTCGCCTTTGTGAGATGAGCCATGGTAGGGTGACGGGGATGCGATTTTGGGTGTGCGATGTGGGCTGTCAACCGGAGATGGGTGAGGTACAAGCAGCTTGGCTCGTCGCGCACTCGAAAGAGGCGGAGTGACCTACGGGCGGTTACTTGATCACGTACTGCTCGCCACAGCACAAACGAATCGGATACGAACTCAAGCTACCGCCATTGGCCATCCATGTGTGCAGCAGTATTAATGTGTGATAATGTACAGATTACAGGAGGATTTGTATGATTCTACGCATCGCCGCCACCAGAGGAAGCAGACGGCTCGGATCGCACGGCGCCGACGATCTCCCTGCACCAAGACGTATCCGCTTGCTAGGCCGCTCGTCTTCGTCTTCATCATCTGCGTGCGGGTCGGGTTCGCGTGCCCTTTTCGGCGCCATGGCTGGAGGAGACAAACAATGTGGCTCATCCCCGTCGGCGCCGGAAGCGTGACCCGGTTCACAGGCGTCGTTTGTGGGCAACGCGTCCCCGTGTTGCCTCAGGAATGACCACCAGAACACATTAAGGTCGTTCACGTATGGCCAGCCCCTTTCGTTCTCGCTGGCATGAGCGTCAGTCGCATTTGGCTGCGACGAGGCGTAGTCCAGCCATTCACGAAAGAGGGTTGGCCAGGTGAAGCCTTTGATGTAGTGACCGGTCTGCTCGTTGCGGATCTTGCCCCAAGGAGCAGGGGAATCGCCGTCCAAGTCGGGATCTGTCGCCAGCTGAAAGAGATTGTAGAACGAGTGTCGTTCGATGGCTTGTGGCGCATGGTGGGGCAAGAACAGGAAGGCGTAATAGAGGATCACATAGAACAGCGAGGCGACGTCGTCTTGCAGCGTGCCGGCCCTTTCAACCGGATCGAGTAGCATTTTGCTGGATGCAAACTCATATGTACACTGGAGGAAAGCGACGTCATTTCCAGCCCCAATGAGAGGAGTTCAGGGTACGAACCGTGAGTCCGAGGTCAAGCGATCCACCTTTACTATCGGTCGGATACGAAGCTTCCCAGTCAATCAGGTAGCCGCGTCTGAACTTGCGTCCGGGTTCTCGAACAAGGATGATATTCCCAATGCTCACGTCGCGGTGCAGAATGCCAGCATTGGCGTGGGCTTCTCTCAGGGCTATGAAAGGATGCCCCGTCAGGGCAGGACGTGCATCACAACACTCATAACGACAGACCTTGCATTACATCGTAACCCGCATGGAGCAGTTCCCCTGAGCCGGTGAGGCATGCCAAGGAGTACCCAACCGTGCCTACCACTATCCGGTAGTGCGGCTGCATGGGCATTGCAATCCATTCTCCTGTTGTCATCGTCGATACCCAGTCCGAAAACGCGAGCTGTTCTGCCTGTGTACTTTGGACAATCGCTTCATCGTCTGGACATCGTGTTTGTCATAATGCAATCTTGGGACGCATATACACTCACCAGCTAGTATGCCCCCCTCTAGATCTAGGGTGTACGGCACGATGCCGTGCCAGATGAGCGACGGCGCTGACCGCACTCCAGCTCTGTTGATCCGTCGTAGAAGCTCACCCTCCACATCGAACGTATCGCGTATGTAAGGCCAGGTGTCCTTGATGAAGACGATGTCGTGGGTGCCGATGTCGACTGCCCAGTATCCCCGAGTACCTTTGCCACAGAGACTGATGGGATGCGTGACTGGCCTGGACACGACATAGCGCCGGACGTTTCTCTCGTCGACCGGGAGTTGATGACCCAAAACAGGAAGTACTACGGCGTTGCCGGGTTCGTAGTGCTCCGATATCGCTTTCCTGAGGTCTTCATCCTCAAGCTGGAGCTGTGCTTTGACGTGCGCGGTTACAACTTGGAGAAAAAGCGCCTCTTCCGCCCCCGCCGGCCTCTCGAGGGTGGTGTCGAAACCGCGCTCCATCGCGGACAGGCAGTGAAAGTGCAAGAGGAAGTTGGCAAAGTTGGGGGTCTGGCAGATATCGAACGACTCTGTGACTACGCATCCGCTTCTATCCCAGCGATACAGCCGAGCCTGTGAGCCTGACACCACGGCGGTGTAGAGGCAGGTGCGATGCTGGCGCGCGAGGATCTCTTCGACAAGAGCAATGTGGCGTCCGTGTGCGAGACGCCTGAGGAGTTGGAGCTTGTTGTCGCCGCCGGTCGCCGTAAACATCCAGTTGGTTGCTTTAGGGTCGACTCCAGCCGGCGGATCAACAAATATGTCATAGGAGGAGTGAGCGTTCACTTGGATGAACATCTCTAGAAGTCCGAGTTCAAGGCGACTGGACGGAGGAAGCCGAAGAGCTTCCTTGTGTTCGAAATTGGCTTTGGTGTAGCAGAGAATATCAGGCTTGTACGGTCCCACTCGCCGCACCACATCCCGATAAGACCCCGCATCTCTGAATATGCAAGTGGTTTTGGGCAGCGCCTCGAGCTTCACAGAGAAGGCTGAGTGCCAGTGAATTCACAGGGTGGGAGACACTCACCAGCGCATCGCACTTCTCGTCGGCGTTGGCAGCCTTGGCAGCAGTTTCGAAGTCTGCGGGAGCAACCAAGCACTTTGTTGGATCAAGACGTGAGGGACTGGGAGTATAGGCGTGAATGGCGATGTTGCCGCTCCCTCGTCCACACACACGCTTCTCCGACGGGGTCAGGAATTTGTTGAGGAAATCATCGAAAGGCATGGGACCGAGGGTACGGCCCATCAACTTGTCTGCACGAGTGCCAAGGTGTTCGAGGCTGTGATCGGGAGGGTCGAAACTCAACTCTTTGGCTTGCGCCAATGAAGCATTGTAGTATGCTGGTAGAGGGTATCGAGCCGAGGTTGCCATGGGTGGATGTATCGAAGTAGGAGGCGAAGGGTTACGAGTTGGGGCGGTTTTGTCCGCGGGTCGAAATACTTAAGGCAACCCGTTTCAGCGAGGACAACGCTTGGACGCGGGCGGGTGCCACTGGGAGGAGAAAACAAGAGCACAATAGTGAGTGCCTGGACCGTAACCTGGTTCGCAGGACCAAAATCAATACTATCTCCAAGCAACCAGCCACTGAGTGCGTGCCTTTGTCTCCTTGTACCGTGGTGGATGGCTTCGCAATAGTGACATGAGCGAAGAGAACCAACATGCGTCGTCGAAGATTGGAGACCAAGAGGAGCTGGGCCCTTGCGGACGGCAGAGAAAGTGAAAACAGAGGGTAAGGTTTAGAAGAGATGAAGCAGCAGCCGGTCCCCCGATAAATGGCGGGAATTGGATCAAGGACATGGATGGGCGAGACAACGCAGTCTCTGAGTCGCAGCAAAGCGCACTCAAGCAGACTCAAGCCACCCATGAAGCGCCCACGCGGCGGGCCGCCGGCGCTGTGATCGTGATCGAGGATAGGGTACCGAACATCGAGATGAATTCGAGAAGCGAAATGGACATTGGGCATATCCTGCTGGTCTTCAGCTGCTCAACTTGTCACCCTTTCAACCATGGCCGGCTGGTCGGCGCGCCTGTCCCGGGTGTTGCGAATCTCGCAAGAGGCAGTGATCTCGAGCACAGGTCGACCGCGCTCACTCAGCACATCCGTTATCAGGACTGGGCCCTGAACGCGATGTTGCCCACGACTCCTCGCGTTTGTCTCTCGGCTGCTTCCACACTGTTACGCCCTCCCTCTTCAGCATGACACGCATCACGGTCAAGCTCAATGATGGCAACGAGGTGACGACCTCCATGCTCGCGTGTGGATCCGCCAACGTCTGACAAGAGCACTATCGCAGATGCCCGCCATTGCATTCGGCACCGGGTCCAAGTGGAAGGGTCAGGTGCGTTCGTGCGCCTCCATCTTAACACCTTTTAAACCCCATCCTCCTGCATAGGACGTGACGGACTACGTGAGCCAGGCCATTGAGGCCGGGTTCTCGCACATCGACTCCGCACAATGTATGTTCCTTCTTTCCGATCCTAGCCTCATTCATCCGAACACGTGGTGGCATTGTCAGGGTACAAGACCGAGGACAGCGTCGGTCGCGCCATCCATGAGAGTGGGCTCGGCCGTTCTGACCTTTATCTCACCACCAAATGGTCGGGTCTCACCACCATTCCCGAGGCCATCCAAGACAGTCTGAAGAACGTATGCCCATCTCATTCGGCTATACTTCCTGCACAACACGTCAACATTTTTATCCGTAGCTCGGTGTCAAGCAAGTTGACCTTTACCTGATTCACAACCCAATGGTTATCACCGATTTGGAGGTCAACTGGCGGGACTTCGAGAAGATCAAGGAGGACGGGCTCTCCAGGTACGTCGCACATGCCTCATTCCTTGCCCTTCCGTGACGTTTTTTCAGGAGCATCGGGGTCAGCAACTTCGACTTGAAGCTCATGCAAGATCTTCTCAAGATTGCCAAAGTCAAACCTGCTGTGAATCAGGTGCGTTTCTCTCTACCTTACCGGTAATTTCCTCGTTTGCCGACATTCAAGTGCAAGATCTTGTTCCATCCGTACAACTACGCTCAGATGAAGGAGCTAGTGGAGTTCAGCGCGGAGCACGGTATCGTCACAGAAGCATACAGCAGCTTGCAGTACGTACTTTTTTTGGCTTATTCATTCAATGCTCTCATGTGTCGCGCTGGCAGACCCATAACGAAATACCCGGGCGGCCCTGTCGATAAGCCTGTCGAAGCAGCAGCAAAACGATTGGGGGCGTCCACTACGCAAGTTCTCTTGTCTTGGGTCAAGAGCAAGGGCGTTGCCATTGTGACGTGCGTACTCTCGCCCCTCCGCTCGCTCTCGTGCGTCTCACCAATTCACACCGTAGCACGAGCTCAAACAAGGGGCGGTTGCAAGAGTACCTGGCGGTCGCTGAGCTTCGTGCGTTCTCTGATCATCTGCCCATTCATATCTGTAACCAGTGCTGTTAGCCCCGCTTACGGATGAAGAGATTTCTGCCATCGACGAGGCCGGCGCGAAGGGTCCTTCTACCTCTATTATGACGTCGGAGAAGGCTAACGTCAGAAAATGGTTCAAGATCGCATCGATCACCCTTCAACTGATATTTCAGCTGTGTTTCTTGGTTCGTTTCGCCTATCGTTGGATGTATGTGTGGTAGTAGGTCGTCTACTCGTATAATACCGTCGAGCTTGAGCTTCGGTTGCTTCTTACATTACCACATACGGAAAGTCAGCGAAATGAGACCACTATTGCCACTCATACTGATTCTATGTGTAGAACAAGGATTAACTGTACAGATTCAGAAATGTTACCGAAATACATCCGAGCTCGTTCTCCATTCAAGATGCTCGAGAAGCAACTTTCGCAAAGGCAGTCAGATAGTGCCCAGACGAGTTTGCAAATGATACACATGTTGCTCTCGAACCTTGAAGCTTCGCGCCTTAAACGAATCTGCTGCGTACTCGGACAATGACGACAAGACAACGACCTTCCACACCGCGATTCCCGCACGCGCCTGCACTCACTCTGCGTACGTCACTTCCAGTGGACCTCACCGACGTCTCTTCCGGGGGCGACGATCCGCAGAGAAAACTTAGCACCTCGTGCCCGCGTACTAGATGCACCTGGCCGAGGCCATTAACCGGGCGGTCGGCGACCGCATCCTCGTCGCGGTGGGATCACGACTGGGACGCTGGCGGAGGAAGCTGAAGAACCAGCTCTCAACGTCATAGAGATCGCTCTGAGATGGACTTCTGGAGTATAGGAATGCATTGGTGTCTACGTATGGAAACATCTAGTGAACGGGCGTTAGCGTCAAGGACTGGGTGTAGAACAACATGGCCGAAACTCACCTGAATACAAGGGTCACCAAGCGACCTTCTTGCCAGCAGCGGGAGCAGGGAGACCACATCGCAGGATATGAAATCCCCGTCCGAAATGCTTTAAAACACTCCGCGCTCTCAGCTCGACGACGCGCTTCTCTCGAGGCTTCAGATCCCTACAGCCCTTGCTCGAGGACTCGGACCGTCTGGGCCACGACGAGTCATTCGAATCCTCCTCGGGTATGTACCCGGTGAAGCCCTGGGTGAACGGCCGCAGCCGGCGGTGCATGTTCCACGTCATGCGCACCCTGTCGCCCATGGCGCACAGCTCCCACTCCTGTATCCAGAACGAGGGGACCTCGCAGAGCGCCGTGCGGAACTCAGCGAGCGAGAGGCGCTCGGCGGGGTCCACCGCGAGCACGCGTGCCAGCAGGCTGACGCACGCAGGGGAGAGGGGGAACGTCCGCCGGAGGGACATTGGGTTGCGGATGAACTGGCGGAAGGTCGCGTGTGCGGTGGTGGCTTCCTCCCACATGGTGCAGCCGCAAACGAGCTCGAGCAAGATGATACCGAGCGCCCAGATGTCGTTTTGTTGTCGATCAAAAGACAAAGCCGGGTAGCCCAGGCCCTCTGTCGGACATGGCGAGGTGTGAGCGTCTTGATACTGCTGTGATTCCACTGCTGACAACCACTTGCCTGGACAGATATAGCGATACGTTCCGTGTCTGAACTCCTTGCTCTCCCGGATGTCCGACGCCATCCCGAAGTCCGCGAGAAACATTTGCGTCATCAATAGGTCCGTCAAGATGTTCGACGGCTTCAGGTCCCCGTGGTAGATCCCCTTCTCGTGGCACGCCGCGACGGCGTCGATGATTTGGAGCATGATGCGCTTCACTTCCACCGGCCGGTCCGCGAGGCACATCCGTTCGCGCACCGCGTGCCGCAGGTTTCCCCCAGAGACGTAGTCCATGACGATGTACGCGTACTTGTCGCTGTACATGCACCGCCGGAGCGTGACCACGTTCGGGTGCCCCGACGCGCGCTCGTGCAGGGACATCTCCCGGTCTTGCATCGTCGCGACCGCTCGCTCCTTCGCTTCCTTCGCGTTTGCGCCGTACGGGCCGCCGGTGTGGAGGAAGGGCATGACCTTGATCGCACGGACGATGGTTTCGTCGCTGCCTGGGACCCGCTCCAGCGCGCGGTAGACGACGCCGAAGCTTCCGGACCCGATGCGGTTGAGGATTTCGTAGCGGCCTGCATCCACGAGGAAGCCGCAGGGCAGGTCGGGGAGATAAGGGCTAGAGAGACGTCCTGAGCTGTAGCGAGACATGGTGTGTGTTTGTGGAGAACGGAGGGGAGGTAGAAATGCTCGAAGGGCGGCGACCGTGCTCTTTATGCATACCGGAGAGGGCCTCCTGAGGCCGAGTAGTAGAATGCGCCTGCGCAAACCGATCGTGTGTCCGTTCCACCGCGGACGGGGTCGTCGAACCCGCGATGCAGCGGATGAGCGGAGTCGGCGCGCAGCGGGGCTCCGACAGCCGAGCGGATGTAGGAAGGTTAGGATCTCGACATCCGAGAACGCAGAGCGGGCCGTCCGTCGGAATTGGTGCGACGAGCCTTCCGGGGTCGTGAGGGAGGTGAAAGTAGTGGTGGAGCTGCAATGCGAACCGCAGTCTAGAAATGATCTCTTCAGCGACGTGGTGAGCATTCAGCTGAGATTTCGTCACGTACCGCGTTGAGCAACGTTGCAGGCAGTCAAAAACAAGACAGCGGTTCAGGGCCACTCGCAACGATATCCGACATCCGCTGTGCGGGTCGTTCAGGCGCTGCGATGCAAATATCCGTGCGGGTACCCTGACGGAACCTATAGCGCACCCCTCAATGGATGACTTGCCTAGATGGTCCATGGTCCTGTTCTGCTCAACGAGAGATGGATCGGTTGTGTATGGGATGGAAGGGATAAGGGAGGAAGGTGCTGCAGACCAACGGACTCTGACGGAGGGGTTAGAGGGTTGGTTTTAGGCACGGCGCATCGCCGAATGCCTTGTGCTGAGAACTCCCATAGGTATCGGTGTCTTTGAAGTATTTCTACTGTGCCTGCCTGCTAGATGTGTACACGCAAGTACCGGTATCGGACGCACGAAAAACTGATGGCTGGTTATGCTCTGGGCCGCACAATCGGGCTTGCGAGAGGGTGTACTGGCAATTGGTGGACGTACGGGCGCTGCTGTTGTGACTTGCCAGAGCCTGATGTGAACGGCAAGCGTTGTTCCGAAGATTGAACATGGCTGTGAGACTATCTTGCAATAGATTGCGCGTGATGCTGCTAGATGACAGGCGAGCGAGGAGTGGTTGCGGAAATAGGCCGGACGATGGAGATCATGGTGGCAAGGAACGACGTGAGCTAAACACTCGGGAGCGCGCGAGGAAATCTTGTCTTGACTGCATGCCACCTTACGGCCACGGGCACATTTTTGTTGCCGTGGTGGCTTATTCTGCTGCTGCTACTCTTAACTCTGTGCACTGCTCCTTGATACGCGTCCTCCTCTCGCTCAACTATCTCCACCCGCCAGCCTGGGCTACTTATGTATGTCTCGAACGCGTGCTAGCCTGGGTGGCATCCAACTTTGAAACCACACCATTACATGGACGCGTCGTTCTCGTGGCCTGTAGTTTCTCTCCTTCTCACATCCTCGCGGCGGACTGTCGGCGTTTGAACGTTCAGTGTTCAACCCTCCTGGGCGGTCGTATGGAGAAAGACGATGGAGGCCATAGCATACGACGGGACGACGTCATTAGCGAGGATCCAATTTCGCCGGACCCTCGAATTTCGCCCATGAATAGTGTAAGTGCTGCTCAGCGCTGCTCGGTTCTTAGTCTCCCCAACACCTGCTCCTCAATTTGCAAGTCATGCCCCCCTTCGTCCTCATTTCTCCCGCCACGCGCGGACTGTCCCTCGCTCTTGCTCGCCACACTCTCCGTACCACCCACCACCCTGTGTTCGCGACCTACCGCCCTTCTCCGACGACCCGCTCTGCCAGTCACTCAGACGAACCCAGGTCGCCCGAGTCCGTCCGCGCCCACATCCTCCGTCCGCTCGCCAGGGAACAAGTCGATCGGTCTCGTCTTCACGTCCTCCCTCTCGACCTCCTGTCCGAAGACAGCATCGCGACCGCGGCGGCCGACCTCTCACGCACCCTCTCCAGCCTCCAATCTCCCCCTCGCACCTCGCTCTCGCGTTCTTCGCCGGGGGCATCCTTCATCCAGAGCGGCAGCCGGCGGACCTCGACCTCGCCACCATCGACGAGACGTTCCGGCTGAATGTGATCTCCCACCTACTCCTCATCAAGCACTTCTCCCGCTTCCTTCCGCCGCCCTCCGTCGGGCGCGCAAGCGAAGAAGCCGCCCTGGCGAAGTGGGTGCACGTCTCGGCGCGGGTGGGCTCGGTGTCGGACAACCGGCTCGGGGGCTGGTACTCGTACCGGGCGTCGAAGGCAGCGCTCAATCAGGTCGTGCGGACGTTCGACCTGCACTTGCAGGCGAAGCGCGTGCCCGCGATCTGTGTGGGCGTCCATCCGGGAACGGTGAAGACGGAGCTCAGCAAGGCGTTCTGGAAGGGGTTCCCGCGGAGAAGCTACTCGAGCCAGAAGATGTGGCAGCGAAGTTGGTTGGGGTCGTCGAGAAGCTTGGGACGGCCGAGAGAGGACGGATATGGGACTGGAAGGGCGACGAAGTGCCACCATGAGGAGGTATGTGGGCCCGAAGGAGCTGTTCGAAGCATCGCCTTATTGTCATGTTCTTATGCTAGACGTTCAGAGAGTCGCACATGTGCATGGGCCGATATGAGTGTCTGTTGTGTTCGGTTTGGGAGTGGTCTGTGCTTATGTGCACGAGTGGTGACATATCACAGCCACGCCCTCTCCTTTATAAAAGGTCCCCTGCTCGAGCACGGTCTATCGTACAGCCCACTCAAGCTTCGCTCTGGCACTAGTTTTGCGCCACTCCCCCGCCACTCCCATTATTGCTGTTCTTTCGCCGTTGCCAACATCGCAATGTCTTTCCACCATCCTGCTGGTTACTACAATGCTTCTCTGTCTTCAAGCACCTGCGCAATATGCCCGCTACAAAACCTCCAGTCGGCGACGAGGCTTGCATCATACGCCAGACAAAGCATTCGGAATACAATAGGACCGGCCCCCCAATCTAACTTCCTAGACCGTTTCATACGTCCATACGAGCTCTACTACATGGAGCCCTCACACCGCTCTCGTCGCGACATCCCCATTGACGAAAGCAATCGCCTGTCTTCCGACGACGCTTGGGCCGCGGTCCCCAAGGCCGCTGCCGTTTGCGAAGACATATGCGGCCCCCTGGCAAGTTGTCGTTATACGCTATGTGTACTACTTCTGACCGCCGCTGCAGGTGCAGGCATTGAACAAGACCACGGGGAATAAGATGCGTTGCCCTGGCCTTGTGTTTGAGTGTTCGCAGGAGCACCCGTCCCTCATATGCTGCTACACGGACGAAAACTCAGAACTTGTGAAACAGCAACCTCCGTCATCTCGCGCGGAACTAGGATACGTCGAGATGTTCATCCAGGTGAACAGCAATCCGTCGCACGACATGTTCGTCGACCCACCCCAAAAACCTTTCGGCCGCTCGATGGGCACGAACGTGCACGGCACCATAGACGATCTAAGCTTACGGCACAGGCTTCACGGCAAGCACTCCGCCTTCGTCTCCGAGGTGTTCACGCGACAGCATCGAACCTGCCTCTACACTGTCATCTTGTCCGGCTCGAGCGCGAGGATGTACCGCTGGGACAGAGAAGGTTGTGTTCTTTCAGAGTCCGTAGACGTGCACGAATCTCCGGCAGCGCTCTGCGACTTCCTCTGGCTGTTCTCTCACGCCTCTCCGTCGAGACGTGGCTTCGATACCACTGTCGAGCGGGCATCACAACAGGAGGAGATCCTTTTCCGCAACGTCGTCACTCAACACGTTCAACTCCAACTGGACCTTGCAGGCCAAGATCTCGAACAGGCCGTCAGCGAACACTACCAACCGGGCAACGTCATCGTCCTGCCCGTTGTCGGCCATCCAAAGCCGGTGGATGCGTCAAACACTCGTCGCTTCATCGTGTCAAGACCCGTCCTTGGCTCGACTCGCTGGCACAGTCGAGGAACGCGCGGATACTGGGCGGTCGACACCGTGACACGGCGCATCGCCTTTCTCAAAGATACTTGGAGAATCCTGTTTCCGGGGAGCATTCCAGAAGGCCTCATTCTCGAGCAACTCAACACTGGTGGTGTGGACCATGTACCCAAACTGGTCTGTCACAGCGTAGTCCCGGACGGCACCCCTATCGCACCTTGTATTCTGCCCGGTAAGCGTTTTATGCTACGTCCACAGGCGCGTCTAACTTCTGTATACAGATCATGATCTCGAGGCTCAGTGCACGTGCTTGTCAAGTGCCTCGATGAGGACTGGGCGGCTAAGGCTGGTCAACTTGTCATCCTGGGCACGAGGTCTCATTATCGACTTGTCGTCGACATGGTTGGGTATCCCCTAAACCATTTCTCTGGAACGGCGGAATTACTTCACGCATCTTGCGACGCCTTTCACGGTAAGCACTGGCGTGCGCCACCATCATAAACAATCGTGCTGACACAACCATCTTTCAGCTCTCCGTCAAGCGTTCACCAAGACGGCGCGCCTGCACCGTAACATTGGTCTAGAGAACATCATTGTCGTGCGCGAAGGCAGTAGTCCTATCCGCCGGGGCTACGTCATCGGCTGGGATTTTTCCCTTCCAGTGACCACATACAGTCCGCCATTACGGTCAGTGGCTGCGCATCCAAATGACTAAAGTGGCTCCTGATGTGATCCATCTAGGGATCGTGCACATTCATGTCGAGACGAATGGTTCGGCAGGTCGGCTTGGGTAAACCACACAGGGTGCAAGACGACATCGAGTCCCTCTTCTATGTGGTCCTGTACTGCGCCTTCCTCTGGCTCCCCCACGGCGCGTCCAAAGACGCCCTAGAGGTCTCGCTGCGCCGGATGTTCGACGACGAGGGCCCCTCGGGCAAGGAAGAGAACCTGATAGACCGTCGTTACACAAACGGATTCGGGTGGTCACCGCCCCTCCGCGAATGGGTGGACACGATGTCGCACTACATGGGTCCTTGCCCTCCGATGGCTGACGGCACGTCTGAGGACAAATGGAGCGATCCTGAGCACCTGGACGTCTTCTGGCGCGAACTCCTGGACAAGTACCATGGCGTCCTTCCCTCGGGAGATCGCGTCGAGCACGACAACCCGCGTGGCAATAAGTTGACCAAGAAATTGAAGTGTCGGCATGGAGCGTCGTCCGGATCCGATTCACACCCACAACCACCCAAACGTCGGCCGACTGTTCCCGACGTCGACGGAAGCACTGGCGAGCGCCCGCACAAACGACCTCGGTACTGATCGTGGTGCCAGGCAGAGCGAGCGACTTCGAGGGGCGTAGGGCATGAATGTCGCAAGCAGTTGTTAGTCCTGTAAAAATGTCGTTACTCAACCGTTTACCTGTCTTTTATTGATGCAAATATCATCTGACGATTATGAGTTGCTTCTTGTCCACGAATGCCTCGATCTCGATTTGTGCAGTGCACCCCGGGCCGGTCCGAAGGAGTGACTTGGGGAGTGGAGAGGGTACGGCGCCCGCTGGGGCTCGCCGCGATAATTGGACCGGACGCGGCCACGGTGAGCAGTACGCGCGGAAAGGGTTACGAGGGACTCCCTCGATCGACATCAATGTGCGGCAGTACTAGCAAAGGAGGAGAGCGCGCTCAAATGGGCGTAGCGCCCAGTCGCGGGGTTTGGTCGGACACCGCGCTCGCTCTCGCGTGGGCCGCTGCCACTCACCCAATTATATACTCTCTTTCTCTCCTCCCCATGTCGCCCTCCTGAACCTACCCACTACGCCCTCACGCAGCGCTGCTGCCAGCCCTTCGACGCGTTCGTTCTCCTTGGCGCCGTCTTCGACCCGGCATATCGCCGATCGCCACCGGCACAGTTATCTGTCAAAGTGTCTTTGTAGCAACGTCTCGGTTTGCAGCCTTACTTCTGCGACCAACTCTTCGCCAGCACACGCTCCGTCCACTCTGCGTAGCCCTCGCCCATGGCTCAGCACGCCCATCCGCCCTTCCGCCTAGTCCGCTCATGAACATGACCAACTCATTCCTCAACGACGGCATGCTCATGCTCTCTATACCCGGTCCCAGCAGGGATCCCACGTACTACATCCACGATGGAAACAGCGTCCTTTTGGTGGAGAACACGCTTTTCAAGGTGCGCTTCGGTTCTGGGCTTCCCTGGTGGGCAGAAAGCCGTGCGGGGTTCGTTAGCGCAACAGCTTTGATGGAGATGACGTCGATAGAGCGTTCAGGCTGGTGGATACGCGACTGCTTCCGGCTCGCCAAAAGGCTCATAATGCATAGCGTCAGTAATCGCCCCGGCCTATGCACTATGAGCATATATGCACTATGGGATGGTTGTCGGGGCGGCTTGCACCTACACGACCCAAGCTATGCATTGTGAACTATATGCGCTAACGCTCTTCCGTCCAGGTTCATCGCTCTGTTCTCACCAAGGACAAGTCCGCTTTCGAGACCATGTTCCAGCTCTCAGCAGAAACAGACTCAGCACGGTCGGACTCGAGCATGACGGTCGCGCAAGAGGGCGAGAGCGACGACAACCCCATCCGCCTCCAAGGTGATACTGCGGACGAGTTCCGCGCACTTCTCTGGGCCCTCTACTCCCTGTGAGTCCGCTCTCCATGCTTCTGCGCGCTCGCCCTCACAAGTCGGCATCTCTGCGGTAGGCCCCACGAACTCTCCGTGGCCATGTCAGCCGACGCCAACAGCACGCAGCTCGCGAACCTCGTCCGCATCACCCACAAGTACCAGTTCCGCAGTATCATGACATGGGCGTTGTCCGCACTACACGCCTACTGTTCACGGCCGGGCGCGTTCGACGACATCCTCACCACGACATCTTCCGCCCCCACCCCGCCCATACCTGTCAATCACCCTCCTACCCTCCCAGGTATCCCCTCGACGTCTACCTCCAGCCCGCCAACTCTCGAACAGCTCACCGAGCTCGCGGCGCTCTGCGAACGTGGAGACCTCCTAGATGCGACGCTCACCCGCTGGAAGCGGCTCATCGGCGAAGGCCGCGACCTCGCGCTCGCGGTGACCATCGGCGAACGCTTCAACCTGCGGCCCATCGTCGGCCTCGCCTACCACGCGCTCATGCTGCGCGGGCAGGGCGCGTGGGCGCCGCTCACGCGCGCCCAGCGCGTCCGCATCCTCGCCGGCTTCTACGCGCTCTCGAAGCTCTGGGACGCGCTGCCGGGCCAGGCGCCGCCGCTGACGCACACCGCGCGTTGCACGAGCCAGCAGCGGTGCGCGAAGGCGTGGGGCGCGCTCTGGCGGACCGTGCTCGAGACGGGGACGCAGGTGATGCCCGGGCTCGCGCGCGAGGACGTGCTCGGGAAGACGATGCTGGCGGAGAGCATGATGAAGGCGCTCGTGGATCGCGAGATCCCGAGCCAGGGCTTCCTGGACGGGATGCCGCATTGCAGGGAGAGCGCGTTGCTGGCGACGAGCATGCGCGTGCGGGAGATCAAGGAGTCGCTTGCGGACTACTTTTCGGATGAGTTTTAGGATTTGGTTTTCTCGGGGATGGATACACGTCCTCTTATGAATGGCATTGTTCGGTGTGTGAAGCTGTATGCCTTTCCCTTTGTGTCGCTTATTTATTGCTTAATGCGCGCTTTATACCTGTAGTTCTCGTCAACTCAATCACGACATATGTATTTGTACGTGAAGATGAATGGCCTTTGGATGCGTTTCTCATAGGACGCTTCGTCGTTGCCGACGTGACAATTCGTGACGAAGAAATTTCTGGCCTTTGCACAACTTCTCCGTTCGCTCCGAAAAAATAAACAAGTCATTTCAAGACTGTCTACCAAAGCCGAGAGAAATCGAGGAGGGAACGGACAAGATACAGCACGACTCCACAGGAGCCGTTTTGCACAACCGATGCAATCCTATCATTTGGGTACTCCCGATCTCGCGCGCACCACGGCATGCACCACGGCATGCACTCCAAATCCGCTGCACCTATGACCACAACAACATCTGTGAGCTGCGCGCGTGGGACCGCCGCGCGCACATTGGGCGCGCCGTTCGCCAATAGATCAAGTTGACAGCGTCATGCTAGGGGATTTAGCTTCGAATACATCAGTATCTACTCGTTGACCTCCTTGAAAGCATCCAACCCTCGTTTCCTGATTACGTCGCTAACGGCACGCTCTGATTCCACCTCTTCAGCGACATACGCAACACCGCCTTCTCTCAGTTGCGTGTCTGCCGCCCGCCGCGTTACGCACAGGCTCTTCAGAGGCAGTCCAGGCACATGGATCCCCACCCACACCAGCGTTGGGGACCCTTTCACGGCGATCTCGGCGTGCTCAACGGGGTCACCCAGTGCTTCTGTGGCGTCGTTGGGGAGATACCGGCTTTCATACTTGAGCAGAAGGTGCGTCGCCGTGTCCAGGATGCCCACCTCCACCAACAGCCCCTTGCAGACCGAACGACAGATCAGCTACCACTTCACCGACGCACGCGAGCAACCCACCAAGACATCGCGCCGATCCACGATCGCCATCCGGACGACCACGTTCCGCACCGACGCGTACGACTCCCGGACGTCCATCCCACGCGCGCCCGCCCGCCGCCGGGCACCCGTACGCGTCGACGCGGAGCTCGAGCGTCCGCGCCCGCGCGCCCGCGACGACGGCCGGGAGCATCCACGCGCGGTGCTTGTCGAGCGGGAGCGAGAGGCGCGGCACGCGCCGCGGCCACGCGAGCGAGTAGAGCACGCAGAGGTCGTCCGTCCACAGCGCGCCCAGCTCCGCCCACGCGTCTCCGACCGTCGAGCCGGCCGATCGAGCCCAGTGCCGCTCCGCGTCGCGGCGGGCGGCGGGGCACGCGTCGCGGCAGCCGGTGTGCGCGCGGGCGCCGCGGAGGACGAGGCGGGCCGCGCGGGGGAACGCGGCGGGGAGCTCGAGGAAGCCCGCGGCGCGGCGCTTGGCGAAGACGTCCGCGGCGCGCACGCGCGGGAAGGGGCGGCGAAGGGGCCGCAGCGCGCGACGGCGAGCGCGGAGAGCCGCTCGGCGAGCGGCTGCAGCGCGGAGAGCGCGTCGTCGGAGAGGGGGACGGCGCGGAGGTCGAGCGCGCGGAGGGCGGGGAGGCGGGCGAGCCGGCGGAGGCTGTCGGGGTCGACAGGCCTGTCGTGCGGAGGGCGAGCGCTTCCAGGCGGGGGAGGGAGGCGGAGATGATCTGGAAGAGCAGTGGCGGGTGGAGGATGTAGTCCCAGGAGGCGAGGTGGAGGGTGGTGAGGTGGCCGCAGTTCTGTAGGATGCTGGTAAACGCGTGCCTGACCTGCGCCGTGGCCGTCAGCTCTGACTTGATCTTTACTTCAGGAGCGTCGATGGATAGCTCCTTGATCAGGGTCACTCGAGAAGAGCCCGTTGTTGAGACGAAGGAAGGCGAAAAATGACAGCAACCTGCTCGGGTCGGTAAGTGCTTTGGATTCCGGGCGCGAGAGTAATGGAAGGAGGGCGAGGTCTTGGAAAAAGTGACATGTGCACATAAGGCGGGATAGATCGCGTCGAGTGAGCATTGAGAGGATGATACGAGCACATCGTAATTGAGCGTTCTCAAACTGATCGCAGCTGTGAATCCATGCTGAAGACCCCCACATCTAGAGTTAGCCTAGAGTGAACCAGTCCTGAATATTCCACACCTACGGATAGCACTCTTCCTGAAGAGCAGAACGGATGATACAAAGCAGGTCGACGTCGAACCCGTTCGCGCAAGAGCCGCCACATACGTGGAGATGTGATGGTCTCGGGACCGAGATATACTGTGGAGTCACGTCATCCCGGAGTTGTGGGAGTTTGATCAGGCAAGCGCCTTGTGCGTCGTTGCACGAAGAACGGCAATAACACCGGATGTTTAGACACATTGTACATTGCGTGTTTCGTAATCACATTCCTTGTCCATGGTTCAGTAGTCCATCACATCCTGCCTTTCGTCAATCAACTCAGTTCGTCTCAGCGTCCGTGAACGCGGTCGTGGCCAGGCCGACCTGGCTGTTGCCGGTGTCGTACACGCTGTAGAAGCGCTGCAAGAAAGCAAAACCGTCTGCCAAAACGACCCGGCGATCAGCGTTCCCGCGCAGATCGAAGGCAACCACGTCCACGCACTGATGAAGTCGAGGCCCTGCCCGCTCTGCGAGCCGAGGTCCGCCGCGACGAGGTAGATCTTGCCCTCCTCGCCGCCGATCGTCGAGTTGAGCGAGCGCGGCCAGATCTGCGCGTTCGGCGTCATCTCGAACGTCGTGCCGCCGATGCTGAAGAACAGGCTCTGCAGGTCGCTGAACTGGCTCTCGGACAGCGTCAGCAGGCCCGTCGTCTGGTCTATCGTCGCCCCGGTCGCCTTCTGGTACGCCTGGAACGCGTCCGTCGCGAGCAGGAGGAGCGTCGTGCCGGTGTCGACGATCCCCGCCGAGCCGGAGAGCAGGCTCGTGCTCTGCCCGTACGTCACTTCCTGGTCGATGCCCCAGTAGTGTGACGCAGGCGAGGTCGAGGTGATGGGTACGAAGGTGACGTCGCTGGTGATCTTGGAGGAGTCGGAGCCGCCAAACGTGAGCTCGCCGTTCATGTCGCCGTTCGCGGACGTGCTCGGCTGGTAGAAGATCCCCAGCGAGTTGTTCGGGATAAGGCCCTGCGCGAAGAGGTTGTCCGTCACCGTGGGCACGGAGTCCGTGCCGGAGACGGTGCTCGAGGTGAGGTCGACGGGGCCGACGCCGAGAATGCCGTCGACGTCGTTGAAGCCCTGAGCGGTGCTGGCGACGCCGATGCTCTGGTTCTGAATCACAAGGTCGGACGAGATGGTGACCGTGTCGGTGACTGATAGCGACGTCAGCGTGGGTACGCACTGAGTTACGCAAGGAACTTACACTCGGTACCGGAGAAGGACCCGGAGCCGTAGCTGACGTTCTGGAAGAACCGGCGCGTATCAGCAGGTCTTCTACGCTAGTGAAGCAACGAGAAGCGACATACCACCGACTTGCTGGTGCTCTTGCTAGTGTTGGTCTTGACATACTTCTTGTCAGCGCCGAGCCAAGTGTTCGAACTCCCTTTTGTGGACGCCCCAAGTCAGTGCACGACGCTGGACATCAGACAAGACGAACTCACCCGTGTCAATGAGGAGAGTGTAGTCCGTCGCCGGGTTTCCAACGCCAACGGACGCGGTGTATGTGACGCCAGCGTCGGTGACGTCGACTCCGCTGCAGAGCTAGTCGCCCAGAGCCCCCAGTCGAGGGTGTCGTGCCGCTGCCGGAGTGGTAGTCGCGGAGCCAGAGCCGTGGTGGTGGCCGTGGTGGCGCGGCGGCGACGGCCTCGTGGAAGGCAGCGGGGCCGTGGGGGTTCATGCCCTGCATGATCTTGCGGGCACGAGCAAGGTCGCGGGCGACGATCTCCTTGCCGCTGCCACGGCAGCTGAGGCGGGCCACGAAGGGGACTGCAGCGATGGACATAAGGGGTTGTGTGTGTTGTGTGTGGTAGGAAAGAGAGAAGGGGACGTCGAAGGGAGGATGATGTCAACCGAGGATGCGGGGTGGCCTTATATCCCAGGCGAGGGGTGGGGAGACAGGCTGTATTTAGACGCGGGGGCGAGGGTCGGTGAGGGGCGGCAAGTCGCGGTGCCTTCCTTGAACAGGACCCTGCAACGACCGCGGAGGTGGTGACGCGAGCGGGTTCGTGGCGCGCAGCGGAGTCGGACGGCCTGAAGGCCAGAAATAAGTAATATGGTTGCATGCGAGCCCGCGCGTACAATGGAAGCATCAGTCCCGCGGCTCCGCAAGGGTACGTTGAACAGCCATCGTTCCGTGTGCGGTGACGAGACAGACAGGCCTTGATCGGGTGGGTGTGGGCAAGGAAGTGTCGTCCAAGGGGCCCGCTGGAGGCCATCCGGCATCCTACGCTCCGTCTGCGCACGAGAAAGGAAGCCACGAGGATGTCGTTGTGCGCAGTCGGTGGATCACAACAGCCGAGGGCGTTGTGGCAACTCGTCGCGAGATTTGCGGGGGACGCTCCAAGGGGCGACGAGCGTCGATGACGCAGCGGCCCTGTTGGCCCCGGCAACACGGCCCCGCGGGGTCGTGGTGTTGGAACTGGCCATATCCAACGTGCATGTGCTCGGTGTACCGCCAGCGGCCACGAGATAAGCCATTCCGGGCAGCTCGTGCCCGACAATGGTCTCCATCCCGCCCTGCTTCTTGCCCCCCTTCCGGGGCCGGGGGGCTATTTATATCACACCGCATGTCGTCTCTGCTGAAATTGCTTGGCTCGTTGCTCCGTCTGTGTCCTGTGGAAAGCATAAGCCCCCATGTCTCTGGAGAATGCGGAGACATCGCAGAATGGTGAAGCGGGTTGATGGCCTTGCGGTGACGTGCAAGGTTTTCGCTCAAGCAAAAGCAGCCATGACGCACCCGCGTCCCCTTCTCTGCGTCATCTCCCGTACAACTCTCACCACGAGCGAAGTTCGCGCTCACCTTGTTCCTTGTCTGGATGTGAGCCCGTTCACCGCATCAGGCATGACCAACACACGCCCTGGGCGAGATAACTGAGCTCTTCTCCGAGTTCTTCAAGCGGCGTTCGACGCTCGAGCCAAACGTAGTCCAGGCCATCACACCTATGCTTGTAGGCCTCGTCAGACCACGAGAAAGATACGCTGGTGGTGCATAGTCGTCCCACCTGGGCCACCGGCGAAGAACGGCAATGGAAGCCGAGGCAATGCTCTCCTCCCCTGCTGCGCAGTGTCCCGCCCACATGGCTTCGCGACTTCTCGGTTGGCACGCACAGCAACAATGTGAACCGACCCGCAGCGAACGCGGGGAAGTCAGCAAAGCAACTGAGAACGCAGCACGCGCCTTCACGGAGGGTGGCAATCGCCGGAGTAGTCGTTGGTATAACAGATAAGCTGATCGTCGGTCTTGCGTCGGTCAATCGTGTTTTCCGCCAGCACTGCATTTTCATTGTGGCTCTTCCATCAGCCGACCTGATAACGGCCGGGCACAATTTGAGGAGCTAGAGAGGGTAGACGAATAATGCAGCAGAAGGTAGTTCAAGAAAAATCTACAGAGTGTCGGGGATAGAGGGGAAGTACAAAGGGATGGCCCTGAGTACTGCCCCATACGGATCAGACCCAGACGAAAGCATACGAAATCCGCGACGAGAATGTGCTTACCGTAGAGACCAAGAATAGACAGTATTTCTTTCACCATATGACAGTACGCGACCGTCACCTATCGCGATCATGCCCTTCAGTTGGTCTCCTCTTTTGTGAAGACCGTGGGCGCGAGCCTGATCCGGCTGTTGGCAGTGTCGTACTTGCTATAGAACCATTGGAGGAAGGTAAAGCCATCTGTGACCACCTAGCCAGGTAGGCCATTGGTAGGCGGGAAAGGAAAGGACACCGACTGATGAATTCAAGCCCACTCCCGCCGTTGTGTGCGAAGTCGCCGATGACGACGTAGATCTTGTCCGCACTTCCGCCGAGCATTGCGTTGAGCGACCGCGGTCAGATCTGGGCATTCGGCACCATCTTGAATACGCCATCGCCTGAACAATGCGTCGACGTCGACGCCAGCTAAAGGAGGAAACCCGGACCACACCTACCAATCTTGAAGAAGGGCAGCAGAACTCGAATTCGGAGCACTGGAACTCGCGAGCCTGGTGAACGGTCTGTGGCGGTGGATATGCGGCTCGTGGTGAAGATGGTAGAGGTGGACGTGACGGAAATGCTCGCGCAGCTGACATAGTTGTACGAGCGCGATCGCGCGCGTGATGCACATTGAGCAGTGCGGAGAAGCATGGGGGTTTCTGTCAAACGTCGCCCTGCATGGTCACTGCTTGAGACTGTAGTGCGGTAAGTGAGTGAGTGGAGCACACACAAGTAGAAAGCAAATTATATACTTTCAGCCCTCAGACCGTGGGGAGGCCCGTCATCGGCATTAAACGAATGCGCCCCGGCGTGAAGCAGTGACAGTTATGTTTTTCTTCCGGTTGAATGGTCGGAAAACACGCTTGAATGGTGCGAAACCTAGGTCATGGATGTCGGTCGCAGACCTGACGCCGGTGTCCGGTCTTTGACGTTGGCCAGTGCGATGTACCTACTGGTGGGACAAACGAACGGGCTGGGCGGCGGGTCCGAATCGTAAACTCCGACATGACTCCGCCACCGAATTTGTGGCGGAGACTATGATTGTCGCCTTGGCGCTACATGAACGCTGGCACCTTTGCTTATCGGCGGTGTCAACGTTAGTGCTTCTCCTTGGCTGAAACCTGCCACTTGCTTAACTTCACCACACAGCACACCCTGGAAATGGACACTGGGAAACCTTAGCACAGACGAAAATCCTCAAGGCCGTGTCACCGTCGCTCACTCGCAGCATTCCACCAGTTTCGACGAACTTGGGGTGGAGACACACAATACTATCACACCGTTTTCAGTACTTCAGGGTTCGTTAAATTGATCCTGATGGTATACTCTTTATTGTTTACTTCTCTCAGTATAAGCTTTCAGACCCAGGGTTCACGCTGCCTTGAGTCCTTGACATCACTGTCGCAAGAGTTAGCAAGCATACCTCGGCGCACGTTCTGGTCGACGTATCTCTCACCCCGTCTTTTACTGCACAATTACCATGAACAGCAGGTCTTACCTCGCTGAGCTGTTTTCCAATGTCTCGACCTCAGAGTCCTGGCGGTCCAAATTGAGAGTGGTTGGGAAAGTCTTGATGGAGATTCCTTCTCGGACATCAACGAAAGGAATGATTACTGATATGCGTGACATTGTCAGCGACCATGTCAGCATTGGTAAGTTGTCCACACTTTTCCGTCATCGGCCGGGGTCTGACACACAGACCAGCCTTCGGGACCGAAATTGTGACTGGGATCCTTCCCCACAAAGGTTCAATCACCGCACCTGAAGATATTGGACGTTGATGATGGACGCTAAGGAATGGATTTTGGGCGTGCGTGTCCCGATGGGGAAACCGCCCTTTCGGAAAGCCCTTGGCCGAGTGGCTTGCTGTCGTAAGTGTGAGTAAATTCGAAGTTGGACTCAGTTCACACATCACTGATATTGCCATAACAGTCCCAGCCTTGGTGCTTGGGACTGAGTGGTGGCACTCGCAAGATGCGTCAGCTGTGCATCCCACAGGCGGTAAGGTGCTTCGTTGCTGACTGTCGGCAGAGATTTTCTCCCAGTGGCCAGTGAACGGTGCCATGTCTGGCCGGGCCCGTGGAAGCTTGTGAACTTCTGACCGAGGGCTTTCGGAGTTGGCGCCCGTGGTCCACACGTTCGCCAACGTTGGCCCTGGGGGGGTGAAGTGAGAGGGCACGGGAGGCCACGTTCGCGGGAGGAGGAGGCGCATCGCTCTCCGGTTGACGTACATGCCCCGATCGTCATGGGGGGTCATACCAGGCGCTCGCGGCACAGACTGGCAATCGTCATACTTACCGCGGGTCGGGCGCGCACCCAGGCGCACCCCGAGCGCCCAGAGTCGAGGTTCCCCAGACCCGGTAGGAAACGCCGCTGGGACACGCGCCCAGCGACACACGGGTCAAGTGATGATGCGAAGAAAGACGAGGGTCTTTCTGGTGAACTAGACAAGGCCTGAGCAAGCAAGAGAGGTAAGCAGGAACAGAGGCGTCGCTGACGTAAGCTGACGCCCCCACTGCAGGCAATGCAATGCCACTCGCCCGCCTCCGTGCTGCCATCCACCATACTGTATATATACAGCTTCCGCCATGGCACTCTCCCTCCTCTCTCCGTCCGTTCTGTACCCTCCTCTCATTCATGGCTCTCGACCTCTCTAACCGTGTCGATATCATCGACATGCGTGCCCGCCAAACTCCTTCCTCCGCCTCCGTGCGCGACGACATCCTCGCCGGCCTCAACAAGCCCGTGGGCGAAAAGCAACTCCCCACGCTCCTCCTTTACGATGAGGTTGGCCTCCAGATCTACGATGAGATCACTACCAATGCCAAAGAGTACTACCTCTTTCCCGCCGAGGAGGAGATCCTCAAGAACAAGGCGGATACCATCGTGAAGGTCATGCACTCTGCAAACCCCGCGCAAGATTCGCTCGAGGAGAATGTAGTCGAGCTGGGAGCCGGGTGAGTCTTCATCTTGATGTCGCGAACCACTCGTGCTCTTTCTGGCAACTGGCTTCAATCCCTTCCGCGCTCACTGTCTTTCGTGTTATCACATGAGCTGGGTTATCTCTATCCCTACTTCCGCTCTTCTTCCCGCGGAGTCCCATTTTGACTATCCACATCTGTCACGCGGAGTATAGCTTCTGTATCTTATCAGCGCGCCTTCGCCGAGTCTCAAGTACGGCGTATATAAAGCGTGCATTCTGATAGCTCGTACAGTGCGCTCAGGAAGACCTCCCTCATTCTCCGTGCACTATCACGTCAAGTGCCCGAGCCTTTCAACACCCCTCCTATCAACTACTACGCTCTCGACCTTGAAAAACGTGAACTCGAACGCGTACTCATGGAGGTCAACCACTCGGATATGGGACCCGAACTGCAGGGCAAGGTCTCCACCAACGGTCTCTGCGGCACCTACGACGAGGGCCTCAAGTTCATTGAGGATGGCGGCCTTTACGCTCGTACTAGTCTGAATGACATCGACACTTCGTTTACTGCGAAGTATCCCCTCGAGCCAGTTGCGCGCGACGTCTCACCCAGCTCCGACTCGTCGGATCGGAGTCGCACCGTCCCAACCGAGGGTACGGAGGCTACACCCCCATTAACCCCTAGCGTCCAAACGCCTCTCCACATCCTATTCCTGGGGTCTTCACTTGGCAACTTCACGCGCGGGGAAGATGCGCGGTTCCTCAAGTCTTTGCCCCTTCGTCCGGGCTCTGGCAACACCTTGCTGCTCGGCCTCGACCACGGCAGTGACGGAAAGCAGATCGAGGCCGCATACAACGACTCCAACGGCATTACGCGCAAGTTCATCATGAACGGGTTAACATGCGCCGGCCGAGCGCTCGGCGACGAGAAGCTTTTTGAACAAGACAAGTGGGAATACGTGGGGCGTTACAATGAGGAGCTCCGTAAGCCCCCCTTCTTCGATGTTTCGCCATGACGCAGTTCTGATGTGCATACGCACGCTAGGCCGTCACGAGGCATATTACAGGTCCACATGCGATCAGACGGTCGTTGACCCCGGGAGCAAAGCATCCTTCCCATTCGTAAAAGGGGAGCTTGTACGTGTCGAGGTTTCCAACAAGGTGCGCCGGTCGCCTAGTGTGTGTTCGCCGGGCACCATTTTGACCAGCATGTAGTTCTCTGAGCGCGATGCCTATGCGCTCTTTACGGAAGCAAACCTTCGCCCGGTGCATCGCTGGACGGACAGCTCCTCCCAGTACTCTCTATGGCTCCTGGAACGCCCACGCTTTTCGTTCCCGCTACTCACCTCCCCTGGCCGCACCCAGGATGCCTCGCGTTCTCCATTCTCTCTCCCCACTATTGACGAGTGGCGGCACATGTGGGCTGCCTGGGACTTCATCACACGCGAGATGATTCCTCAGTCGATGATGTTCGAGAAGCCTATCGACCTTCGGCACATCTGCTTGTTCTACTGTGGACATATACCCACGTTCCTGTCTATCCACCTGGCGAGACTGCTCAAGGAACCTGGTACCGAGCCTGTGGAATTCAAGGTGCGTTTATCTGACTTGGATCACGTACAAATGCCTGATCACGGGTTTCCCCATTCAGTACATCTTTGAGGTTTGTCCTGATTGTGCATTGCTCGGCATCGCGCCCGCCTTCTAATCCCTATCGCAGCGCGGCATCGATCCTATCGTCGATGATCCGACACAATGTCATGTAGGTCTTCATTTCCGCGACAAAAAGCGCCCTATTGATGAGATGGTCAATTCCTTTAGCCTCATTCCGAGGTGCCTCTGCACGACGAGGACTGGCCCTCCCTGCGCAGCATCTGGGAGTTCCAGGCCCGCGTGCGGACTCGAGTACACGACCTCTACGATGATATTGAGTCTGGGAAAGTAACGCTCACTCGCAAGATCGCCCGTGTACTTTACATGACCTTGGAGCACGAAGCATTTCACGCCGAGGTAGCTGGCATTCTCCTCGTTATACGCACGACGTTTCTGATGAGGGCAATCGCAGACACTCCTTTACATGCTCCTCCAGCGTGCCGGCACCGGCACGATCCTCCCACTGGCTTTGTATCTCCTCCCTGGGAATCCTCGCTGAGGCTTGGGATACGCATCCCCAGCCGGAGACCCCAGCCGTCACTCTCGGCCCGGCCACGCTTTCCATGGGCCACGACGACGACGAAGCCGACGATGACTCGACGGAAGTGCTCAGCCACGACTTCGGCTGGGACAACGAGCACCCGAAGCGCACCGTGCAAGTCGAACGGTTCCGCATCGAATGGCGACCTGTTACCAACGGACAGTTCTTCGACTTCTATGTGAAGGAGGGTGGCAAGGACCTCGTCCAGCTCCCGAAGAGCTGGGTGGAGATCGACGGGGAGATCTTGGTGCGAGCCGTGTTGCTTTTGCTTCACCCTGGTGATTTGAAGTTGACTCGGTGTTCAAGGTGCGACGCTGTACGGCCCAGTCCCGATGAAGATCGCTAGGAACTGGCCGTTCGCGTCGTCGTACGACCACCTCTCCAAGTACGCGACCGTCAAGGGTGGACGTATCCCCACCGAGCCTGAGCTCCGTCTCTTCATGGACAAGTTCGAGTGCGGCTACGAGGGAGGCGCGAACATCGGGTTCCGCAACTGGCATCCAATTCCGTACGTTGGGCCTCGACCACTGAGCCGAGAATGTTTCTCTGACCTCAAAGCTTTGAATTGGACAGACCTACAGCCGGTGGCACAAGGACGGAGGGAAGGGTCACAATGGCGGGTTGTGGGAATGGACGTCGTCCGTTCTCGAGAAGTATGACGGGTTCGTGCCGTCGAAGCTGTACCCTGGGTGCGTTTGTTTCCCTAGGGCTCGCGTATGACGCTGACAGCTGGTGCAGGTACTCGACCGATTTCTTTGATACCCATCACCAGGTTGTGGTACGTCGATGCCTCTCCGCGTTCACGGCTGCCCCTGATGGAGAATCGCAGATCGGCGGATCGTACGCAACGATTCCTCGTCTGGCAGAGAGGCGCACGGTGCGCAACTACTACCAGCACAATACCCCTACGCGTGGGTCACCGCGCGCATCGCGTACACATCTGAGATATCTTGGTATTGGAAGACGGGAGAATGGCAAAGGAAGCTATACCAATGTACATCTACGGAAAGGTTTTTGGATATGTTTCAAACGACCTTGCACATGTTGTCTTGTATTAAGCAAGCAAATCGCATAATCGTTGCTCCGTACACAAGGTGCTACTATACAACATGCGAGGAGGCGATCGTCAGTCTGCTGCCACAAGTTGCGCCAACCTGACTTCCGAGTTCATCACTGACCGGACGCGACGCGGTCGTGCCGCGAATACGTCAATGGATTACTCTATGCACCCCTCCATACATCCCTTCTTTGCTCGCTCGCATGAATGCAGAAAGTACGCACCGTCGCGTTCATGGTCTCGACGATTGCCAATGCATCGACGCGTTTGCGGGATATCCCCACTGTGGCGTCACAGTTCTGACCTGGAGTTGAAGAACATGCTTGACCCGTCCAGGTGCAGCATGTTGGAGAGGAGGCGACACGTTCATAAGGCCCGACATGATAACGTCGATGTCATCGCTCGACGGCGGGGGGTCTTCCAGCGCGGCGGCCGCGGACTTGACCCGGGTGTGGTCGAAGAGCTCGTCCTCCTCCAGCTTCTTCACCGCCGCGCGGAGGTTGTTCATCACTTGCTCAAACATTCTGCAAGCACGCGCACAGCGTCGTCAGAACTCCGGCGTGCGTAGAAACGAGAGCCAGAAAGAAGACGTACGATTCTCCTCAGCGGGGGTCAGCTTGTGGCGCGAGGACGGGCGCGGGAGGACGAGCGGGTCGCGGCTCGCCTCCTCCTCTTCCGCGCGGGGGTTGTGCAGGCCGATCGCGTCTTCGCACTTGCGCTCGAACTCGCTTTCGGAGAGCTCGGCGTCGACCATGGTCGTCTCGTCCGGCCCGTAGTCTGTGCCGATGGTGCTTGAGGGCGAGGGCGCGCGCATGACGGTTGGTGCATATTGGAGGTCGGTGGGATGTACGACGTAGAGTTGGGGAGGCATGGCCGGAGACTGGATAGCGTCGCAACAAGGTGACCGGTGAATGTGGCTCCGGAATGGTGGCGCCCAGTTGATTCTGGCTTGCAAGGATACCTAATTAGAAAACGCGTGACAAGACCCTAGCTAATGACGCGACGCGTCGAAATACATGGACAAATAACGCGTCGGTTGAAGATGAGAAACGCGTCCATTAGTCAGGCGCGCCGCGCCAATTATAAGAGCGCGCGTCGGGACGCGTTCTCTCTTTCCTGCAGACCACCACCTCCCTCCCCTCCTCCACCTCCCGTTCCCTCTCCTCCGACCTTAACATTTGCCTTGCGTGCCTCCTCACTCATGGCCTTTGTCTACAAGCGAGGTTAGCCTTCCTTCCTGTTATTTTCTGGTCCGCCCACTGAAGCTGGCTTCACTCTTTTCCGCCCTCAGACGGGTAAGTCGCGTCTTAACGCGTTCCAAACTCACCACAGAGCGGCCAACTGATCATATACACTTCTCTAGTCGCAAGGAGCGCGTCCAGTTTGATAAGGTGCGTGTTTCGACGCGTGTCTCGCCTTGTGCATCACTCATGGACGTTGCAGATCACGGCTCGGATAGCTAAGCTTTGCTACGGCCTCGACAAGGATCATGTGGACCCGATCGGGTATGTCTCTCGCATTTCATGCTTTCAGAAAACTAATCATCGCCTGCAGCATCACCCAAAAGGTCATTGCTGGCGTTTACCCTGGTGTCACGACGGTAGAGCTCGACGTGAGTGTTCTCTGTCTATTTGCGCGAGACTCCAATCTCAGAGAGGAATAGAATCTCGCCGCCGAGACGTCCGCATACCTCACTACCAAGCACCCCGACTACGCCATTCTCGCCGCTCGCATCGCTGTATCAAACCTTCATAAGGAGACGAAGAAGAACTTCTCCGCTGTAATCCACGACCTGTATCATTATGTCAACCCCAAGAACGGCAAACCCGCTGGTATGATATCGGACGAGACGTACGAGATTGTACAGAAGAACGCGGAGATGCTTGACTCAGCGATCATCTATGATCGCGACTTCAACTACAACTAGTGAGTGCTTCTGTCCTCGACCTTGGGCGCTTAGATTTACTTTTTCTTAGCTTTGGTTTCAAGACTATGGAGCGCTCGTACCTGCTGAAGATCAATGGCCGTGTTGCGGAGCGGCCACAACACTTGATCATGCGTGTCGCCGTTGGTATCCACGGTGCTGACATCGAGCGTGCCCTGGAGACCTACAACCTCATGTCCGAGCGCTACTTCACTCACGCATCTCCTACCCTCTTCAACGCCGGCACGCCGAACCCTCAAATGAGCTCATGCTTCCTCGTCTGTATGAAGGACGACTCTATCGAAGGCATTTACGACACTCTCAAGGACTGCGCTATGATCAGCAAGACTGCGGGTGGTATTGGTATCAACATCCACAACATCCGTGCGACCGGGTCGTACATCTCCGGTACCAACGGCTACTCCAACGGTATCGTCCCTATGCTTCGTGCCTACGACTCCACTGCCCGCTACGTCGACCAGGGAGGCAACAAGCGTCCGGGGGCTTTCGCCATTTACCTCGAGCCGTGGCACGCCGATGTCTTCGAATTCCTCGACCTCCGCAAGAACCACGGCAAGGAGGAAGTGCGTGCTCGCGATCTGTTCTACGCCTTGTGGATTCCGGATCTCTTGTGAGTCTTATCCTTTCGTAACGGCGAATTATGAGGCTGAGATGCCCCGTAGCATGAAGCGTGTTGAGGCTGGTGGCAAGTGGTCGCTGTTCTGCCCCAACGAGGCGCCGAATCTTCACGAGGTCTGGGGTGAGGAGTTCGAGGCGCTTTATGAGCGATACGAGCGCGAAGGCCGTGCTCGCAAGACCATTGAGGCCCAGAAGCTCTGGTACGCCATGCTGGAGGCGCAAATCGAGACCGGCGGTCCCTTTATGCTCTACAAGGATGCCGCAAACAGTACGTTGCGCCAACTTTGCTTCTGTCGATCATCTGCTCATTCTACTCGAAGGGAAATCCAACCAGCAGAATCTCGGCACGATCAAGTCCTCCAATCTATGCACGGAAATCATAGAGTACTCTTCGCCTGACGAGACCGCTGTGTGCAACCTGGCATCGATCGCTCTTCCTTCGTTCATCGAGAGCGGGAAGTACAACTTCCAGAGGCTTCACGACGTCACCAAGGTTGTTGCCTTCAACCTCAACCGTGTCATCGACGCCAACTACTACCCCATTCCCGAGGCCCGCAAGTCCAACATGCGCCACCGTCCCATTGGTATCGGCGTGCAGGGCCTCGCCGATGCCTTCATGGCCCTCCGTCTGCCCTTCGACTCCGCCGAGGCCCGCAAGCTCAACCTGCGGATCTTCGAGACCATCTACCACGCCGCGGTTGAGGCCAGTTGCGAGATGGCTCAAGCCCATGGTACCTACGAGACGTACGAAGGCAGCCCGGCGTCGCAGGGCAAACTCCAGTTCGATCTCTGGGGTGTGACGCCGACTGATCTCTGGGATTGGACGAGCCTCAAGGCCAAGGTGGCGCAGCACGGTCTCCGCAACTCCCTGCTTCTGGCTCCTATGCCGACGGCTTCGACGAGCCAGATCCTCGGCAACAACGAGTGCTTCGAGCCGTACACGAGGTGGGTATTCGTGACGTCTTCGCAGCTTCCGTGGCTGACATCCTTTGCAGCAACATTTACACTCGCCGTGTCCTTGCTGGGGAGTTCCAGGTCGTCTGCCCATGGCTACTTCGTGAGCTGGTGGAGCTGGGTCTCTGGAATGACGACATGAAGAACATGATCATCGCCAACAATGGCTCCATCCAGAACATCGACATCATCCCCGATGACGTCAAGGCCATCTACAAGACCGTCTGGGAGATCTCGCAGAAGAAGGTCATCGACATGGCCGCGGATCGTGGCGCTTTCATCTGCCAGTCGCAGTCGCTGAACGTCCACCTTCAATCGCCAACCACTGGTCAGCTCACAAGCATGCACTTTTACGGCTGGAAGAAGGGTCTCAAGACGGGCATGTACTACTTGCGCACTCGCCCCGCGGCTCAAGCGATCAAGTTCACTGTCGATAGCTCCTTCCTGAAAGCCGCCGCCAAGAAGTCTGCGCAGAAGGCGAACGGCATCACCAATGGCACCGTTGACGACGTAGTCTCCACCGGCCTCCCTCACTCTTCGACCCCCTCCCCCCCGGCGCCCTCAACACCCATCAAGCAGGAGCCTGTGACACCTTCTCTGAGCACCCCCGTTACCAATGGCGTGTCGACACCCACACCGGCCTCCCCATCTCCTGCCCCTACCGCCGATTCAGCGCTGGCCAGTGCGACTGCCTCGTTGACTCTCGACGAGCGCATGGCGAAGGCGGCCGCGCAGGACCCCGAGTTCGCCGCTGCGCTACAACGCGCGCGTGACCTCGAGCTCGAGCAGGCGAAGCTCGCGTGCTCGATCGAGAACAAGGAGGCTTGTCTCATGTGCTCTGGTTGAGCGCGCTCCCCAGGGCGCGCCCCGATCTCGCTTCCGGTGTCATACGTCGTGGTGGACTCGCATGTACGCAGCTGTGTATTGTTTTGATCATGTTCTCGGTGTATCCATGTCTATCTGTTCCTTGTCTATGGCTCTCCTCACATAGCCTCTCATCTTGTACCGTTATGACACCCGCATATCTAATAGACTGGCATGAACTCTCGTTTATTGACCGTGCGCCGAAAAAGCTCGATCTGGACGAGACCAATTTGTTCCGCGGGATTCGGGAATTAAAGTTGGCGAGCGTGGGAAGGATGCGGTCAAGCCCACGGCGGACCCCTCTCGACCTCCTCCCTCCCCCTCGTCAGCGGCGGCCATGTCGACGACGGCACTCGCAGTGCACCCACAGCCGTCCCCTGTGTGCCGGCTTCCCCCAGAGCTGCTCATTCACATCTTCGTCCACTGCTCCGACCCCCCCTCCGACCAACTCACCCTCCTCGTCCTGGGCCAAGTCTGCCGCCACTGGAGAGAAGTCAGTCACATATCACCGCGCATATGGCAGCACATCTATCTATGCGAGAGCAACGGCACCAGCCTTTCTCACAACCAGGCCCTTCGATGGATGCAAAATGCCAGTCCCCTCCCTGTCGACGCTCATATATGCACGTCCACCACGGACATGATCCTCCCCCTTATGTCCCCCCTTATGTCCGACATGCGGCGGCTCGAGCGGTGTGTCATTTCAGGCCGCCACGAAGAAGAGTTCAAGTTCTTCGAGCACGCTTTCGACCCCGCACGCACATGCCTCGTCGACGAGCTCGGCCTCCTCATCAAGGGGTCCTCTGCTCTCGATCCCCTCGGCCTCAACGCCAATTCCGATACCGCGGACGACCGGCCCTTCCCAAACATCTTTCAGGTACACTGCCCATCGGAGGGGCCTCCGGAGCTCGCCTTCCACTTCTCCCTGTACGCCCTCCCCCTTCCTTTCTCCATGTACCCGATCCCCGTCAAGTCGCTCTCCATCACCGAGTTTTCTCTGGATGTCACGACCGACATTCCGCGCATGCTCGCCTTCCTCCGCTGCACCCCCGCGCTCGAGATTCTCCACTTCGCCGGCTGGCCTCAAGAGGGCGATCCGATCCAGCCCGGGAAATCCACCCTGTCACACTGTCTTACCTGCATACCCTCCGCATCCGGAGCACAGTCTCCGTGCGCGCCATCCTCGCGCACCTCCACGCCCCTGCGCTCCGGGAACTCTACCTCGAGCACACAAACGTGGACTTCGAGCTCCGCACGGAGCCGTACGTGCACGCACAGGCGCCACCCGAGGACGGCGAGTCGGACGACGAGGCACACGACTTTTCGCAGTCCCCATGGTCAGACCACGCGACGGGCATGGGGCTCCGCGCGCTTCTCCGCCGCAGCCAGCCGCCGCTCGAGGTCCTCCACATGGACTACACCGATCTGCGGACGAAGGACTTCCGGTGGGTGTTCGAGCATCTCCCCCTCCTCCGCGAGTTCCGCATCGTCGGCTCGGACATGTCCGACCGCGTCGTCGCGATGCTCGCACCCTTCCGCCTGCGCCTCGCCGGGGACGGCCTCCGCATCGACGACAACGACGGTGTGTGGAAGAAGGAGGGCGAGAGCGCGTGCGAGTTTGGACCGTGCGCGTCCCGCGACTCCAGAGGCTCGAGGTGTGGCACTGTCAACGCATCTCGGGCGACGCGGTCGTCCGCGCACTGCGCGCGCGAGTTGCGTTCACGGATCTCGCGGCGCAAGAGGGCTGGGGCAACACTCTGGAGAACATCACGATCGTCGGGTGCGCCGATTTCGTGTTCCAGCACGCGGAGGCGTTGGAGGCATCGCTTGGGCAGCGGCTGAGGCTCTCATGAGTCGTCAGTCGTAACTGGGCGTGATGAACGTCGTCACCTATCTCTCCCATCGGGTTCGAGGACTTGGGGCTGCGCCCGTGTATAATACTCATCTCTGTACGATAGTGCTCTCTCCTCGCTGCGTTTTGCGCTCCGAAACTTTGTGCTGAATGCTCGCTCGTTTTCTTGTGGACTCCTCATTTGTAATGGTACTAATCGTCCTTCTGACTCACCGCAGTTCATTCACTCGTACATAGCACGTTACGGAACACGAACACATCACAATACATCGTACAGATGTGCAGGGTCGTTGGCGGTCTTCACGTTGCCGTTTCGTCTCCATCTGTCCGCTTAGATCTATCTTCATCTCTTAGTCGGCGTAGGCTCGCGAAACAACATCATCGTCGCATCCCTCGTCGTCGGTTTATATACCTATCAGATCTATTCGTTTTCACACTGAAATACTCTGAGTCGGTGCTGCATGTATGTCATCGCACGCCTCCCTTGCACGTACATGTGGAATCACCATGACACAACCATTCAGCATGCCGCCCAGTAAATAATTGCAAGGTCGCGATGCAGTCTCATGTAGAATCACAGGTTTGTGGGTATAGCAAGATGTGCGCCAGTGCCATGCTACCGATGACCTTGGCCTGACGTCCTCGTGCGCTGCTCGGAACTGCGGAAGTTACAATCAGCGGACGAGAGCCACATGTGCGAGGCCCACCTCATGCTCCTGGTGGGCTCGCGACGCGGGGCGCGGGCGGCGTACTAGGTGACGGGGATTGGGTATGGGAGGTGAAGTAGGCGAACTGTGAAGGAGAGTTGTAAACCCACACGCACAGTTGTCCAGCAGGTAATTGATGTGTACGGGTCGCTCACTAGCAATACATAACAACCCAGCCAAATCTGGTGAAATACCAGTTAAACGGTACAGCTACAAATAGTAATTTATTGCTACAACAATCTCGGCCACACATGAGAAAAAAAACAGCAACTCGCGAGTCCATCACCTCGGGGCCCAAACTCCACTCCTAAGTGCTCGCTGAAAAATGTACGCCTGTGAGTCCACGCTCCGCTTCGTGCGGATCACCCTCAGCTCCTCGAGTAGCGTCTGTCGGCGGTACTCCAGGCGCAAGTTCGGCACGTTTGTCTGTGTAGCCAGCCCCGTGTCGTCATTATCAACGCAGCAACTGCGGGGTACAAAGACCGACACACCTTGTTGATCTCGTTACCCGCCGCGCCGGGTAGATACCACTTCTGCCCGAGCCAGTGGCGCTTGACCTCCATCTCGAATCCGCTTGGATGACGGAGTTGCGGGCGAGCTCGGCGAGGGAGCTCTGCGGGAGCTTGTAAATCTGCGCGAAGGGCGGGCCAAGCGGAGTGGGGGAAAGGTGTGTGAGTAGTGCAAAGAGACATGGAGGCGGATGGCTCACATGGCGGCCACGCTGTACTCCTCCAGGAGCGGTTCCTGTGAGCGTTGGGGTCAGCCTCTCCCGTCTTCTCGACTGCGCCGCACCACGGGACAATGCGATACCTTTGTGAAGTGGAACTGGAGTGGATCGTCCGTGCTCAGGCTGACGTTGAGCCCGACATGGAAAAATTGCGGCAGCGGGTTGCGCTCGTAGGTGAGGAAGAGTGCGTTGTTGCTCAGCGGGCTCATCGCGATGCCGATCTGCTTCAGGTAGAAGAGTACTGGAGCGCGGGGACCTTGCGCAGCAAGATGCCATGCGAGATCGAGTGCGCGGTAAGGAATGCCGACGCGAGATGGTCCGGGTCGCCCGCTTCGCCGCAGTGGGGACGGAAGACGAAGGTGCCTACAGCCCAACTTGGGTTAAATTCGTGAACGGCCAGATGTGTGCGCGGACACTCACAAAATCCTCGCGCGCGACGCCAGTGATTGAGGCTGGCGATGTTTGCGTACATGTAATAGACCCTGGAATGACGTTGGCTCCGCGGAGTAGTTCGACACAACGCATGACCCACCAGTACGAGTAAGGTGGTGACTCCTTTGCGGACCACAAGCGGGGATAGGGGAACTTCTTGTGGAAGCGGCGCTCAGTCTTGGACTCATCGTCCACGGTGTCAAAGCCGATGACGCGTTGAAGGAAAACATGGAGTTCTGGGTGAGACGAGGGGTCTTTTGTGACCTCGAACAGCGGCTGGAAAACGTCTGAGACACGTTATAAGCAACTGAGTGGAGATGAGAATGTCACTGACGTACTGCGCACGATGTCCTCGAAGTTTGGACCGATCCGTTGGCCTTGTACACGTCGTAAAGACGGGGCACCTGGATCAGCCAGCGCACATTGTGAGAATACAGCTTGTGGTTCACGATCCACTTCGCCAGCTTGTCCCACTCGTCGTAGCTCCTTCCGTAGATGCTAAGACGCCACTCGCAGTTCTGACAGGCGTGACATCAGACCGCGATATCGTTCCCACTCAACGAGGCGCTCACCTGGTACTTGCTCTGCTCGAGATCGTTCATGACCTCTATCGCTTCCATGAGCACTTGATAACCACGCAGAAACACCCTGCACTCACCCTTGGTCAATTCCGCGAGATACCGGCCATGGATGTAATTGTCCGTCTTGAGGAAGATCTCGCGCAGGCGCGACTCCCCGATTGGGTTGTACTTCAGGTTGAACTTGTCGAACCGGTGGAACGAGTCCTGGTGCGCGTGCATGTCCAGGGTGTCGATCGAGAGGTCGTACGCGGTCAGGTTCAGAGATTGGAACACCTGCTCGAGCGTGAGCTCCTTCCCGTCGCGGAAGATCACGACATCCTGCAGAAAAGGCGCTTCAGATCGTGTGTTGAGGCTCGCGGTCGCTGGGGCTCACTTGCGGGCTGCGCTTCATTTTTGACTTGATGAAGCGCAGCAGGTGTTTTGGTTCATACTGCTTGAGTGATGGACGTGGGTGTCCACCTTGCGGACATTGTAGAAGTCGCTGGTGGCCACCGTCTTCGTCAGCGCGGACGGCGCAAGAGGTGGAAGAAGACCTCGCACCGGTGCGGAATGCCCTTCATCTCGGCCAGCTCATACTGCTCGTTCAGGAGGGAGTACATCGTGAATTTGCTCGCGAGGTAGTTCAGGCGGCGGAACGCGAAGCTCTTGGTGGGGCCGTCGCAGATAACGGCGAGCACCTTCTCCAGGTCGACGAAGTACTCGCGGATAGTAGGTATATCGAAGTGTGGCGTTTTTTCTGACGCGACGTGAGAGACGGTTGGACGGGATAGTAGTATGCATTGCTGCAGCGCCGTGTATGCCACACTGCAGGGGAGATGTCTGCTCGGGGCGACACTCCGAGGCAGCGCAAACAATCTATGAAGCTACCAACATACATGGTCTACTGGAATGTCCGCCTGAGCGGGCATTCGAAGTGACCAGGATGTCCTCCATCGTCACTTCGTCCTCTGGCCCTCCAACTGCCCGCTCAGGCGGACCTGCGAAGAAAGCACGCACCTTCTCCCTTGTAGACCTGGAACACGCCCTTCTCGTCGATGGCGAAGTTCCACTCGTGCGCCCCCGGAATGTCGCACGCGGTGAAGTCGAACTCTTCATCTTCGTCGGGTGCGGCACCGAGGTGTCTCGGCACAGCGGTGTCGTGCCCTTTCCAGTGCCAGTGAGGCGGAGGCGGGCGAGGGTAGAGGCGCCACGGCGAGAAGGGGCTCTTAGGCGGCTTGCGTGACGCGTAAACGACGTCCGGGCAGACGCCAGATACGCCTATGATGTCGTCGTCGAGCCCGGTGAAGACACCGTCGTGGTCGCGCGGGTTGAAGCCGAGCTTTTGGCCAGAGCGCGACATGAACTTGTCGCGGAGGTCGAGACATTCGTCGAGCGACTGGAAGATCGGGACGAACTCCGACGGGACGGGAGGTTCTGCGAGCAGACAGCGAATGCGCGAACGAGTCAGCGAGATCGAAATACGGGACCGGGGAGCTGGAGGGCGACTGGTAGGCTCTGGGGGCGCGAGTGCGCTCCTTGAATTTGAAGAGAACCTGCGCGGCGCAGCAGTCTCGACATTCTCCCTGATCGTGCCCGCGCGCCCCGGAAAACCGACTGGCGCGAATGGACAGTGAACGTGCAACGCACCTGGTGGCCTCGCCTGCCCTTCGCATCCCCAGGACTGCCCGGTACCATGGCCTCTGGTAGCGCCCACTCGTTCGCGGGCTCTGGGATCGACGAGAGCCTCGCGGCCAGGAACGGACTCTCGCGAGGACGCTGCGAGCCCGACGGCATATTCGGGGAGTTTAGCAGGGAGCTCGGTCGCCCCGTCGCGTTCGTATCGGACCCTCGGCGGTGGGCGAGCAACTTTTCTTCGATCTGTCACAGCGCGCTGAGGGTCAGCCGTGAGGATGCGAGACTGCGAGCGCGGAGGCCCGGGAAGGGGACTGGGGAACGTACTTGATGCAAGTTTTTCTCCTCGGAGTAGTCGAAGAATCCGCCTGTCGGATCGAATTTGGGCACCGGGGGCGAGTGCAGCTCAGGCCGGGAGTCGGAGGAACGACGGGAGGAGCTGCTGGAATCATCGTCCTGGATCTGGAGGGCGGAGATGGAAGGCAGCTGAGACATGGCGGGGGGAGACAAGGCGTGCGTCGACCCTGGGCGTGCACAGACGAAGAGCGCGGGGGCGGGGACGATGCGGGGACGAGCAGAGGTCGAGGGCGCGTCGAGGCAATGTATAAAAAGGCGGCAGTCGGAGCGGGCGCCGCATCGCGCGCCTCTCGTTCTGCCACCAGATGTATGCGTTTCGTTCGCCGGCCGACAAGCCCTCTCGCACCCGCCGATCTGAGCCAAAAGGCAGGCAACGTGTAGCACACGACGCAGAATACAGGTATCGTTACAGCTACTATATGGCGCAAGCAACAACACGACTCGTACAGCACCCCACGACCGACCGACAAACCCCCGTCCGATCGCCACGCAGGCAACCACGTTGCCACTAGGATGGTCTCGAAAGCCAGATGCAAAAGACCATTCACTCCTCGATCTCCAGGTCCCCATACGGCTTTGAGCGGAAGTAGCTCTCGTCGAAGTGGTGCACGCGGACAAACCCATCCTCGCCTCCAGACGCGTAGCAATCCCCCTTAGGAGACACGGCGATCCTGCCACACCGTAAGAACAGAAGCGCATGGTGCTTGAAGGGAGAATGAGTACGCACGTGTTGACAGGACCGAAGTGGCCTTTCACGCGGCCAACCTCTTCTTCGAACAGTTTGTGCCAGAACCGCGTCTCGAACTTGCCTTGCCGCAGGGAGGTTGTCGTGACGCTCATCGCATCCTGCCCGCCACCAAGGAGTACGTACGGCTTGCTCGGCGACAGGGCCGCACTGTTGAGGGGTGTTTCCGTGACATAGGTCTTGAGTACAGTGAGACTTTTGGTCTCGTGCAGCTATTCAAGAAGAGACGTTAGGGACTCCGAGGAAACGACGTCGAACGTGCGCACCCTGGCGGTCTTGTCCTTGCTGCTGGTAATGAAGTACGACCGGTCCGGAGCGAGCTGCAGATCCGTCACGACGTCACGGTGCGCATGCTCGTTTAGCATGACTTCATCGCCAGTTTTTGCGTCGAAGAGGGCAATCTTTCCGGATTCGTGGCCAGTGATGATCATATCTGGCCGGTGGGCGAATGCGCATACAACGGCTTTGGAGCCGATGGGGTGGAACATGGATGTAGGCTCTTTCGGTTCTGGGTGCATCACGGCACATGTTAGCACATGCACCTGCGAGGCACACGGTAGTAGGGGGAAGAAGCAGAGGAGGAAGAAGAGGAGGCTGGTGAAAGCGATGCAATTGGTGGGCGGAACTCACGATCCGTGCCATCTCCGTCCCGGTTAATCGTGAATATCCGAACAGCACCCTGGTAGCCCATACGCTGTTCCGTAATGCAGACAATCTGGTCGTCATCTTCGCTAAAGGCGACCCGTTTGACCGCAGTGGGGAATTCCCATTTGAAGAGACATTTTCCAGTTTGTACCGACCACAACCGCAAGGTGTTGTCGGCCGAGCCGCTCACGAGGAAATGCGACTGGGCTGGAAACGACCGGTATGCGAGTGGATCATACCGAAAGGACGTGTCAAGGAGGAAATCGTTCAAGACGCCGAATGAGCGGTTGTGAGACCACGGCAGGGAAAACAACGCACAGTCAACGTCGATCGTCCATACAGTGCCGTTGTGTCCATCATAGGTCCCAAGTCGTTCTCCATTATGGGTGTACCACACGTTGATGACGTGATCTTTTGAGCATGAAAACAAGAGATCTCCCTCGGGGTTGAACTTGATTTGAGTGAGTGAACGTTCGTGTCCTGTGGCATATGTAGATCAGCCTTCCGGAGCCGCAATTGAGATGGAATGCATAGAGACCTTGCAACAAGATGGGCCGCTAGGAGCTGCGTTAGTACCGGGGGATGAAGAAGTGGCTTCGACGTACCATTTTGAACGGCTTTGGGGGAGCAAGAGCGGTGGGAACGAATGGGAGTGAGATGGAAGGGTGTATGCGGGGAGCCTGACTCTCGCTAAGTTTTCGACGGGCTCAGGACCGCAACCCAATATAGAAATGTAAGCGCCAGAGCGCGACGGCTCGTGCATGGCGACACATCTCGCTTTCGAAGTTGCTGCATCCTCTCCGATCTGTCCTTGATCTGCATCCACCTCCATCTGTGTCCTGCTCTGCCCTCCTTTGCTCCTAGATCTGTTCCAACGAACTCCATCTGACGACATCTCTCCTCGGGCTCTAACCGACAACCTAGACCCTCGTCCTAACGTAACTCGCTCGTACGGCTCGTCATTGGCTGCGTCAGAAGTAAAGCCTACTGCGGTCCTTCATTTCGCCACTCACGTCGATGACTCTCTATACTGCAATATAGGCCCTCTCCCTTCCCTCGGTCATGTCCGCCTCCACGCAGGCCGCCTCGCAAGCGCCAACGAATCGCGGAGCGCGAAACCCGCTCGTCCGCATCGCCCGACAACGGTGCGGAGCTACCCTTGACGCCCCCTCGTGCTTTTGACTCGCACCCCCGCGTCGGAACATCCTTAGACGCATACACAAGCGATACAGCCCCTTCGCACACGTCGGACGTGGACGCAGGCCTGTGCGCCGACGACGGCGCCATGGCTGGCGAAGGCGCTGCTGACGAAGGCCCGAGCGGTGCGACGTGTCGGAGAGCATCAGCGGGCAGCGAGCGCGGGCCCGGCGGGGGCGGGAGTGGCAGGACGAGCGTCGCGGGGACGGATATGAAAGGCAAAGGGCGGGTGGGTCGGGCGGGGAAGAAGCACCCCACCCGCGCAGGGACCCCGACGTCGTCATCGCCAGCAGCCGCCCACGCCCACGTGTTGGAGGAAGAAGGGATGGCCTCGCACCCCGAGGGTGCGTCCCCCATTGATCGCCGCGCAAACGGAACCGAGGACAAGGATGATGCAAGTGGAGCGGGGTGCGTCCCGCAGAGCTTCGACGCCGGCAGCGCTCTGCCGACAACACCGCGGAGCCCCCGCGCTGCACCCACGGCGGTGCACGATGGCGAGTACTACATGGACAGCGCGGACTGCGTCGTCCGCGTGGGGGACACGCTCTTCAGGGTGAGTCCTGCTTTCTGTCTCGCCCACGCGCCGTCCTCTCCGCCTGAGTGCGCCCCAGACCGGCATGCTCGAATGACGTGCACGCTTGTGGGCATCGTTTGGCTCTCGTCCAGTTGATCCCGATGCTGATCTCGAGCCCTCCTCTCCCGATCGCCTGTGGTTGCCGCGCACGTTGTAGGTCCACCGCTACTTTCTGGGCGCGACTCGTCCGCGTTCCAGCACATGTTCGCCATGCCCCCGCCGACATACCGCCGCTCTCGTCGAGGGCTCATCAGATGACAACCCAATCTGGCTCTATGGAGAGTCGCGGAGCGCTTTCGGGCCCTACTCTCCGTCATCTACGCTCTGTACGTGTTCCTCTCGTTCAGGCCACACACTAGTCTAGTGTGCCCCGATTCCCCCCTCAGAGAAGTACAGCTGACTGGGTTCCCGCCACGCAGCCCGCTCCAGCTCCAAGCGTACAACACCCCGGCGGGAGACGTCGACCGTTTACTGACGATCGCAGAGATGACCAACAAGTACCACTTCGCGTCGATTGAGAAGTGGGCGGTCGACGCCCTCTACAACGTTATTTCCGGACTCCACGGTGCCCCCCAGGAACAGTACGCACTCGCCACATGCACCTCGGCGTGGATGAAGCGTCTCCTCGAGGTGGCCATGCTCTGCGACCACCCGCGTCTTAGGGACCTCGTCGCAGAGAGCTGGATGGTCCGGATCATCGCGCTCGACCTCCGCCCCGTCCACGCCCTCGATGTCGCCGACCATAGCGGCCTGCGCCATCTCAGGCTGCGCGTACTACGTCCAGCTCCAAGAGATGGGCGACGACTTCGACCCCGGCGTCGTCGAAGACGGCCCCGCCTTCTCCCGCGCGCGCTCCGACTCGCGCCATCCTCACCCGACCCGGGCGAGACGGACGGGCCCCGCCCCGCAGCGCCCACCCGCGCGACGCTCTCCCGCACGCAGCGGCAGCGGCTGCTCTCCGGGCACTGGTCCCTCTCCCGGCTCTGGGCGCGCCTGCGCGCCGCGCCGCCGCGGTTCGACCGCCCCGACGGGTGCACGTACCACCAGCAGGGCTGCGTGCGCACCTGGGCGCTCGTGTGGGCCGAGGTCGCGCGCACGGAGGCGACGCTGAGGCGCCCGGCCGTGGACGTCCTCGCGCGGCTGCAGGCGATAGAGGAGCAGCTGCTCGTGCACGCGGACCTCGCGTGCGCGCTTACGCCGGCGTGCAAGCGCGCGGCGTTTGCGGCACTGAGGGAGGTCGTGCTCGGCGTGCGGGTGGGGCTGGCGGACCACTTTGTGGACCTCACGGCGGAGGACGAGCCGGGTGGCGAAGGGCGAGAGGAGGAAGGCGTGGCGACGTGACGTGCTAGGATCCTGTTCTGAGTAGGCCGGACCGGATATCTTTATTCACATGGACATATGGACAGTATCTTTATTGCTGCAGTGGGTTCGGCATCAATGGCGAAAGGAATCACAAGTCGCAAGCCATCAGGTACGTTGTACTAATACCTCGGATTTGTCATCGGTTTTGCGGGATGATGGCCAGGGACGTCGGCCGCCGTCAGAATCCGGTCCTCGCCAATTTTACGCAGGTCGGTGCATATGTCGCCGAAGTGCTGTCAGATAGTTTGGGGGTGCTTTGCTTACGCGTAAGAAGGACAACGGATCATGGTGCCGTGGGGGCGCATGAGAAGGCGCACCAAAGCTTGTTGGGCAAGTGCCCGCCAGGCAAGGGTCACACATGAGCGAGAAAGATGTGAGTCAGTAAAACAGCCGAAGAAACAAAATCGGAAGTGGGCGCAGACGTCATGATGGCAGCCACCGATAACGTTGCAGGGTGAATGCATGTTCAAGATTTCGTGCGCGGAAGCGAGAGGCGGGCTAAACACGATCTTGCACACAGATCCTGAGGGCCAGCCGCGACCCTTAGCTCGCGAGGCGTTACCCGAGCCTCCATACCCTCTGCCGACGCGGGGGTGCCTGGTATTGGTGGTGAACGTTAATGTGAACTCCCATGTCGGCGCTCGGCGTACCTCTGCTGTTCGGATGCGGATCAGATGGCAGTGGCACATAGCCGCCTGGGGTGCTCGCGCGGCGCGCGCGAGCGGCTGGAGAGCGGGGGGAGGGGGAGATCGGCCAGCGGTTCCACCGCAAATACAAATTCGGGTGGGGATCGTGAACGAAGAAGGAGCTCGCGCGGCGTACGCGCGAGGGCGCGTCCTCGGGCTAAGCGGGAGAGCGCCGACTGCGAGCTTCCTGGGGATGCTCGAACGGCGTAGAGGATGAGGCTGTGGCGAGCGGGGACCTGTGGGCGGGCCGGAAGCAGGCCGGGCGTGGGTGTAGCAGAAGACTATGACGTCATGGGAGGTGAGTATGCCGGATCGAAAGAATCTGGGAGCCAGATCTCGCTGGAGATGCTTGCCCTTGCCCGTTGGCGCTGCGGGGGTCCCTGACATCATCCGAGGGACACACAGCGACCAAACAAGAGAGTCCGCATGCGGCTGCTTGCATCCTCGCGCGCGCAGGCTCCTGCCTCGGGCCGGTACCTGCACGGCAGAGCGCAATGCCCTGCAGGGCTGCAGGGCTGCCTGCGCACAGGACAGCATGCGCGGTGAGCGTGGAATGACGTCATCGGATTGGCGGGGGCAGGGACCATGAGGGCGGTGTGGCGCGCGTCGCGAAGCTGTGCCGCCTTGACTTCGCTCCGCTCGCAGCTGAAGAACCCTCTGGTAGAGGCCACCTGGCCGCGACGCCTGCCTGGGATGGTAGCGCGCTCGGATGGCGCAATGGCACACCCCTCCTTTCTCCACCCCATTGCGCTCGTGACCACTGCTGCTGTTCCCCTGTCCGCCGGCCTACTTCTCCCACCGTCGCCTCATAAGCATCTTCGCCTCGCCGTACTCCGTCTACACTGACACCCCCCGCCCCACACCTCGCCACCCCGACTCCCCCTTCCCCTCGCGCTACCACCTTCGCCAAAGCACATCCCCGCCCCGCCCTCCAAATCTCAAAAGTGTTCAAAGGCACCATGCGCGCGACCTTTCCGACATCGTCCCCTGCCCGGGACTTGGCTCCGAAGCCCGAAGCACAGCAGACACTCGCCGTGTCTACAGACGACCCATCCCGGCCCCCGCTCAACAGCCATCACGAACCCTCGCCACGCCCGCCTGCGCTTGGCGCCACTTCGCTCGCGCGGCACTCGTATTCTCCGACGACTGCGACCGGTGAGTCTCCCTAATCCTTCTCGCGTGCACCACCACGGGCATCGAATCGCCGGGCTATTCGTAGGACGTGGCAGACAAGGCCAGGGTGAAGCAAGGGCTAGCCGGCTACCTCTGGGTCTCTGGGCCCAGGGAGAGACCGCGCGACGCGCGGGGCACGTGACGGACACTGCGCGGGCCGGAGTTTGAATCTGGCTCTGGCAAACGGCCGCGGGACTATTTTCTTCACGCTGGACACCGCGCCAAACGCGCTGCCCTCGCCGCGCGCCCACCCCGCCAGACGGCCCTGGTCCCGTTACTCTCTCCGGAGCTGGCTGTAGTGCCCTCCGCCCGCTCTGCCTGTCCTTCCTTTCCCCCCGGCTTTTTTCTTTTCTTTTTGCCATGCCGATTTACTCTTATGCCCTTGCCCTCCACTAGTCGACCCGGCCGCCACCCCCACCCAGCATTCCTCCGGCCTTCCTCCCTGTAAATATCTCCTCCTGCCGCGCCTCGCTTCTGACACGTCCCACAGTCCTCGCTCCCGTGCTTGAGCTGCCCTCTCCCGAAGACCCTGACGCGCTTCCCCAGTTCGAGAACACTCCAGAAGGTTTCGTCGACCTCCTGCGCGTCACCGACGACAACACCATCTATAATCGGGCAATGTACCGCGCGCGGATGAGCTAAATATGCCAGATTCACGCTCCAATGGTTCTTCTTCCGACCCTGGACGACCCCCTCCCCGTGCAGAGGTGGTCGTTCCCTGGCCAGCCTCGTCGTCCTCCCGCGCGCCAGTCATTCCCGGCGCCGTTCTCCGCACCTCATTTCCCGCCCGCTCTCCAGAACCCGCTCCAGGACGCCCGGCCGCCCACCTCTGCCACCGCTCCTCCCTTCCAGGGCCACCCTCACCAGTACGCATACGGACAACGCGGAGCGTTCGTCGGACAATATACGATGTCCGGCCAACCCATGGGCATGGTGCACCAGCCGCCCCCGCATTTTGGGTACCCTCCCCCACACCCGGGTCTCCACGCTCACGACCATTCCATGCACGCGTCCCCGCTAAACCAGCACCTGGGCTACTCCCCAAGCACCCTCATGCCCATGATGCAGGCACACTCGCCCGTGTACTCGTATCCTGGACACTCGTCACCGGAGCACAGTTCGTCTTCCAGTCACTCCTTTGCGAGCAACCCGCAATTGTTCACGTCGCATCCGCGGTCGCAAACGCTCCCCTCCCCTCCCCCTCAATCTCCGCATTCCCCTCCGACCTCCGGCCCGCCTCCTCACGGTATTCCTGTTTCGATGGCGCCCCCACACCCCTCGTCATACGCTGGTCAGGCGCCGTTCTCGCCCATGCGCTATTCGACTCCACCGTTTTCATACCCCGCCCACTCATTTGCGCCCTCGCCCTCCCTATATGCGTCTCAGTACCACTCGTCCTACCCCCGGACGTATCCGCAGGCGAGCACGGATCAGGATGGTCATGGGACTTGGTGGTATCTTCCTCCACAACCTGGATCGAACCAGTTTGGGTCGTTCCAGAGTCCGTTCGCCATGTCATATGGCTCAGTCAACACACACGACGCTGAGCAACACCCGTACGGACAAGCGACCGCATCCCCGATAACATCCACCGCGTTCCCTTCTCCGGCGTCCATGTCGGGGCCTGACGCTACCACTACCTCCATGGGCCCAACCGCGCTCTGCTCGCCCTCCGTCCAGTCTCCTGCGCTTCCTTCCTATGGCCATATCACGCCAGACGAACCACCGCCGTTACAGCGAGGGCGGCCGCCTGATACTAAGACCTCACCACCTCTGTCTCCTCTTAGTGTCGCAAGTAGCCACCCAGGCGCTGAACGGCCCGAACAAGCGCCTCGAAGAGCGTATCATCCCAACCCGCCAGCGCAACGCTCGGAATGGGTCGCATGGGCAGGGAATGTCCCCTCCGACGCGACACACGACGAGCTCTGGCGCTTCTTCAACTCCCCGCCCAGCCCTGGATCGACAAGCGCACTCTCCGCTGGGGCTCAGTCCACTCAGAGCGCACCGGCTGGCCTGGCCCCTCCCTCGCTCACCGGCTCCTCGGCATCGACTGAGTCCCTGCACGGCGGCGTATCGTCCATCTTTCTCATCACCCGCTCAAATTGCGCGTTCATCAACTTCCAGACCGAAGCGCACCTCCATGCCGCGATCAAGCATTTCAACGGCGTGCCGTTACGGCCGAACGACCCACGTTGTCCGCGCCTCGTGTGCCGCATCCGTGGTCGTGACGACGACCTCAAGGCCGGGGTCGGGGGTCAAAGAGGTGCCGGCGTGCACGTCCGCTGGGTCAAAGAGAAGCGCGAACGAGAGAAAGAGGCCCTACGCCGGCTATCGAGCGCTTCTGGTACGTCGACGTCGTCCGCCGACCGCATCACATCGGCCTCGATGTCGCCTACCGATGCCCTACACGTACAAGGCCTGTCACTCTCGAGCGACGATGAGGCGGGTCTGGGCCGGCGTAGGAGGCCAGACCCTCACTCGAGCAGCTCCGGCTCGTACGCGTCGACGAACTCGAGCATCCTCACCACGAACTTCCCGAAGCGATATTTCATCCTCAAATCGCTTACGCAGGCGAGTGGCGTGCACTGCACGGTTTTGTGGTTTCTCGAGCTGACGTGTGCGCCAATCTCTAACAGTTCGATCTCGATCTGAGCGTCGAGAAAGGCCTTTGGGCTACGCAGCGTCACAACGAGGGGATCTGGAACAAGCTTACCGGACGAGCAAGGAGGTGTACCTCATCTTCAGTGTCAACAAGAGCGGCGAGTTCTATGGCTACGCAAAGTAGGTGATTCCACCTTCCATTCCTGGACTATTCCAACGACCTCGATATTAGGATGGCAGGCCACATCTCTCGCGGAGAACAGCAAGTTTTCTGGGCCTCACGCACCTCTCGAGACAGCCCCACGACGAAAGGGAAGGAGAAGGAGGCGACGTTCTTCTCGCCCAGCGAACAGCGTTTCGACGAATCGCCCTTCCCGATGTCACCGGAGAGTAGGTCCATGCTTGGTTCAACCCCGGCCTCGTCGGCGCCGCTAACGGAGCGCAAGGGAAGGAGCAGAACTCTGCCCCCGCTGAGATGTTCCAGCCTCACCATCGACTCAGCCAAGCGACGGAAGGACCGCATACGGCGGCGCAAGCCAGCTTCGACATTCACGCCCTGAGGCCCGTCGCAGCTCTCATCGCAACCCAGCACAAGTCGCAGTCCGTTCCTCGACCTGAGATTGAACTCGACAAGTCGGCACCGTTTCGGGCGATGCGAAATCCAGAAACCGTGGAATCCGTTCGTCCGTTGGGAGCTCCCCCTTGCGGTCCGTCCCCGAACAGGAGGAGCGCAGTCCAGGTGGAGGCCGCGACACAGGCAAGGCCATCGACACCTCGGCCGCCGCGACGCCCATTGCGATTTCCCCGCGTCCTGTTCCAGACCGGGACGGCCAGCCGGTGGGCGAACGTTCCCGTGCCCAGGACGACGGTCCCACCTGGGGCGAGTCTTTCCGCATCGAGTGGATCCGCACCGACCGCCTTCCGTTCACGCGCACCCGGCACCTGCGCAACCCGTGGAACCACGACCGGGAGGTCAAGGTTTCGCGCGACGGGACCGAGTTGGAGCCTGGTGTCGGGCAAGCGCTCCTCGACGAGTGGGACAAGCCCGAACCGCCGCCCCCAGCAGCCAGCGCCTCTGTCGACGTCGGCCGACGTCTAACTGGCCGCGGGTCGATCTCTGCGGATGTGCTCTCTCCACAGGCGCACTCTCGGTCTGAGAATCAAAAGAAAGAGGGTGCCAGGTAATGGACGCCGGATATTCGCTTGACACGGACGATACATCGCCGCTTGTTCCCTCCCCCTCCCGCTCTTTCACGCAGACTTCCGTTCGCTCCCCCGAGCTTTGCATGCCCGCCCTGCTTCATATCCCTTCCGTCGCCATCCATGCCAAGGGCTCTGGGTTGGTTTAACTCCCTGGGCCCACCGATCCCGGTGCCGATCATCATCCCCCCTCATCTACGAAACTGCTGCCTCGGCAGCGCTTACGGCACCGCACGCACGCACATACACGATGGCACGCACGCACTGCACGCTCACGTTATAACCTAAATCTTACCATACTCATCCCCTCGTCCGCGCGTCCGATCACACACGTATTGGAACTTGTAGAACCCGGGGATCTTTTGTTGCTGTCCGGGATCGTTCGTCCGCCATCTTGGCTATCGCACTCGCTTCTCAATGTTTTCGCGTTCCGTCACACATCTGTCTGTTCCTCCATCCTCACTGCCAGGGTTGTCTGTAGGGTCCACTTGTCGCTCTCTTTTCTTTTGGGTTGGCTGCTGTTGTCCGTCGTCGTCCTCGCACACGTTTCCGCTCGTTCGTTCGTCCGTCGCCCCCACATACGCATACACATTGGCACACGCACCGAACGCACACGCACACGCACCCTGCATCTCTGTCCCGTCCCGTCCCCGCTCCGATCGTTTGGTTGCTCTGTGGATCCCTCGCTCTAGCACCATTCCTTCCTCCCCGCCCCCGTCCCCGTCCCCCCGCGCATCGCTACTCCCTCCCCCCCCTTCGCCCGAATCATTGCACACGCATCCTCCCGCGACCCCATCTGGTGTATCCATAGTAGATCTGTCTCTCGTCGCTCTATCGCATACTGTAATCCCTCGCTCGTATCATGTGGCATTATACACGACACTGGATGCGCCGATGTGCGCCAGGCTTCTTGCGTGCCGTCCACGCTGGCTGAAACAACTTGTTCGATGGCTCGCTGAATGGCTGAAGTCTGCAGCCGCTCCATTCCGTGTACGTGGCGTGTCGGCGCACTTTACGTTTCGGATGCTCGTCGTCCGCCCGACCGCATCGCGGCGTGTTGCGACTGGGCGGAAATCACTACCGCAGCAGTTCCTTGTGCGCTCAGCGAGCGAACTTCACCTAGGGCGAGTCGCACTCCGATTGGTCCGCGCCCAGCTGATGATTACCGTCGGGTCTCCCTGGACGCTCTAGAGCTCCGTGCCGGCTCAGGCTCTTATCGCCGCAGTTCATCGACATCGACTGTTGTTGGAGCTCCACCGCTCTCGTGGAGACCTCCTAAGGGCCGTCGTACGGGGAACGGTCGAGTTGTCGGCATTGCGCGGGTCCGACGCCAGAACCAGTGGCGGTGCTCATAAGAAGGAGCGGCGACTCGCGGCAGCCCTGGCTGACGTCCCTGGCTTGTGGTGTCCGCACAGGTACGCGGCGGTTCATGGAAAAAGGTTAAACAAGAACCACTGACAGGTTACTGCGCGAATATGTGACGACGCTGTGATACGCACCAGAATGAAAATTGATCGCGTGGATACACACTGGCCTCGGGGATTGCGGGGCCGGGGAGGCTCATGTCTGGAACATGAACGGCGGTAAAACTTATGTTTTGGCGGATCCCAGGAGGGCGCGCTATTGCGGAGCTGGCGGAGTTCAATCTGAGGGGGAAGTGCGGGCCGCCTCGGCTCAAATGGAGAGCACGCGAGTCGCGTCGCGACGGTCATGTGATCGCGTTACCTCATGTTCGACTTGACGCGACCGCGTGTTCGATCCCTCCCAAGCCAACCTCACTGCAAACACCTTTCCTAGGCTCTAGCCGACGCGGAGCTCCCCACGTCGCCTTCCTCTCACTACACTCTTTGAACCACCGCGACACCCATCGACGAACGCTCCGCACAAACATCTATAACAGGACACATCGTCCATACCTTGCTACATCCTCACGTTAACCCTCAAACTATTTCGGGTCCAAGTCAACCATGACGGGACAGACCAAACAACAGTATCCCAGGTTCATCAAAAACTGGAAGCTGGGCCAGAAGCTGGGTGCCGGCTTTTCAGGTGTGTGCAGCGCATGTGTCCATCAAGGTCGCTCGTTTAATTCCGGGATCTGCAGGCGCCATCTTCGTCGCAGACCACGTCCACACCGGCCAGCGCGCCGCCATCAAGCTCCAGCCCGTCGATGAGCCAACCCCGACGAACCGCTACGAGCGTGCCTTCTACCCCGCCATGCAGGGTGGGACCGGCATCCCGACGCTGTGGGCATCAGGACAGGCTGGGACGTGGGACTACCTCGTCATCGATCTCCTCGGGCGCAGCCTGGACTCGCTGCACCGAGAGCTCATGCTCAAGCAGGACGTGTGGGACCTCCGGAGCGTGTGCAGCGTGGCCATCCAAACTGTGAGCCCCTCGTCCTTGTCCCGTCTCCCGCCCCGTGCGCGCGCGGGCAACTCCTAAAGGAGCCAAGATGTTCGACGTCATGTCCTTCTCCTTCCCCCCTTCCCGTGCTCTGGATACCACCGTTGTCCCGCTCTCCCGCCCCCTGCTAGAGACATGTTGACGCTCGGTGTGCGTTCGTCGGCGCACAAAGATCGACAGGATGCGGTGGATACACAGTCGTGGGATCCTCCACCGGGACATCCAGCTCGGTAACTTCGTGGTGGGCCCGTCGCCGAACCACGAGACGCTGTACATGATCGACTTCGGCTTCTCCAAGTTCTACATCGACCCCGCCACCCGACGGCACATCCCCGACAGCAAGGCGCCCCGCGACTTCATCGGCAACTACTGGTTTTCGTCCGTGCGCGTGCACTGCCAAGGCAGGGGTGAGTGGTTTGCTCTGTGCCCGCTCTCCTGCGTCTCTTTTTTTTTTTTTCGCGTAAGCTTTCGTGCAGACACGAGGCCCCGAAGCGGGAAACGTGCCTGTGCGCGATGTCTTCGCGCGCCTTGCGGCTACATTTGTTACGACACGCCACGTCGTGCAGCCCCAACGAAGTTTCCATGATGCACGGTGTCGGTTATCAACACGACCCTTGCACTGTGTACATATATGCGCTATGTTCAGGCTGCGCTCCTGCTTCTTCATGATGCACCACACATATGTGCATTATGAGCTTTTCATCTGAAGCTGGGCCGTGAGGAGTTGTTACCGGAACACATTGAAGTTTCACTGCAGAGTGATGGTGCGAAAAAACCACTATTGCGATGAAGCTGTTTTTGATTTCACTGAATTTGACACGACTTGACGTTTGCATTATCTAGTACCGTCACGAAGGGATGACATGGAGGCGCTTGCACTCATGCTCATCCACCTGCTCACACCTTACGGACTAAGTTGGACGCGGAACGGTATCCCAATGACGAATGAGGCGCACGAGCGGCTGAAGAAAGAAAAACGGCTAGCTCGCCCCGAAGACCTCTGTCATGGTCTCCCACCCGTGTTCGAGGAGCTCCTGCGCGCATCACGCAAGCACGATTTCCAGGGCTGCCCCGACTACGAGTACTGGATCGAGGAGTTCCGTGCGCTCGCGGACGAGTACGGCTTCGAGGAGATCGACCGCTTCATCTGGCCATCGCCATGCCCCAAGGTACGTAACGAGCAGTACGCGACCCTGTGCCACACGCTGATGTACCCCGTCACGCCACCCTTGCTCTTTTGTCTCGGTCGTGTTTGCAGCCGACGGTGCGCGTACGGGCAGCGCCCAAGCAGGCGGCGAAGAAGAAGGCGGCCACGGCGGAACTCGAAGGCGTCCTGCAGGACCTCGCGGAGCTGAAACTCGGCGAAAGCTCGCGCCAAGCGCTCGGCGAGCGCCCGCACCTTGTCAACCGCGGCTCGAACGGGGACGGGAAGAGCAAGGACAAAGTGAAGGACTCGATGGGCAAAAAGCCCGCCGCTGGCGCTGCGGGAGGCAGCGACTCGGACGAGAACGCGCCCACACGGGGTTCCGGGGCGGGCGTGGGGCGGGCGAAGGCGACGCGGCTGGCGCAGCTCGCGCGTGCGGCCGGCGCCGCGTCGGACAACCGGGGGCTCGCGGCGGTCTTGCGCGAGTTCACGCAGGTGATGCAGGAGAACCGGTCGCGCACGTTGACGAAGGAGGGCTTCGCGGTGCTCGACGCGCTGCACAAGCAGCTCGCGGACCCGTCGGTGTTCGTGGCGCCGGCCCCGCGCCGACCTCGCGCGAGCGGAGGAGGCAGCGTGGGGACTGCGGGGACGGCGGACAGCGCGAGGGAAACGCGGTCAGGGAAGATGAACAAGCTGTGGCGGCTCGGGGTCGAGGCCAAGACGGCGGGAGACAACGGGCAGCTGGCGCGGCTGGTGAGCGAGTTCGGGCAGGTGATCTACAAGAGCGGGGGGCGGACGGTCACCAAGGACGGCTTTGGGTTCTTGAACGCACTGACGACCCGGCTCGAGGCATTGGCGTGAGCTCGGGCGGGGAGCTGATATCTATTGCTTTGTATGTTGTGAATATTGTTGTTGTGTACGTGCGCTCTCTGTCCGTGCGCTCTCGCCTGTCGTTGCCGGGGCGGACGATTGTCGTTGTATGTAGCAGATCTCCGGTGTACATTGTGTGCAGCCCGTGATGCAGATGCGCTTCGCTGGATGGATCATCGTGCATCATGACAAGGGGTGCTGAGGACAGGCGAGGGCATGTGGCATTCGCTCCGCAAACTGGGGTACCGTGATTTGGACGGCAGGTGCTCAGTTATCGCCTCAGACCCGCACCGGGACCGACTGAAGCGTGGAAGAGGAGGAGAAGAAACGAAGGAAGAAACATAAGTAACTCCTAGTGGAACCGGATCCGCGGAACACCGGAGCGCCAGCACGTTTGGAAGCTTCGCTAGAGCGCCTGTGAATGTCACCGAGCCCGCAGGTATGGCAGGAGGCGCGCGAACGTTTGTTGTCCGACGTCTGTCCAAGGACTTGGCGCGGTGCTGCCACTTCCGAAGATCTGACCCCGCGCGACCCCGCCTCGTTGTCTGCGCGCGCCCCATTTTTCGTGGCGTGGCCGGCGTGCTGCTCCGGGAACGTACACAACTGCTGGAGGTGGTGTGCGTGCTTGAGAGCCCAACCGTGGATGCGTGTGATGTTCGCAATATATCGGCGCGCGAGGATGCCTGGAGCTCAGATCTCAGAGCTGGGGGTCGCCCGACGAGCGCGGGTGGGGAGAGCGGCGAGCGGTCCCCAGCCTGGACAGATTTTGGATAGGAGGCCGGGGCCCCAGGTGGGGATCGAGCTCTCCATCGGCCTTGGAGCGAGCCGGACGGGAGCGCGGCAATGGGGAAATAAAAAATAATCGCAGACGTGGCGTTGGCGGTTGGGACCCCAACGCAAGACGCGAAGCGGAAGAAGCCGCCGCTCCCCATAAAACGCCTCCGCCCCAACATTTCCCCCCGTCCTCCTGCTCTCTCCCTAGACGGCCCTTAGACGGTTCCCGCTTCCATAGACGTCTCGCTCTCTAGTCTCTCCTTTGTCCCCCCACCGGCCGACCCACCATGGCCCCCAAGGACCCATCCGCCAGGACGACCATCCAGCAGGCACCGGTCGTCATTCCCGACATCCCTATGAAGGACATCCTCGGCGCCATCCCGTGAGTCTTCATTGTTCCTCACCGCACCCGCATACATTCAATGTTGCGTCGCGCAAAGTGCCCACTGCTTTCAGCGGTCCGCGCTCAGGTCGTCCCTCTACATGTGAGTGTGCTCTTGCACGCGTCTTTGACGTGTCATCACGCGTCTTTCTCATCGTCCTCCTCAGCGTCATGGACGCCGTGGTCATCGGCTGCGTTTACACTGCGACACGCTACCTCGATCCTCTCATCACCCCCGAGCACATCGAGCTCCCCCATCCGTACCTCTACACCGCGTTGAGCTTCTCCCTCTGGGCGCTGTACACGTTCTTTGTCGGCCTCTTCGCCACCGGCCTCTGGGTTATCGCCCACGAGTGCGGCCACCAGGCGTTCTCCGAGAGCAAGACGATCAACAACGCGGTCGGTTGGGTCCTCCACTCGGCGTGAGTAGCTGTTCTACGGGTGATACCCCAACCTTCCCGTACTTAGACGCTGACATGTGAAATTCCGCCTTCTCTTTCTCAATTCACTTGGAACCGTCGCTTCTGCCGCATCTCTTCACTTCACATAGACTTGGTGTCCCCTACCATGCATGGCGGATAACCCACGGGCAGCACCACGCTTCGACTGCTCACATGACCCAGGACCAGGTCTTCGTCCCTCGCACCCGGTCCCAGATGGGACTCCCGGAGTTCGACCCCAACGGCGAGGACCTCGCGGGCAGTAGCATTTCGATCAAGGTCATGGACGAGCTTTACGAGGCCCTCGGTGACTCGCCCATTGGCACTATCGTCGACTGCCTCCGGTACTTGGTGTGTGCTGCTTCTGAACATCTTCGCACTAATGTCGCTTACGATTATAACGCAGCTTGGTGGGTGGCCCGCGTACATCACTATGAACGCGTCCGGCCAGACCCATTTCCCTAAGGGCACCAACCGTGAGCCTGACTCTCGATGTCTGTGCGAATACCTCCGCTGACTATGTCACAGACTTCGACCCTACCGCAGTGATGTTCCGCCCTGACCACCGCAGCCAGATCATCGTCTCTAACGTGGGGATCCTGCTGTGGTTGGGTGCGGTCGGGTATTCGATCTCTCAATGGGGCTTCTTCGAGGTGTTCCGCGTTTACCTCATCCCTTACCTCTGGTATGCTAGTCGTCACCGAGTTGTTTATTTTGGCTCATGTGCTTCGTAGGGTCAACCACTGGCTCGTCCTCATCACCTTCCTCCAGCACACCGACCCAATTGTGCCCCACTACCGCGCTTCCGAGTTCACCTTCGCTCGCGGCGCAATGTCAACGCTTGACCGCTCGCTCCTCGGGGACCTCGGCAGTGTTATGGGCTGGCTTGGCGCGGTCTCCACGCACGGTATCGCGGAGACGCACGTCGCGCACCACATCTCGAGCAAAATCCCTCACTACCACGCCTGGGAGGCGACCTATGCGCTCCGCAAGCTCCTTGCCAAGCACAACATGAACCTCCAGGGCAACCCGGTCGGCTGGCGTGAGATCTTCCGCGTCATGAGCCAGTGCCGCTTCGTTGAGGACGAGGGCGAGATCATCTTCTACAAGAACTCGCGCGGTTTCGCGGCTGCTAAGACCGCTTTCAACGACAACACCGCGAGCGACTCGGGTGTGGAGCTCTTCGACAAGGAGGCGTAAATCACGTCTAGTGCGTGTCTTCGTCTTGTCATCAGTCTCATCGCCCTGGTCTCGTTCATCGCCTCCCGTTGCTGTCAAACCCCACGCTTGTAATTTCCCTTGTACGAACTGTTACCCTCGTCTCGGATAATCCTCCCGTCGGTCACGCATTCACCACCGTTCCCCCACATTATACGGCACACACCGATCGCGGTAAAACATGGCCACGTCATGTCACCTTCCTTTTCTTGTAGGAGAGGTCACGCTGCCTCCGTTGCTCGTCGCTCCTCGCCACCGGTCGACCGGGCGAGCGCAGCGGACGCACGCTTACACGAAGTAGAACGAGCTAGAGACGTCTTTAACGGTCGATAGGCTAGAGAGCAATAATGGATCGGAAGTTTCGCAGAACTCTAATGCCGTGTAGAATCGATGCTTCAGGTCCCCACCAAGGCCAGACAAACGGCCGTCGGTCGGCATGTATTGACAGTTTCCATGGGGCGTAACGAATGTACACTGCGCCGTGCATTTTTATACACGCAATGTGATCACGCGTGGATGAGAGTGTTTAGTGGAATTTGCCATGGAATGATACAGTGTACTGCCTAAGTTTTGGGGGTGGCATGCGGCATACGTCGGTCATCCTGTGAGGGCTAAGGCGAGGGTGGTTCGTACAACAAAGCGTAAGAAGGGGAGAGTATGCTCAAAATACCAGCAGGACCAACCGGACCTCCGCACGCTAAAGTACGAAGGGAGACACGGGGAGAAGGGAGAGCGGCTGGTGCGCTCACCGCCTACTCCTCCTCTTCCTCCTCTTCCTCTTCCTCCGCCTCCGCCTCCGCCTCTTCCTCCTCCTCATCCTCCTCCTCCTCGCGCGCGGCCTCTACGACGGCGGTCGCGATGCGGTCGAGGTCGCGCTGGCCGTCCTGGGAGATGCGGCGGCCGCCGTTGTCGGTCTGCTCGAGGACGCCGATCTTCTCGAGCGACTGGCAGATCTTGCGCTGCACGGACGCGGAGCAGTCGGCGTGGTGCGAGGGGCGGTTCCCGCGGCGGTTGCGGCCGCCGTGAAGCTTGGCGAGCGCACCGATGCCGACGTCTTTCCGGAGGTAGATGTGGCGCGCGACCGCGGCTGGAGGTGGGCAGGTGGGCAGATAGAGGGTTTTGGACGGAGCGAGAGGGACACCAGGGATCCGAGAAGAGAGGGCGGGGAAGGAGGAGGGGAGGTTTTTCGTTTTGGATTGTAGATGCAGGAAGGGAGAGATCGGGATGGGGATGAGGAACAGACAAAAAGATAGCTGGGACGGACGACACGCACCTGCGCGGACATAGTACCAGTCGGGGTCGTACGGCGCAAGCTCCTTAAAGGAGCCGGTTTTGACGAGGTCTACCCAGGTGGGTACCTCGAGCTTGCCAGACCGCTTGAGGTGGGAGGCGTATGCAGAGATGAAGGACTCCGCGCTGCACAAGCAAAGGGCGACGACAACGACTCCATCAGCACCGGTTCCGTACGCGGTGAATACGGACGCACCTGATGTCTCGTACGTTGGGCATTTTGAGGGGGGCGGCGGGGGCGGGAGACGGTTAACCTTGAAGAGTGCGGCGGGCGCGGCGTTGGCGACGGTTCTGTGGACGGGGCTGAGGGCGGCAAAATTGAGTTCGAAGCCAGCCAGCCGGACTATGCAGTTCTGCGCTTAGTCAGCAGCCATCTGCTGACAGACGCCCGCAACCGCTTCAGGACGCAAGCAGTGCCCGCCGTCGGTGGTCTGTTCTCTTCAGATATCACTTGACCTGCGCGGAAGGACACCGTTTGAAGCTAGGATGACCGCCTCAATCGCATGTCTCATCGCATGCATAAACTTTTCCGGCTCCGTCAGCTCTGCTGCGGTCCGTCATCGCCCACGGCCGGTGCTTGTCAACTACTCCGTGTCCAGAACCAGTGGCGGACCATAGCAGTAAGTGACGTCTGTCCATCCCAGGACAGACGTGGGAGCCGACAGACGTGCCTGTGCAGGCAGAGTCTGATAGAAGGTCGAGCACCAGCATGGTCTGACGTAGACGGTATCCGATTCCTAGGACGCTCGGGAGTCGGTCCCTTCAAAAGGGTACGTCGGCATTGCTCGCACACCCTCGTCGTCGGCGTACTCCCAGCCGCCGCCAAGTCGGCTCACACCATGGCATTACCTGAAAAATCCCCTCAAATTGTGAGCACAATACCGTTCTCTTTCTCGGATGTGCACTCATCTTCGGACTCAAAGTTCCCTCTCGAGGCAGGTGGGCCAGCGAGACCCCGGAATGCTGCTCCGACCACGATCCCCATCACAAGCTCCTTCACTGAACATGAGATATTTCAAGCCTGGGAGAAGTGTGGATCCACCGTACAAGACCATTGCGACCAGATGGTGAAGCGCTGGAAGGAGGAGATTGATATGTTTTTGGTTTTCGTGAGTGCCAGAACGCCTTAGTTTGTTATGTCAACAAGATAATCACTCACATGGTGCAGGCTGGTCTTTTCTCTGCAGTACTCACGGCGTTCAACGTCCAGTCATATGCGCTCCTCCCACAGGACAACTCCGATGTCACAGCAAACGCCCTCGTTCAAATCTCGGCTCAGCTCAGCAGTCTCACGATATCCGGGACATCCACCACCTTCTCCGCTCCGAAGTTTGACCCCTCGAATTCTCCCGCTCCTCGCTATGCAATCTGGATCAACACCGTCTGGTTTTCGTCGCTCATCTGCACCCTTTCTGCATCCTCCATCGCCATCATGGTCAAACAATGGCTACAGCAGTACGAACAAAGGCTCTCCGGAAATTCTCGAGATATCGCTCGGCTTAGGCAGTATCGATACGAATCTCTTCTCAAATGGCGTGTCGTCGAGATCATATGGATACTCCCCGTTCTCCTCCAACTATCTCTGTTCTTGTTCCTTGCTGGACTCCTCATCCTTCTCTGGAACCTTCACCACGTAGTTGCTGGTGTCGCTACATTCCTCGTTTCCTTGCTGGTCGTCTTCAGTTCAACAACCACCGTTATTCCAACGTTCAAAGCCAACTGTTTCTACCAATCACCACAAGCCTTCGGAGTTCTGCTCACCTTCCAAGCATTACGCAAGCTTTTCCGTCGCGGAGGGCACGACGTTTTTCGTGACTGGAATGCACGCGAGAAGGCCGAAGTCAACTTAGCACGCGACGATCTCGACTGCGGTTTGGCAATCAAGACTTACGAGATCACCTTGGACGAAGGGATGCTCAAGAGCGCCGTTATTCCTTGCATGTGGGATATCAGTACCGATCAACTCTCCTCCCTCGTAGAAAACATCCTTCGTACCTCAAATCGCTTTGAGCCCGTCATCCCGTGCATCCTTCATTTCTTCATCCTTGCCTCCCGAGATCCAGAGCCCAACCGACGAATGGTCAGCAAGCTCTTGAAAGGGTCGTTCTGGCCCCGCTTCGAAGCCAACTCGGAGCTCGGCGAGCTCTTTCTTCGTGCCATGGCCACTCTCGTGTCTCGGAACTTCGAGCGGGAGCTCGCTTTCTACCGGATGACCTGCTCGCTGTCGTTCTATCCCCTCGACTTGAGTCTCCGAGTCAATCAAGATACTATAGACCACAGTACGTCCCCTCGAGTCTGCACTCACCCCATCTGACCCGTTCTCCACATCGCCAGTCCTCACCGTCCTCCCCCGCCCCGAAAACGGCACCCAGTTCACCGCCCTCACGCGCCCCGGGCCTGACGACCTCCCACTTGCATACGCGTACCTGCTCGCCGTCCCGCGGCTCGTCCGCTTCCTCGCGCAGCTCCCCGTCGGCGCGGACCCGCACGCGCAAGTCCGCGTCCACATGCACATCGACGCCGTCTTCCACGCGCTCCAGTGCTTCCTCCTCCACGCCTCGCTCTCCGAGAACGTCGCCGCGCTCGCGACGACGCTCTGGGCGCTCCGCGCCGCGCGCCACCTCGAGCAGGTCGTCGCGCTCAAGACGGACGCGCGCTGCTCGCCGCTCGTCCCGCCCGACCTCGTCGAGCTCTACGCGGACGCGCTGGACGCGATTCAGAGTGCGGTGCAGCGGAGCGGGACGGGCTTTGCGGCGTATTTCGGGAGGCACAGGCCGGGGTTGGTGGGCGGCGGCCCGCGTGGGCTACGCGTTGAGCCGGCGGGCCTGGTCGAGTCGCTGAGGAGCGACTTGGGCGTGCTTAGGAGGCTGTTTTTCATGGTACCGTGGCAGCTTGGCGCGCGGCGCGCGGCGACGAGTGCGTGTCTCCCGGTCGCCCCGCGGGTCGGTACTGAACTGATGTCTTACAGGATCTTCCAATGCGCAGGTTGCAGGATCGCCATCCCCCACGCCTATAGTGGTCCCTCCGTCGTCTCTCGGAGAAGACAGTGGTGCGTCTGGGAGGGGGCGTTCAGCCAGTCCACGAGGTGAGCTTGTCTCCTCATCCCTGAACTGCGCGCAAGGATGATCCCATGCTCACGAAGATGGATACCACAGCACTATCTATCCACATCCCCTCCAGGCGCCCCTCCGAGCGGTACGGCCTGCGCACCCCACAGACAAGCGAGCGCGTGCCCAGCAGCTGCGACGCGCGCCGCTCATCGTCGACGTCCCCAACACCCACCCCGCGGCCCTCGCGTCCGCCCGAGCGCGCGGCGCCCCCAGCCCACGCAGGCCATTCTCCGCGAGAACGCAGCGCGGGCCCTCCCGCCCTCCCGCCGCCCTCGGAAGGCTTCCGCCGGACCCGGCCGCGACTCCGCGTCCCGCCCCCGATCGCGGTGGGCGACCCCGGCCGCTTCATCGCGGCCGGGGTCCGGAGTCGCGCCCACGTCCGCGTCTCCTCCGATCCGGCAGACTACCCCGGCTCTCTCGCCGCGGACAACACGTCGATCACGACGCCGCTCAGGCTGTCGCTGTCGGGGACCTCGCGTGCGCAGGTGACGCTCGGGGACGACGAACGGCCGGAGTCGGACACGGAGAGCGTCTTGCCCTTCCTGGACCAGTTTCTCCAATGACCGGGGTTTTGAACGAACATTGTGTACGCATAAAATCGCCTCCAAACCTTCCGCACGTGGCTAGCCCTCCTCCTACGTCCCTACTGGGAACATCCTGTTCGACTACCTGCCGGAGCACATCTGTACGCAATCGAGAAGGAGAGGTGCAGACTCCAAGGGTTAATATACCTCAGCATTCAGTTTCTGCAGGACGGACGAGCACGAGACTGAGCTCCACATGCTCCCGTAATGCGAAGGCGAAATGCTGGCATCACGACGAGATGGCACGCTGGTACTTATTGAAGTCGAAGGTAACGGAGAGCTCCTCACGGCGTGGATATGGCACGACTCACTGGTCCCCCCACGTCCTTATACCCGGTTCCCTCGCAGACGAACATCGTCAGAATGGCAGAGGGACAGGAGGCGGATGCGTTCCGTGCGGCGGTTGGGACAGTGTGAGCACCGGGCACCGATGCGAGCACAACTGGACGGCAGATATTAAAATGCCGAGCCGGCGAAAGTTTTTACGTGTATGTACATTTCGCAGTGCATCCATCTAGACAATCGTGTTGAGAAGCATGCACTGGCGCTGGAATGTAATATAGGATCATCGATTGCGCCCGTGCGGGCGAGACAACATAATGTACCAATGCGGGGGATTACAAGAGGGATGCGGAGCACAAGTGATCAAGCGGGAGATTGCACCCAAGTGAGATGGAACGAAACGACATGAGACTGGCTGGCATAATCCGATTACGCAACTAACGACCTCCCTTCCGGCGAGTGACCGCGCGCCGGCGTGAGGTACCGGCTGCGATCTTGCGGCCGCTAGTAACTTCCTGTTGGGGAGCGGCAGTAGCGAGCTCTTTCATTTCGCGAAGCCGCATACTACGCCGAGGCGATGGTGGTGGAACAGGACCAGCACCAGCACAGGTAGTTTTGTCAACGGCGTCGATAGGAGACTGGGTCGTTCGGGGTAAGGCTTGGCAAGGTAATTCGGTGGCTACGTCGCCAGCTTGAACGGCAGAAGAAGATGGGGTGGTCGCTGAAGCTGAACTGCTGGCGGAAGACGGCAAGAACGGGCTGCTGTGAGCGTGCCTTTCAATGGCGCTTGGGACACGTCTGATTGTGCGAGCACGGGGGTGATCGTGTTCCACGCGATCATCTACGGGCAAGGTGCCCCCATGCTTCCGCAATAGCTCGCGCCAGAAGGCGTCCAAGTGTTCAGGATCAGTCCATTTGTCCTCGTAGTCGCACTCCTCAGCGCGAGGAGGGGTCATATAGAGCATAACCGTCTCCAACCATTCACGGAGAGGAGCTGGCCAGTTGAACCCTCTGGTGTAGCGCTGGTCCCGGAGGTTCATCGTCTTTGCCGTGCCGTGGAGCCTTTTGTCGCCGTAATAGGACGCCTTGTGATCAAACATTTGGTACATTGAAGTTGCAAGGCGGTTCTTGGATGCGTCATGGGGAAGCCAAAGGTAGGCACAATATAGGATCACGTAGAAGAGAGACTCGATGTCGTCTTGCAGTGTTTGTGCAGTATTTTTGGACGCTTGATGCATACGAATAGATAAGAATGGGAATGTCCCCTGTAGGGACAATGCGGTGAGCAACACGGTAGTTTCACGCGGAATCACTCACCACCAGCCCGTGCTCTATCGATCGACCATGGTCATCCACTGCGACTGCTGTATCCCAGTCGATAACATAGCCTCGACGGAACTGGGCGTCGCTTTCGTCGCGGACCAGAATGATGTTCCCTAGACTGACGTCTCGGTGCAAGCGCGACGTCTTGGTGAATGCATCACGCAAAGCTTTACACCTGTATTAGCGTGGTCCCTTCTGACAGTACACTGAAACCCACCGTGAAAGGCATCGTAGGACGCATATAGTAACTCCCCTGTCCCAAGAAAACGTTGCAGTCCATAGCCGACCGTGTCAGTTACAAGTCGATAATGGGAAAGCCGCCGTGTCTTGATCTTCTTTCCCGTCATCGTGCTTGTCCAATCCATGCTGTAATAATCCCAAAATGATGTACGCTGGACCTCGAAATCATCATCTAAGTGACGTAGTCAGACACATCGATATTTGGATGAAATACTGCTTACCCTCTAGTACACAAGGTTCTATGGGAGGGCCGTTTGGGACAAGACCGTGACAGACAAGACTGCAGGTACGTTCTCCACACCACCAGTGCGAAGTTCTTCAAGAGTGATACCCTCCGGACGGCGTCCTGTTAGTATCCACCAAGTATCTTTTAGAAAGACGATGCGACGAGTGATGGTATCGACTGCCCAGTATCCTCGGGTGCCTCGGCTACGCAAACAGGTGGGAGTGATGACGGGCCTGGAGACAATGGAGCGACGTGTGTTTGACGCATCTACCAGCTGTCGATATCCCACGACGGGGAGAATGGTTACATTGCCCGGTTGATAGTGCTCGCTGACCGCGCGGCTGAGTTCTTCATCTGCAAGGCCTAGTTGAGCCCGAACGTGCTTCGTGACCACTTCGTGGAAGAGGGCCTCCTCTGCTTGTGACGCCCGTTCGACGGTGACATCAATCCTCGGCGTGATGGTGTTAGCTTTGAGAATTGCCAGAGGAAGTTGCAGAATGCGTCCGGGAATTCATGCACATTCACGGCTTCTGTAACGATACACCCTTCCCTGTCCCACTGTATACCCTCATCCAGCAGCCGAAAAAGACAACGCTGAACAAGTGAGCGCGATGCTGGCGTGCGAAAACCTCGGCGACGTTGGCGATGTGCCGACCGTGTAGTCTGGCTCGATGCCTGCATCTACGCTCGCTGCCGTCCGTGTTCTTGAACTTCCAGCCGGGAGGTTTGACATAAGGTCCGTGGTCATCGTCGGGCGGGTCCAAGAAGATGTCGTGGGACGAGTTTCTGTTCACTTGAATAAAAGTCTCGGTGTATCCTAGCTCCGCTCGAGAGCCTGGATGGAGCTGCTTCACGACTTCGAAATTCTCTGTTGTGAAGCAGCAGATGAGGGACTGGTCGTTTTGGGAGGGCGAAAAAACCATCCCGGAGCAACGCGACTTGTACTTGGTGCTCTTGTTTAATGCTCGCACCTACAGCACTGTTCAAGACCAGCGCACAAAGAGACCACTAGTCACTCACCAGTGGGTCACATATCTCTTCAACAGTAGCAGCCGCCGCAGGAACGGCGGCCCATGCGTTGCGAGATGAAAGTCGTTTACTGACGTCAAATGGAACCACCCGGCATGCGTTCTCGTGAGCCATCTTCGAGCTCCTCGTAGTACAGCTCGGATGGATATACGAATTCCTCTATGAAGGGAGGATAAGGGGAGGGTCCGACCGTATATTGGGCACTCTCCTCGCCCATTTGTTCCAGTGTCGGGTGGGTGTAGTGTGGCGGATTGAAGTCGCGAGTGACAGCAGCTGCGGGGTCAAAGGCAAGGGCAGCATGATAATAGCCGGGGGCTGAGATGAGAGACGTTCAGACATGATAGAGCGACAGAGGCGACCGCTCTAATGAGGGGAGGCGATACAGCAGGGGTCGTATATGGGAGACTGAGACTAAGTGTCCGGACTCCGAGACTCCGCTAGTCGGTGGTGTCACTGTGCGGTCACATGATGCATCGGGTTTTGGTTTGACCGCCACAGCCGCTAAGTTCTAACGAGTTTCTCCCCGTGCCCTAACTCGCGATTTTTATCATCCACTATCCAAACGACGCATAAGGCTCCCTCTCCGCCACATTCCTGACGCACCAACTGCAAGACGCTAATAAAACAGGAGCAAAGTCGCTGATGATTATACACAGACGGAGTCTATTATATGGTGGTACATGAATGCTACATCTTCACATGTACTTCATAAGTCCATGTCTTGCGTATTCAAATTCAAACCCGATCCTACATGCCTCAAATGCGCGTCTACCACCGCTCAGGCGGAGCTGTACTTGTTCGTCTGCCCGCTGAACTCGGCCTGCATCTTGAGCGAGCGCGGGGCGTCGTGCATCTCCATGATGAGCTCGACGAGCTGGATCGTCTCGGCCGCGTTGAACTTGGGGTCATCGAGCAGCGCCGAGAGCTCGTCCTTGGTGCGAACGGTGCACGACTTCGCGTTTACACCCTCTTCGCCACCGAGCGTGTCGAGCAACTTGGTCCATTTCCTGTGAGGCGAGCGTGAGGTTAGAGTTGTGAGCGCGAAGGAGCGGGGCTCGAATTAGAGACGCACCAGTTGGAGATGTCGTTGTACTTGCGCGTCTTGCCGTGCAGGAAGCGCTCGATCGTGTATCCGCTGTTGTTGAGCACGAAGATGATCGGCTTGAGGTCGTGGCGCATCATGACCGAGAACTCTTGTACGGTCAGTTGGCTGTATCATAAGTATGCGCGTCAGCGTGAAACGCGGCTGAGCGGAGGAAGACACGTACAGCGAGCCATCACCGACGAAGAGGATCGTGCGGCCCATCCCGCGGTCCTTCGCCGCGAAAGCCGCACCGAGAGTGGACCCGACGCTCCATCCGATGCTGCCCCAAAGGATTTGGGCGAGGAAGACGGCGCCGGACGGGAAGGGCACGTCGAGGACGCCGAAGTTGGAGGTACCGGTCTCGGCGACGATGACGTCATTCGGGCGGAAGAACTGCGCGACGCGCGGCCAGAGGAATGCCTGCGAGATGATGTCGTTGTCTTCCTGCGGGACCGGGTGGACGAACTTGGGGACGGAGACCTGCACGGTGCCCTCCTTGAGCCCCCGCAGGCGCGCGGTGAGTTTGGGCAGGAGACGCTTCATGCCTATCCCAGGGAATGCGGCGTATTGGACGCGGGTGTTGTCCGAGTGGAGCTCGACGGTGCGGCTGGTGGGGATGTGGTAGGTGAAGTTGCCGGTGTTGAAGTCGCTCTTCAAACCGCCGACGGAGATGATGAGTTTCGCGTTCTCGACCTTCTCTTTGACTTCATCACTCGAGATTGAGCCAACGTAGATCTGAGCAGGCAGGTGAGTGCCTCGGAAGAACAGTGAGAAAAAAAGAGGGGGTGCTTACACCACCATAGCGCTCATATGTTTCGTCTACGGCGGTCTTGCCCATGGGCGCCGCATACACCGGGAATCCGGTGCGTTTGTAGAGCTCCTCGACCTCTTTCTTGACCCCGTGACGGACGGCGCACGCATCTACGAGGATGATCGCGTCATTCTCAGCTTCGTCCACGAGTTTCGCAATCTCGTCTAGAACGAATGCTTCCGTCTCCGGCTCGTTTTCTGGCGCTTCCAGATTGAGGGGGGTCTTCAGCCGCGCGGATGAGATACGTTCATACGCAAGATCCGTCGGCATCATGAGATATGTTGGCCGGGCAGTGACTACGCATTGGGTGATGATGCGATCGATCTCGGCCGCAGCAGTGTCCTTGGAGGTCAGCGAAGCCTGCGCGATCGTGATCTGCTTCGCGGCTTGAATGTACGCGTCAAAGCTAGATGATCGTGAGCGCTTGTTGGAACGCACGCGTGCTCGAGGACATACCGGCCGTCGCCGAGGGTGTGATGGAGCATCGGCTTTGACTTCTGTTGGCTGGTGCTTGGGACACCGGCGATATGGAGGACAGGTACGTGTTCAGAGAAGGCTGTGGAGATGTATGAGCTCGGTCGGGCGCTTCAAAATGAAGACTGAAGTGCTTACCTCCGGCAATACCGTTCATCGCGCTCAGTTCGCCGACGCCGAATCTATACAGGCTGTGAGTATATGCGCTCCCGTCACAAGCTGGCAGAACGCACGTTGTAGTAATGACACCAAGCGAACCTTCATTGACTCGCGCATAGCCGTCAGCAGCATACGCGGCGTTGAGTTCGTTGCTGGTATGTACATCGCGCGATTAGCGCTGTTCGCCACGGCAGACATGTGAAAACTGTGCGCACCAATTGCCAACCCAGTCGATCTTGGGATGGTCTTCGACGAAGTCCTATGCAAGATGACGTTAGTGTAAGGTCGTCGTGGGGACGACAGGTGCCAAGCGTACGAGGAAGCCTAGGAGCGGGAGAAAGAGGTTAGCTCGAGCGTCGCGGGCGGGAGGGGTAGGCATTACATACCGAGGTTGAAGTCTCCGGGGACACCAAACATTTTCTGAATATCGCGATGAGCATGCGTACAAATGCAACCCGGTGAAAGGAGGGCGCACCGTGACGCCGAGCTGAACGAGACGCTCGATGAGATACTGGCCGACGAAGACGGTGTCGTGGGCGATGGCAGAGCTGGATGCTCCCTTGAGAGTCTGCAGCTCGTTGCGGAGCTGAGAGACTTCCGCCTGGAGTTCCGCGACGGCCTTGGTGGTCTGCATCGTCGCGATGGATGGGGGGCGAGGATGTAGGAATGAGGGGGGTGTTGTGAGTGTGCTGAGATGTATGCTGAGGAGAGAAGGCTGGGTGGCAGGATGCAGCCGGCTTTATAGTCGCGTCGATGGGCGGGCGAGGAGAGGGCGGGAGAAGAAGGAAGCGAAGGTTGAGCGAGGTTGGGGCTCGTGCGGGACTAGAACAGGGCAGCCCGTGCGCGGCCTGGCCGCGTCCCCAATCTCCGAGTCCTTGCACGCGCACCAATGACGTCCTTCCGAGCCAATCGCGCCTCTCGATCATCCGTTTCCCCCGCCTCAATCGGCGCTCTCTGCCACGGAATCTAATCTCTTCACTAGGCGCCTGCGCGTGCCCGCTCCCTCCTCCTTCTCTTTCGCCTAGCAGACGAGATTAGCGAGTCATGTGCAGGATCAGTGCACATCCTACCCGTAGAATGCCGCTTCAATGGGATTTGGTACGCGGGAGCCGTCTACAGCTGAGCGACATCATAGTCTCGACCCGGGTCCGCCGGGCCGCCCTTCATGCCGAGGCCGTTCCATCTGCGTGCTCCAGGTCTCCGTCGGCCGTCGTACTTTCGCACTCGACAGCGACACCCGCAGGTTCGAGCCTAGAAGTGCGAACGATCCCAAATACCCGCAGTTGGTCCGCACAGCGAGGCCCGCCGTATCTCTTCATACACGGGGCTCGACTTGCATCGGATAAAGACTGAACTTTCGGCCAGTCCAGACGCGCGATGTCCAATCACTCCACGAGACACAAGGGCGCTCCAGGTTACCAGTGCAGTGGTGAGCAAGCCCAGCGCCTCCAATATCCACCACATGATGACCGGGTTGGCAGGTATTTTCGGCGGGGCCCTTTGCTATATTGCCGAAAGCCGATGAAGCGGGAACCGCAGGTGGATGAAAATAGATGGTATGAGGTGCATCCTGCGAGCCGGGAGTGTTGACCTTGTGTTCAGTCGGGGACACGGTGGGAAACGCTGCTGGAACACTCACTAATTGAATTGAGGCTGAGTGTGATGGACGCCGATACGTGCGAATAAGTCAGCAGCCAATATGCCGGAGACTGTCTGATCTACGCACTCACCTCCGGCTACGCAGACTTGAACCCGAGATGCACGCATGTGCCAGCCGCGAACGCCATTCTGTCGCGCCGGACCACCGTATCAGCAACAACTCGCAGGAGGCGACGGCGTGAAGGCCAGATGGGCGTTTGACGGGCCTTGTAATCCCACTTGTATCCGGAAAGTATGCTGGGGCTTGTGTCTCCCTGAAAGGAGAAGGCCCAGGACCAGATGACGAAGCTTGAAACGAAGCGAGGTCAATCTATTATTGAGCAGATCCGTTGCATACTCATGAGCCTGTGGACAATCCTGTGCGAGTCTGTGAAGCGTGAAGGCGAGGACATGCTCTATATCGACGTAGATAATGCTAGAGACCCGAAAAGAAGAGCAGTCACAAGTAACCAGGTTGGTCTTGCGAGCGGGTACGCCGCGCGGCTGGTTTTTCGTATTCTCAGTAGATAGCGAATCGGTGGTGGAAAACGAGGCTCACGTATCGGATGAAGACGGTGTTGCAGTGATCTTCACAGTTAGCACAGCGACGAGGCCGTCTACCGGAGACATGGAGTCCGTGCCGACGCTGAACGCGTGATTCACGCCGTTTGAGCTGTTCTGGAGGATGCCGGAGAGGTATATCGCTTCTGTGTAGTACGTGTAGTTGTTGTATGAGATGCTGCCCGCGTACGTGGTGCCGTTCGTGAGGTTGAGGGTGGGTATAACTGATGACTGAGCAGTAGCGTTTCCGACCAGCCAATCTCTTGAGGTTGCGTAGAGTCAGCATTAAAAGCGTGTCGTGAGCTTTGCAAACGGCTTACCGCCCGACGTTGTATCTACATGAGTGCCTCCCATGAGCGCCGAATGCAGAGAACGTTTGAATCTTACGCTCACCCGTTGAAAACGATATCGTGCCCGACTGCGAAGGCCACCATTAGGATCCGTCTCGCGTGCCTTAAAACGGGAATGTTTGTAACTCACAGTTGATAGACTTCTCCTCGGAGGTCGCGAGGAAGTACGCTCCACTGATAACCAACATCACATATCAGTCTGGGGACCAGCTCGACCGAAAGCAGGGCACACCTGTTTCTCTCCGCACCCTCCTGGGCCCAGTAGCGGAAATGGTTGCCTCCCTGGATCGACTCTTTGCATGTCCCAAGCACCGGGTCGCCATAATGATATCTGAGCACTGCCGTCTCATTCTCTATTTAACGACCTTCCTGTCAACATTCGAGTAGTGGTCGCATCGGTGTCAAGACGCACGCATGCCGTCTCCATCGCCCAAATTTGCAGTTTGTGGGTTTCCCGAATGCTGGCCCAGACACTCCGACGCAAACCCGACAGCTCTGACCGCCGGAGCCCCACAGCATAAGAGAGAGACGTGCCACGGATGACAAGGTGCTCACACCATGTAGCTCCTAAACCCTCTGCCGATCTCTTGATCCACCAGGACGGCCTCATCGGAGTGGCCTGAGACGATGACGTTCAAAGGCTCCCCAAGTCCCCCAGTGTTCGGAGCGATCTGGGCCAGGACCAAAGCCGGTCAGTCGGGGAACTATCCTGACCGTTTGCCACAGGCGCAAGGTGGCAAGGTGCACTCACCGCAAGCATGCTCCCACCATAGTCGTTCGGGTTGTGGAAGCCCGCAGCGGGAACGTTCCGCTCCTCATCGTCACGGCTCCAAAAGGAGGTCCAAGAGAACTTGAAGGAACGAAGATGCGGCATCTCAGTTCCGCGGGAGCTTCAAGCTTGTCGGCCGAGGCGTGATGGACCGAGCGAGGGCTGGTGGGGTATGTGCGAGGGGACGAGGAGGACTCGAAGAGGAGAGCACCTCACTTCCCGCACCGCACCTCAGAGAACAACGGGCCAAGGAATCTGAGCGCGGTGCATGCTTGGCTATTGAAATCTTGAGACTGTGCAACGCTTGGCGCGTTAAGGCCAAGGTAGGAAGCGACTTGGGTTGCTTGTTTCTGCTGGGTACTTAGTTGAAATAGCGTCGAAGTAGGGATAGCTCGGGGTGAGCGAAACTCCGAGGAAGTCCACCAGCGCCACGGCTGCAGGTAGAGAGCTGTTCTGGGGTTGCCCTGAGACGTCCAGGAGCCAGAGAACTGAGGATTTCGGTGCTGCAACATGACTGGAGATTCCATTATGTAGCAGGGAAAAGGGAGATGTTTCGAAGTTCATGTCCACGGGGAGAGTTTAGAGGATCTGCAGCCTGCAGTCTGATCTTTGGATGGTTCGCTGGCACGTGGCCTTCAGGTGTGACGTCAATGCCCAGCCATGAGATCTTGAGATCGAACCCGGACGGTCATGTCTTTCATCAAGCAGGCAAGTAGTCTAGGTGTGCAAAGATACAGAGGTTGTCAGTCAAAGCAAGCGAAGTGGCATCGAGAGCCTAAGTACGTCATAAGAGGTCGTGGCGTGGTAGCAAGCAGGCCGATGTCTCGGAACCTATCGTGCACGAGCCGAGAACGGGAACAAGGCAGTACGAATGTACATGGGGCCGGAGCACGGTGTATTGCGAACTAAATACTGGTGTCCGGGTATAGCAGAAGCCAAAGTAAGCGGGGGCGCATCGGACGTAACTGTCCAACAAAGCAAAGGTCATGACACAACTGGAGCCCTGAGCGTCCGCAGACAAGGATCGACGATGTCCGCACGCCTCCAGGGCAGCGGCGAGGATACTTCTGTGTGGTCTAGGGGGCTCGGCCGTATTCTCTATGTCGATAATGATACGGCGAGGGAGGCGAAGAGTACTGCGGTCCACGAGAGCCATGTGGGACTCGAGAACGAGTGGAGCGCGCTATGGGAAGATTCATTGGCCGGCGTAACGTCGCATGAGTAAAAGTAGCGCACCTGGATGCTGCTGCTGGTACGGAGGTTATTGTGACCGTGAGGACGGCTACGAGACCATCCACGGCTTGAACACCATTTCCACCGACAGAGCCAGCGTGGTTGAGCCCATCCGTGCTATTGGACAGGATGCCTGACAGGTAGAGCACGTCCGTCTTGTATGTGTAATTACTAAAAGATACTGAACCTGACACGGTTGTGCCGTTCGTGATGTTCAGTGTCGGGAGAATTGATGACTGTGCTGTGGCGTTTCCGACGAGCCAATCGCTGTGAGCGTGTCAATGATCATCGAAGTGATGGATCCAGGTGGAATGGACTGACCGGCCAAGATTGTAACTGTGCAGACACATTTAGCTCAACCGGTTTGACACAATGACAGAAGGTGCTCACCCATTGAAGATGATATCGTGGCCGACTGAGGGAGAACATCCTATGAATACACTGCTCCCACTGATTCTGCGACAGATGCTTTACTCACAATCAATCGACTTCTCGTAGGACGTTGCGAGGAAATACGCGCCACTAAAATAACCCTCGTTACAAGTGCGTCACGGGGCGGGCCGTAGGACCAGAGCTCACCTGTCTGCGCCGTCTCCGTCTTGGACCCAATACCGGAAGTGGTTACCGCCCTTAATAGTCTCCTGGCACGTTCCTAGTTGCGGGTCTCCGTAGTCCCACCGTAGCTCTGACGTCTCGTTGACTGCAGCGCAAGACAAGAGGCAGGGTTGAGGCAGGGAGGAATGGATGATAGAAAACTGACGCACGGGAACCATGGCCGTCTCCAAGATTCGCAACTTGCGCGTCGCCGGCATGCTGTCCTAGACACTCGGTGGCAAAGCCGACGGCTCTATGCGCGCAGTAGAATGCGACTTGAGGGAAGTGGGGGACGCGAGGGACGGGGTGCTCACAGCATGTAATTCCGGAATCCACCGTTCTCTTCTGAATCGACCAGGACAGCGCTGCTAGACTTGCCAGAAACGATGACATTCAGAGGCTCTCCGAGGCCACCCGTGTTGGGCGCGATCTGTGTGAAACGCAAGGAAAGTGGTGAGTCTCTGGTACCATGAAGTAGTGCAACGGATACGCAGGAAGAATGACTGACCGTGAGCATGGAGCCACCACTGTCTTTTGGGTTGTAGAAGCCCAGGTCTGGTACAGAGGCTCCGCGGCGCCATAGAGGGCTTCGACGTTGAGAAACGCGGGGATTGTGGGAGAGCGAGAGGGCAGGAGCACAGAGCATGAGAACGAGGAAAGCCGTCACTGGGGACGGTGTTGTCAAGGATGGAGCCATATTGGCAGGCGGGCGTGGGGAGGGGAAGGGAGACGTAGCACGGGAGGGAGGGCAGAGGGAAGAGTAAAGGACAGGAAGGTGGAGTGTCCGTCGGCACAGACGCGAGCGAGCTCTTCAGAGCAGCCTGAGCGAAGCCTGAGCGAGAGATTGGACTTTTCCGGATTCGGCGCGAGAGTCGCCGTCCTTTGTTACGTCAGCGAACAATTGATATAGTCCGCCCGGCAACGTCTCCTCCGTTCCCCGCGCCTTCCCCGCCGATCTGCTCACACTCGCCCCGCGCGCACCATACACACCCGACGTCGTTGGCCAGCAAGCGGGCCCCACAGGCCTCGCACGCGACGCCCACTCGACCACTTACTCCTCCGCAACCTCCTGCTTCCCTGGCATATGCTTCGCGCCAATTCAAGCACGCACGGGCGCAGCGGCGGGCGCCCTCCTTGAATCCGTAATCCGTCGGCGCGGGGCGGCCCACAGCGCGGAGGACAATGGCCGCCGCGCCCGCAGCCCTCGGCGCAGCGCTGGCGAGGCTGTACGTGTCGGACGCACGCTCGAGTACGTCCTTGTTCTTGTCCTCGACGAAGAACAATACCACTCTTCACTTTCCTCCTCCTCTGCTCTACCGGTCACGATTCGGTGGCGCCGTTTCTATACCACCCGGGAACGTCGCCTGTGGGATGCTTGTTCGACGAGGGGTTGGTGAAACCAGGTCTTGTGAAGCCAACTAGTGATTGCGCGCGCATGTGGTACGCTTTCTCTCTTGACATTGTCTTCTATTTTTCCGCCTGTCAGGCGGTCGTTACTGCGCCTTCGGCCATGTCTGGATCTCACAATGCAGGCTGCGGGTAGTGGCTACACCGTAAATGGCTTTGAATATTACCTCGGTGGTCGGAGACAGCAACAAATTACGACGTGCACGAACGGAGATTGCATGGATAGACTGGGCGAGGTCATGTACAGTATGGTCCGATATCAGTTAATGCATCTGCACTACACTACCATAAAATCTCCGCCAGTAGACATCACTTGCGAAGGTACATCAGCTAATGTTAATACTACGGACAGCAATCGGTCATGGTGGTGGAGATTGGATTTAAGCCCATAGGTTTGCAGCCAAGCCAAGTGTCCGTAGGCTACTGAACGCCCGGTTTGCAGCCCCAGGTGATCCCAGGAATGCTTACTTGCATGACCAACGCAAGCACTCAGTACTCAGTACTTGGACCAGTTGTCCGCGCGCACTATCACCGCGGAGGACGTCGAATTCGACAAGAACGAGGCGAAGGCCGAGATGATGCGCGAGAGCGCGAGCAGGTGCGTCTGAGGTTGCGCGCGTCGTCGGCCGCAGAGGGGTCACTTGCCACTCAAGTACTCACGCTTGGGATAGGACTCACATTGGCCACGTCCCGCATGATTACTCGGACAGCGCAAGGGCGCGGTGTTGCGCAAGGGATTGAGTGGGGTATCACCTCAACAAACGAAACGGTAGCGCCATGGTCAAAACCAGGTGTACATTTCGGCCGGTCTCCCAGATTGAAAGTCTCCCGCGCGGCTCATCGGCGTGTACTTAGAACGCCGCAAGAGTTCATTCAATTACACCTCGCAGCTCCACTGTCCCCAAGCTGACGTGACATTGCACGCCAAAGGTCGATCTATCGTGGTACATTCAACTCACACTTCCACATCGGTCGCGCTCGCTGTCGAAAACATTGGTTTGAAACCCGATGAACGCATGCACTACTGTACAATGTGATGTTCTACCGCCTCAATCTGACGAACGCACTCCGCCAACGCGCCCCCCACTCACGCGTACTGGGCCACGTCCTCGGCGGTAGGCCCCACCGGCTCGTCGGACGCAGCGAGGTTGCACTGGTGGAACGCGCGGACCTGGTCCGGCTTGAACGCGCCGACGACCGAGTGGAGCACGCCGCGGTTGTGGAACAGCACCAAGTCGTTCTCGCGCCAGTCGTGGGGGTAGACCATCTGCCGTGGCACAGAATCGGGTCAGCGCGACTCGAAAAGAACAAGAAGCCAGCGTACCGAGGGCGCGATCGCAGGGCGCTGCATCTTGTACAGCAGGTCCCGGACCTCCTTCAGGTCCGTCAGGTGGGCGCCGTCGGGATAGAGCGCGCCGTCGCGCGAGGCGCCTGCCGGGAGCGGATCGATGAAGAGCTCGCGCACACCGCACGGGTGGACCTGGAAGTGCAGCTCGCCCGTGACGGGGTTCTTCCACAGCTGTCGAGCGCGCGCACCCGGCGCATCAGCATGCCGATCGGGACGGAGGGGGGACAACGCGACGAGCAGAAAGCCCGAAAGGAGCGGACACGCACGATCGGATAGACCTTGATCTTGGCCTCCTCCCAGGGCGGGAGGTCGTCGTTCGGCATTTCGAGGCCCTCGGACATGATGCCGAGCCCGGTGGGGAGCGCGTGCGCGGGAGCCATCCACACGTACGGGTGCGGGTTGTACTTGACGCGGGCGCGGACGACGACGCTCTTGAGCTCGGGGGGCAGGAGGTTGAACATCGTCCGGCCGCTGACGAACGCGGTCGTGCCGAGGGGGACCTCGAGCTCGTCGCCGGTGCCGTCGTCGTAGCGCACGGTCTGGTGCGGGCCCTTGGGCACGATCTTGCCGTACAGCGTCGTCACGCGCGGCGGGCTGAGGTTGTAGAGCGCGGCGTCGATGTGCCAACGGTAGAAGCGCGTGAAGCCTTTCTCAGTGTCTTCCTCGGAAACGCGCGTCTTGTGGAAGGTGATGTGCGAGGGGTGCTTGAGCTTGGCCTCGGCGAGCCCCTCGTGGTTGTAGACGGTGCCGTTGCCGATGAGTTGTACCTGGGGCACGCGGGGGATGGTCTTGAGGTCGGGGTGGAGGATGGACTTCTTGTCGGCTTCGGTCTTGTTGTTCCCGTGCCCATAGTTCTCAGAGGACGGATCGAAGGCCTATAGAGATCACATTAGAGGCGCGGTAAATGAAGTAAACGCCCATATACACGCCTTGGTCAAAGCGTATTGCTGCTCGGGAGTGAGTTCCACGTCCCGGAAAAGGAGCACGCTGTGCTGTTGACCTATGATTGAGAGACCATCTTATGATCGTTGACAACAGCATAGGCGCACCTTGTACAAGAGATCATGGATCTCCTTGAGTTGTTCATCTGACATCTCGCCAGGGTGGACACCCTTGACCTCCCTCCCAAATTCGTTGAACTTGCTTGCATCGGCGGAGGGGGGAAGGGGAAGGGGGTCAATTCGATGGCCATGATGAAGTGCGAGAGTGTCGTCTATGGGATGTGCTGTGGATGGAGGGGAACGGATGGAGAGCATGGAATTGAGGAGCATACAGTATATGTATGTGCGCGAGGACGTGCTCGGAACTCGGGGGATGTCCATTACTGGGCGGTTCTCCCACGCTTCTGCGCCGCTGGCACGCGGGGACGCAGACACTGGGTCCGTTATGATCAGTATCAAGAAGCCGCAGACGGGCCGGGGCGAGACACGTTGGGGCGAGTCCTTCGTCGAATTCGGCTAAGTCCCGAGCTGCCTAGACGAGCGAAGGGATGAGTAGATACCATATGCAGACCCGAGGGTGCTCGGCAGAATCGCTGTGACTGAGGGCGTGGCAGATGGGGAGCTATGGAAGCAGGAACCTCGGCGGAACACGCCTGCTTGGCCGCATGCGCGCTGTTTCCTGCAAAACGAGTGACTGCGCGCGTGACTGGCGAGACAAGCGCTCTGTGGCCGTGACCGTCCTTGCCGAGAAACTTCATCCGTGACGAGTGACACAAACTCAAGGTTGAAATGAACCCTGTTCAGGTCCTCGAAAGCCGCGACTGAAACGCGGATGCCACGACTCTGCATCTTCTCTCCTCTGATCCAGGAGCGGTTCTGTGGGTTCTCACCTCGATTCACCAACCGACAATACGTCGAGCAGATCGAACGTTGACGCCGCACCAGCATGTACGACTCACGAGGTGCGACCAGGGCTTGTCTATCTTGACATTCATTCACGCCCCCCGCCACACAGCCCTCCTTCGCATGGGAACACCCGTCCCACACCCGCTCCGACCCAACCTTCTCCCGCAGCCCGTCCCCCGACCACTCTTTGGGCGCTCTTCCCGAACGCGCAATCTGTGCCACGAAGCCGCCGATTTCCCATTGCACCGGAGTTCCCATGCCCAGAACCAGCGGCGCCCCGCGTGGATCCGGAAGTACTTATAGACTGCGCGTGTTCTAGAGCGCTGCTGTAGTCGCCGTCTCCAGCCAGAGTGCCCGCGCCCCCAGCTGCACTTGCACCACCGCGCGCAACCATGGCTAACCAGACCGCCCTTCCCGCGATCCCATCCGACATTGCGTTCATGTGAGTGACACGTTTCTGTGCGCTTACCCGCCACGACCTGACGCCGTGCATCATAGAACGGGGCCGACGGTGAATCGTCAACGTACCGGTTCTATGCACGCTCTAATGCCTCGTTGCCTATCATTAGATGCTCGGGATTTGCCTCAACTGGGGATTCATGGGCATTCTGCTGGTGCAGACGTGTAAGCAGGGCCGCTAACCGTTAATTCGATCCTTATCGCCGCCCTTCTCAGATTTCTACCATTTGACCTTCAAGGACACGGACCAGCGGGCGATCAGGTTTCTAGGTAGCCTCAATAACCTGTCTGATTACCTGAATGACCTTGACGTAACCCTTCTAGTGTACGGCCTTTTCCTGCTGGACGTGCTGCAGACCGCGCTGGTTACCGCCGACGCGTTCCATTGGTTCGTCTTCGGATTTGGGAACTGGCGACGCTCGACGACACCTTCATCAATTCGTGGGATGTGCCCTTCCTCGACGCCGTCATAGCCACGGTTGTCCAGACATTCTACTGCTGGCGCATCTGGATCCTGTCCAAGTCCCTCATTTTCCCTGTCTTTATTTTCTTGGTGCGCCAACTTCTGCCTCGGCACTTGCGATCGACTCATCATCCACGAATATTAGGTCTCTCTCACCCAGTGCGGTGCCGGAATCGCTACTGCGGTCAAGGTGCGCTGACAGCACGCTCTGTACTCGTCCAATACTTATGACGACGATAGGCGTTCAAAGGTCACAAGCTCTCGTTGATCGGCATTGAAGAGGTGGCAGAACAGACAGTCAGTCCTCGAAACTATACACACGGATCCCACTTGCGCTAACGAGAGTGATATTAGACTTGGCTCGTTGCCAGCGTCGTCGCCGATATTCTGATTACCGCAGTCATGAGCTTCACGGTACTGAGTCTAGCTGTTTTTGTGTGTGATATGCACTGACTGTTTTCCTCCGAGCAGCTCATTCGTTCGCGCTCGAGAACTATATCCGCAAAGAGCACCATCGATCGCATCGTGCGGATCACAGTCGAGACCAACATGCTCACTGGTACGCGGCTCAACTTACCGGGCTGAATTGCTACCCACCCTGTTGCAACAGCTGGCGTCGCGATCATCGCACTGGGCCTTTACCTTGGTTTTCCCGTACGTTGACGACTGCCAGTACGCGTGCCTTGAGCCTCATGCTCCCCACCCACAGAACCACTCCACATTCGTTGTACCTCCGTACGTGTCCATCTCCCCACGTCCAGCACCACGCGCTGACCCGTTCCACGCCGCACAGTACCGCTATCTTCGGGAAGCTGTGAGTCATCTTCTCCCGTCGCACCGCGCGGCGCTTGCTGATGCGCCATCTCTCGAAACCGCAGCTATTCAAACTGCCTGGTCGCCGTCCTCAACAACCGCCGGCTCCCGTCCGGCGGCAAAACCTCCTCATCCGCCCACGTCACGAGCGGCAGCTCGAACGCGCACTCCTTCCGGCTCCCCGCCACCTCCCAGACCGATACCATCCGGGTCGAGGTCCTCCGGCAGACGGACAAAGACACCGACCTGGAGCTCGACGACCTGCCGGTGCGTGTTGTTCAGTCCGCCCGTTGATAGATCGTACCTGGGGCTGACGGTTCTGACACGGCCGCGTCCCCTGCAGAGGCCTTCCGACTCGAAGCAGAAGCAGTTCGACAACAGCATGCGGGTCTAGCTGACTGCTGACCGCTGACCGCTGACTGACGGCGGCGCGGCGATACCGGGATCTCTGACACGGTCGCGCTGTCCGTCGGGCTCCGGGGCGGTGGAGGCCGCGTGTTATGGTAACTTATTGAATGCGCGTGTCGGCGGGGAGCCGGCCCGCGCCGCACCATGACTGCGTTGACGGTCGGGTCCCCTCGCCAGACTCCGGTCTTCTGGTGGGAGATGTACTATGCTATTCTCGGAAGGGACTTTGCTTGACTGTATCGGGGCGTTCTGTAGATCTATGTGTACCGCTCATCACTCTTCTTGTATGTAGATCACCTGCTCTGAAAACATCATCATGATAATAGTCGACCTAACTTCTTCCGTCGTCCGTCTTCGCTCTTCGCAGGCGCCGAGCGCAAGTGAGCTGCCGCCGCGAAGGTTGTGGTTCGTCGAGCGCCGGGTGTGCCGGATCTCTCCGAGCTCGAGGTTTCCGTTCCCGCGCGGCGCTTCTGCCTATTGCAGCCTCCGTTTTCTCTCTCCCGGTATTATGTGATCCCCGTGGGGGCCGTCGGCTATCAATATATCACGGTCTGGCCAAGTTAGAGCACGGCGCCTTCTAGCGAACATCATGAGAAATGGTGTGTGCACGCGGTCGCGTGTTTCCCCCCGAGATTGCGATCATTGAATACAGTCGCGCTGCGCAGTGCGCAAGTCGCCACTCGCGACGAAGGGCAACGGGGACGTGATTAGTAGTGGAGGTCCCTGACGCGTTGGGTTTCCCCAGGTCTCTCCCCGGACCCCTCGTCGAGCCGTCGCGCGCGCGTCACCACGAGACTCGCCTACATAGGGTAAGGACTAGGCTGCGGCGGGCGAGGCACGAGGAATGGGCGAGAAGGCGCGGCGAGGTGTGCCGACCCAGTCCTGCGAGAAGCCTCGAAATCTTTCGGGAAAACTGCAGGCCTGTGCCCCCTCGAGACAAGAAGCACCGGGTCATCCACCAGGGTGCGCTCCTGCGGGCCACCTATCGCAACCAGTGCGAGCGGGCACGCTGTATAGACATTCAAATTGCTTCAGGGGCGTGCGGTATGATGTTCCGAAAGAATACTGCTAGCTTCGGATGATCTTTCTCTGGCAGCTTGATTCCACGCCCTTTACAAACGTTGATGGCTGACACATTGGGCAGGGCTGATTGTATGGAGTTCCGTGAGAAGGGAAACCCTGGTGAGATGGGAACAAGTAGAGAGGTTACCACTTGAAATACCCGCATGTGCGTGGCCCGACAGCTTCATTCTGCCAAAGCTGGCTATGAACTGTCGCCCACGCATTCCGACTGAGCAACCTAAGCGCTCGGAGGTGAGTTACGTTGGCACATCGTGGCGTTCGATTGCAATCTCGGCAGGACTTCGGCGCTCTCTGGTTTCGATCTCCGCCATAACGGTTCTCCTCCGGATGTGCAGAGTGATCCTCTCTTCGTTCCCGCTTGCGATTGCGAAAGCAGCGTGCGCATGTCCGGGATGCGGTAAGATGGAGCCCTGAAGAAGCCTGTCACTTGTACATATGTAAGCCCGAAGCTGATCGGATGTGACCTTTTGCCAGCTTCTGCACACTTATATCGATGTGCGCCTCGGAGTGGTCGGGGGCCTGGACGCTCTTGCCACCTCCGCCGCCCCCGCCGCCTCTCCGCCGGTCGCTGTCTCGCCATCGGAACGATCATGCTGCGCTGTCTCTGTCTAGCTCTGCCCAACTCTCCAGGGCCACACTGACACGCCCGGGGGTTGGTCGCTGCAGCAGATCCGCCATATGGGGCGGCGAGGCCGGTCACGCCGCGCGGCGTCTCACAGATGGCACGACGTGGGTAACGCCCTGGGCCCACCCTCGCGGGTGTGCTTCGCGGGCGTGGGCGGATCACGTCCACCCTTAAGTATTCCACGCAGCTCGAAGCTCGAAGCTGCTGCCGCCCCTGCATCTCTCCTCGCCGCCCAGCCGCGGCGCCCTCCGACGCCATGAACGACTCCCAGCCCAAGGCGACCTCCTCACCAGACTCCTCCTCACCCAAGCAAGGCCTTCGGTCTCGCGCCGCCCTTGCCAAGCGCAAGCTCACCACTCGACACGGGTGGATCGGAGATTACGACTACGCCTGGCTGTGCCTCCCCTCCCTCCCGTTCTCCAAGCGCTCCCGGCGCCCCCCGCCCTTCTATGCACTGGATGCAGAACTCCCCCTTCTCTTGGCAATCTTCACCGGCTTCCAACATGCACTTGCCATGCTCGCTGGTACGAACGATACCCTGCCTTGAGGTGCGGTGTGAGCGATGGCTCACTCTATCGGACAGGTCTCATTACCCCGCCCATCATCTTCGCAAGCGCCCTCAGCCTCGATAGTGCGACGTCGGCGTATATGATCTCGGCGTCTCTGATCGGAGCTGGTAGGCGGTTCTTTGTTTGCCCTCGCAATTACGTCCTGAATACACGGCCCAGGCATTTTGAGTTTGGTGCAGCTCTCGCGCATCCCGCTCTTCGGTGGATACTACCTCGGAACAGGGCTCATTTCAGGTGCGCATCTTCCATAGCGCCGTTTCCCCTTCGCCTTCTGACGATGGGTGCAGTTGTCGGGACGAGTTTCTCTACTCTATCCACCGCGAATGCCGTAAGCTCGTTTTATGTCGCCATCTCTCATTTGCTGAATATCATGCAAGATCTTCGACGCCATGTATTCCGACGGCACTTGTTCGTCTACCACCGCTTCAGACGGGACCGTCACTCGGGACGCATGCCCGGATGCATACGGAAAACTCCTGGGTCCGTGGAGCCTCTCGTTGTCCGTCGAGTTTGCGCTCACGAATGCAACTGCATACAGGAACGTCTCTCATCTGTGCCTTCCTCGAAATCGGTCTAGCCTTCGTCCCCCCGCGTATTCTCAAGCGCATATTCCCTCCCATCGTAACGGGTACGCATGACCCATCCTTTCCATCGTAGAACATGCGTTGATATGATCTACAGGCACTGTCATTCTGCTCATCGGCGCCTCGCTTGTGGGCAGCTCAGGCGTCCCCAACTGGGGCGGCGGCTCGAACGGGTGCCAGAACTTCCCCACCAGCGGCATCTTCGAGCTCTGCCCGACGACCCTCGCCCCGCGGCCGCTCCCCTGGGGCTCGCCGGAGTTCATCGGCCTCGGTTTCCTGTCCTTCATCAGCATCATCCTCACGGAACTCTTCGGCTCGCCTTTCTTGAAGAACATCAGCATCATCGTCGGCCTCGCCGTCGGCTGCATCGTCTCGGGCGCGGCGGGGTACATCGACGGGTCGAGCATTAAGACGTCCCCGGTGATCACGTTCCTATGGTCAGTGTGTTGTGTTTGGTCTTACGGCCTTCGGGGCTCATGCCGCCGAACAGGGTACACACATTTAAGATCTCGGTCTACCCGCCTGCTATCCTACCCAGTGAGTCTCGTCGCCTTCTCGATTCCTGATGTCCTGTATCTCATGTCTATTTGCAACAGTGCTCGCGGTCTACGGTATGCGCCCGGTCGTTGTTATGCGGGCAAACCCTAACTCTGCTTCACAGTATCCTTGGCAATGGAAGCCACGGGTGACATCACGGCCTCGGCTGAAGTTTCGCGTTTGCCAGTAGACGGCATCGAGTTTGACTCGCGCGTCCAAGGAGGGATTCTGGTCAGTGCTTATCATCTTTTGCCTATGTTTCGATGTAACAGGCTAACATGTGCGTTGTAGAGCGACGGTGTTGGCGGGTTCCTCTCTGCACTCTTTACAGTCACGCCTCTCTCCATCTTCGCTCAGGTTCGCTATCCGTCTTTGCTTTACATCTTGCGTACATGATGTCTGACGCGTTCCACCTCAGAACAACGGGGTTATTGCCATCACCCGGTGTGCGAACCGCTCGGCAGGGCGCTGGTGCTGCGCCTTCCTCATCCTCTTCGGCGTTCTCGGCAAGATTTCCGGGTTCTTCCTCGCCAGTACGTGCTTCCTTCTGTCTATCCGTTGCGCATATACTCACGTCCCCTCTCCCAATGCAGTCCCGAACCCAGTCCTTGGCGGTGTCACGACCTTCCTCTTTGCCACCGTCGCGGTACGCCCAGCGTGTGACCGTTCTCACTCCATGCATCAGAACTGACCCCTGAACGACAGGTGTCGGGCGTACGCGTGCTTTCCTACGCCGAGTTCACCCGCAGGGACCGGTTCGTGCTCGCCGCGGCGCTCTCCTTCGGCCTCGGGGACCTGCTCGTGCCCGGCATCTTCACGCACCTCTTCGACGGCGTGGACAACCCGAGCAGCGGCCTGCAGGGCCTCTTCAACTCGATCACGATCATCCTGAGCACCCCCTGTGCGTCTTCCTCTCCTCCCCGCCTCTGCCCCGTGAGCTGACGAGACTGCCCTCGGCCGTGTTTCGGCTGCAGTCCTGGCCGCGGGCATCGTCGCGTCGCTGCTCAACGTCATCCTCCCGCGGGAGGACGAGGCCGCCGCCGTCGAGGACGGGTACGATTCCGAGGCCCGAGAGTCCAGCGAACTCGAGGCGCAGAGGAATGGTAGGGGCTCGAGCGAGGGCAAGATGGAGGAGGCATAGAAAAACACGACCGGTGCACGACGTTGAACATGCTTCGCGACGAGGGTTTCGTTTCATGGCTTAATTACTTGTGGCTCTTTAATCGGACGCTCCTCCTTCGGCGTGCGCTCGTAGGGGCGCATTCCGTGAAGGGGGACTGGGAAGTGAGGCTGTTCCCGCCTAGGGGCGGAGGTTCGGTACATACTATCTGGTTTGAGTTGTGATGATTATCCTGTATCATTGGCTGCACGACATCGAGTGGGCAGGCAGCTATTCGACCCCACTCAGTCCCATCCGCCTCACGACTTGATCGCCTTCACGAACAGCCGCATCTCGGGCTTGTCGCTGTCGTAGCCCATCGTGGGGTACAGGACGGCCGACGCGTTCCACGTGACCTCCTTGTCCGTCAGCGCGAAGGAGAACACGGGCAGGAGCGTCGCCAGGATGACCTCTGCGGAACGGACGCAAGAACACGCGTAAGAAAAGGGCGCGAGGTTCACCGACACACACGGCGCACGCACTCATCTCGGCCTGGGAGAACTTGAACCCACTGTGCGCGCGACGCCGTCAGCGGACGCTCCTCCCTCTGCGAGAGACCGGCGGACACTCACATGCACGACGTCGACCCGGCCGAGAACGTCATCCTGCGAAACGAACGCCGGCGCGCCGTCAGTCCGATTCCCGAGGGACGCGGGAAAGCGCTCACAGGTGCGCGTACACGCCCGGCACGCGCGCGCCTTCGAGCGCGGCGGGCAGCGCGGCAAGCCAGCGCTCGGGGCGCCACGCGGCGGCGTCGTCGCCCCAGAGCGCGCGGTCGACGTTGCTCGCCTGGAGGTTCAGGAGGACGAGCGTGCCGCGGGAGACGGCGAGCTCGTGGACGGGCCGGCCGTCGCGCGCGCGGAGCGGCTGCGCGAGCGGGATCGCGGTGTCCGTGCTCGCCCTGTCGCGCGCGCGCGGGAAGCGGGAGGGGGGTCAGCATCGATGGTCGAGAGTGAGGAGAGCGGGCGGGGCGAGGAGGGGGGGAGAGACGCACATGCGGCCGGTGATGGGCACGGGCGCGTGCAGGCGGAGGGTCTCGCGGCAGACGGCGTCGAGGTAGGGGAGCTTGACGAGGTCCTCGTACGAGAGGTCGGAGCGGTCGGCGCCTTGGGCTTCGACGAGCTCCTTCCGGAGCTTGTCCTGCACGTCTGGGTGGCCCGCGAGGAGGAGGAGGATGCGGGAGAGCGCGTTCGAGGTCGTGTCCATGCCCGCGAGGATGAACGTCCTAGAACGGCAACAGCGCTTGAGTATCGGAGTGCGCAACACGGGAAAGGGGCTTCGTACGAGACCTGCGCGATGATCTCGTCGTCGCTCATCTTCTCGTGCTCGGTGGCGGCCATGTTCGCCTTGACTGCGTCGCGCGCTCGTCAGTCCTTCGTGCATGACGCGCTGCACTACTACTCACGGCAGATGCTCATGATATCCTTGCCCTCGCCGATCTCGTGCGCGAGCGCTTCGTCACCCCCCTCGAGGGCGCGCTTCTTCTCCGCAATGATCTCCCGCGAGCGGCGCTCCATAGTTTCGCTTATGTCAAGCAGCTTGTTCGTGTCCGGAAGAGGGAGCATACGCCACAAGCGGCGCATGGCGGATGTGGAGAGATACTCGGACATCTTCTGGGTGGAAAGCTGGAGAACGTTGCACCGCATGAGCACGGGGCTGGAGGGTGTGGGGGTGTCAAAATAAGCATGCGGGATCGAGTGGAGTGATAGAACACGGGACGAGGAAAGTAGAACTAACAAGAACAGCTTCACAGATTCTGCGAACTCGTCCGTGGAGTCCTCGGAGAAGTTATCAAACGAATACCCGAGACCGGCTTGACCGAGCATTTCGAGAGTGGTGCGGGCCATCCAGGCGTTGACGTCCATACCTTTGACGGGATCAGCCTCAGGGACGCGTTTGCCCATAGCGTCGTTCAACTACGTGGGACCCTCGTTAGTATGATTCCTGGCTTCGCAAGAGACCAAGTGTAACATACCCTGTGCGCAACCATGTAGAAAATATGGGTCATGTCGCGGAGATGTGCTGAAGAAAAGACAGGGTTGAGGAGCTTCCGTTGCCGCTTGTGCTGGTCGCCAAGAGTGGTGAGGACCCCCGGACCGAGAAGGAAAGGCAATTCGCTGTGGTATTTCGTGAGCGCGTTCGCCCCATGACGTAAGCAGAGCACGCACGCTGAGGGGGTGATGAACTTGGGGAAATTGTCCATGTCCTTGATGAGCATATGGTGTATAGCCTTGGGGTCGTGGGTGACAATCACTGGTCGCTGCAAGGAAGATAAATGAAGTCATTGCGGACCGCAGATCGGGACGGCGGACCTCGATGGGGAACTTGATAAGATATGCAGAGCCATAGGTGGTCGCCCAGTCAGTCCATGCCTTCCAGCTATGACGTGTGGAGATGGAAGGCATATGTCCTGAAGGAAATCAGGAGGTGAATTCGGAAGCGGCTGAAACGGGCGTACCCATGAACCAGTGGTCAGCTGGGGGGCCTGGGATGTTGTCTTCGGGGAGCCGGGCGAGGCATGTGCGGTAGATGGCACGGAGAACGAAAGCAGCCACGAGCACTGCCGCAGCCTGGAACGGTGACGGAGAAAGCGGCATGGCGGGGCAGGAGACGATGAGCGGACTCAGCAAAGGTCTATACCAACTTCGGGCGCTCCAGAATGGTGCCACGACCCAGACCCGTGCGCGGAGTGACGAGAACGGACGCCACGCCCGTGATTGTGCAGGTCAATATTGAATTGTCGTTGAGCGTGTCAACTGCGCGTGCAAGCGAGACGAGCGACGTACGTACGTAATCCCAGACAACCAATCGGTCGCCGCAGGTGGGCCACCTTATGTCAGCCATGGCAGTTCGCGCAGTAGCCAGGGGTCAGTCCAGCCCCAGGCCGTGGCTTAGGACCACACTTGGTTCACAACAAGGCGAATATCCGGTTTCGTGCTCTCGTACGCCATGGACCATGGTCGGATTCATACAGGACGCCCGATGCATTCCACCAGTCTGCCCACGCTTGCCAGCCACGGCGGCTGGAGATAGACGGGACATGTCCCGAAAAGCACTGGAGGTCAGCGCTTGAGGGAAGATGAGGGCGAAGCGGCGAAAGGGGTGCAATCCTCACGTGCCCATGGACCAGTAACCAGTTGTCCGCAAGTCAAACTCCGAAAGTCGAGCGAGGGAAGTGCAGGAGATCTGCCGGAAGGCGCCGCCACGCGTCGTTGGAGCAAGTGGTACGGTCGGCGAGAGCTCCATCGTCTGCAAGATGTCTTCGGTTGGGGGACAGGTCATTCGACTCCCGGTCATGCAAGGGGACCTTTGTTAAGCACAACGGATACCAGCATTGGCGCCAAACTCCAACTGGTGATGGTGCAGGGCATCGAGCACTCGGAAAGACGTCCCATCATCCCTCACGCTGGTATTAATGTTTTCGGCCACTGTGCAACAGAAAGTCAGCCGAAAGCGCTAAGTAAAATCCAGGAAAAGGAACAAACAGACCAACAGAACAAGCGCACATGGCGCATGCTCCTCTTCACTAGTCATGTTTTGAAAAGCTTCGTCGGGGATCTGGACTCCGATGGAGCGATATATTTCAGATCTCACAGGGGGCGTGGCGATTTTCGCACCGCCTGTACTACTTGCAGTACTTGAGCCGTGGGATTAACGTATCGGGTGTATTGGCGACGATGTACCGAGCACATCTTAAGCGTATACAGCACATCACTTGCGTGGACATGCAATTTTCACTCCCTGAACATAAGGCCTAGGGTTTCGGAACGGATCCCCTGCCACTGTGTTCGCTTGAAAAGGGGTCTTCTTACGTGGTCACTGGTCGACGATGACGCGTGCGAATAAATGTGGCATAAATCAAGAGTTGAGAAACTACGAAGACTTACAGAGTGCATTAGATGGGTCGCAAGCCTGAAATCGGTGAATGACTCTGAGTGAGCGCCGTGGAAGCGCCGGGTTTTCGTGTGCTGACATAACATAGGCGCTAAATACGCACCACTGGCCAGCGCAGCGACCTTCAAAGACTCCACCCAACCGCGCCGCGATGCTCTGTGTCGACACATCTACTCATACTAATGAGAATTTTTTAAAAGTATGCTGTTGCTGTCGTGTGACGTTACACTGAATAATTGCAGATCAATTGCATTGTTGAATAACATCGGACGTTCAACTTCTCAGCCTGCTCGCCGCAGAAAAGATATACATATGTCTGACCGCAGCCGTGCATAGCTGCATCTTTACATCACACTTTTTAAGTTGTCTAGACTACACGCGGTCTCAACAGCCCACTATCATACGACTTTTTCCGCCAAGCTCTAAGTAACTCCAGCTTGGACGCCGTTTGCCAGGACGCCGCCGCAGTCCAGTGATCATCGTACGCCGTCATCAGCTTGACCATCCAGGTGCGCACTCCTCATCTGCTGCGGACATACAATGCAATTTTGTCTTGACACCGCGCAGCGTAGCTTCTACCACATTTGCAAATACGAGAACGCGGCGTGTGTACTCAGATGTCCCGCCGGTCTTAATACACCGTCTCACTAACCTCCCATGCACATCACACGAGGGTCACCAGTCTCTTTCAAATACCTCCAGACGTCTCACCAAGCCTTCCATGCCACGGGGCTAACACCTAGTCCTCTGGGTTCGTTATCCGCAGCCCAGGGCATCGAGCATATAAGCCTTCCGAGCACCCCCGCCGACCCTCCGCTCGCTCGCCCAAGTAGCGACTGGTGATCTGCTCCCCCCGCTACCCTATTTCAGCCCTGGTGCTCTCCTTTATCGTCATCACAACATGAGCAGCGAAGTGAGCTCGTTCTTCACTCAAACTGGTATCGCGCCCACCAGCGTAGCGACTGGTACGGCGGCGGTAGCGTCCTCGATGTCCACCCCCTTCGCGGAGTCGGGTTCCTCCGATGCCGGCCCTTCTGTCGCCAGCTTCTCGGATGCGACGGGCCTTGACACAGACCTCCGTGCGGTGCAGTTCGTGTCCGTGCTGGCTTCTCTGTGAGTCATTCCCTGACCATGTTATGTAAAACAATTCACTCAAGACGTGCTATGTTAGCACATTCGGCATCGCGGTGACCAAGGCCTGGGCCTACTTTCGTTCGAGGGGTGGATACAGCGCGGCCAAGAAGGGAACGGTACGTATCGTGCACTTCTTGACGCCTCATGTATCTCATCAACTTGCGATGGCCCGTAGATTGCGAGCCTGGTGTATGCCCATATCGTCATTACTCCATGACAGATTCTCATAAGAATCGCAGCATTGTCAACCTCATCCAGTGGATCGCCTCGGTGTATGGCGCCTACCATTCCGTCACATCAATCACCAACGACAACAGCGACGAGTGGTGAGCATTGTGATAGATTTCACGCCTACCGAGCCTGACATAACATTGGTCAGGGCCATCATGGTATCTCTGCCGCGAGTGCCAATTGCGGAATTAAGTGGCTGACCGAACGTATTCTGCCTGCAATAGGTTCAGATCGGGTTGGCCGTAAGTCGACACACGATGTCTGTCTTTTTTAATATTCTAAGAATGCGTTGTACTAGACCCTTGCCGCGGTGATTGCTCAGAGGTAATCTCATCTTTCAGCGTGTATGGGGTTCCATAGCTGACGGCACTCTCACCGCAGCTACTTCGCAGTCCAGCTGTATGCTTGTGAGTACCAGTATTGTCCCTTCGAACGTCACCTTGTTGACGAAGGCGTATAGCCAAGAGGAACTCCAGCTTGTTCATGACCATTGTACGTGTATTCATCTGGCAGGATTCCAGGATGCTCATTGGTCTCTCCACTGCAGCTGTTCTTCGCGCTGCTTCAGCTCGGTGGGTGTTGTTTTTGATCCTCGTGAGCATGTTGGATTATTGACCCGCTTTTCAGTATTGTCTTGGGGTAAGCCATTCTGGACCTAGTCTTGAAACCGACTCATTGACCTGGTTTAATCGACAAAGTTGCTGTGGGAATCATGTAGGAAATCGTCCGTTCCCTGTGTCAATGCTTGCTCAGGAGTTATGCCAGGTTCACGCAGGGTTTCATCGAGACCTCCACTGTCACAACTACCAACCAGGCAAGGTTTTACGGCTATATATATGCCCATCTCGCTCACCGTTCTTTGGGCCGTGACAGTGGGATCAAATCATGACTTTGGGGATCACTTGCGGAGTGGACCTCGTCATCGCCGTCCTGACCTACGTGTGGCTCGAGAGACCCCTCTACCTCCAACAGTAAGTATTTCCTTCCAATCCCATTAACCCTTCGTTCACCGCTCTCGCAGGCGTGGAGCAACCCGGTTCCTGAACGAGGCGACCTTTTGGTCTTTCGGCGGTCTCTTCGGGTGCTCGTGCGTGCTGCTCGTACCTCTTCCACCCCCCGCGTGTTTCGCTCACCGGCGCATTGCAGCCTCGTCGCCTTGTTCGCTGCTGTCTGTGATTCGATCGCTGCCCGTTCCCTGGTCTGGCTCGTCGCTGTCTCCGCTCTTGGGAACCGTGCGTGCTCCTTCTTTGCCCTCCCACACGCGCCGCCCTTTTGACGCCTCCATGACCCGCAGTGCACACCATCAGCGTCCTGTCTAGGTTCGCCACCCACCATCCTGTGGGACGGAGCACACCCTCTGACCACATCTCCTCCCTCCAGCCTCGACGTCCGCGCGCCCATGGTCGTGACTACCGCCGCGCCCGCGCCCGCCTCCACCTCCACGCGCTCGTCCGTGGCGACCCTGACGGCCGACGACGCCTCGTTCCGCAAGGACCTCGAGAAGGCGCAGCTCGCGAAGGCGACCGAGGCCTCGCTCGACCGCGTGCGTCCCGTCCCGCTCCCGCTCCTCCCTCCCTTCGTCCCTTCACGCCACCGGTGACGCGTCCACGCAGGACCCGGAGACGGAGGTCCCGCCCCCGCCGCGGTACGTCCCGCAGGAGAAGTCCGCGTTCGACCTCGGCTACCTCGCCGGAGGCGCCCCCGCGGTGAGCCTCCGTCCTTTCCGGACTTCGACAGGGGCTTGCGCACTGACGTCGGTGACCATTCTTATGCAGGTCTGAATGTGTCCTCGGACAGGTTGTGCAACGGATGACATTGGACACGACTTGCTGGATACGTCGTCTCGGGCTTCCCACTCTCCAGGCCTTCGGGGTTGGGCGGTGTGTGTCTGAGGACGGTGATGAATCGATACGTACGAAGTTTGGACGTTACATGAAATATTAGGTCAGGTTCGGTTGTTTGTTGTATGTTTGACATCCTTGTACTACATCCGCGTCGTTCCCGCATGGCCTGTGATGCACCTCGCCCATTATTTGATCAAGACCTGGCTCTTTGAAACAAGTTGGAGCTGGACTGGACCTAAGCAACCTGAACGAAGACCGTGTGACGTTTGGATTTAACGGTTGCTGCACGGCAGACACGAACGTATCGTCACACCAACAATCTAATCCACGATACCACCCCTGGAATCTGGATACATGATCACGTCCGCCCCCGAGCATCTACAGCTACTACAACGGCACACAATTCCACCAGTACATCACCACCAAAACACAGGACAGAAGGAAAAGAGAGGAAGAAAATAATGTCGGCCCCACATACTACTCCAATTTCCGGCACGGTCCTCGCGGCGGCAGGAGTCCCCACAGGGGCATGGTCATGAAACCACTCGACCACGCATTCGCTCTCGCCCTTCCCTGCGCCCGCGGGCGCGCCGGGATCCAGCGCGGATGAGGCCCCAGCTGGGGGACCCCGCCCCGCGCGGCTCCGACGGGGCGCGGTCGCGGCCTGCAGGTGGCATGGGTGCCTGCGGGCGCGACCGGCCGGAGGGCTGTCGTGCAGAAGAGAAAGAGAAAGAGGGAGGAGGCAGTACGTACCTACGCGAGGGAACCTGCGGTGGGGAGACGGGTAGGGAAGCTTGAGGACATACGATTACAGCTCTGTGCCCGCACCAGCAGAGGTGGGGCGGCGGGCGAGATTAAAGGGGGAAACTAGTGTACAAGATAAGGGGAGTGGGGGCCTGAACAACATGACAACGGTGTACACAAAGACAATGACGGCGTGAACGAAACAGTGACGGAGCCGGAGGAGGAAGGGGGTAGAGGGGTAGGCGACAGGGCGGCGGTGGGACGGGGACGGGAGCACTGAAAGCAAGAGACATGGAGCGGTGAGCAGAGCAGTTACATGAAGGCCTTGGACGGGAGAGACGACCAGGGGCGGGAGAGAGGGGACCATGGACGGCGAAGTGGGTACAACGGGGGGGACAACAATGACGATGAAGAGATTCCGAACCGTATCCAACCTCCGGGGCAGGCAATCGTATGTATGCGTTGTCCATGCATTTACGACGGGAGACGCGGCGAGAGTTTAAAATCCGACCGGGGAGATGTTGAGACGTCCACACCCATGCGAAGAGGAACGAGCCGGTATTGCTACCGCTCGTCGCGAGGGGGATACGCAGCGTGGCCATTCCTCCGAACACCATTCGCGTATACGCTGCTTTCACTCGCAGGCGGGCTACCCATACGTGGAGGCGGATTCGGGTAAGCATTCATGATGCTCGCGAAGGTCGCGGGGACGGCCGGGCCTGGGGGTGGCGGCGGAGGCGGCGAGCGACCCCTGTCTCTGTCATAGTGTTCGCGATAGTCACCGCCGTTGGCATGCGGGACATACCGATGGTGGGGAGACGGAGGCGGAATTGACCCATGCGAGCGCGAAAGTGAATGTGAGTGAGCCAAAGGTGGAGGAGGCGGGAGCTGGTGGGGCGGAGAGTAGTGACCGTCTCGTTCGCGCTCCCGATGCATCACTGGCGAGTGTGACGCCGTGCGCGAGTGTGGTGAATCCACGTGCATCGGTGGGTAGTCGTCGTAATTGCTAGCTCGTGATCCGCGCCGTCCGCGCTGTCCGTGGTCGGAGGGAGGAGCGTTCGGATACTCCTGGTGGAACGTAATGGGCTTCATTGCGGTGGGAGAATGGGTAGGAGGAGGGCCGTTGCGCCCGCGTAAGGAAGGATCTTCGATGATTTGCAATTCGCCATGCCGGCCGAGCACAGCTTGGGTTGGACCGGCGCCGGGGTTGTGGGTGGGTGAGTGAAGCTCTTGCTCGCCATCCACCACATCCATGTATCCGTTGCTGCTAGAGTCGGCGGTGGGGGATGGCGGGTCCATGTCATCCGGAAGTGCTGGAACGACAGGCGCATGCCGGCCGCCAAGAGGTCTGTACAAACCAGAGTAAAGCATTTGTCAGAAAACGACAAACTGCGGGCGCCCATTTGCAGCGCCCCCTCCGCACAGCGATACCACCAAGGGTGAAGGCGTGCATCGCGAGCATAACACGAAAGCTAACTCACCCTCCTTCCCTGAAGTCCTGCCACACGTAATCCCTCAGCTGGTTCGCATGTGGAAGCTCCTGTATGAGGTACTTGATCGTGTTCTGCCCTAACCCAAAGAAATCCGGTCCCGACACCGAGTTCGAATGTGCGCGATTCCGGATGTGGTTCGCCGCACGGACGATAACCGACCACGCGCCCGTCGCAGTCCCCGCCACGATGGGTTTGTCGGGCGCGTCGGCAGCGATGATCTGGAACTTAGGCCCGTCGCCGCCGTCCAGGATTTTGCAGTGGTACGTTACCTCCGCGTTGGGGTCCATGGTCGAAGAGTAGCGCCTGTATGCGTCACATGCGCATTTAATACAAGAAGGAAGACAAGCTCGAGACACGCACCGGGTCACCTCGTAGCCCACCGGGAAGATGTACCTCTCCGTGTGAAAATGCTCCCTCATGCACACCTCGCCCAGGTGCAATACCGTCATGATGCCCACCGTCAGCGGTAGTATCGGGCGTCCGTCCCTGTCGCGGGGAATGAGTGGGATGTTTGCGGTCCGGGTGGTCACTGTGTGCGCCTTGAGTCGTTTTGGCTTTGTGTGTCGTTGGATGTCGGATGGGCGGGAGGAGGCAGACGACGTCCGGAGCGTCATCTGCATCTGCGCCTGGGAAGGGGGAGCTCCGTGTTGGTATGGTGGAGACATTCCCTCAACCTGGATTGCTGACACATACTCATCTTGGGGCGACAGGTCCGGGGACATCGATTGAGAGTGCCTGTGCACAGACGTGTGCGGGGGCAGTGGTAAATGCCCACTTGGGTGAGACTGAGGTCCAGGGTGCGATGGAGGAGGACCCTGGGGGTGCCCTGGAGGGGTGCCCTCATGTGCGGGGGGTGCGGGGCCCTTGATGCGCAATCTGAAGCCAGAACTTGAGAGGACAGTGGGGGAAGACGGGCCCCCTTCACCATAGCCCACAGTGACGGCTGCGGATGGGAGCGGGGAGAGCACGCCGTGAACAGGGGCAGGTGCGTACGTTAGAGGGGCACCGATGTCTTTGCCCTTCGTCGGCAGGGTGCGTAGTTTCCTGACCGGAGGTCTTTTGGCAGCCTCTCGCGCCTCCTCCTCCTGGCGCTCGCGCATCTCGATCTCTTGTCGCTTGCGTGCGGCAGGCCCAATATGACGCGACAGGAGGTGAGGGTCGATTTCAGGGTCCTCGCGGTCGATCTCTTCAATTGCTTGGCGGAGGTTGGCGACGAACAGCTTCTGGTTCTTGTCGTTCAGGAGAACGCGGGGGAAGGCTGTGAATGGAGGCTGGGGAAGAGTGACACCTGGGTTGGTGGCGGGGTTGGTCTCCAGCTCGCTGATGCGTTCCAGCAAAAGTCTGCACAAGGGGGGATATGGAACGAGGAAAACAAGGAGAAGGAGAAGGACGCACTGTCGTTCAGCCCGCCACTTTATGTTGCGCTCTCCAGAGGTCTTGAGCTGAACCATGGCTTCTTTGTGTTTCTGGAGAAGTCGGCCAGGTCATACGCGTCGCGGGAGGGCAATCGAGCAAGGAAGGTACACGGGCGTTGATGACGGGGGACGTTGAGTGGAAGAGCGGGGCGCGCGAAGGGGTGGTCGAGCTCACCTCTTCAAGCTCGAAGTACTTGCGCTTGAGCCTGCTGTACTTTGTGGTGACGTCGGAGTCCTTCTCCTTGGAAAACTTTCCGGCGAGCGGGACGGGAGCCTGGCCGGGGACAGGAGGGGGCCCCATCACGACATCCTGCGGGGGACCCATGGGGGTCCTGGGCGGCAGGGACATGGAGGGAGAGGGAGGAAGGAAGGGGAGGGAGGTGATGGGCGCGGGAGAGAGGCCGGCGCGGGGCGATAGGCTATATAGGTGTGCTGGCCAGGGGAAGCGGCCAGCTGTTTGGTCCGATCCCACATTTGCTCGCTCGCGCACCGCGTCTGGGGCGCGACTCTGGCCTCGCGCGGGGCGCGGGCGCTGCCGGAGGGCCGCGGGCACGGGTTCGGACTCGGATGGACAGCAGAAACAATCAGTCTGGATACCGCCTCGGCGCCTGCCCCGGACGGCCGATGGGGAGCGATACGGGGCGTTGAGTGGCGGAAATGGAGGGCGGGTTTGCTTCCACCAGGCGCCCGTGCCCTCCCACTCGTCCAAGACGCCCGAGTCCTCGCCGTCCCTGTCCGCGGAGGCCCTTCCCCGCCTCCTTCGCCTGTTCCATGCCAACGCCCACCGTCCCGCCCCGCCCCGCCCACTGCGCCGACACCCTCGCGCGGCGGGGGAACATCCATCATCTGTCAGCCTGCCGGAACGGGCTGCCAGACTTCCTGGAGCGCAGCACACGCTACGCTTCGGCGATTCTCCACACAGAGATCCTCTCTCGCCCCCGTCCGGCCCCCGCGTCCGCCCCTCGTCTCTCGCCGTCTTCCCGCGCACGCCCGCTGGCTGTGCCCGCGGCACCCAATCGCCCGACGTGCCCACGTTCTCCGCTACTCAACGCCCTTCGCTTCGGTGGATTATCTTTCCCATTTAGGTATGTACGTTCCCCCACTCCGGGAGAGCGCCAGTTGATCCGCACTCGGCGCCCTCAGCCCTCAGGCCTCAGGGCGACAAGGCACGGCCGGCCGTCCACGTGACGCTTGCTCAACGCCCTCCGTGACGACGCCGGCCGGCCGTCCGTCCTGCGGGTCTCCCATGTCGCCGCACCCGCAGCCCCCGTTCCGGCCGGGTACTCTATTCAACGCCTCCGTGCCTCCGTGGCGCCATTGTCGCCCGTTCGTCTCACGGCGCCCTGTCCTGCGCTCGCTTCAACCCTTCGCAGGACAGACACGGCCTCAGTGACGTCGGTGGACTGGTCTCATGCAGAGCCTGCACGCACCGCACAAGTACACCTCCGAGTGACGTCCAAGAACCGTCATCCGGCTAGCGGTGACAGGATACTCCGCGACGACCTAGCGTAGATCTTGGTGACGTCCGCCGCCTGTTCTTCCACGACCCGTGCCGAAACAAGGCGCCGATCGCCGAGAGCGTGCGACATTTCGGCTTAGAGCGGCCACCACCTGGCATTCCTGAACGAGAGCCCACATAAAGAGCCCGGCGTCCTGCAGGAGAGAGAGATATGCATAAGCCGTGTAACCCGACGGGTGGCCGTTCATATGAACTGCCTCGGCTCAGCATCGGAGGTCGAGAGGGCGACTGGTGGAAACGCAACAGCAGAGATATCGTGGCCCTCACGGATTTGTCCACCATGCGGATCGAGATACAAAGCTGAGCCATCCATGGGGACAGGAAGCCAGTATCCCCTCATGCATCCGACAAAAGTGCGAGCCTCATCAGGACTGATTTGGCTCAGATACCTCTGAAGCCCCCCTCCTCCCCAAAGCGGACGCCTGGCCCGAGATGACCTATCGGGCGCATATGAGCAACCTGACTATATCCGAGGCAGGATATTCAAGAAGCCTCCTAGTGCGGCCTCCGGTGGATTACTCTGGATTACTGCGCCAACACTATGTTGTCATCACTCGAATGGCAGTGTAGGTCAGCCGGACAGACAGTAGCCTAAATCCAGTTAACAGGGAAAGCACCGAGACATCCAGATGAACTTTGTCCTAGATCGACAACAACCGCGCAGCCCCTGGGTTCCATAATGTACTCACACTCCGCAGACCTGTGTCCAAATATGGCACTACACTTCCGAATTGGGAACCGTCCAAATCTCCACGCCCTCTTGGCGTCGTGTCATATGGTGAAGCACCTTCGGACGTCCGACGCCTGGCGCGAGGTTGAACATCGTTGACGATCCAGCAAACAGGACATCTGTCCCAAAGAAGTGAGCGCATGAGTGTTGGGGGCCGGCATGCACACAAAACATAGACGCACTATTCTCTTCTCCACAGCGATTACAGACGACTGCGATCACTTCGTCGCCAACTTTACGCGCCCCCTGCCCGCCCGTTCCGTCCACAATGTTGTCTTCGTCTTCGAACGCGTCGTCGTCCTCTTCTAAACTAGCTTCTTCTTGGACCTTCGCCCACAGCGGTCGTAGCCGCATCGCCCAATAGTTGACCGTCTGCCAGTCCGTGTCGTCGTCCTCGAGGCGGTTCTTCGAGTCCAGCCACGCGTTCAGGAGCACGAGCACCTTCGTGCGCTCCCGCACGCAGTACTCCGCGACCTCGAACGGCCCGCTCTCGAGCGAGGTCCACACCGCCGGCGGCCGCACGTTGAGGTCCATGCAGATCGCGAGCGACAGCGCCCCCAGTGGTGGCGGGAGGCGGAACGTCGCGAAGCCGGGCGTCTCCCCGTGTCCTTCCACCGTCTCGCCCGTCGCAGGGGAGCCTTGGCCCTTGCCGCCCCGCGCCCACGTCATGTCCGTGTCGTACAGGTTTGACTTGTGATAGATCCCGACGGGCTCTCCGGCGGGCCCGTATAGCGCCGCGGCGTTCGCGCCGACGATCGTGACTTCCTTGGGCGCAGCGTCGCCAACTGTGACTGTGGTGGTGTGCACGTCCGCCGCAGGGAGGCGCTCGGGGTAGCCCGCGACGACGTAGCAGCGCAGGCGCCGGGCGAGGTCGGAGCAGAAGCGCGAGGTCGGGCCCGTGTGCGGCTCCTCGAGGAAGGGAGTGATGGACTGGGAGTCCGGGAAGACGTAACCTGGCGCGTCCGTGAGTCGGGGTACGATGGCCTTGCAGCGTCCGGACCAAGGGCGCACCGGAGAAGATCATCTCAGGGAGACACACGAGGTCGACCGAGTCGGGCTGCAGGCTGGAGTCGTGATGTGCTCGTTATATGCTAGCTTCACGTCTGCCAAGCTCGACATGGGGCAGACGCACGTCTCGCAGAGCTTGTTGGCCTTTGTGAGGTTGGCCTCGACCTCGCCGATCTTCGAGATAAGGTCAGAACCCAAATTTTTTTGAGTAGAGTCGAGTTACCTTGGGGTCGAACTGGACGACTGCAATGCGCATCGCAGCGATCGGTTGACGGAAAACGCGGCGGGATGAAGGTGCGGCTAGAAGCCTAGGAAGCCGCAAATCTAAAGGTGCAGTAGATTGCCGAAGTCGCCGAGGCTGGTGCTGGAGGCACGCCGTATGCGCCTGGAGCGAGGGTCTGAGGACGAGTCTAGGCGTGATCGTGGTGGCGAGATAGAGCAGATGGTGGAGGATGCCGGCACTTCATTACGGGCTATCGGAGTGTGCTCGGTTTGAACTCCGATTAGTGGGACGTTAGGCGCGGGCGGATCGCCGTCTCGCTGCCCACGGCTGTAGGCTCGAGGCCTGCTTCACTCCTGCCTCCACCTCTCTCACCGCCGCCCACGAAGTGCCCAGGTCTGCTGTCTGCCGTCGCCGAGCACAGGCCCTCTCTCGCACGACACGCCTGGGAGAAGAGGAGGGAGCGTCGGAGGTGAGCGGTGGATTGATTTGTCAGAATCGCCGGCCTGACTGGCGCAGACGAGCGCGAGCGAAAAGGCCCCTTTTGCGCCCGTGCTCGAGAGGAGCCTCCGCCGCGCTTCTCTCCCGCCGCTGATCCTCTCGATTCCCCGTCCCCACCTGTGCCCTTATTGCCCGCGCCGCCCGCCGAGGATGGGCAACACGTCCTCGAACCCGACCTCGCCCCACGCCCGCGTCGACTCCCCCGCGCGCACCGTCTCGTCCCCCCGCGGCAGCCCCAGCCCCGCCTCCGCCTCCCGCCGCGTCCACCACTCCCTCCGCTACAAGAAGAAGTCGCTCGAGCTCCCCGATCTGGCGTCCCTCACCCTCACCCCCGCCGCGTCCCCCGCGTCGGTCTCTCCCCATCCCGCCCACCGGCGCCCCCGCGCGTCGTCCCCGATCCCAATCCCGACCCCGGCCAATCCGCCCCAGCAGACGTTCCGCGTCCAGCACAACCTCGCCTCCGGCGCGCGTCTCAACCGCATGGGCGATGGCTCGCGCTATCGCTCCTCCCTCTCCGCCTTCAACTCCACCCGCTCCCTCCTCTCTGCCATCCAGGACTCCCCTCCCCGCTCCGACGTCGCCCCCATCAGGCCCGAGTTCGTCCCCGAGGTGATCTATTCCACCATCCCCCTCGCTCTAGAGGTCAAACCGCAGGACGAAGACCGCAAGCCGGACCATGTCAACACCAAGATCGCTTGGAAGGAGGGCGGCAAGAAAGTCGTCTTGATCCGTGCAGGGCACGACAATTGGCAGGGCCGCCAGCCGATGGAGTACGAGTGAGTGGCCGTTCCTACTCCCCTCTGGCGTTTCTTTCAATCGGCCCGTGTTCCACCCCCGCTGACTTCTATCGCAGCTCACAAACGAACTCGTGGTACACTATCGTGCCTCTGCGCCCTGGCACCCATCATTTCAAGTTCATCGTCGATGACCAGATCCGGCTCACGAACGACTATCAGCGGGCGGTTGACGACATGGACGGCACCCTAGCCAACTACGTCGCCGTCGCCGCCCCTACGGCACCCAGTTCTCCCAACCAAGGACAACTAGTCACTCCCCTCGCGAGCCCGAACCACGCACACCCCAATCAGTTCAATTCTTTCTGGTCAGACTCGACTGCCGCAGGAGGGACGGGCGGGAAAGGGAAGGAGGCGGAGTGGACGTCGGAGATCCCCTCGCAGCTCACCGCTGCCGCCGCCGAAGAGGAAACGTACTTGGCGAGTGCCGACTCCCCTACCTCATCCGCGAGCGGCGTCCCGACGCCCAACATTCCGCCCGCGCCCGCGCTGCCCCGCCATCTTGACAAACTCATCCTCAACGTTCGCCCGCCGACCATGCCTCCCAGTGCGGCCGCAGCGAACGGGGATCGCGATAGGAGGCGTAGCGGGCGACAACGGCGGGAGCGTGAGAGAAAGGAGAACAGGCAACAGACGATAGGCATGACCGCGGCTGAGCTCGCCGAGCAGGACGGCATCGGCGTGCAACTCCCCGTCGTCACTGCAGGAGGCACCGAGGTCGCCCCGGGCACCCCAGTCCCACCCTCGTCGATCCAGAACCGGCCCTGGGATGGCCCTGGGATCTCAGACGACGCAAGTGTGCTCCCTGTGCCATCACATGTCGTCCTTCATCACCTCAGTACGAGCGCAATCCGGAATGGAGTCCTGGCAGTGGCGAACACGACGCGCTACCGCAAGAAGGTAAGCCTGTTCGCCTCTGCCACCAGGCTCTTCCCTGGAGAGAGCCAACTGACACAGCGTCATTGCTATCAGTACATCACGACCGTTTACTACAAGCCGACATGACGCGCACCACGGGCATCCTCGCCCCGACCCTCGTCTTCACCCCTGGTCCCGACGCCACGTGTCCGCGCCATGCTGACGCAAAACGCAAAACACGGCGGCCGCCTTCTACCTTTCCCCAGTGTGCTCGCGCCTCCGTCATCCCTTGCCTCGTTCGTACCGCTTGTTCTGCGTTTCTGGTTGGCTCATAGACACTTCACATGCTCTCATCTGTAGGCCCATTCTCGTCCCCGTTCCGTCCGCATCCATCATCTCTCCGATTCTTGCAGCCCGGTTCTTTCTGTCACGCCATAGAGGAGACCGCGCCTTCGCCCGCGCACCGGTCTAGCCCCCGTGGGTATGCAGGAGTTATCTATCGCCCAGGTATCCCATCATAGACAGACCGCCTCCCACCACCTTGTTGTACCGTGCATCCCCAGTCCCCATATCCGCCCACGCACCATCACCCCCATCCGCCTTCTCGTCCTTCCCATCCACCCTCGCATTCCGCCCGCCTCACCCACACGTCCCGCTATACCACCCTACCGCTCGCCCCTCACTGTGTACGTATCCCACGCTCGGACCGCGACTCGTAAAACGAAAACATGCCTGTATTGATACGCACCCGCCGCCCACGCGCACATCCCTCGTCGTCGCTTCGTCTCTCCGTATATCCATGGGGTTCTCGGATACCACGTGTCGTTGGTCGTCGTCAAGGGCTCTGCGCTCTGGGCAATCAGCAATCTTCAGCAATGTTGCAATATTCATGAAGTGCCTGATCGTCCCCGCTGCTCGGCCGACGCTCGCAGATCGTAGTCGCGTAAGTGTGTTGTTTTTTCTCCGTCGAGGAGACACTGTCACAGCACTGAGCAGGTCCCCCACGCAGATGTCCGGCAGAGTGTCATGGCTTCATGCTTCCATTGGTACATAGACCCGGCGGAAGTCGTCCAAATGGCGTCGGCACCCTTGGCCGGTTCCACTGGCGTCGCTTAGGCCTCGGTCCGAGCAGCGTCCGTCGGACCACAAGACGCCGGGTCGACGTCGTTGCGAACTGCGACAAGAGCGGTCGGCATTCACAGTCTCACCTACTCCTCCTCCGATGGCCCGAAGCCGTAGCAACGCGCCAGCCGCATCATCCCCGTCTTTAGGACGGCGACGTGCTCGGGAGGCGTGATGCGGCATGACTAGTTGCCGATTGAAGACCGCCTGATTCGTCAGGTCTCAGACCCGCGTCACGCGGTATCGGTCCGTAGAACTTCCGTCGGAGCGTCGAGTAGCCTCGTGTCGCGTCCGGTGCGCCTCTGCCGACTCGCTGCCGGCGGCTTCCACGAGGAACTGAGCAACTAGCGTCTGGACTCTGATCGCGCGGAACTCGACCAGGATCTGTGAGTCCTCTTAATTAGGCGCATATTTGCATATAAAGATGGAGTCGTTCTGCGAGGACGTCCGCATCTGCGAAACTTGAGCTGGATAAGGTCATCTTTTTTGCCTGCTACTCGCACATGTCTGATCAGAAACGTGTCTTGCCCAAGAAAGTGTTTTTTTTCGATCCGCGACGCGAGCAAGAAACACAATCTTTCCTGGAAACGAGTCGCCGAGCACCTCCAGAAGGATATTTGCTTATCAGGGATGCACAATCTTGAATCAGAGCCCGCTCGCGCGCTACTCCGAGTCCGCGGGTGGAGGCGGCTCAGTGACAGTGTGTCCACAGATCCCATGTAAGCTGCACCCTGTGGACACAGGTTGCATTACGACACTGTATATATATCCGCAGACATCGTGTCTGTAATGTATAACAGCCACACATTACCAGACTGAATGATATGGTGGAAAATGTGGGAATCAAGGTACGTTACTTGGTGTTGCTGAGCTCCGCAACCCATGGCAGCTCGAAGAACTTATGTAAGAAGGCCATGCGCAAGCGCAGGTCCTCAAATGACGTCCTCCCAGACACACACTGCCAGTTCTGACAACTCCAAGGACCAAAACATTCCTGGACAAAGCCCACAGAACACCCTGGTCCACTGCCACTCCGCTCCGAACTTGGTATCCTTCCGCTGCCATGCACCCGATCAGAGTTGGTGGTGACCCTCCTCGAGCTCATCCACCTGGTGCGACAGATTGTCCAGAGTACTCAGACACAAAGTCTAGGTTCCGCTCGTGAAGGCAAGCGGAGCGAGCTTCGGCAATGTGTACACGCGTCGTTTCAAAGCCTCCACAATGCTCACCAGAGCAGCATTCGTGGCGAGGACCCGAGCCAGAAGTGCACAATGTTCCTCCATGGGTGAAAGAATGCTGCTGCATGGAGAACACCAGCACATGTTTTGATGTTGGCGGAGAAGCTACTGAGTGTATTTTGGTTCGATGGGGCCGGCTGTGATGGAGGAATCCCGCTGCTCGTAGTATGCTGTTGAGTGGAGACAACTTGGTGTAGCGCATAAGCAGCACATATATATTCAAATCTAGGTGTGGTTGCTGAGCGCTGAGTCGGATCAGCGCCTGCCCAGTCTGGGCTCGAGACCTCCAGGTGACAGTTGTTCGTGGGCTGTTTGTTTTGTTTGACGTGTTCTATCATTAGTCTCAATCACACAGGTGTCTATTACCAATGTTTGTCTCCTTAGTCCGCAGACAGTGTCGTGATAGAATCGGTGTCCACAGCTAGCGCTCAACTGTGACCACAGGGTGCGGCTTACATAGGATCTGTGGACACACTGTCATTGAGGTGTATTGCTGTTCCCTCGCGCGGTTTGAGGACGCGGCCGGGGGTGCGATCGGCGACATCCCGCACACGGCCGCAATCCCATGCACGCCGCCTGACGTTCAACAGGACGACGTGCAGCGTGCAGCGCCCACTGCGCCAGCGTGCTGGACGTCGATCGAGTCGACGGGTCGCGCGTACACCCGGGATGCGCGCCCGCTTGGCCGTCGCGACCGCCTGCAGCCTGCGCCGATTGGCACGCCCGTCAACGTCGAACGCCGAGGTTCGGACGCACGATCTCGCGGTGCGCGCGACGGGACTCGGGAGGCTCGGAATCAGGCTGAACGTGCGGGAGAGGGGGCGGCTACGTGTTACATTTTGGACGGGACGATGAGAGCCGTGCCGCGCCGGGCGCGCGGGCGCACGAGGAGTACAGTGTAGTACATGTATTTTCCAGCCCCGACCGACGCAAGGGTCCGGACGGGGCCGGTACCGAGAGTACTGTAAAACGAAAAAAAGCTCAGGCGCAAGCATGGGTATGTGCGTGTGAAGAGGGAGCGAATGGTATACGATCGAAGCCGTCCCGGGCCCGTCCCCAGCCAGGTGCGCGCGCGGAGACGTGCGCATCGGGGGTGGGGTGCAAAGCAAGAAAGAGATAGGCGGGACGGTGATTATAGTATGTGCGTGCCAAAAACGGGGGCAGGGCCCGGATATGCAAGATGAACGGACAGCAAAAGCGTCGAGCATGGACGTGGACGCGAGGCGAACGCAATTAGGCCGTAACTGATGCAAGGGAAGGGGGGACAAACGGGTGTATGTGCATCCAGGAAAGTATTCAAGATAGGGACGAGGGGGGCCTGCTGGCCGTCTAGACCAGGCCTCAGTAAAGAGCTGTCTACGCCAGCCGAACGGGCGCATACAGCGACCTGGGATGAGGGATATGCTACTGGAATATGCAGCATATGAGAGCAACAACAATAACGGATCCATTACAATCTGAGTGTCGACCAATCAATACGAAGCCAAGGTCAACACAAGGGCAAAGAAAACGCGACTCACAACTCCACCAGCAAAGCAAGATGGTACACAATCCGCATCTCACAGCGCGGCGCCGACCATCGAGCCGTTGATCGTGCTCGCCCGGACGCCTGCGTGGTAGCTCGAGATGCGCTTCTTGGCGAGGAACGCCGGGAGCTCCTCCTCGGGCGCACGCAGGCAGTCTATGGGGATCAGGCCCTGCGCCCCGTGCGCGATGTGCTCCGCGATCGCCCAGCCGTCGTCGAAGCGCTTCACGATCCGGACCTCGTCCCCGACCCGGACCGCGAGCTCGTCGGTCATCGACGGTGCGAACGCACGCTGGATCGTCTCGACGGCGGCGAAGTGCAGAGCGGTGGTGCCCGTGCTGTGCGTCACGACCGAGGACTCGTCCGCGTCCGCGCCCCCGAAGTCCGCGAACGGGTTCTCGGACTCGGGGAGCGCGCCCCTGGGGCCGACGCCGGTGCCCGCGCCGGGGGTGCTGTTCTGCGACGTGGGGGGCTTGGGGAACGACCACTTCTCGGTGGGCGAGAACGGCCGGACGGTGAAGGGCGAGGGGGCGGGAGATCCGTGGAGGGTCGCGCTCGGGGGCTCCGCGATCAAGTACTGGCTGTTCTGGCTCGAGGGGCGGCTGCCGCTGCTGGACAGGCTGTTGCGGTCGCTGTCGCCGCTGCGCATCGTCGCCGTCGCGAAGCTGTCCACCGAGTGCGAGGCTGGGGGGAACGTGACCAGTTGTGCGTGCAGTTCGGTCGTCCAGCTGTTGGAAACGGGTTCGAAGACGTTGGTGGCGAAGGGCCCAATCGAGGCACGGCTCCCATCGTAGACACGGGAGGAGGCATGGGCTTGCGAATGGGTCCGCGGGCGGAGGGCTGGTCATGAAGCCACGATCGTATGAAGTGGCGAAGCTCGAGCGTGCGGAACGGTTCCCAGGAGAGCCGCGGCAGCGAGACCGTCCTTGTCGCTGTACTCATCGGCTGAGACGGGCCCACCGCGGGCCCACTGCTTGCGGCGGGACACGCGAGCCGCAATGGCGCGCCGGCGCAGGCAGCAGACGACGAGTAGGCCCAGAGGAAGAGCGCGCCGATGACAATGCCAACGATGGCGCCGGTAGAGATGCCTGAAGCAGAGGAAGCATCGACGGCGGGTTTGGACGGGTTGCCGTCGGTGTTGCCCGTCGGGGACGAGCCAACGACTGTTGTGGAAGAATGACCTGCCGGATGGGTACCTGTAATAGTGGCGCCTGGGAGGACGGTGGACCCGCTGGTGGCGAAGTGACCGGAGCCGACGTTGATGATGACACCCTGCGAAGAGGTGCCCGAGGTGTTGCTCGCGTTGGAGGGCGAGCTAGAGTCGGAGTTGCTGTGGGGGGAAGAGGAGTCGCGGGAGGAAGAGCTGGGAGTAGACGCGTTTGAGCCGGAAGTGGGAGTGCTATTGTCTCCACTGCTCCCGGAGTCGTTGTTGTTGCCAGTGCTGGGGTTGTCGTTGCCGCTGCTCCCGTTGTTGCCAGAGCCGGTGTTAGACCCGGTGTCAGGGGAGGAGGTTGTGGTGGGGTTGGATCCTGTGGAGGCGGGGAGGGCTGAGTATGAGCAGCAGCGGTGGTGGTTGTCGCTTGCTTGGCGGAGGTGGTAGTGGCTTGGGCGCCGTCAATGATAGGAGTGAGGATGGGGCCGAGGATGGAGCCGAGGACGGGGATGGTGGGGAGGGTGACGGGAGGTTGATGAGCGCAGGAGCGCGGGCGTGGTGATCGTCCACCCGCCTGCGTCGGTGTTCCATCGCAAGACGTTGGCCGTGCATTGAAGCGAGGGCGCGCGCAGGGCGCGGTCGGGTCTGGGCGCTAGGGAGGAGAAAAGAGCGTGGAGGAAAAGAGCGTGGGGTCGGCCAGCGCGAGACTGGCGGCGAGAGAGGAGGGAGCAGACCGTCGAGGGAGGAGAAGAGCAAGCGACCCGCCAGATGAGGGCCCCGCTCCTGGAATATTGCCACCGGCCCGCCTATCACGCGCCCAGAACCCCGATCTCATTGACCCAATTATCCTCAGCGAACAGCGGTTGGCATCATGGATCACCCCTTCAAAGCGACCACGACGTCTCGTCGCTATGCACGCACTCCTCCACCACGGCGCCTCATGCGGATCACGACAGCGCCCACCAGGACCTGTGGACTGGCAGGCGCGCCGCATGAGTACTTATGGCTCCCTCTACCCGTCTTCGGGGCGGCAACCTCCATCAGAACGACCGAACTCTGAGCACGCCGCGGCATGCACAGACCACCATCGCGACTCCGGAGATCACCCGGGGATGTTTCGGAGCACTTACTGCAGACGCGGCCCAACGACCTCGGGAGATGATGTGCTTGCGCGCGCCGCACACCCTTCGCGGATCCAAACAGAGCGGGCTCGTCCGACCAACCCGGTTCCGCGCCCGCACAGTCTCAAAACGCGTGTACGTACACGGCACTCACCGCTGTGAACGTCTGCTCCCGCTGCGATCGCTCTCGCGCGCGGAGCGTCGAAGCCTCTTCATTCGGTGGCTTCGCGGCTGCGACCACAGCACCCAGTCCTGGGTCGTTCCGCACAGGCCGTGGAAGTCCGCCGACGCGGTGAACCTGCGTGTTATACTTTGGGTGCCATTGGACGGGCGTTCCTCGTCCACGAGGCGCGCTTCTCAGGCGGTGGAGCCACAGTAGCCGACAGTGGGAAGCCAGGATCAGAGAGGGATTGCGGACAAGTACATCGTAAGCGAGGAGGTGGAGCCAGGAGCAAAAGGCCAGCAACGACGTCGAGCACCGTGCGCTATATAACAGGCCGTCGTCAGGGGTGGGCACTTGATGGTACCTCCCAATTCACTCTTTCGCTCTCAGCACTCCGTCCAAAACGGAGGCCCTAACATTCCCTCTGCGGAGATATCGTTCGGCTTCTAACGCTATGCAGCGGAACAAGGATCCCAGCCAGGTATTCTGGACTACATACTATGGTGCAGTGTTACCCAGCTTCTCTCTGTCATGTCCACCACATTTACGTTTGTCGACATCATCCGTACGTCTGCATTCACCTCTTCTACCTCTCACCTCTGATACATATATCGGTACAGCTTGTTCAAACATCATCCCATTACACTGCTATACCTAATTAGCAAGGCGTACTCTGGGTCGGCTCGTCATATCATGCATGAAGCCCATAAACATACGTGCGTCTTCTTGTCGCAATACAGGTTGGATCGGGGAGGGAGGAGGGAGAGGCGATATAAAAACACGGGGAACGAGACACAGCCAATGTCGGGAGACCGAGGCGTTCGGGAACCTACTCGCGGCGCGCGAGACCTGATATCTACACGCGTGCGAACTGAAAAATGGGACATGGAAAAGGAAAGTAGTCTTATGGCGCTATAAAAGGGGTAGGTCGGCGGCGAAGGGGGGAGTGTATGCAGCAGGAAGGAGGAAGCGGAACACGGGTGGACCAATGTGCATGTCTCCGAAGGGTCGAAGTGGTGGGCCGGGCGGCCGGTGTAACGGATTCACATCCGCAGTCTTCAAATGAAGGCGTCAGCCTTATATTCTAGAGCTCAGCAGCCTGCATAACACTCACCCAAAAATCGTACGCGCACTCAGCGCGCTCACATCTCGTCTCATCGTTGCGTAAAAATCTCGGTGATCGTCCGGCGCCGCTCCTTCCTCGCCGCCGAGTACGACACCGTCGTCGCCAGACTCCTCCGCACCGCGTCCACCGGACTCTCATCGCCCCGACTGCTCTCCAGGCTGGCCCGTGGTCGGGAGCTGATCGTCCGCGAGCGCGCGCCGTCGCGTTCGCGCTCGGACTCTGACCCGGAGCGGACAAAGAGTTGGGAACGGGGGGCGACTCGAGCGACACGCCCTCGTCAGCGAACGCCGAGCGCATGGACACGTTCCGGCTGCGCGACCCGCCGTTGCGATCCTGCTGGGCCTTGAGACCGTGGACGGCGGACGACATCGTCGCGCGCGAGAAGGTGACGCCGCCATTCGAGCGCGCGGAGGAGCCAGAGTCGTTGCGAAGCATGGGGAACGGCTTCGCGGCGGTGGAGTTCTCGGGCGACGTGGATACCGTCGTGTGAGTGAGCGCGGTTGTAGGATTCGAAGGTTTGATGGAGGAGAACGGAGAGGGCTCTGCTCGCACGGTCTGTGTGGAGCTCACGGAAATCTTGCGCGCCTTGCTCTTGTCCGAGCCAGAATGGCTGCCGGTCGCGATGAGGGACTCCGAAGGTAGGGTCGAGAGGCTAGGTGGTACGGCGATAGAGGGGAAGGCGCGGCGATTGGAAACGTTCATACCTTGTCGTGTCGAAGGTGTGGGAGACGGCTCGTAGTCAGGGGGTTCCATTCGGTCAGGACTGAATGTGCTGACGACCGAGTCCACGCGTTCGCGCGGCGTGTACAACCTGCGAGCGACTGAGGTCGGACCAGAGATGGGTGCCGACTGCCGGACAGTGGCAGGAGTGCCATCATTTGCGCCCGCATTGCTTCGCTCCTCACTGCTGGATGTGGTTGCTGAGCTGCGCCCGAGATTCAACGCAGATCCTGGCCGCAATCGCATGGAGCCATTGGCCCGCTCGAGGCTGGTCAGCCGCGCGCGCAACCGCGCCGATTCGTTGTCAGGTTCCCAGCTATGCCTGATCTCCCTGCTCCTCCGTGAATCTGAGTCGTGACCGTTGAACGCTTGGACATCGGGTGTCATCCTCCGTGTGATGTCTTCGTCTAAGCTCATCGTCCGCAGATGTTGGTTGGAAGAGGTCGTGTCGCGGAGAATTTTGCCCACGCCCAGGAGGAAGCCAGTCATATTACGCACCACCTCGTCGCTAATGCGGAGGTTCTCCCTGTGGTCCGCGCCAACCTCTCGCCACAGTTCCGAGAGATCCACTCCGCCCTGACCGTCAGCGAGTTCCGCGTCGATCTGAGCGTCCAAAGCCTTGTTTGTCCCTTCTTTGAGCATCGCATTGAGTTTGTCGAGAGAATGAACGAGGTGTTGGGCGCTCTGGAAGACTTCTGGGATTGTAGACGTCGTGGTCTGACCCATGGGCGGAAAGCGAGAGAGCTGCGACTCGAACATGGTCAAAGCCTCCATCATCAACCTTCGGTGGTCGCTGCTGCCATCTCGAGCTCCACTCTGTGCAGTAGAGGAGCGAACGGTGCTGAAAGGAGAGGAACGGCCGATTGGGGTCGGCTGTGCCAGTTCGGCGACGCGATCGGGGAGGGCGTATGAAGACTTGTAGGAGCGAAGAGCGGGAGGAGCGGTTCGAGGGGGAGCATCGTCGCCGTTGAGGGCCGCCATGGACGTCCCTGGTCGGGTACCTATGGTACTTGAGGGCCTGAGTCGGTGGCTCGCATTGATCGGAGTTTTGGGATTGAGTGGAAGACCGACACCTTCAACGCGGGTTCCTTCATCATACTCGAAGCTGACGTCGTCTTCTCCAGCGAACGATTTGTGTGATGAACGATTTCGCCGTGACGACGGGCCGCTGCCATTTGAAGAGAAGACGTCGTCGTCGCGCCGTTTTGCGAGACCTGCTGCCTTGAGCCCCTCGCCCACTACGCTCCTGCCCATAGTGCCAGACATGCCTTCCCCGCTACCACTGCGCTGACCATTTCGCCTCCCGACCCCGGATTCCAAAGCGAAATCTTGGGAGGGTGAGCTGAGGTCCTCGGACATCCAACGTATTTGATGCTTACGAGTAAGCTCTCGAACAGTGGAATATCTCGCCTGGCCCAATCTCCTAGGAGAACCGGGTGGATCTGAAGTGGAAATGCGGGTTTTCCTTGGCGATGGGGAAGCTCGACCAAGTTCACTGCGATTTGTCACTCGATGAGGTGTGGCGGGTTCAACCATGGGAGACTGGGAACTTTCATGTCGGTCGACTGTGACGTACTTTGATGATCATGATACGCACCTTTTCGTCCGATATCTTCCTTTCCCTAAACTCCCTGGGTAGGGGCTGTCTTCCCTTCTTCTGTGTCGGGCTTCGCCGTGACGAAGCGACCGCCTCAAGAGCAGCCGCAGTGACATCGTCATCGTCTGGACGATTCGCGTAACCTTCATCCACAGATAGTGTGACTGAGACGCGCTTGGTGCGAGGCGTTCTTGAAGGACCTGGTGATCCGCGCTCCCTCTCCCGAGCGGCCGCAGCCGTCCTCGCTTTACCGGGGGAAGCCGGAGCGGATATGCGTCTTTGCCGAACTGACAGTGTGCCACGGGGTTCTGGCGGTGTGAACAGTGGTGGGGGTGTGGTGTTGCCATCTGAGGAGGCCGAATATGTAGAGGTGGTCTGACCTTCCCGCTCGGTCTCTGAGCCAGAAAGCTGAGTGCTGCGCCGTCGGGCGTTCGTTGATGACGTTAGGGCCGATGGAGGTCTGGGTTGCGTCCCCGATACTACACGTGAGGATGAAGATGTTGCGGAGGAAGAGGAAGACCCAAGCGGCGGGGAAAGGGGGGACCGCGAAGCGCTTGACGGTGCCGGAGAGCCAATGCGCGAGATGGAAGAAAGCTTATCCAGTACCTAAAGTGGTGGAGGTAAAAGTGAGAGGATGTATGATGGATGGGTGGACATTGATCGTATGTCATTGCGATAGCATACATGTCGCCGTAGATGTATCGGTGGAATCGCCATGATCGGCCACATGAACAGTCAGTATATGCGCCTTAGCAATGCATGATAGGGCGCACCATGCGATTTCGTTGGGTAAGGCTCTTCACCCGCAGCAACGCATCCTGGTTATCCCCCTTGCCATTGGACTTCCTCCTGTCGTCCGATAGCCGCGCCGTGTGATCCTCATCGTTCTCATTGTCGTCTGGATTATCGTCGTCTTCTATAACGGATGATCTCTTCCTGTGGTGGGTCTTGTCACCTAGACCGCCCGACATGCTGGGGGTTGGTTTGGAGCCGGGGGTTCGGTGACGGATACTGCCGGCGCTTGTACTTCGGTCTCCAACGCTGCCGCTCCCGGTGGAGTTTGTGGCGGGAGGCGATGGTAAGCCGGAGGCGTTGGATGAAGTACTTGGGCTTGGAGGTTCGGGTAAGTCTGGGAGCGTGGGGGGCGTCGAACCAGCAGAGCCAATAAAAATTGCCGACAAAGGACGAGACCGACGAGCCTGCAGGGGGCGAGGGATCATCGGACGAGGCTGAGGAGACGAACGAGCATGAGAAAGGAGAGGCGGGCTGAAGGAAGGTCGAGGGGGGCGCCGTCGGCGTCGCAGACGGCGGGCGGGGACGTGAAGACGAGGAGGATGGTGAAGAGAAGAGAGATGCTACGCACCACCGGCGTCATCACCCACGCCTTTACCTCGTTTCCATGCCTTCTCCCACCCCCGTCCGTTGCGTTGTCTGCCTCCCTCTGCGTTCCGCCCTCCGCGCCAGCGACGTCCTTCATCGTTGCGCTCGTGGCGGGCTCCGGTGGCATTTACGTCCGCCATTCTTCCTTCCTTGAGCCCTGAAGGCCTCCAAGCTCGCCGCTACAAACGCCCGACTTGCTCAATCGAGCGATGTCGGGTCGGGGCTGTGCGTCTGTAATAGACACTGCAGCTCAAACCGCACTATGCCCACTGAAACAGACCGTCCAAAAGTCCAGGTTGCCTCGTGGCTTGCAGCTTATCGGTAGTGCCATTTCAGAGGTTGCGTACCACCAAGTAGTACATACCAGCCTCCCAAGTTTGATCTAAGCGGCGCATTCCCTGACGCCACTTAGGTTCCGGCCCGCTGTAGATCCGATGTTACACTAGTGCCGCTCTCAGCTCTACGATGTCTTTGTCAACACGAGCCTTTTAACCCCCTACGGCTTGGCCGCTTTTTCGGTTCAAACTGTGACTACCCCAGGGGCCAGGGCCCAGATTGCCCCAGACGATATCTCACGCAGATATCTCCGGAACGCAGAATTTACAACCGGCTCGTCCATCCACACCCAATTGCAACCCTTGAACCCGATTGAATGCAGCTCGTCTATCGCCATTCTTATGATCATTGTCTCGCTAGACATGCCGAGTCCTCTTGCACGATACCCGTAAATCGCTTCGACTTGGCTCTGATCAGCGGGTTCCGATGAGAGGATTTAACTCGGACGCCTCGTTGTTTGGCTACATCATGTACACTACTTAATCGTGGTTTGGAGCGCGACAGCTTCAGTCCTGAACGAACTCTCATGCAAGTACAACCGAAGCGCCAGGGTCGTGGACGAGCAGAAGCGCCGGGGGGAGGCGCGTGTGGCTGAGAATCTTGGAGGGAAAACTGCACATGTACAGCGACTGTACAGTCCCTGCAGCCTCCCGCTCCATGCCAGGCGCGAGTGAGCCCCCGCCCGTGGCGGCCTCTCCCGCACCTTCTCAGTCAGGTGTGTTCCCCCCTCATACACCTTACCCGTCAATGTTCATCTTTGTGCAGCCAATGCTACCCCTCATACTGGACACACACCCGTCCCGTCCGTCATCAACCGAAAGAAAGCATACCTTGGCCTCCTCCCTCTCGAGCAGATCATCGAAATATGCTTGCTTTTCGAGCCTCATGTCCCACTACACGTCCTGACGACCGTTTGGCCCGTCGATCTCGACGCTGCCATCCTCGAACTCAGAAAAAAAGCCGATGCTCTCCCTCGCTCCCGACATGGCACCCCAGTCCCCCAGTCCCCCATAGCTAACGGTGCTCCGCAGACATCCAGATCAAGCGTTCCCTTCCAGCAGGTACATCCTCCGGGAAAGAATACACTAACAGGAGAGGAACCTCCCATGGGATCTCTGAGAGACCCCGCGGAAGAGAACAGGGAAAAGGCGAGTGCATCTACTGCTGCTCCTCCACCGCGCCGTACCGCATCCCCAGCTCCGCAAGCCAACGGAACCCATACTGCCGAAGGACAGTCTCCTCACTCACCTGACGCCTCCAAGTCGCATACCGGTACTCCACAACCTACCGGACATCCTCAGCATGCGACTCTCCATCCTCCTACCCCGTACCCGTACCCTCCTTATGGCTACCCCATGCCTCATCCATCTCAAGGCCAACAAGCTGCATACCCCCACACGCCTTACTATCCTCCTCCTGGTGCTTACCCATCGCACTACCCATACCCTCCATATCCCCCGCCTCCCGGGTACCCTCCACCTCCACCCCCACCTCACACCCACTCCTCGCCGCCACCTTCACATCCTCCGGGGAATCCACCACTATTTAACTCGACCCCACTGGTGCGTCCGCCAGTACATCCACCGGTTCCTCCGCCCCCGCAACCGCCACCTCCGACTGGCGAAGACTTACCGTCGTATGAAGAGATGATTGTGGAGGCATTGCTGGATCTTGGGGATGGTGAAACCGGCGAAGGTACGGCACCGAAAGACGTTTTCACGTGGATGGCGTCAAAGTACCCCCTACAAACCAACTTTCGACCGAGTGCGAGCCAGGCACTGCAGAAGGCATACAAGCGAGGTCGGTTGGAGAAGCTACCTGGGGGTAAATACCGACTGAATGCAACGTGGGAAGGTGGCGCGGTACGACGTCCGTTGCGTTCGGTGTGGGGTTCACTTGGCTGATAGCACCATGCGCCCGCAGACCTCCAAGCGCACTACACGGCGGCCTCAGACATTAGCGCAGACGACATACGCAATCCATCACTCGTCCCAGGCCTCTTCTCCCTTTACACATGCTCCGCTTCAGCCTCCCCAAGGACAGCAGTCGCAACCTCCACAACAGCAACCCAATGGCTACCCGTTCCCATATCCTTATGCTCACTACCCAGGCTATCCTCCACCTGCTGGGAACAGGTCGGACCAAAAGACAACAGCTACCGCACAGGTCGCAAAGTTAGGAGACGGAAAGGCCACCGACAGCGCCGAAAACAACGATGCCTGGGAAGCCGCCCAGCATATCTTCCAGGCAATAAACTTCGGCGACCTGGCGACCCGCGCTGCTCCCGAGGACGCAGCGGAAGACCTCACCGCCGTTCTCACAGCGCTGGCCAACGCAGCCGCCGCGGCGGAACAGCAGCAGCAGCAGTCGCGCTCGACGCTCTCCGACGACGAGCGCGCGGCGCTGCAGGCACAGCTCGCGCTCCTCGCCGCCCAGTTGACCGAGATCGCGGACTCGGAGGAGGAAGACCCCCCGCCGCCACCGCCAACCGTGACTCAGGCTCCTTCGGACCCGCACGTGTCGCCAGCTCAGCCCCTCGCCGCAAGGCCAGAGCTTGAAACAGCAGTGACTTCTGTACCACCCCCAGCGTCGGGACCGACGCCAGCCTCCACCGCACCTGCTCCGACGGACTCCGAGATGGAGCAGGCGGCTCCGTCGTCCGCTCCTCGCGCACCACCGCCGAAACCAGTCCCGCAAGCGCACCCGCCGCCTATCGCGGCCTACCCTGGGACACATATCATGTTGGACATCAATGCCTTTCCGGAGATATTTCCGCCGAGCGCGCCCTTGCATGGGACGCCCAACGGAGCGCAGGCCGAGGCCGAGGCGGATGGGGAGGGCGAGAGCGATGAGGACGAGGACATGGAGGACGTCGTCGTGCCACCTTTGGCCGCGGACGCGCTACGGACATGAGCCGAGGCCATAGGGTTCTCTTGTTCGATCTTGTGGGGGAGTGTGCGCTGTGCTGTATTTGATGTCATGTACACGGACTGAGTGCTGAGTAGTTTTCACTAAGCGCGATCTGGCATTGCCTGCGTGGCCGTGCATATGTACATTCGCACAAGTTTCGTTGGCACGCTGCGTAGCCCGGTGTGTCGTGAGATTTTATTGTCAGAGGTATCATCCGGCGTCCTGAGCTCTCATGATCGTGGAGTGGTGGGCTCAGTTTATTGACTCACCCACCCTCTGAATCAAACATATGCATAGGCTTTTGAGCCGGCGACGACCTTCAACTATCACCGCCGTCGCCGAATGTGGATACTCGTGCTCTTCTGAGGCACCATCGACAGAAACCACGCCTATTACCGTCCGAACGCAGGCATCATCTCATATGCGCGTTCTGCGGTATAACGAGACCACGTGCAGCGTTCCGCGTACGGCCTTTAGCTTTGACTCACCCCCCTTCGTCTCAAGGCGGTTAATCTTCTACGTATTCTGTTACAATATGGAAACTGGCGACGGCACAGCCTGGCCGGGGGCGTTGAACCGTGACGATGAATCTACGAACGACGTCGAATCTGAGATGCAGTCATGGTCACTCAATAAGTGACGATTAACTTGCGATTAACGCCTCATCCCCGACAACCGTTGATTGATGATTCCAGCGGTCGACCACTCCGCTGCTCCGTTATCCACGGAGTAAGGTCTCGATTGCTACTGAGACGGGAGCCGAACGTTGTATCATCATCCAAGGATCGGCTGCACGGCGGTTCAATGCGCGAATATTGACCGTACCCCGAATGTTTGTATCGAAGAGTTTATTGCCGAGATAAGTTACGCCTACATGTGACGAAACCGAAGTCGAGGGCATGTGCACTCATAGGTTATGTAATCTCCCACTTTTGAAGTAGCTTCTAAGCTCTCCCGAGCCCGTAAAAATCCATCAAATTATCCAAACCTCAGAAAAGATGCCTGACTTGATATTACGCATCAAACGCACGGACGACGTCCCTGGACGACTGTCGGTATTCGTCTGATCAAGGCACCGAGGGAGGTTTGAGTACGCCTTAGCGCAGAATGCTGTGCGATGCTGCGGAGGTTACGTCGCAGACGCAGCACAGCTGTTGCGGTACTCGGCAGCAGTGGGGAACGAGCCTACTGCCTGACTGAGGCGGCCCGGTCGGCCGTGCGCCCGACTGTCCTGCACCCTCCGGGGGATGGGGGACGAGTGAATGCACGGAATTTGAGTCTTTTGAGTGCGAAGCTGGTATTCAAAGGACTCCGCAGAGACTAGAGGAAAATATGGGGGGCGGCGGAGGAAGAACTCGAACTCGCCACCGTCGTCTTCGAACACATCCAACTCACTCCACGCTTCAGGACGCCCCGTCGTTGTACTCTGGCTGCCGCATTCTGATGGATATCACCGTCCAGGCTATGTCTTACACCACCTCCCCGCGCATCGCTATAATTGGCGTTGGCCTCCCGGGCTCGTGCTCCTCTTCACCCCCACACGCGCGGCATCGCCGCGACTTTGTACGAGCGCGACCCCGACTTCCACTCCTGCGTGCACCTCGGCGACGCTCTGGACCTCAGCTGGACCTCCGGCCAGCGCGCACCAGAACGCGCTCCAAGACGCGTTCAACGCCCACTCCAACGCCGAGGGCGAAAACTACCGCCTCGGCGGCGCCGACACCCACACACGCTTCCACAAGACGGGCTCGGGCCACATGGGCATCGATAATGCGCGCCCCGAGATCGACCGCACCGTCCTCCGCCGGCTGCTCACCAAGTGGGGCCACGCGTTCGTTTCCGCCACGTCGCGCGGCGACGGCGCGCGTGCGTTCGCGTTCGCCAACGGGGCTGTCGTGGAGTGCGCCGTCGTCGGCGGCGCCTACTCGTTTCCCCCGTGCAGGCGGAGTATGCGGCCCATAGGCGTGAATGGCGTCAAGATCTCGCTTGCGCCCGCGCCCGCGGGCCGCGCCGACATGGCGGATATGTGTGCGCTCGTTGAGCAGGAGATGCTCATGAACCTCGAGCGCGGAAGCGCGTTCGGGGCTCAAAGGAACGGCGACAGGCGCATCCGCGCGTACGCGTGCTTTCGCGGCCCCGAGAAGTGGACGGTCCCCGCGACGCCTGACGACGTGCGCGCGGAGCTGCAAAAGCGGTCCAGCGACTACGCGCCGGTGCTGCTCAAGCTCGTTGACCACTGCGACGACGCGGCGATCTACCAGCGGGCGTTTTACGCGCTGCTGATAGGCCGCCGCTGGGCGCACGTCGATGGGGTGACGACCCTAGGGGACGCAGCGCACCTTATGCCGCCGTTCGCGGGTGCGGGTGCGAATCTCGCGATGCTGGATTCGGACTCGCTCTGGCGGAGGCGTTAAAGGCAGGGGCGTTGACGGCGAGGCGGCGATAATAGAGTGGGAGACGAGGATGACGGCGTCGGCGGCGAAGTGGGCGCAGGCGACGATGGACAACGCAGAGGCATTCACCAACCCGAACGCACCGCAGAAAGCTCTGGAGCCACTCTAGACGTTCACAGCTGGATCGAACAGGAGGGAGGAGTACTAGGCTGGAGTGTCTGTGATTTACAATATTGTAAATTGTGGATGGACCGTGGTTGAGATCTTGAGAATTGAGCTGGAGATCACCTTGAATCGATCGTACCACTAGTGACGCTTTATCCGCACGGCAAGAGAAGACGCAGATGGGATGGCATGATGGAGGTGGGAGGCAACGGCAAAGGGCCCGCCAGTTCAACGAGCTCGAAGCCTAGGACCGGGCCGGACGAAAACCGCCGCGGCCGCTTAGGTAATCCATGCCACTGGAGCCAATTTTGATTAGCGTGGACGGCCCGTACGCGTAAGTTATGATTCAGCTGAATCTCTCTCTCAATCTGCCCGGATCCCAAGTACTCTGTCACAGCCAGTCAGCAGCTGGACGCCGCTATCCCTCCGCGTTGATTCTGGCCCTGCAATGCTGCGATTGGGTGGGTCACGCACGTCAGGCTTTGGATCGCTTTATGAGGGGAACCCCAGCGGATCGGCTTTCACTTCCCACCTCGCTCAGCAATGTCAGGTCAGTTGCATCACGAAGACACGTCGATTGTGGCACGCTCACCTTGTTTATGTAAATATTCGACTCTGCTTGATTGTCCGCGAACGCTGATGCTATTGTCGTCATATCGCAATTGAATGTCCATGACTTGACGAACACGGGACGCCGTACGGTAGCCGTCTTATGACAGGTGAGAAAGTTTGATTTCTGTGTCGCGACCAGCCACTGGCTACAGGAAAAATATATCCCAGTGTGATCCTGACCGGGGGAGAAACCTCCGATCCGTCTCACGGACACACAGATGCTCCCCGCAGGCATTATAGTGCCTTTAGGGAAGGGGATATATAGCTACCTCGAGCGGTGGAGTATGACAACACCAAGGTGCATGCCTTCATTCCGTACGATCTCCCTTCTCCGCAAATCCATGTCCCCGTTGACCGGATAGTCAATCAGGAAGCTTAGCCCACGGGATCCGTCGCAAATTGGCTTTTGTCAATTGTCTGACCGTCACGCCGCATTTGCACCGGCTCTCACATGATGCTGAATCAGACGAGTTCGCGCCCATCCGAGGTCGGATCCTAGTAGCCTGGCGTACGATGCGGGTTGCGACTTCCTCGCAGAAGAGTACATCATACCAGGCACTAGAGATGATATGAGCTGGTAAGGGCTCAGAAGCAATCAACTCTCTACCTCTGAGTCTACAGACTACGTATGTCCCCGCGGTTCGACCCTGTCATCGGGGCAAGCTCACGTGCCTGTCCAGAACCCGCGTCATCTACCATGGGCTCCTCTGAACAGCGTCGAGTGCTCGCTCGCGCCAGAGGTCGCGAACGACCCAGAGATGATCGATATCCTCGGGCTCACCGGCAAGGGCATTCTCATGGCGATCGAAACGACCGCGAGCTTCTCCCGCAGCTCAACAGCGACGGCCAGATCCGCACGCTCGCCTTCTGGTGCGAGCCCGCACGTGACGAGAACCAGGACATTCCCAAGGGCGGGATCGAGGAGGCGCAGAAGGAGCCCTTGGGGATCCGCCACGACGGCTGGTCGTTGATATTTCTCAAACCCATCGACCTCTGCGACCCGGCGGCGGGGCACAAGCGCATGCCCCTGGGCGCACGTCCTTCATCGGAGACGCCGCGCACCTGATGACGTCGTTCGTGGGCGCAGGCGCGAACATGGCGATGCTCGACGGGCTCGAGCGCGCTCGTGGGGGCGGTCAACTCGGGCATGGTGTCCGCCGGGAGAAGAAGATGTTCGTGTCGGCGAAGATTTGGGCGCAGGTCACGCACGACAACATGATGGACATGGTCGGAACGCGCCCGTGACGGTCGTCCCCCGCTGGGAGATATCCACTGCGAGCGGCAGGCGAGAGGACCGCACAGATGGTGACTAGTATAGGCAGGTGTTGTGCGTCGACGTCTGTCGGACGGGCTGGCGGGGCTGGGGAGGCGGCGGCGTGGGGTGTGCCCACTGCGAGGGCGGGCGCCCGGCGCCCGGCGGTAAATGTGCTTGTGCTATGGTGCAGTGTGTACCCTAATCTGTACTTGTTTCTCGGTCCTTACGCGACTTATCTTGCTCTCATGTGGGTAGAAGCTGCTGAACCCGGCCGCCTTAGGTTCAGCAGGCTGGATCGATTCCTTATTCAGCACGATCCCGCGTTACCTGCGGTCGTCACTTGCAGACCGGTCGCTCATGAAGCCATGCCTTCAGCGTCGCCATCGTAGTTCATGAGCGTTCAAACGTTCGAGCTCGCCTCGAATGCCGGCCGTGGGTGTGTGAAGAGCAAGCGGCGCTAATAGAAGCATGCGCGGGCTGAACACGGGATGGCCTGTTGTGTTTCGGGGGCTCGGACGGTATAGTAAACCACCGATGCTGAGCAACGGCGTTTTCGGGCGCAAAGCTGTGTCTTCCTGATCTTGCTTTTGTGACACTGTTGGGACGTGAGGTGTGTCGCATCATAGTGGGGACGAGCGCCTGTGCAATAGGTAGTCTCGTGGGTCCTGGGAGACATCTGACACGTGGCTTTGCCTTTCCACCAGGGGCCGTTCGTCACGGACCCGTGGTTGACTCTGCGACTCTCACACCCTCCCAAGTACTGCCCACCACCACTGCCAGGCCGCAGCCGTCAGCGCGATGGCTCTCCCTCAGCTCACTGACGCTCCTCAAGTCAACCGGTCGCACAATCATACTCAATCAGCTCGTGTGGTGCGATGACGACGAGTCGGAGTTCCCTGCTCGAGCCTGCGGTGAGACACACTGCTCGTGCTCGTCCGTTTAGGCCGTTCTCTCTTGCCACCAGAAATTATGTCTTGGTCGGCCCCACAACACGGGCTGTGAACCATCTCAATACGATCATCAAATTGACCGACATGTGGTGATAGACAATTGGCGCTCAACGCACTGCAGAACCCCGAACTTTTGACCCACAGTGACCCTGAAACGTTCACATCTTGTTCGCATCGAGTGACCGTCGTTGTGGAAGCCAGAACGGAGCGTTTAGTTGAGTATTTTTCGAATTTTCTGTTACTCCGTAGCAAACCTCTACGTTCTAGAATCTAGGGCGTAATGACTCCTTTACGCCACCTCCTGGCCCCGCAGCGGTCATTATCCAGCATAGCCCTGCTAAAAGCCGCGCCCACCAGCACCCATCAGCGCCATCCGGACGGCGGGGAGCGAGTTCGGATCACCTCGGAGGACGACAACAGCCCTGGGCGCACGCGCGCACAAATTCACGCGTGTCCGTCATCATTCTAGGAAGCATCACTCTCCCTCGCCTTCCGCTATTAGCCCGAGAACAAGTCCAGCACACGATTAACCAGCCCTCTCGGCTATCATGGCCCCGTCGCTCCGCTTCTCCTCCTGCGCTCCGCGCTCGTGCTCCGCCTTCTGAGTCCCCATCGCTCTTGGGGCTTGTTGTGCTGCCCACCGCTGATCTGGTGCGGACACAGGCTCGCGTGGGCTCCGTCCGCCGGCGCGCTTCGTGTCGCTCTGGTCCACCGCTCGGGTCTCGCGCGCCTTACCTCAGTCTCCCACCTAGGCCCCAACTGTACGTGGATGGAGGGGCCGCGCCGGCCAGGGCGACTCCGCCCACCTCCTTCGATCCGGCCACGGGCGCCCAGCGATACGGGCTCTACTCACCACAGTGCACAGCGCGATGATACTACGTCTGCTCTCTGCGAGTATAAGGACAGGCCCGCGTCGATGGGGAAGGCCATCCCACCGCCCTCGGTTCTCTCTCTCTCTCTTTCGTATTCTACTTCTACGTTCATCCTTTTAATCCTCTTCGATTACCTTCGACTTCGGCTTCTTCTTTTCCAAGATCTTTCAGAACCGTATCAGACCACGATGACGCAGCACGTGAAGGAGAGGTACGCCCTCACCCTCTCCTGCATAACCGCGGGCGGCGCTGATCCATACGGCCGCGCCTCAAGCGATGTCGTCGCCATGTCCCAGCCTGGTCTCTACAGGTGCAACGCCGGCGGCCACCCGACATGCGGGAAGCCGATGGACGGCTCCAGGCTGCAGTCGCACCTGCTCTCCGTGCACGGCGCGAAGTGAGTGCTCTCGCCTCCCCCCTTCCTGTGCGCGCCGTTGACTTTCGCGCGATGCGGCGGGGGCGGCGACAGCGGCGCCACGGTCTACACATGCGGCGAGTGCGGGTGGCGCCTCAACGGGCTCGGCGCCCTCATCAACCACAAGCCGGTCCAGTGCGTCTTGCCGTCGTCGCCTCTCCCTCCGTCCAGAGAGCGCTGACCGCCGCCCGTGCGCAGCGTTTTGACCACGGCCTGCCAGACGTGCGGCCTGCAGTTCGCCTCCGCCGGGCAGCGGTTCGACCACCTTCGCCAGCACCACGGGCTCTCCCCCGGGCGCTCGTGAAGTGCTACGACTCCTCGACGACTATCTTACCCTCGCTTGCCTATAATCCTCTTGCCTCGCGCTCCTAAGCTTACTTTATCCACCACTAGTAGTATCTTGTATCGGCCGCACGCGCCGTAATGATCGACCCGCTCCATCACCTGTAGCGTATATTCCATCCCTTCTAGGCACCCGTACCTCTATATCTAATTAATATCCCCTGGACTCCTCTACTGTATCCATACCACAGACTGGAACCCCATGTATCCTACCACCAACATATCTATTTCTACGCTCCCCTCACGCCCACGTCCACCTTCGCCCGCCCGCCCACTCTCAGCCGTCCGTCCGAACTTCGACCACCGGGCCGGGCCCTCCCCCGCTTGCTCCGTGCGCACGCCCTCAAGCGAGCCGACGGCGCAGTCCGCGCGCGCCCACCGCATGCGCGCCCCCGCCAGCGCGCGGGAGATAGGCTGCAGTTGCGGTCAGGCTCGCGTGGTGGCGAACGTGCGGGGGGCGGACGAGATCCGAGAGAGGCGCCGAGTCGAGCGGAGCGGTACTGTCGTGCTAGTGGGATCCCGCAGCGAGGTGCTACTCCGGCGGGATCGCGGTCGACGTATTTGTGTACAGCAGGTCTCGCGGCCTGGGGTTTCGCGCGTCCGGGAGGGCGTGGGGTCGAGAGGTCGGCGTATACACGGCCGCGGCTGCCACGAGCGGGCGGGTCGGCGCCGGCGGACTCGGAGTCGAGGAAGATCGGGAAGCGCTCGTCTTCGTTCCGCTTTTTCAAGTTGTCCCAAGTACCATCTCGCACCTTCCTCCGCGCTGAGGGTGCTATCTTCACTCCCTTCTCATCCCCTTGAAGCTCTCCTCCGGGTTTACATGGTCGCTTCATCTCCCTGTTGGAATCTGCCCGCATACTCAGCAAGCTCGGTCGGTACCAGCGCTTAGTCATCGCGTAGATAGCCGCCGTCCCTCGTCTCGCACTCGCCTCACGCGTTTGCCCTTCACCACCACCTCGTTCTCCCCCGCGTCCGTCTGTACTCGCCTCCCGGTGCCCATAGGGACCAACCGCGTGGTATCGATTGCCTTTACCCCCTCGTCCGAGCCGCAACACTCCCCTCTCCCTCTCCACCCCTCTGCTCCGCGAGGTCGCAACTTCCTCTGTACAGGGCGCCAATGCATGACGTGCACGCTCGCCGCCCCGCCGGGCCCTGCAGGCCTGCGACGTGCATCGACACGTAAATGCCACCAATTGAAGGCGTGTGCAGCATTGTGGATACTTTTGTAAGTACACGTCGAAGTTGATTCAGGGTGAACGTCGTTCAGGACGTGCATTAGTCGCACAAGCCTTGCAAGGTTCTGTGAGCTCCAAGTCTATATCACAACCCCGCCAAGACCCTCCCCAAACCACACACGGCCATCAGCCACGCGTCTTACGTGGGGGGAACGCAGGACGGCCCCCGGACCCATAAGGATACACAACTGCGGACGGGCCGCGTAGAGGGGGTCAGCTGCCCCCCTCGGACGGCCCAGGCTCGAGTCGCTCCGTCCGCTTGCGCGCTCCCATTCGCCCGTTCGCTCCGCCGCGGGACACGGATAGATCTCGGACCCGCCTCCCGTCTGCGTCAAGTGGCCGGGCGGGGCTCGACGCCACCACGCCGGTGGGCTGCTCGTCCTACGGTGAATGCCCATGCGCCTCGCGACGCGGAGGTGCTGCCTCCCTCCCACCGTGCGTACGTACCCCCGCGCACCCCCAGATCAGCCCCCAAACGCGCGGGAAGGCCGCGCTCGGGCCCCCATCTCCCCGGCCGGCATCCCACCCTCCCCTCAAGCGGAAGAGAGCCCCTTTCGAAGGCGCAAGCGCTCCGCTCGGCCCAGCGCATCCGCGAGGGCGATGACGACAGGGATCTGTAGGGGGGACGGTGACGACACGGTTTACGTCCGAGCGTGCGAAAGGCATCGGCAGGCGGGAGGAGGACGGCGATGACGTCGCGCCGCGTTCTGCGACCTCGCGTTCGCGTGCTTGCCGACGGGAGGCGGGAGACGGCGAACGACGTCAACGACGCCCGATCCGGGCATGCGCGACGCCTGTTCCCGCAGTGGGACGCGTGGCGGCCCCACCGGGGTTGCGCGGGACGGCTTCGCGAAGATGGGCGCGAGAACGGGGTGTGTCCGGCTGGGGCACAAAAGGAGGCGAGGGATGGTTAGGCGAGGCGCCGAGGCTTCGGCCAGATGTCTCGGAAGAGTGGAGCACGTTCGAACCCGGCCCCCGGCCCCATCGTGGCGAGCATGCAATCTGGGGCGAGCATTGGCGAATTGCTCAGAGTGGTCGTTTGCTCCGTATGTCGGTGAGCGTTGGCCATAGAGGTTGTAGGTCGACGACGACGTGCTCGACGTGGCACCGTCGCAGAGGCCGAGAAGCGCGGAAGGGAAGACAAGTGCTTGTGGTGATGGTTCGAGGGGCGTGCTTTCCGAGCGCAGTGGAGGGCTGCGAAGCTCATCGCGCGCTCCGCCTCAAGTCCCTTTCCAAACGCCAGTCCAAACGAGAGCCATCGATAAGGGACGTCCCGACCGACGGGGTTGACGTTGCGTACTCTGCTGTGCGCTCGTAGCCGATATTCGTCCTCGGTGGCGGCGGCCAGCGCAGAAAGCGAGCGTGCGAGATGACGGCACGCGCAATTTCGGTCCTAGGTGCCATGCCAACGCATACACAATGCCAACGTTCGTGCAGCGAGTACTTGCTACGTTCGAGAGCGGGCCGCCCATGGTGGGGTCGCCGTAAAAAACAGCGGCGAACGTGCAAAGGAGGAAGGCGCGGTGGGTGGACGGAGGGAGGACGAGGATGAAGACATATGGCGCATGGGGCGCCTGCCTGCCTGGTGGTTCGGTGGGGCCTCCCGTGCATCGCGAAGCCCGCCGCCGATGCCGAGCGTCGGCGGGCCATGTCTGTGATGTCGGTCGCGCGACAGCAACGACGAGCACCTGGGCATGAGGCCTTGAAACGCGCTCCTGAAGCGTGCACAAGCCTGTGTATGGGTGCGATTAAGAGACCGATGTGGCGCGTTTGGGAGTTAACTTGGTGACAACACCGGCGTCGGCCACAGAGCGCAGCGGGTGCGATCGCCTCCACGGAAGGGGAGGGGTCGATGAGCGGGGAGCTGGGGCGCTCCGGCGCGGGCCAGCATCCGCTGAGGGGTGATTTGGGGTGACTGAGCCGTCCGCCTGCCGGGAATGCAGCGCGTAGTGTGGCGGCTGTGGGGCGGCCTCCCGAACGAGCGCGCGATCGCGAGGCGTTGTCCGAGGCCAGCGCCACTCGAATCAGGGAGCGATCCCGAGCGCTCCTTGTCGTCCGCCAACCCGGGGCGCGGTCCACTTCCCTTTTCCGCACTCAACGCCCATCGATGCCCTGGCTTTCCGCGTCCCGCACCCGAATCAGGCAGCCCGCGCGCCGGCGTGCGTTGTCAACCTCCGCCCCTAGCGCCTCTTCCGGACGAATTCCCTGCCCGCCCGTCTGACGTCACGCCGACCGTCCGACTTATAACTGCCCGTGATGCACCCACCGTCCTCACCAAACCACCAGTCCCTCTCTCGACTGTCGACAGCCCTCATACCCTACTAGACTCATACCGCCTCCTCCATCACTCTCAACATGTCTACGACCACCCACTTCTACGCCGACGCCGTCCTCTTTGACATGGTGCGCATCCTTTTTCTCCTCCGCACCCGCAGGTCGACTGACCGTGTGTACAGGACGGCACGCTCACCGACTCCATCGCTGCCGTCGAGGCCGCCTGGGGCAAGGTGGCCAAGGACATCGGCCGCGACCCCGAATACGTGATCGCCGCCACCCACGGCAAGCGCGCCGTCGACAACCTCGCCCAGTTCAAGCCCCACATCAAGGCGCACGAGATGGACGGCGAGGTCCAAGCCTTCGAGGAGTCCATCCTCTACTTCGCCGACGCCTACCACAAGCACGGCCCCGGCTCGCTCCCCACCTCCCCCGTCTCCTCCGGCGCCGCCACCCCCGCGCTCTCCTCCGCCAGCGGCTCCACCCCGTCCTCCCGCACGAGCTCGCGCGCGCCCTCCTTCGCCGGCAACCTCGCCCAGCTCGCCGCCATCCGCCGCCCGTCCTTCCTCTCCCGCGTCTCGAGCCTGCTCTCCATGGCCCCCGCGATCCCCGAGGGCGACGCCGCGACGTTTGAGGACCCGATCATCGAGGAGGGCGACGAGGAGACTGAGTGCCAGGAGTGGCGCGAGCGCGCGGTCAAGCAGCACCAGCTCGAGGCGTGGCAACTCGAGGCGTGCGCCGTCGACCGCTCCGTGCGCATCCTGCCCAGCGTGAAGCGCATCATGGACTCGATCCCGAAGGGACGCTACGCCGTCGCGACTTCCGGTGCCAAGACCTATGGTGAGCTGCTCTGCGCCATCCTATGTTTCGCGCAGCATGTGCTGAACTCGACTCCTTTCAGCTTACGGCTGCATGACCCGCGTCGGCATCACCCCACCTCCCGTCACCATCACCGCGGACGACAAGCGCCTCAAGGCTGGCAAGCCTGCGCCGGACCCGTTCCTGCTCGCCGCGAAGGAGCTTGGCTTTGACGCGAAGAAGTGCGTCGTCTTCGAGGACTCCCCCTCGGGTATCCGCGCAGGCGTCGCTTCGGGCGCGACAGTCATCGCTGTTTGCACCAGTCACGAGCGCTCGAAGATCGAGAACTGCGGCGCGCACTACATCGTCGACACCATGGACAAGATCAAGATCGAGACTGAGGGCGACCGCCTCAAGTTCGTCGTCTCGCAGTGACCGCTGTGCGCCGCTGTCAGCCCCGTTCTTCCTATATGTCTCCCACACTGCTCCCTCTCCACACCACCGATCTAAGCTAGAAGCCAGAAAAGCGCCATGTTGCCCGTCCACTCCACGCTCCACATTCGCGTCTCGTCCTCGCTCTGCACTATCTCGCATCTCGCATGTCCCACATCTTGTTTTCCACGCCTCGCATGCACCATCCCTTGTACCACCAATGTAATATAACATACTTTAGACGACCACGTAGCATCTCCACACGCGCCCATATATTCTTTGCTCCGCACCTACCGCCCGCTGCCCGTTACGTCGACGATTCAATGCAACCGGTTTGGATTGCACGCTCATCTGCCTCTGCGTGCCTCTGCTGTGTTCTGCTCGCAACGTGCGACAACGACGAGCTCCAAATCAGATAGTATCCGGTCCTGCTAACAATGGTATCTCCCTCACTCCACAGCCACCTCGCTAACGCGCCCAAGCTCAGTAAGTATGATCAGCCTCTGCCAGTCCTGCACGCCGCCGCATACGCCCGCCGAACGACCTCCGCGACCTCGCGCCCCTCCTCGACGTCCTCGTCCCCGCCGTCTCCGCCCAGTGCCAACGCGCCCGCGGCGGCCCACGCGGCGCCGTCCGCCCGAGCGAGCGCGGCGACGGCGCGCGCCTTGGCCGCGCCGCGGTCGCGGTAGCCGCCCGCGGAGCGCACGTGCTGGTGCACGTCGAACTCGAGGTCGCGCGCGGCGCGGGCGAGCGCTTTGTTCCTGCCGGGTGAGCGGATGAGCGGGGGGTGGGTGGAAGCGGGCGAACGAGGGGAGGGGCGAACGGGGAGAGGGAACGAGGGGAGGGAACGGGGGGAGGAAAGGAAAGTAAAAGCGTCGCGGACGCACTTGACGTCCGTCGAGGCCGAGGCGGCGAGGTCGCCGACGCGCGCCCAGGCGGCGTAGCCCCGCGCGCCCGTCGGGAGCGCTTTGTGCAGCGCGCGGTGGAGGGCGGCGAATTGGGCCTCGCGGACCGCGAGCTGCGGCGGGGGCAGGGCAGGGTGAGCGCGTGTGCGTGCGGGAGCAAGGAAGGAAGGAAGGAAGGAAGGAAGGAAGGAAGGAAGGAAGGAAGGGTGGGACGCACGGGGATCTTGGTCGAGTACGGGGCGTCGAGCTCGATATCTGTGGGGGGCACCTGTATTTGCGTCGGGGACGGCGGTCCTTGGGGGAGTGAGTGAGCGAGGCCGCCGCATGAAGATCCTGGGTTGAGACGTACGAGGGGCGGGTTCGCGGTCGTGCGACTGTGCCGGGAGCGCCGCGTCCCCGTCTGCGACGTCGACGTCGACGGCCCGCGACGAGCTCGAGCCGGCGGACCCGACGCTCCCCGTCTTCTGCAGCCCGCGCGGCGCGCCCATCAGCGCCGAGACGTCCGTCCCGCGGTGCGCGCTGCCCGCCGCCCACGGAGTCTTGAACGCCTTCCCGAGAGACCGCTTCAGGCCCTTGGCTGCGCGCAAGTGCATCGTCAGTCCCTCCCTGAGACCTGCTCCCGGACGACGCGCGCGCAGCGGCGACTCACAAACGGGCAGCTGCACCGGCGGCGGCCCCGACGGTTTCGCCTTCTTTGACGGCCCAGGCCGCGGGCCCACATCCTCTCCGTCGTCCCCGCCCTCACCGCGCTTCACTCCCGTCGACGCCCTGCGCTCCCCCGGCGCCGCGGTTCTCGTCGAGTTCGCGTTCGAACTTGCCGTCGCAGAGGCTCTCGACGGCCCTTCGGCGCTCGCACCGGCGGGGCGCGGGGCGGCGGCAACGGAGGCGAGCGAGTTCGCGCGCGAGACGGGCTTCGGCCGTCATGCGTGCGCGTCGACGTCCTCCTGCGCGGTCAGCCGCTGCCGGCGCTGGCAGACCTTGGCCGGGTACTTGCAGACGTCGCACATGTTCGCGCAGTAGGCGGCGGCGGCGGCGGGGTCGCTCGCGTCGATGTGCTCGCCGAAGTAGCGGCAGACGAGCTGCGTCGGAGAGGACGGACGGGAGTCAGCGCCAAGCGGTCGGCGGGTGGGAGGTGAGGGACGGCGTACGATGTGGCGGCAGGTCGTCGTGTTCTCTGCGAACTTGAGCAGCTGTAAATCGAGGGACGCGTGGAGGGGGGTTATATGTGCGTGAGGCGAGGACGGTGCGCGGGGACGTACGGACGTGAGGCTGTCCGCGGCACGTTGGCTGGGCTCTGGGCCGTTGCGCTCTTCTGCGCGGACGACGCGTTTCGAGTGCGAGTCTGAGACGAAGTGCTTCACTCTTGATGCATCTTCTCGTGCTGGAGTGCAGAGGTGAACGATACGAGCCTAAGTAGACGTCACCGAACAGGGACGCACAATAGAAGAGAACACATTTCGCTGGCTGTGGCAGGTTCGTTTGAGTAGATAAGGCTCGTATGGACATGGATCGCTCACCAGGCCGTCCCTCCCTGCCCTTCCGGTTTCTTGATAGTAGCCTAAGGAAATGTTTCGGTACGGGATCGACTGTATGCGAGGACCATAGACGTACCCTCGAAGCTTTTCGGAAGGTCGAAATGTATGACATAGCTGCCACCCGGGATCAGAGCTGAGCTATCTTGTGACATGACGTGTACTCACCGTACATCTGGCTTGTCGATACCCATCCCAAAAGCGATGGTGGCACATACCTGTTGCTAGCGGTGTGAGAGAATGCACGCACCGACGCTGACATGCGCTCGCACCACATCAGCACTGCAAGGTGCTTCGCTGCTGCCCTGTCCCCATTCTCGCAACGTCTTGTCAAGGACAGAGTTACTGAAACAATGAAAGCGTGGGTAAATGCGCGTCACACGAGCTGGGTATCGCCTCACGTCAAACCTCGGTGGTACGCTTTCGCCTGGATGCCCTTTCCTCGCAAGTAGTTGGCAAGCTCATCGCAAACCGCCCGCGTGCGGCAGTACACAATACCAGACGAAGGGCGACCACGACGTCTGTGGAGTGTGTCAATGTACTCGTAGACGTCTGTCATGTGCGCATTGGGGTTCGGAGACGACATGTATCGGACCTGAATGGTGCGTCAGAGGAAGCGTGCGAAGGGATTCGACGTCATTGGTTACCTCGTAGAAAAGGTTTTCTCGATTGAACGGGTGCAGGACCATATGGAGACGGTCGCTTGAGAGCCGGAGGCTGGTGATGATGTCTTGTCGTACACTGATTTGATGTCGTGTCAGTTTCGGTGTGGTCCACAAGACAAACCGGGGACAGACGTTGGAGTCGCCGTTGCCGTAAGAGCCATTATTGGTATGTCGACGAACTTGTCTCTGAATGACCCAAGTCTCCTATACTCTTCACGGAAGTCATGGCCCCATTCCTATCACTCGCGATTCAGTTAGTCAGTGTCGGACGGCAATGTACCTACCCACCGAAATACAGTGGGCCTACAAAACGTTAGCTGACGCAGACTATATGCGCACGGCAATTCACTTGCCTCGTCCACAACCAGCCTATTCAGCAGCTTGCGACGATGCAGGTCGGCCATGATCGAACTGATTTCCGTCGTGCAGAATTTCTCAGGGCTGACTACAGCACAAGTCAGTACTAAACGAGAGAGCATATCACCCCGAAACTCACCATAGAGAAGCCGAATGCTCGGGTCCTCAGAGCGGAAGTCCGTAATGATCTTGTCATCATAGTCAGAAGATATATTCCCAGCTGAGCACGCAAGTTTCTATACCGCAGTCTTCTCCTTGAATGACGTCTCGGATGTCAGAGACGCGACGGCGATGGCCAAAAATCGAAGCTTCGAGATCTCTACATTGCTGTCAGAACGCCGGCGTGCGACTGTCACCATTACACTCACGGTTCTTCATCAAGGCTGACATCGTTCATTTTGGTTAGTCCAGAAGCACTGCAACATACTTACACACCTAATAAAGGGGATACGACGATAGTTACACCCTGCTGGAGCACGCGAATGAGCGGCATGTCTTACACAGTATATGGCCACACTCACATTTTCTGCGACCGCCGGAACTTGGAAGCACAGGCTCTATGAAAGAATTGTCAATCATGCCATTCACCAATGACCAAGAGGACTCGTGACTTGCTTTGCCCATCCCGGTTGGTGCAATAACCAGGACGTCAGTCCCTGTGGGCATCTTCAGTTCTTCTGACGTATAGATCCGTTGAGGCGACGTGCCTTGCATAGCCAACTCCACTATCTCTTCTTGTTTACCTCTGAACTTGGTATGTCCGAATGCTGCGAGAGTGGTTCAGCGAGTTTTCCAATTTAGACAAGTAGTGACTGACTGTCCCGAAGAATCCTGGGGCAGCATCAGTAAGCGAAGTGGTAATCGAGGGTAGAAAGCATTGATAGTATACCTTCTACAATCATCCATTCCGTGACACGAATCGGAAAGAGACGCGACAAAGTTTCAGCTCTGACTGTATTGCCAGTCAAAACTGCGTCGAGATTGTTTTGTATTGCAACCAGTCTCCTGTATGCTGCGTCTGTGCTGAGAGAAAGTGGTGGTGGTGAACTGGTCAGACTTGGGAAGCGGGAGCCAAGGCTGGAAGCGCGACGCGTTTGTGGCACTGCCAACACGCTCATCACATGACTGATTCACACGAAGGACATTCCAGGTTGAAGTTCCAGGGCGTTTAGTTTCCAATGTCACTACCGGGACAGCTGGGTCCAGCTACGGTCCGTGGCGTGCTTGTCCCCACTAAAGTAGGATCCAGTGTGTTGACGCGGCTGGTTTTTGTGAATAGCAGAGGTGTGTGTAACACTCCGGGTGTTTGATCTGTGACTTCACTCACGTGAATCAGTCACAGCGCGTCATGCATCATGGTTTCAATGACGCCTCAGCATTTGCATTTCGTTCCATCGTTTACCCCGACTTTCCACCGACACTTGCACGCTTTCACATCTCGTCATTCCCGCGAGTCAAGCCGGCGCAGCGCATGCAATTCACATACAGGCTTCCTGGCGCCTTCACTTAAGCTCAGGCTCGCACTCGCACCCTCCGGCGGGTATATCACGCCGGCCCTCATGTGGAACGGGCTCCGACCAAACGTCAAGATCACTTCCACCCGGAGATAACACAGAAGTCCATCCCAACACTGCTCACACCGTCGCTGCAGCCTGAGAGATTGCGCCCAGGGCCCGGATCTCGCGTCCTCCGCGCCCACGGACAGGCCCCGCGTTGCCCGCATGGCACGGCGATGCGCCAGGGGGGGTCGCTGAGATTGGCTGCCCTCGCTTGGATCTCGCGTCCGCCGAGCAGGAGTTGTGTGCGTCCATGTCTCATGATCAGATGCTGCGATCCTGGGCACAGTGGGCAGGTCGCCCTCCACGTCTGTGCGTGTTCATGATGCCCGTTCTGCACCTGCCATCGTCGCTGACCGCCTCTGTTGCCCGCCGTGCACGGATCCGATCATACGCCACCGCGCGCTGAGCTGCAGCTGGGCAGATGCGTGTGCGCGAGCCCCATCTGGGATCGCAGATGGGCTCGGGCCGTTCGTGCGCAAGCGAACACGGCCGCATTCACGCATCCTGGCATCCCGCCTCAAGCGCCGGGAAACATGAGAGAGCCAAGACGCCCAGACGACGAACCACATACACATTACACAGGTTCGCCTCAACTTCCTGCTCGACCACAGCCAAAGCCGCACTTTGCTGGGTGGAGTACCCGTGCACCGAACACGCGCGGTCTGCACGCTTCCTAGTTGCGTGGTGGGAACCTTGTGGCAAGCCGGCAGTGAGGGGAAACGATGGCCGAGGGGCGCTCTGGTCACTGTAGCGCCCCACGTGTTCGGTCTTGGTCTGCGGGAGGGAAAAGCGGAGCGCCCGTCCGGGAAGGTCGGGCCCGATGCTGGGCAGAACGCGAGTGTGAGTCGCGATCCCGGACGGTCCGCTTGAGCGCGAGGCCGGAGTGCGACGCGTTCTGCGCCACTCTCACAACCAAAGCGCTGGGAGTGGTGGGTGGGTGCGCTTTGAGCTGCGTGGGTGCGATGCGGGAGGAGACGAGAGGCGATAGCCTTTAGCGCGCTAGCGCGCGTCTCCCTCATCCGGCAACCACCGGCAACCCACGCCTAGAAAGCACCCGATCGGCCGAGGCGCTCGTTCCTCGCGCCTCGTTCGAACCTCACGCTTCCTAGTTGCGTGGTGGGAACCTTGTGGCAAGCCGGCAGTGAGGGGAAACGATGGCCGAGGGGCGCTCTGGTCACTGTAGCGCCCCACGTGTTCGGTCTTGGTCTGCGGGAGGGAAAAGCGGAGCGCCCGTCCGGGAAGGTCGGGCCCGATGCTGGGCAGAACGCGAGTGTGAGTCGCGATCCCTCCCGGTCCTTCCCACCCCCGCTCGATTGCAACCAATCGATCCGCTTCCCACGGATACGCTCCCGCCCGCGCGAGGGATGCCGCGACTAACCCAACGCGAACACCAACAGTCGCGGAAACCGAGCCGCGGCTCACCCAAACAGTGAGCGTGACAGTATGAATTACAGTTTTTTGGCCTTAGTCCACTTTTTCATGGAGTCTGCCGCTGTTAGTACCCTCGCCGAGTTCGACGCCTGGGACAGGAATAGTGGTACAATGCACTCGATACTACGCCAATACTTGAGGAAAGCGCGCGACTGCCAGCTGCCCAGCGCCGCCACAATGTCCGGATTTGTCCCCCTCATGAGCCACTCCGTCGTGCCGCCGATCCGGAAGCAGTGCCCGGTCAGAGGCGGGAGGCCCTCGTCTCTCCAAGCGGCTTGGCATCTCGCTAAGAACCAGTCGCGCGTCATTGGTGCCCAGGTCCCCCCGGGGGTCTCAAACGCGAAGAGTGGGGCGTCCGTCGGCACTGCGCTGTTGAGGTGGAGGTGGTGCGTGAGCGCCTTCACTGGTGATGGCTCTACATCAGTCTCCCGAAGGATGACGTCCGCCCCTTGCCGCTTGGTTGACTTCGTCCACGGAATGTGGAAAGACGCGAAGGCGCCACCTGTCGTGGCTGTGCCTCGCTTGACTGCCACCCCGCGCGCGACGTGCCTGTCCGCGCGGAATGCTCCCGCTGACGGAATGGTCAGCTCTCCTAGCCTGTGTGTGTGTGTTAGCCCGCGATCTTCGCGCGTCGTCTGCGCTTACCGTCTGCACCCCCAGAACGCGCAGCTCGCCACTGCCAGGACCGCGGCGTCGAACGTGTCAGTCAGGTCCAGCCGCCGGAGCAGCGCTTGCATGTGCGCGACGGTAACCGGTGGCCGCGGGTCCTTTCCCCGGGGCGCGCATTTTGTTGCCCCCTCGCATACTGCCTTCAACAGCCGCATGTCGGTGTATTTCCAGGTCGCGCCGTTCATGGTGTGCCAGTACCCGATCCCCGCAACCCAGTTGTCGATGGTAGACCGGGACTTCTGACCCGCGTGACTCGCGACGAAACAGGCCATCAAGATGTCTGATGCTGGGAAACGCGCGTCTTCGGCTATCTCGCGGTCGTCGCAGTATTGATGGTACCTCAGCAGGCCGGCTCCGTAGCATTTCCGTGTCGCGGGCTCCAGTCGATTCAACACTAGCATGAATACTTTTTCGATGTCTTTCTGCGGTACAATCCCCAATAGGTTCTGCCGCGAAGCTATCGCGTTCGGTGCGGTCCACAAGGCTAATCGGTCATCTGCTCGTACGAAAGGTCGGTAGGGGGATGGTCTTAGTTCGTTTTCGGCTCTCGGTTTTCTCGGAGTTCGCCCGGTCTGGGCTCGCGGTGAGGGGGCGTGCGCGCTGGTTCCGACGCCACGCGTGTCCGCGTCCCTCCCCTTGCCGGGCGCGCCCGCACGCGCGGGCGCGTTTTTGACTCGCGCCGTCTTAGGCATGTGGCACGAGGAAGAGCGCCAACTCGGGCGGGAGCGCGAAGCTCGGTTTGAAGGTCGGGTTGCCGGTCCAGGCGCCGCGAGACACCGGATCTGCGAGGTTGATTTTCGTGTCCACGTACTCCAGCCGGAGCGTCACGTTCCTGGCCATGCAGACCGCTTCGATCCTCTGGATCACTAGATTCACCTGAAAGTTCCTGCTCTTGCCGTTCTCGATGGCGCCGATGACCCCTTGATTGTCGCTCCGGATCCACGCGTCGGCGTCCCTCACGTCCTTCCCCTCCAGCCATAGCACCGCGAGCTCGATTGCCACCGCTTCCGCCCAGCCGATGTCCCTTCCCGCAGTTCGCCACTCCGCCAGGGGGACCCTCCACCGCCAGGCGGCCTCCGCGCCCTCCGCGACGAGTCCCACGCCCCACTCTGAGGACGCGTCCACCCAGATGCCGAAGTCCACGGGCGGGCCGCGCGCAACGAGCTGGCGCGTGATGCCCTCGCGTCCCAGAGTCTCGGTCCACCACTTGATGTCGGTGACTACCGACTTCTGCGGGTAGCGCTCGGCCTCCGGACGCGGGTTGGCCCCGAACTTCGCGATAAAGGCCTGTAGGCTGGGCAAACGCGAGCGGCCCGTCACGTAGACGAAGGTGATGTGTTGAAGCGTGCCCAGGAGACTCTGCGCGTCCTTGAAGCGGAGGCGCGCCTTCTTCTCGCAAACGAGCGCCCTCGTCGCCTCTGTCTTGGCGAGGTACTTGGCCCGCTTCTCGTCGGAGAGGCCGACGCGCTTCGCCGCGATCCACCAGCGGAAACCCGTGTAGTCGATTATGTCGCCGTGGGGGAAGCATTTCGGCGCGCTCCACCGCACCCCGAGCCGGGCTGTAAGCTCGATGATGTCCATGATGTCGTGCCCGTACTTGTAGACGCCTGGCGCGATCTCCTGGAGTGGGTAGCGCAGATTGGCGAGGTCGTCCACCCACTTGTGGTTCCGGCCCATCCCCACGGCCTCGATGACGTCCACGACTGCGTCCATCACTTTCCCTTGCTCGCCTGTGCCTGACGAGACACCGAATGGGACCCCATGGTCGATCTCGTACTTGCCCTTCCGCCCTTGAATGACGATGTACGCTTTGTGGCCAGGGTATACTGGTATGTTTCTGAAAGCCGACTCGATGTCCATCGTCGCCCCCTGAGTCCCCGGCGGTGCCGCGATGATCTAGTCACGTCGTTTGGTTAGCCTTCTGGCTCTCGGGTTTGAATCATGCTCCCGCGCCCGACTTGCGCTCTCGCGCACGGCTCGCGCTCTCGCGCCCGACTCATGCTCTCGCGCCTGGTTCTCGCTCTCGCGCTCGCGCTCCTGCCTTGCGCTCCCCGCATCCGCCTCGCGCTCCTCGCATCCGCCTCGCGCTCCTCGCGTCTGCCTCGCGCTCCCCGCGCCTGCCTCGCGCTCCCAGCGCCTGCCCCGCGCTCCCGTGCTCGACTCGCGCTCCTCGCGCCCGACTCGCGCTCCTCGCGCCCGACCTGCGCTCTCCACGCCTGGCTCGCGCTCTCTGCGCTTCCTGAGCCC